TCATTTCTGGAAACTTACAGTTCTAACACTGATGTCATTTGTGGAAACTTACTAGTTAAACACTGCTGTCATTTGTGGAAACTTACGTGTTCTACAATTAAAACAATAACAGAACAAAAAACTTCACACAATACTGGCTGCTACATAGGACATTTGCCAGGATCACTGTTGAGAAACTTCGGGCTGTTTTACTCCATTCAAGTTTGTGTTGAGAAAATGTCGCAGTCATTTGTGGCGTTATAGTTCTGTCTGGTGAGCTTTTTATTTTTATTAGCATCTTATTAAGGAACGCATCCATTTTACATCTAAACCATTTCGATAGTAATGAATCATGTTCTTAGTAACCATTGAAGACGGTTGCTAGTTATTTTTAGCGTAACTTTCGTATTTAGCGTACCTTTACTAGACCAGCAAGTCTTACTTCTTCTTCTTCGTCGTTCTTAATTGTAAATAAAAAGGGATTTTCTCCAACAGATTTAAATTACGTATCAGCATGTTATACGCCTTAAAGCCCGTTGTCTCCGATTTGAGCCTGCTTTTCTTTCTGATCAGAGTTTCTTCCAGGCATCTCTTCCAGGCCCCCTCGAACGAAATGGAATTTATGTAGAAAATATATACTTTTGACAGTGCCCCCCCCCCCCCAAATTGTTGTCCTTCCCCCCCCCCCCGAAAATTTCAAGTGCACCCCCGGAGAAAAAAATCTGGAAGAAACACTGGTTCTGATGTAGAGTTGTCTCTCCTAGTTAACGACCCACCGACATTTTTCTTTTTTTTTTTTGGGGGGGGGGGGAGCATTTGAACCTTGGGGAGAGGAGACTTTAAATGTAAGGTTTATTTATTTTTTCTATATTGTTCGGGAGGGGAGGGGAGGCGGAGTGACCTCGGCATATGAAGGGACAGTATGGTCAGCACTATGCCTTAACGCCTAAGCTTTTTCTGGGTGGACTGAGGGATGTTCTATGCACATTCAAAGTTTTCAGTTTTTTTTTTTAAATTTTAATACATGATTAAAAACATGTATTCACTAAATGAACAGGAAAATGGTGCGTATAATAGCGCGGTAAATGGTACTTTTATATAGAAATTTTTAATTAATTCTTTACAAATTTATTAAGCATCCAATTAATTAAGTCAAATTTAATGTTATATTGCATTGTTAACGGGTCTTAACCCACGTGGTAAGTTTCAGAGACATTGATCGGTTTGAATGGGTCGAAATTAAGCTCGCCAGTGTCGAGTAAAAGACGGACGACCGACAAAAGCATGACAGACAGACAGACAGAGAAAGCAAGTTAAATAAAAGCTTGCAAAAAATCAATTACCGGTTATTACGTCTAATTCTTACAAATTAAACAAATCTACATTGAACGCCTCGATTGGTGTTTGATCGATTACTTTATTGATACGACGCTCCGACTCATTGATCAATTCGATCAATAATTCCGTATTTAAAAATAAAATTTCGCTTTTGTATTGTGAAATAAAAACTGGATTAATAGAACCGATACTTCAAATAGACGGAAGGTTTTTTTTTTAATCGAAGTTCGCATGAAGTATTAGAAGTTTTCCCAATAAATGTGCCGCTATTTATTTGCAATAAAGAGCTGACTTGGTTATAAAGGTTATAATGGTAACGTAAGTTTGAAGAACGAAAATGAATGGCTTCGCCCTGGAGGGGGAGGGGGCGTAGACAGTTCTCTATAGAAATATTGGTTATTATTCGTTAAGAAATATTGTATAAGCACGATTACCTTCCTCGATTTGGTGGAATTAGGTAAAGGACCAGTTAAGATCAGATAGGGTAGATTGTATCTGGGTTACTTTTCGTACCTCGGCATTGTAAGTGTCAGCGCGGTCAGCTTTTTACGCAGTTGCCTAATTTCTGGTGTGGTTCAAGAACGACATCACGGTGTTTCAAGTGATGTTTTACCCACTTTCCTATTTGTCGAATAGTGTCACATAAAAAAGTCTACCCCCTCCCCCCTCAAAGATATACAACAACCTACTTCAGCCACCTCCTCCCCCTTTTTCCTCATTTTTACAATTTCGGTTTATCAACACACATCTTTCGTTTAGAATATTAACTAAACCATATCAAAATTAGGTATATTAATTGATTACTAAGACACATAAAAAAACAAGCAAGTAATAAATAGAGCAGTGGTTCTTAACTTTTTGGGGGTACCAAACCCCATAAGCCTCATAGTCGAATTCACCGAACTCTTCTTAATAGGAACAATAAATTATGATTATTTTTTAAGTTTAAAACATAGTAAGGCCTATATATTTTACTTGTGCATAAAATGAACATAAAGACATCGTTGTGTTTAAAGAATAAAGCCATTAAAATATGATTTTTACAAAAGGACGAAAACAATATAAAAATGAATATTTACTCCATATTATTGTGACTTCAGTTGTTGCCTTTCAGACACCAGTTAAATGCGTGGCTTCACCTTGAAGGCTCCAAGGGCTCCACGAAATAGAAACACCACCATACCGATATGTGTTATCAAGTTCTGGCACGCTTTATTACAGTGTCGCGCTGTCATATTTAAACTGACGTATTTAACTGTCTTATGACAAAATCAAGTCGAAAATCATTTGAGTCGGATGTGTCTCAAACTCCGCCGAACCCATGAGATTAATTCATCGAACCCCTTGGGGTTCGATCGAACCTAGGTTAAGAACTAATAGTTTTTACTCCGGTTTAGCTTAGACTGGCATTGCAGTCGATAGTGTCTTTACAAGTGGCATTAATTGCTAACAATCTTGTAGGTCCTATCCCCTTAGTGCAATGATATGCGCGATCTCTCTATGCGTTTGTTAAATAATTTTTATATTTATATGGCAAGTAACTATTAAAAGATTAAGCAAATCGTTTTTCTTATGAATGTTTCAATTATTCTCCCTCGAAAATGCTTTTATATAAACACGTATTTTCTCATTACAATAACTAGATATTGTCGGTGCTAAAAATAGTGTTTAATTTAGTATATGAGTTTTTCTGGTATATATTTTATGATTATTCAGCAGATACGAAGCAAGGTAAACAAAATGATTCGCCAATTGTCGAAGCTTTGTTGTAAGTATTCTGTATATGTGTTATAGATCGTGTCATTTTTTAAGGAGGGTAGGTAAACATACCAAGGTAGTGTAAAGTAGTTTGGTACCCTTTTGGATCTGGCTGCCGATAAGGTAGAGGAACTAGAGTTCACCTGTTTCTCTGACCCCAACGGATATTACCCATTCGCATTTGCCCCCCTCCCACCTATGTACCTATCAAAGCTGGGAGATCTTAGAGACGTCCTACGGCCTTGAACCCGAATCCAAACTCGAGACATTAGGGTAAGAAGTCGTGCGCTCTACTATCCAACCACGCCATTTCATTATATGTATATATATATATATATATATATATATATATATATATATATATATATATATATATATATATATATATATATATATATATATAAACTTTTAAACAGCGTACTTGTGTGGCGGCTCTGTATGTGTTCGAAACAATAATATTTTCTTTTACTATATTTAGGTGATCTAAGGACGCATGTGTTCAAGAAGTGTCTGATATTACTGTTCTTCTGGATCACTATCGTTCTTCTGGCATACGTATACGTACAACTCTCCTGTTCAACATTGGTTCATACATTCTTCAGTGATAAACTTCAAATGTTTGAGACTTCCACACACCAACACTATAAGAATACAACACACCAACACTATAAGAATACAACACACCCACACTATAAGGATAGAACACACCAACACTATAAGAATACAACACACCAACACTATAAGAATACAACACACCAACACCATAATAAGACACCGATTGAACACCATTCAGTTGCACCATGTTGCGTCACAAGTCAGTCTGAGTTCACTTCAACAAACACGTCTGCCATCCAAAGACCTACACCATTGGCCAGGAATAGCATACTAAACATTAGCCAATCAACATCGAGATATATCAGCCAATCATATCAGCCATCCACCATCCAACCAAAGCTAGAGTCAAATGTCAAATTACCAAATCAACAATCACCTACAAACCAATCCCACCCTGGATGTGATTTTCCTTTTGTAGGGCCGTTTTATAAAGGCTTGAATAAAATCACCCGAAAATATCCAACCATCAACTGCTCAAAACAGACGCCACATCTTGTCTACGTACAAGGCGACACGATATTCGTTGACCACGCCAAAATTCGGAGCATCCCTCGATTAAATTCTACGTTCTTGAACTGTATTTGTGTGCCTCGGGTCCGAATGTTAAACGGGAATGATTCCCGCACAAAAAGTGTCGGACAACGCCAAGTATTTACTGACTCCATCAACGTCACACATGATTATGTTGTTGTTGAATGTTACAATAACGCTAGCCAGGTCATATCCAGATCGTTCTTGACATTTATCCGTAAAAAACCGAACCTCGAGTCTGAATTAAAAGCCAAGTATGAGGCACACGTTGAGCTCCACGCACCCAAAGAAACTTTGAGCGTCATGATGCTGGGGATTGATGCCATGTCCAAAAACAATTTCCAGCGTGCCATGCCGAAGACGAGAAACTTTCTTCTAGAAACTATGAAAGCTGTTGAGTTGCACAAACATAATAAATTCGGGCACAACACGTTCCCTAACGTGGTTGGTCTACTTACCGGAAACAGCGAAAAATGGTTAGCTAAGCAGGGTTATTCAAGACATTTGCCTATTGATCGGGTAAATGATGCTTTTCTTTGGAGTGCTTACCGTAAAGCCGGGTACAGAACTGGAATGTTTTTAGACAGAACTTACATCTCGGCGTTTCATTACGGTAAAGTCGGATGGACCCAACCCCCAGTCGATTATTACATTCGAGAGGTTGTGATCGATTCAGAGAAGGACAAATTAATGAGAAAAGATGTCAACTGTATCGGTGACGTCCCGGACATCCGACTTCTGACCGACTACTGGGTTCAGCTAGCGTCTTTGTTCAACAACTCCAAAACAGAGCCGTATTTCACATACAGGTTTGATGTAGAATCATGTGTGTTTGAATATAGATAAGGTTGTATTCTAAATTGTATAAAGTTCCCCTTTATGACATAAAGATTCAAATTTTTAGTCATCTGTTTCGTGACTATGGCATATGAAGATAAGGTGTGGTCAACACAATGCCCAGTGCCTTTAGTTCCTTAACGTGTGTAAAGTACCCATTAAAGCTGAGTGAACTAAGGGGCGTTCTACTATAGTTCGTGATCCGAACTATAGGCGTTCAGTATATCAGTTGAGCTAGTCTGAAGTGTGAAAATATTTATCTGGTAAAGGAAAAAGCTTTAATTTAAACTATCAATCACTTATCTAATTATTCAATGATTTGTTACATCTAAATCAGGTTTGCTCTGCAGTTTTAGAAAATAATCATAATTAATGATGGGGTTTGAAATATTGGGTAAAAAGATATAAAAATTCCAAATGATCTCAGGAATAAATACATGATATCCTAGAATTTCAATTTTAGACAACATAGAGTGTATCTTTGAAGAAATTTGATTTAATTTGATGACTTGTTTTCCTATAGTTTTTAAAATTTCCCCAACATCATTTTATTTATGAGTTAAAACACGTTCCATCTTTAACGTCCTTCTTGGTTAGTATCTCACAGTTTCATGTTTCCAAGTCGTCACTTTCAATGTTTTAGCTTAACTAGCAATTATTCCAGTCCTAATGTGCTATTCGCAATAGTGAACCGTATTGCTTAAATAGTTGTTCAACAAAAGCAATAATAAAATTATAAATAAATTAACAGTATCGAAAAAGGCTAATGCGCTATTTTATTTGCAATTTAGTACTTAACCAAACTATTTGGTTGGGAGTGAGGGGGAGGGAATGGGAGACTTTATCGAATTTTAGTGTGTGGCTTTACTTAAATAAGAGACACGGGTAGCTTCAGTTACACACAGTTTTCTTGTGCTATTTTTCCCTGGAACTCGGGGGCGTTTGAAATTTCCAGGGGGACTTGGGGGGGGGGGGCGTATGTATATTTTTTGGAGAGTTGCCGTACATTAGCTTAAGTATTTATTTTCTACATAATTATGTTTTTTTTTTATTTTGTCAAGGGGAGAGGTCGGTGAACGTGCATTCCCCCCCCCCCCTTCAAAGGCGACCTATCAATTTTACCCCCACCCCGCACTCTTCCTGTTTCCATACAGCTATTCAAGTTGGCGAAACTGTGCCCCACTTTCAACGGAAACAGTTTTTATTTTTGTTGTCCGTAAAGTCCGTTTTCTAATCTGTTTGGCACCCCCTATGGTCGGCGGCCACGGCGGCAGCACCATCAGCCCTACCCTAACTACGCCTCTACCCCCCTTCGTTGAGATGCCTCAAAGAAAGATGACACAAACCTAAACTAGAGTTCCGTTCATTCCTTCATCAGTTTCTCAGCCCGCTTGACCCACGACGATGAGAACAGAGCCAGCGCTGCTGATGAACTTTATTTCCAATTTTTACAAACTTTAGTGGACAAGAAGGTTCTAAACAACACGGTGCTTGTCTTCTTCAGTGACCACGGGCCCAGGTTCGGGGCCATAAGGTAATGCTAGTGTTTCTAAAAAAAAAAAGTTTTATTTTTGAAAAATTTTAAACTTTTTTTTTTACAATTTTTTATTTTTAAATGTATGATGATTAGCTACAAGGGAGTTCTGATGCGACCATAAGTAATGTATACTTGAAATGTCTGAGTTCTATCAAAATTATATATAACAGAAGGTCAGGGGTGTATCTAAAGTATCTATTGCAGAAAAGTGTGTACTGAAAATATATCTACACATTTTGGTTGTTTGTTGTTTACATTTTTCAAAAATGTAGTTCTAATACAAGCTATACATTTGTTGTTTTTTAAGTACGAGCCGACCCGCAGCGTATCATACGCCGCTATTTAGTTGTTTTATTTTCTACTTTTCAGTAATTCATAATTTGTGAATTCGACAGTACCAATGCTGCCACTGAAAATATTTGCTTTAAAACACTAACCCCCCCCCCCCTTTCTCCTAACCCTGACACTACACCCCCCCCCCCCTGAAAGCAGCCTCCTCTTAGTTATTTCTTAGTTACCTCCTGTAAGTTTAAAATCGAACTAAATTATCTGCCCCTAATAGAAACCCGGCTCTACGGCTCTACGATTTGTAAACATTTAGCTTTGTAAACATTTAGCGTGACCACAGCTCACCAGACAATGTGGGGGGGGGGGGGGGTTGGTAGTGATAGTGATAGTGATAGAGAGAAAGAGAGGGGACTGCAAGGAGGCGCTTGCAGCTTGTTTTCTAACGGCTCCCAATAGAGAATTATATATATAGATAGGCCAAATGAATTATTAAAATTTATTCTCCTTTATTTCTTTTTAAATTAATACGTTGTTGTTTAATGACATATAAACGGATTTAAATGATTTAAATTAAACCACTGACGATAATCCGTCATGAGGTGACCCTGCAATACTGTGGACAATGGTCAGCCTTAGAATTTATCTTGAAGTTATTGTCATCGTCTCTTCTCTCTGGTTCTAACACTTATGTAGGTATTGCTCCTAGTAACAAATAAGGCCTATCCCTTTTACACCTGTTTCTACCTGAACACAAAATGTATTTCCTACCCTTACCCTTACCCTTACCCTTACCCTTACCCTTACCCTTACCCTTACCCTTACCCTTACCCTTACCCTCACCCTCACCCTCACCCTCACCCTCACCCTCACCCTCACCCTCACCCTCACCCTCACCCTCACCCTTACGTGACAGACAAAGTAACGCCTTAATTTTATTTTCAACAAAGACTGATATAAAACACGGCAAAGTTCCTGATAAAAACGTAACAGAAAAATGAAGCCTGCATCAAGTTTTTCCTTTGGGACTAAGTTTGTTTGATAGGGAGAGGTATATAACCATATCTATAAAATCTTGAACTAATTTTCCTTTTTATTTTGTTCTATGTATCGAACAGGTTGACACTGAACGGAATGCTAGAAGGCCGAATGCCTTTAATGTTCCTCGTGTTCCCGCCCTGGTTCCATACCAAATACCCGCAGCTGATGGAAGTTGTGAAAACCAACCAACATCGTCTGACGACCCACACGGACGTCTACGAGACTTTGATTGACCTGCTGTACTTTAAAGCAGAGGCCGGGAAAGGAAGTCTCACCCAGCCTAGGATCAGCTTGTTCAAAGAGATTCCAGAAGGACGCACGTGCCAGCACGCGCTGATCCCCCTTGAGTACTGCGTCTGCAACGGTTTCGTTAAACCCAACATCAGTGCGAAATTTACTGAATTTCTTGGGCTAAATCTTGTTTACCGGGTGAATGGGTATCTAACAGGCAAACTACGAGACCTCTGTTCAACTCTAACCTTAAATAACGTCACAAACGTTATGGAGGTCAAGGGCGTAGATTCGGGGTCAACGACCTACCAGGTCACGGTGACGACCGCGCCAAACAGCGCCATTTATGAAGGTGTTCTGAGAGTACGTGAAAACAATAAGGTGAAGGCTATCAGTGACGTCACGAGGTTGAATCTCTACCGGGGTGAGGCTGAGTGTATCGACCACCCGACGTTGAGACAGTTTTGTTACTGTAAAACTTAACAGAAATGTGATTAGGGTAATTTTATTACTGTAAAACTGGACACAAATGTGATTGGGGTATTTTTGTTACTGTAAGAATTAACACAAATGTGATTAGGGTAATTTTATTACTGTAAAACTTTACACAAAAATGATTTAGGTTATCTTTTTTATTGTCAAGCTCTCCATAGGATATTGTTATCGATGTAATACACAAAATGAAATAGGACATTACCGTCTCGCCGTCAACTACCTACGGTTATTTCCTAAAAAAAATTCACCAGAATCATTACGCCCCCCCCCCTCCCTCTCCATCTATGGGTAATTACCCCCTCCCCATTCTTTAGAATACATAGTGTGTTAATCCGTATCCATATCCTCCTAAATATTCAACCCCCTATCTAGGTTCTTAATTCTATCTCCCTAACATAAACCCTAACCCTATCCCAAACCATATTGCTAGCCCTGTTCAAAACCCGATCTCTATAAACAGCTATATCTCTAACCTTATAACTAACTTATCCTTAGCCTTGCCTTGCCCTATCTGTTTATACATCCACGTGACCGGGGGGGGGATGAGGTAATACACATGGAGAAATGTCCTACATCAATATTTTAGGTAGTAATTATACGGGAAAATCGTCGGAGGAGGGAAATGATGTCATGCTTCCAGAAATATAATGTGACTTATTTCGTTTCTGAGATGTGTTTATTTTAATTATGAGCTTTTATGTAGTTTACAATGTCTGTTGTTTTTTTTTACCCTATTAGGGAATTCTAAAAAGTGTAAACAATAACAAATATACAAACCCTTAATAACATCAAGATTTTAAATGCTAGTCTAGTGACAATTTAAGCGCAATTTCCTTAATTAATTTTTTGTGACCGAACGAAAAGATATTTTTGAAACCTTTCTTCGGCAATATTGTTCTAAATTATGGCAGGAATCGATTGGTAAATGTTTCAAGTCGCTATGGAAATGGGCCCACAATCATCCTCGGAACTTGCTTAACATATTTGCTTTTGGAACTAGTCCTCGATATTGCTTCGTTGAGGAGGAGATACGACTTAAAGATGCGGACACACATCCATCCATCCATCCATCCATCCATCCATCCATCCATCCATCCATCCATCCATTCAGAAATAACGAATTAATAATCGCAATTCTCCAGTATGGAAATTGCGCTAAAAAGAATTGGTCGCTCAAATGTGCAAGATATCTCATGTGGTCTAGCTGTTAGCATTTGGGGTTGGGGAGGGGGGACGTGGGGGGTCTAGTTGTTAGCATGTGGGGTTGGGGGGAGGGGGAACGTGGGGGGGTCTAGCTGTTAGCATGTGGGGTTGGGGGGAGGGGGAACGTGGGGGGGGGGGGGTCTAGCTGCTAGCATTTGGGGTTGGGGGAGGGGGGGAACGGGGGTGTCTAGCTGTTAGCATATGGGGTTGGGGGGAGGGGGAACGGGGGGGTCTAGCTGTTAGCATGTGGGGTTGGGGGTGGGGGAAAGGGCGGGTGGTCTAGCTGCTAGTTTATGTGGTTGGGGGGGGGGACTGGTTGCCTAGCTGTTAGCATCTGAGGTTGGGGGGGGGGAGTATATGTGTTCTAGCTGTTAACATCAGAGTTAAAAATTTAAATAAGATAGAGGTTTTAATCTGAAACAAAGTAATATTTAGAAATTATACATGGCCCTAAAAATTGTGGTTTACAAAAAAGTTCACGAGTGTCTTAAAATAAACGAATTAACATCAGTAAGGCCGAAACGTTAACAGAAATTGTCAAAATTAAAGGAGGCAGGTGGAGTATTTTTGTCAAAATAGCGTTACCGCGGTGCGGGTTTAAGAATCAAATTGGGTGAGGGAGGCGTCAGATTATAACAAGATTTTACGCCGGGTGTCCTTATGGGGTGTTGCGTGGGGTGGGGGTGTTTTAAGACGCAGCTGCCATATCGAGCTTTGTTCCAGTTTTAACACACATGTGTCTGTTCAACATTCTATTGGAGTTATTTCAGCGTGCTGCCAAGGTGAAGGTCGGGGGAAGCAACTAATTGGTACATACATATTAGCATATATATATATATATATATATATATATATATATATATATATATATATATATATATATATATATATATATATATATATATATATATGTATGTATATGTATATATATATATATATATATATATATATATATATATATATACATATATATAAATACACATCAGCACATATATATACACCGACAAAATACATATCAGCACATATACATACAAAACTATCATACAGAAATACATATCAGCACATATACATACATACTATCATGTATAATACATACCCGGACATCTACACACCGCTGTCATACAGAATACACATCAGCGTATCTTCATACGCAACTAGCAAACAGAATACATGCACGGACATATACATACACCGTTATCATACAGAATACACATCAAACTATCAAAATACAGGATATCATACAGAATACACATTAGGACATCTACATACACGACTTGATACAGAATAAACTACACCTATATAAACTACCATCATACAGAATACAAATCGGCACACATAGGCTTACATTCAATACCATCATACAGAATACATTTTGCATATACTTTCGCTAGGAATAAATTAAGTTGCAAAATGCTAACATATAGTAGTCGCTTACACAAACATTATCTTCTACAGTGCGGGTAGATTTGAATTTCTTTTATGTTTTTTTCCGATTTAAAAGTTATGGAATATTGGACAAATTATAATATTGAAACTGGTGAGCTGTAAAAAAAAAAAACAATTGTGTTTAGAACACCTACATAATTAAAGCGTCGTATCGGCATGAGTTAAATATCACAGTAATGTATTGCAGTTGCGTCCCTTGGCAGATAAATGAAGCCCGGTTGCGTCCCCTTTGTTAGACAATGCAGTGTTGAAATACTTCCTGGCTGTGCGACATTGATGCGCCTCTCTTGTTCACTGACCTGGTGCATAAACTCCCCGTTTACAGCATGTACACTATCTCCCTTCCTGCACATCAGCAGGGGATAATATGCAACAATCCCCCCCACCACCACCAACATACACACATGTGATATCAATACACCTGCAACAATTATTTCTTGAAGCTGTTAGTGCAGTAATAAGTTATGTTTGTGTGGCGGCTATAAACTGATTTCTTGTGTGTACGTAAAATAAATACAATTTTAATGGCTTTTCTTCTGGTTTGTGTGGACATGTAAATACTTTACAGGGGCGGAACTATCATACAGCCAGACCCCGCAATGATTAGCAGTCATATGTTCTAGAAACCGACCACGCCGTATCTCTCCGGGGTAAATAATGTTACTGTAAGACTTTACACAAACGTTAATATAAAACACAATCCCCGTCTCCCACCCACAAATTACCTCCGGTAAATCCTCATATTTTAAATTAGGATCACTTTAAACCCCCCCCCCCCCCCCACCCTTTTCCATCCAACGCAAAAAAAAAAGGAATTAACACTACCCTAGTCAAAAGCTGCGTGTTACGCAATAATCCGACCTATCGAAATAGTTTCACAACCTCATTCATACACCCACCTGCCGTAGATGGAAGGTATTGCACCACACCAGAACCCATCCCACATCCTTCAAACCCAGAATACCAGCGACATCTACAACCATATTTGTCTTGTATAGACCCGATCAGGCCCCACAAAACTCAAGTGATTTAATTATGCCATTTATTTGCTTGCCCAGTAGTCCACATTCAATCGTTCTCTTGGTCTTTTCAGCGACTTTTGATAGCTTGAGTTCCTATTCGTATGTAGGCCTACATATGTAGGCCATATATTTAAATATTAGACATAAAGAAATTTTAAAAAAAAAAAAATAATATATATATATATATATATATATATATATATATATATATATATATATATATATATATATATATATATATGTATATGTATATGTAGAATACACACACACACACACACACATATATATATATATATATATATATATATATATATATATATATATATATATATATATATATATATATATATATTCATATGTAAGCCGACAGTACATGGAAAGACTGCGTGTAAAAAGGTTAAATTAATAAAGTGTAGCTAACATTGAAGGTCGTATGTGGCTTCAGTTGGTGCCGAGACATAGCGTAACATTCGAACACCGGGTAAAATGTATTGCCACACAGCAGGGTCGGAGGAGTTCTTTTCAATTTGTTACAGGGTTTGAACTGTTGGCTTGTCAACTTCGCGGGTAAGTCAAATTTGCGGTAAGTCAACTTCGCGGTAAATCAACTTCGCGGTAAGTCAACTTCGCGGTTAGTTATCTTCGCGATAAGTCACCTTCGCGGTAAGTCACCTTCGAGGTAAGTCATCTTAGCGGTAATTCAACTTCGCGGTTAGTTATCTTCGTGATAAGTCACCTTCGCGGTAAGTCAACTTCACGATAAGTCAACTTTGCTGGTTTCTGTGGCTTGTCCATCATATCAGGTAATTGTCTAATTGCAATCACCCATGGGTCATGTTTTACACATCACCCATGGGTCATGTTTTACACATCTCCCATGGGTCATGTTTTACACATCACCCATGGGTCATGTTTTACACACCTGACAAGGCCATTAAAGAACCGTGTAACTACACACTTTTAAAAGGTTAAAACAATGAAGACAAAAACAGTTACTAGTTAACAGTGTAGTAGAGTTGGTCCATCGAGACTTCCGCTGGCACATTCTAGATACCCACCTTTTTATTACCAATGGGTATTCATTCCATTCTATTTAATTTTTTGTAATGTTTAAACATTTGATATTTTAAAGGTTTTTAGATTTTTATTTTTTATTTTTATTTTTTTTAGTTATTGGTATTTTTCAGCTAAAATAATGATAATTATCTGCCAATTCGATTTTCATTTGTAAAACTTTAAACGACACACAACTAGTACACACAACTACTACACATAACAACCGCACACAACCTCTACACTCAACAACTACACAGATCTAGTAAATACAACTATTACACAAAACTATTATTCATTACAAGTACACGCATCTACTACACAAAACTACCCCATACAACTACCGCACACATAAACATCTCACAAACAGTGGCGTAGCTAGGATTTTTGGGCCCCTATGCAAAAAGTGTTAGTGGGTCCATCAGAGGCGTAGCGACCCTTCCGGGCGACCGGGTACAAACTTTCGACTTGCACGCACCCCCCCCCCCGCCCCCCCCCCCCCCGCCCTCAGACTTTCGATTTGCACGCCCCCTCAAACTTTCGATTTGCACCCCACCCCCCTCAGACTTTCGATTTGCACCCCCCCCCCTCACACTTTCGAAAAATGGCCCCTATTTGCCTTGGGCCCCTATGCTTTGCTAGCTTTACGGTAGCTACTCCACTGCTCACAAACAAAAATTACAAATATTACTTTATATCGTTCGTTATACAAAAGGTCTGTGCTACACCGTGTTTCCATTTACGAACAACAAATAGAGAAATCTGGCAGTTTTTTTTTTAAGTCTTGACTTCAAATCTAATTTTCAATAAAAATGTAATTTTAAAAAATCTTTCTATAGAAATAGGTTTGACACGATTTACAAAAATAGAAAAACACCAAGATTTTTTTTTTAAAGTTGAGCATTACCCTACTTCTAAGTAAATGCCTTCGTAATGAGAATGATTCCATTCACTATTTCTAGGACTCTTGTGAAGAAGAATTAAAAGGCATTGAACTTTTAATCTCACAGGGGCCATAAGAAAGCGGAACTACAGATCCAGTATAAAAAGGTTTACAAGTTTTCTAAAACGACTTGAATTTTTTATTTCCTTTTATCTGAGTGAAAGCACGCTGTATACCCGTGTTGTATAGAAAATGTTATTGAAAAGAACTGGTGGCGTTAAAATTTATTTTAGCTGCGTCTGACATGAGGTAAGCTAATATATTGGCATGCTGAAGAGATTTCTTAATGTAATTCGATGTCTAGAGGTATTTAATAAAACATTTCAACAGACTCTTCCGTGGGTTGAAACAGAGCAGAAAATAAAATACTGGGATATGGTGATTTGTTTAATGCTGCGCTCGACTCAACAGCCGGAGTACAACAGCCATCAGAGGTATGTAAGTCTATATCACACACACAAGTAACACACCCATTAGCGGCGGTGTGCTCCTACTAATTCTTATATTGGTGAGTTTATTTATTCATTTAAGATTATCTACGTCAGCATATTTCTCAGCAAATTATTTTATGGCTTCATTTATTTGATGGACAAATTAAAGATTTAAAAAATACGATTGGAAACGATAACATATTTAAAGTATATATATATATATATATATATATATATATATATATATATATATATATATATATATATATATATATATGTACATATATATATATATATGTATGTATATATATATAGCATATATAGAGCCTATATATATAGGCTATATATATGGACTATATATATATATATATATATATATATATATATATATATAACATTATCTACTTTGGTAAGGAAATTTTAAACGTTTTAGAATATATGTTGTAACCAGTGTTTCTTCCTAACTTTTCTCTCCGGGGGGTGGGGTGGAGGGGCACTTAATATTTTAAAGGGGGGAGGGGGGCGAACACTGGTAAAAGTATATGTTTTCTATATAAATTCCATTTTTAAACACTAAAAATACATGTAGTTTTATTGCATTTTAAGCTGACTGCAATGCCAACAGAACAGGTCCAGAAACTCGCAACATGTTTTAGTAAGTAAATTGTGGATGTGTTCTACAATATACGTTTATCTGGTTTGTGTTAATTCAAGTGTTTTTTTTTTTAATAAGCTCTATGCAAGTATGTATTTGGTTATGTTTTTGTCAGCGTGGTGATTCAAAACACATGTGTCAAATGACATGCTAGGCATGCGTAATCGGTGGAGCGGGAGGGGTGGGGGGGGGGGGGGCGGAGTGCATATGAAACTCCGAAAACCCGAGTTTGAAACTAGAGCATTTGGTTCATGTTAGCAACACATCGAGGGAAGATATCTCTATTATCAAACAGTATTTGCGTGTAGTTTGCTCTTGGTTTGACAAAGGTTATGGAAGCTAATACAAATAGAAAGGGCAGGATAAAATCATAGTAAATAGGTGTATTGCGCATTACAGATAGAGACATTCATTTCATAGCTCTGCTCGAGGAAATCCCTTCAAATATTATAATAAAGAACGAAAAATACGTCATACTGAATACAAAAGCTTCTGAAATCAGAGTATATGGGCGTATAGCATATAACATATTGACATATGATGCCTAGCTCTGTTGGAGAAACCCCATTTGAACATTATAATAAAGAAAGAAAAATACATACTTAATCCACAAGATTGTATTAGATTAAATCTTGTTTTTTTTTCCAGTTCTATTCATTTGTTCTTGTATGGTAACACGGATCAAAATATTTCCCTAAAAATCTTTTTTTTCTGTAGTTGGTGATCGGAAGCCTCAAGTGTTAAAAAAATGCCTGACTTTCCTATTGGTTTGGATTACTGTGGTATTTTTGGGATACATGTACGTGACCTCTTCTTCGGGTGTACACATGTTCCACAGGAAGGGATTTGAACCAGGGATAAACACAACTCACATTGGTGACTTGTCGCACAACTCGACGTACATTCCCCAGCCAGGTTCATATACCGGAGCAGTGCAGACGAACTTAACTCATGCGTCAAATGAGAAAAATCTGACAATGACAACACTAGACTCATCTTTAGGGAAGACTATCAACGAGAGTCAGTTAGTTTTACAAAACAATTCAATAGAACTGCAACAAGCTAATGCTAGTAGCGTTACAAGTTGTGATTTCCCGGTAGTTGATCCATTCGATAAAGTCCTGCAGAATATCACCAAAAAATTCCCACCCATCGACTGCTCAAGTCAGACGCCACACCTTGTGTACGCACAAGACGACACGATATTCATCAACCACACCAAAGTTCGAGACTTATTTTTCACCAGGTCTACTTTCAGGCGTTGTAGGTACGAGGCTCGAGTTCGAGACGTGGATAAAAGTGATTCGAAAACAAAACTGATTTACACCAGTCCGTATTTTACTCACTCCATAAAAGTCACCCATGATTACGTTGTTGTTGTATGTTACACAAAATATAGCCGAGTTATATCCAGATCGTACTTGACATTTATCCGTAAAAAACCGAACCTCGAGTCTGAATTAAAAGCCAAGTATGAGGCACACGTTGAGCTCCACGCACCCAAAGAAACTTTGAGCGTCATGATGGTGGGGATTGATGCCATGTCCAAAAACAATTTCCAGCGTGCCATGCCGAAGACGAGAAACTTTCTTCTAGAAACTATGAAAGCTGTTGAGTTGTACAAACATAATAAATTCGGACAGAACACGTTCCCTAACGTGGTTGGTCTACTTACCGGAAGCAACGAAGAATCGCTAGTGAAACTAAATTATTCATGGGATATGCCTATGGATAATGTGAACCACGCCTTTTTGTGGAGTGCTTACGGTAATGCCGGATACAGAACTGGGATGTTCTTAGACATGACGCAGATAACGGCTTTTCATTACCAGAAGAAAGGATGGACCAACCCTCCAGTGGATTACTACTTCCGGGAGGTTGTGGTTGATTCAGAGAAGGACCGCATGATGAGAAAAAACAGCAACTGTATCGGTGACGTCCCGGACATCCGCCTGTTGACCGACTACTGGGTCCAGCTAGCGTCTTTGTTCAACAACTCCAAAACAGAGCCGTACTTTACTTACAGGTTTGTTGCTAAGTATAATAAAGCAAGAGTGGTTCTCGTTGAAATAAAACAAAAAGAATAGCATTTTCAAAATAATATTTATTGCTTCATTAGACAGGAAGAGATCTCTAAAATGATTTTCTGTTGACACCTTACTAAATCTATTTTTTTTACAGAATATATCAATATTATAAAACTAGCATAAACAGACAATTAATTGCGTGTTGAAACTGGGCGTGTGAAGGTACATATTCATACGACCAAAATAACATGGAAAAAACACGATATAAGGAGTTAAAAATTGTATTGTAGATTAGCTTGCCAAAATGTTTCCTTTGCGTCAATCTGGGGGGCTTGTCCGGGATCAGTGATGTTTAAATACAACTCGCGGTGGATAGTTTTGTCACGTTATGTTACCGTTACGACAATTGTCACAACTACCAGATATAATTGGCTAGCATGTACAAAAAGGTTAGGTATGTAAAGAATTGTAGATTTTATATAAATTTGATATGACAAATGTTGTTTTTTTTTAAATTTAAAATAGCCTATTTACGTTGAATGATGGTTATTTCCGCGACGGGGGAGCTATGTGTTACAATTTGAGGATGGGGGCTCCGGTGATTTTTGAAAAACACGCAACAATATGGGTTGGAGTAGAAAATATGTTCATATTTCGTGACACCATTTATGGACTACTCATTATTTGTATCAATTAATTCGGATCATATAGACGGGACTATTAACCAGAAGTAAAATGCTTTTTTATCTATAACAAATACAGTTTGATTATCGTGATTGATCTGCATTACTTCAATGTACATTTTTTCATCGGTTTCTCAGACTGCTTGAAACACGATCAGTAATTTCATTCATTCATTCTTTCACACCCTGTGATTTCATTAATAGAAACACACACCCTGTTATTTCATTCATAGAAACTCACACCCTGCGATTTCATTCATAGAAACTCACACCCTGTTATTTCATTCATTCATAGAAACCCACACCCTGTGATTTCATTCAATCAATTTTTTCCACCAGTTTCTCAGCCCGCTTGACCCACGACGATGAGAACAGAGCCAGCGCTGCTGATGAACTTTATTTCCAATTTTTACAAACTTTGGTGGACAAGAAAGTTCTAAACAACACGGTGCTTGTCTTCTTCAGTGACCACGGGCCCAGGTTCGGGGCCATAAGGTAATATGGGATTATCGGGGTCGATTTCCTCCAATATAATTTGGTATTACGAGTCAATATGTTATGAGGTGTATGATGGGCAGGCTCTGAATAGGACTTGTAAGTTTTAAAAAGTAAGTCACCAAGTTCTCGTTTTCGCCTATCTCCCTGTCTAACAAGATTTCGAATTTGAAGTGGAAGAGACCGAGACTTACAAGCCATATTCAGCCCTCGGTTGTTTCTGGATTTGCTTCATAGACTTTTGGAGTTTTCTAATATTTGGTATAATTTATTAATAAGATTTATGCCGTATATAAATATTTTTTTTTTAAATTAACTCACGTCCCTCTAGTCTATAGAATACACTTCATTAAAATAACTTCACCTTATGGATGTTTTATTTTCTCTCTCTCACACCATTCTATAATATAGGCCCGTATATGAGCTGTTTTTTTTCATTTTACAAATGGTCTTGTGACCCCACACAGGTCAACTTACAACGGCATGCTAGAAGGCCGAATGCCTTTAATGTTCCTCGTGTTCCCGCCGTGGTTCCATACCAAATACCCGCAGCTGATGGAAGTTGTGAAAACCAACCAACATCGTCTGACGACCCACACGGACGTCTACGAGACTTTGATTGACCTGCTGTACTTTAAAGCAGAGGCCGGGAAAGGAAGTCTCAACCAGCCTAGGATCAGCTTGTTCAAAGAGATTCCAGAAGGACGCACGTGCCAGCACGCGCTGATTCCAGTCGAGCACTGCGTCTGCAACGGTTTTTCAAAAGCTGAAATAACCTCAACGTTGACTGAGTTTCTCGGCCGAAAACTTGTCGTGCGAGTGAACGACTACATTACAGGAAAACTAAGGGCTCGCTGCTCCACGTTACACTTAAAACAAGTCACAAACCTCATAGCAGTCCAACCCGACAGTTCCGGGTCCAAACGATACCAGGTCACCGTACTGACCGAGCCAAACAGCGCCATCTATGAAGGTATTGTAACAATCAACGACCACAACGAGGTGGTGGGTACGAGTGACGTCACGAGACTCAACCTCTACAGGGGTCAGGCGGAGTGTATCAGTGACCCCAAATTACGACCGTTCTGTTACTGCAAAAGAAAACGCGGATAAAATTCAATTCAAGATTTTGGCTACTTGTTACTTTAAAACTATTCCAATTATATCCGAATACATACTTGTTACCAAACCAGAGGCGTAGCGAGGGGGGTGGTGGTGGGGAGGGGGGGTGGGACATATGTCCCCTGGCGCCTACCTAAGGGGGCGCCAAATGGGTTAGGAACAAATAAAAATCTCATTTTAGCTGCAGATTTGCATTATAAATATAAAAAAATATATGGGGGGGGGGGGTGCAAATTGTAAGTTTGGGGGGGGGTGCAAATCAAACGTTTGAGGGGGGATGCAAATTGAAAGTTTGAAAGGGGTGCAAATTGACAATTGAAAGGTTGTACCCGGGCGCCGGGAAGGGTCGCTACGCCTCTGTACCAAACGTCTTTATTTAATTAATCTGCAATTTTGTGAACTGAATTCAATCTGAAGTTAGACTGATATTTTTCTAAATTAATTTTGGCCATTTTAAAATGTGTATATTTTATAACCATTGTATACATGTAAAAGAAACTATGGACGTAGTCTATGCTTTCACAAGCCAAACTCTTATCGTGCGTTCTTTCTTTTTCCACAGCCGATGAATTGTAGTGCCGCTTTTTGGATATGTTGTTAAATTTCCAGTGGCTCAATGTATGCCTCTTTATCACTATTGTTGTATAAATCATACAAAAGAGACGGTACTTGTCAATATTTTACATTCCATGTTTACTAATAATTAGCATTACTTTATGATGCCAAAACTTAATACCAATGGCTTTCATTTTTGCACTTTGTATAAATATATATATATATATATATATATATATATATATATATATATATATATATATATATATATATATATATATATATATATTTATATATATATATATGTATATATATATATATATATATATATATATATATATATATATATATATATATATGCGTGCGTGCGTGCGTGTGAATGTGTATGTGTGTGAATGCGTGTATGCGTGCGTTTGTGCGTGCGTACCTTTCTCCTTCCTATCGTCATGTCCGCAAAAAAAGCTAGACCCCCCCCCCTTTCGCCTACCTAAAATTAAGTCACAATATAAATAAACCGGGAGTGATCTCCCCTAAACTTTCTCGAATATTCTTATATAAAATAACAGGGGATGGGAACTCGGGCTATAGACATGATTTTTAATCCATTTTAAATACTTAAAGTTTTAAAAATAGAATAAAATCTCGTAGACAAATTAATTGCACACCAAGTGAACGCGAATAAAAAAGCGCATAATAGTGCGCAATATTATTAGTACTTTTAAAATTTACATTAGTTTTTTGAGAAATCGGAAGTAGCGGTCAACGAAAAATTCTCAAAATTTGACAGAAGGTAGAGAATTAGATCTTTTACTTACATATCAAATTTCATTTATCTATCTGAAATAGTACTCAAGTTATAGGCTTTTGAAAAATTCAAAGTAGAAAAAGTACCACTTCCGGTTATCCGAAATCGCTCAAAAGTTGATACGAATCTACGATTTTGATAAAATACTTGTATATGAAATTTCATCAACCTAGCTGTAACGGTACTCAAGTTATCGTGTTTACACACGGACACACACACACACACACACACAGACACACAGACATACGGACAAGATTGCAAAATTATGTTTTTCCGTATCAGTGAGATGTAAAACGTCGAGATTTGCAACAATCTCGATTTTTTTTTTTTGCACGATTACAAGACTTTCTCTATACTTCGTATATACGAGAAAGTAAAAAGCATTTTTTTAAAAACATCAATCTTTTTAAATATCTAATCAGCTTTATGTCTATAATAATTCACACAAAATAGTTTTTTTAAACACAATATACCGGCTTTATAGCACTGCTTTGAAAATAAACCGTGAGTGATCTCCCCTAAACTTTCTCGAATATTCTTATATAAAACAACGGGGGATGAGAACTCGGGCTATAGATGTGATTTTTAATCCATTTTAAATACTTAAAGTTTTAAAAATAGAATAAAATCTCGTAGACAAAAGATTGCACACCAAGTGAACGCCAAATAAAAAAGTGCATAATAGTGCGCAATATTATTAGTACTGTCCGTATGTCTGTGTGTCTGTCTGTCTGTCCGTGTGTAAACACGATAACTTGAGTACCGTTACAGCTAGGTTGATGAAATTTCATATATAAGTATTTTATCAAAATCGTAGATCCGTATCAACTTTTGAGCGATTTCCGATAACCGGAAGTGGTACTTTTCCTACTTTGAATTTTTCAAAAGCCTATAACTTGAGTACTATTTCAGATAGATAAATAAAATTTCAAATGTAAGTAAAAGATCTAATTCTCTACCTTCTGTTACATTTTGAGTAATTTCCGTTGACTGGAAGTAGTAATTTACGCTACTTCCGATTTCTCAAAAAACTAATGTAAATTTTAAAAGTACTAATAATATTGCGCACTATTATGCTCTTTTTTATTTGGCGTTCACTTGGTGTGCAATTAATTTGTCTACGAGATTTTATTCTATTTTTAAAACTTTAAGTATTTAAAATGGATTAAAAATCATGTCTATAGCCCGAGTTCCCATCCCCTGTTATTTTATATAAGAATATTCGAGAAAGTTTAGGGGAGATCACTCCCGGTTTATTTAACTTTATTTGATTATCAGTTTAGCTATATTTGTAAATGAATAAAAAAAAATGTTTTTAAATCAAACAATGCAGGAACCTCTGTCGTGGAGAAAAAATGGTATTTATTGTAGAGTTGTTTTTTTTTAAATTTATTTGTTTTTTTTTTTTAATGTTTAAATATTGTTCCGTTTTTGTTTATTTTTACCATTAACATTGTTCCATCTTTTTACATAGGCTTGTGTCGCTTTAAAAATGTTAATTATTTCGTCTTTTTTGCAATAACTAGAGAGGTTTTAGTGCTGTTTCGCCTTTTTACTCTTTGTCGTTCTTAATATTGTTTCATCTTAACTCTCAATACATAAACATGTGCAGCAGCATTTTTTTCAGCATTATAGCACACATAAAGGGATATCCTTTAACACAATAAAGTATTACAAAGCCCAGAGGCGAAGCGAGGGGGGGGGGGGCGGAGGGTACATATGTCCCCGAGCGCCGACCCTAGGGGGCGCCAAAATAGGTAGAAAAAATTTAAAAGCTCATTTTAGCTGCAGTTTTGTTTTATAAAAATAAAAGGGGAGAGGGTGCCAAATTGAAAGTTTGTCCCGGGCGCCGGGAATTTTCGCTACGCCTCTGACGTAGCCCGTTGCTTTGCTTTCATGTCTTTGTTCACCCAAGAACAGTTGATGTTTGAGTTTCTTCTTCTAGAATTTAGAGGGTTGCTGTCCCCAGCTAAACGGCATCATCTGAGGAATGATACTTCTTTCTAACATGTAGGCCGACTTTCGTTCAATTAAAACGGTTTACTTATATTATACACAACACTATTGATTTTTCTTTCTAAACCTGAAGATTAAAATATTTCTAAAATGGGGTTATTGTTTTCTACTACGGTATTTTGTCAAAAATACTAGCCGAGGATAGGAAGAAATGGAGGGAAATGGTGGAGGCCCTATGCTCCATAAGGTGCAAAGAGGACCAAGTCAAGTAAGTAAGTCATTGTATTTTGTCAAAAGATTGAGCTTCATGTCCCAAAATTAAAGTGAAGATGAAAAAAAAATATTTATTTTCAATTAAAACGGCTTTATTAAAGGTTTTTAATCATGGCCTGCAATATCAGAATCTATGAGAGAGACAATAATTCTTATTAAAAATATGCTAGCAACTACAGCATGTATTTGTTTCTTTTCTTTAAGTTATAAAAAATAAAAACAACTGGTCACATACAGAGGCGTAGCGACCCTTCCCGGCGCCCGGGGACAAACTTTCGATTTGCACCCCCCCCCCCTCGAACTTTTGATTTACACACCGCCCCCTCAAGCTTTCAATTTGTTTTTCCAACCCATTTTGGCGCCCCCCTAAAGTCGGCGCCCGGGGACATATGTCGTCCGTCCCCCCCCCACCCCTCGCTACGCCTCTGGTCATATAAACACAAGTAGACAAACCTCACGACCAAAGGCTAAGGTAGTGACAAAATAAGGGACGCAACCAAGCGAGATTTACGCGGTTGCGTCTCTTGGAGAGACATGCCATACGTCTTACGTATTTGAACGTTTGCGCACCAACATCGCGCCAAAGTATATATTTTTGCAAAAGGTATTTACGACTACACACATTTTGAACATAAAAACACAATATTGAGCTCTTCAGCGAATGGGTTTAATGTTACGATGCTAAGCTAAATTAAAATTGACAGTTCTAATCAAATCACTCGAAGTATGTTCAATGAATACATTTGTTTTCTGACTTAATAAATCAAGGTAGTATTTTACCTGATTCACAAAACATTATCGTTGTATCATGGTTAGGATTAGATTGCTGACTGGGTTTGTTAGCTCAGGTTTATACCTGTGGTCTCCAGCAGGAATAGATCTAGATCTAGCCTAGTCTTGAATCCTCCAGTCAGTGGCGTCGCTAGGCCGTGTGTCACCCGGTGCGGCACTTCATTGTGACACACACACACACACACACACACACGCACGCACGCACGCACACACACACACACATATATATATTTATTTATTTATATATATATATATATATATATATATATATATATATATATATATATATATATATATATATATATATATACATGTGTGTGTGTGTTTTTGTGTACGTGAGTGTGTGTGTGTGTGTGTGTGTGCATGTATTGTCGGCCTTTTAACTCTAGTTATTTATTAACTGAATTGGTAAAAATGCAGTTTTCTTCTATACATTTTGCAATTTTTGCAATTTTCTTTTGGTGTCACCCCCTTCTTCTTCTTCTTCGTTCTTAATTATTAGTGTTGAAGCGGATCGAGATTTATCTGCCACTAGGTTTGAACTCGAGACTTTGTTCGAATTTATCAACCATGAGCTTTTTGCTGACTCGACCACGCCTCCAACACAATTAAGCGTTACGTGTCAACTAGTTTTGCGCCATTGAGGCTATTGACTCCGATTTCTGCCTGCTTTTCTTTTTGGATTGGCTTCCATAGCCTTTGTCCAACCAAGAACAAACTACAAGGCAGCAGTTGTTTAATTTTGGAGTTGTCTCTCCTAGAAGAGTGACTGTCCCCAGCTTACGAGCCTCATCTGCCCGAGGGTTCGAACTCGAGACTTTTCGGTTTAGCAGGAGTCACCCCCTAAATGGTGTCAACCGGTGCGGTCCGCACCCCCCGCCCCCGCCTCGCGACGCCTCTGCCTCCTGTTGATATTCCGAAAATCGTATGCGGTGTTACTTCATTAAATGTGTTAACAAAAGCTTTTCTACTCGATGATTTTAGTATTTTTGGTAACTAAACAATTTTTTTAAAGCCATAAAAACTTGTTTTTTAATCTACTCAATGAAATCAGAAATAAACATGGCATAATGTATATTATGGAGGAGGGGGGGGGGGAGAGAGACACAATTAAAATAATTTTTTCCATATAAATTCTAGTAATTTCGTTGGCTTGGGGGGGGGGGGGGGTTAGAAGACGTTCATCAAAAAGATGCCTGAAATCAAATCAGCTGCTGCTATATGATCGATGCGATTTCAAAATAAACTTATTCTTTTCGAATGAACAAATTTTCTTTTTGAATTCGCTTCCTTAGCCTTTGTCCAACCAAGAACAAACTACAAGGTTGTTTGATAATGGAGTAGGCTCTCCTAGAAGAGTGGCTATCCCCAGCTAACGAGCCTCATCTGCCCGAGGGTTCGAACTCAAAACTTTCGGTTTAACAACCATGAGCTTTACCGACTCGACCATGCCGTGTTTGTGTTTGGTCAAAAATCGAACGGTTTTGTCTTCTATATTTCTATAGCCTAGCTCCACTAGAAATGCTATACCAACACTCACTGTACATAAAAACTTCTTTTTCATCATTTTCGCCACATAAAATTTTGTAATATGACTTTTTTTCCATTTCAGGATGGTTTCGTTTAATAAATGCCGCATCAGTCAAATATGTCGTAAGTTGTTGTTGTGTTTTCATAACGTCGTTACACTTTAAACGTAGACCTTTTTATGTGCGGTCTTTGATTTATGTTTCGCTCAATGTCGTCAAAAGGTCTGGTGTCACTCGGTGCTGTAATTGAGAGTGTCGACATGGCGCATTTTTGGTTTGGTGTCACCCCTTATTCTATTTTTTTTTCATTTATATTTTTCATATATATGTGTATGTGTATGCGTATGTGTATGCGTATGTATATATATATATATGTATATGTATATGAGTATGTGTATGAGTATGTGTGTGTACGGCTATGTATATATATATATATATATATATATATATATATATATATATATATATATATATATATGTGTGACCGAGTCTAGTTGCATCTTCTGCTCGACAACGCCAAATGTAACGAGTCTATTTGCTTGTAGTGCCAAATGTTAACGAGTGTATTTACTCAGTCTACACAACATCGACCACAATATAGATACTCGAAGATGCAGGTTTACCATTGATCCTTTTATTACATGAATCAAAAAGAAATGCTTCACAATAATATAATGAATCAACTGACCCCCAACCGTCCTCACTAGTCTTCACATAACCGAATGCACATGTCTATCGTCCCTATTAACACAATACGTCTACAACGTTCAGTAACCAACTTGATACTGCCACACTTCTACTCCTTGACTGACTGACTGACTCGTTCTCAGCCGTCGCCTTACTATATCTCCCTTCGTATTCGTAATCGGATTCGTAATCGGATTCGTACTCGTATTCGTACTCGTATTCTAATCGTTGCATCAGAATGTTAATTACGCCGCTTCTGTCATACAGTCCGATTAATAAGCCATCTGCACTGTTACGTCAGCCTGTGAACTGCGCAGCGGCTTTGTGATCGTTATCAGCCTAACACCTGCACTATTGCGTTGTTATCGTCTCTGGTAACTACACCTAGTTACATCCACCGCCGCCTTTTTTTGTGTGTTTTCAACCACAAACAACGCTTGGTAGGTGCACTTCTTAAATGTCAATCGCACCATCGTAAAAAAATTTATTGTTCCATTCACTGTCAATGTCGTCACATTCGTAAAAGATTGACAGTTATCCCTATTTCACATATCAAATGTGTCTACATCATATTCCTCAGACACAAGGCAGTTCTAGAATTCACATCCACCTTTTTTCGTTTGGTGCCTTCACCAGTTCACTTTTATAACTTTTTGAACAGTCTGTTCTCATACCAGCGCGACCATGAAAGAATTGATGGTTGCTGACGAAAAATTTCGTATTCTTTCTGTTTCTCAAACTTCTCCGCGGACCACTTATCTGATGGTCTACTGTCTCTCTGCTTCTGGGAGGATCGGGATTCTCATTGTTGCCGTTATCCTCCACATGTGTATCGCTGTTGTTCTGTTGATGGTGACATGGTTCCGGGATGGGTATGAGAATTTCCGTTGTAGTTTCCGGTTCCCTAATTGTCTTAGGTTTCTTTGTGTGTAAATGCTCCTCTTGCCGATGCCAATATTTCTTTAATTGAGCAATATTCGCCCACCGATCCGGTTTGGTGTGATTGGTGGGTCTTATCTTAAAGGGGCCACCGGCTATTTTAGGCATCTCCACGACTTGCCATATCTCCTGTCCCCAGAGGTCGTGGATTTTGTTTCTGCCTAACGGGTGGCTACGCAGTAATACCCTGTCGTTCAGTTTGAGTGGCGGGTCCTTTGTCTGTACCGGCGGTTCCCTTCGCCGTGCTTCATGTTCTAGTCTTTCCTGTACCACCTTGTACATTTCTCTAATTCGTCTCATATGTTCATTCACATATTCTAGTGTGGTGTATGAGCCAGTCATACTCTCCTTTTTTCCTAGGAACAAGTCAAGAGGGAGTCGAGCCTCCCGTCCGAACAATAACATGTGTGGCGAAAAGCCGGTTGTGGCATGGGGGGTGCAGTTATATAGATATACCAACTCTGGGAGAAAATCAGGCCAACGTTTTTTCTGTTCAGGTTCTAGAGTACGCAGCAAATCATGCATGCTGCGGTTGAACCGCTCGCACTGTCCGTTTCCTTTCGGATTAAATGTGGTTGTTCTAGATTTGTTGATCCCGTAGTGGCTGCACAGTTGGTTAATTACTTCTGACTCAAAGGCCCTTCCTTGGTCAGAGTGTAATTGTCTTGGTATGCCATATTTGATGAACCAATGTTCTATTAAGACCTTTGCCACTGTTTTGGCCGTCTGATCTCGTGTGGGCACCGCAACAGTCCATTTGGTGAATACATCAGTCATTACCAACACATGTTCCGTCCCATCCGATGATTGCTCCAACGACGTAAAGTCCATAGCCACAATCTCTAGTGGTTTTGTCGCCAGTAAGTGTCCTGATGGCTGTCTCATTTTAACCACTGGCATTTTCGCATGCTGACACCTCACACAAGACTCACAATGGCGTTTGACCTCCATCTCCATATTGGGCCAGTAACACCTCCGTCGTAATATTTTGTGCGTCCTGTCCTGACCCTGGTGTCCTGCCCTGTCATGTGCCAACCTTAGCACTTCTTCTCGTAACTGTCCAGGCACCACCACCTGGTGTATTGTCCCATCTATTTGGTCATGAATTCTCCGCATGAGAACACCATCCTTTATACTGAGACGGTCCCACTGACTCAGTAGTTTCTTTGTTTCCCGACCAAACTGTTCTCTTTCCCTTCTTCTTGGGAATTTTTGTTCCTGGACGTGTTTCAACAGCGGCTGTAAGCCACTATCCGTTCTCTGGGCATCTCTTATCTCTTTGTGATTAAGGCAATTAAAATCACTAATGTCCATATGTCCGGGCTCTGTGGATATGTGCTCCACCCCGGTCTGCCCGTTTTGCATCACTTGCACCCCGTGAGGGATATCTGTTGACGCTTTGACCTCACATATTCCTGTCAGCGTTTCTTCCTCATCGCCCGGTCTCTCGTAAGGATTCCTTGATAAGGCGTCCGCATTGCCATTGGACCGCCCCGGGCGATATTTTATCTCCAGGTCAAAGAGTGCCAATTCTGCTGCCCATCGCTGTTCGATGGATCCCAACTTTGCTGTCTTTAGGTGACTGAGGGGGTTATTGTCAGTGTATACCATACATTTAGCACCTAATAGATAGTCCCTGAATTTTTCAGCCACAGCCCATTTTAATGTCAAAAGTTCTAGTTTCATGGCGCTGTAATTTGTCATGTTCTTCTCTGATTCCTTTAGAGCTCGACTGGCATACGCAATAACCCTGAAACCTTGCTTTTGTTGTTGTGATAGTACAGCTCCCAGACCTTTAGAGCTGGCGTCAATTTCTAGCCGAAATGGTTTGTCAAAGTCTGCGTATCCTAATATCGGCGCCTCTGTCAAAGCCTTTTTCAGTAGCTTAAACGAGTTCAGGCATTCCTCAGTCCATAATTCACCTATCAGTTGTGTTTTGCCTTTCTTTTTCTCCTTACTGTGTTTCTTTGTCATTTTGTTTACCAAGTCATGCAACGGTGCGGCAATTTTTGCAAAACCAGGTACAAATTTTCTATAATAGGAAGCAAAGCCCAAGAATAATCTGACCTCTACTGTGGTTGTTGGCTGTTTCCATTCTTTAACAGCTGCAATTTTATCTGGGTCAGTGGCGATGCCATCCGACGAAATCACATAACCCAAAAAACGTACCGATTTCAGACCGAAGCAGCATTTGTCTGGGTTCAGCTTTACTCCTATGTCTCTAAGACGGAGAAACCTTTGTTCTAATCTTTCTAGATGGTCCTCCCAAGTTTTTGAGTAAACTAGTATATCATCCAAGTACACCAACATTATTTGAAATAGAAAGTCACTCATAGCACTCTGCATTACTCGCTGGAATGTAGCAGGTGCATTAGTTAGACCAAACGGCATACGGGTCCACTCGTACAGTCCTAGTGGAGAAGTAAATGCAGTCTTATGTTGATCGTTGGGGTGCATGGCCACTTGGTGGTAGCCGCTAGCCAAATCCAAGGTAGAAAAAAATCTTGCTCCCCCCAACGCATCAAGACATTCATCAATACGAGGCAAGGGGAATGCATCCCTTCTTGTGATATTGTTCAATTTCCGGTAATCACAACACAGTCTTATCTCCCCTGACTTCTTTTTTACCACTACTATCGGTACCGCATACGGGCTCGTGCTGGTTGTAATAATTCCCTTTTTTACCGCAGAGTAGTGACTTGGTGGTAATCTTCGATAAGGTTGCGCCACAGGCTTGTCTTGTAGTAAGGGTATCTGGTGTTTTATTACTTCCGTGTAACCCAAATCACCCTCGTACGAGGCAAATATATCCCTGTACTTATTCAGTAATTCATTTAATTTTGGGTCCTCAGTTTCCGGGAATGTATATGATCGGCCATCCTCTTTCTTCACCTCGGCCGTCACATTGACCGACCTAATTGTTACTTCATTACTGCTGGTATTGCTCAGTTCGATGCACTGTGCCGACCTTTGTACCTCGACGTTCTGTGGTACTCCTACCAGAGTGTTAGGCGGTATAAAAATTTCCTCATCCAAAACATTTGCCACTAATCCTTGAACTAGTCCATTTTCCGCTGATGTGTATGTCCGCAGTAACACGACGCCTGCCCTCAGTGCGGCGCCACATGGTTCTATCATCACATCACCATTCACGCTTCTATCACCAATTTGTAATGTGATTGCCTTGACCGTGTTTGCCGGGACTGATATCCTTCCTCTGGTCTTGGCAAACCTGGCCAACTTGGATCCCCGACCTGGTGTGGTCGATCCGACAATATTTGTAAGAAATTCTGGCAACCGGCCAAGAATATTCATGCCCAACAGGCAAGGTATATTTGACACATTTGTCTCTAGGTTGTGTTTCGTAACGAACACCCCAACCTGCTTCAACCTATGTCCCGCCACCACGACATCCGCCAGAAAATAACCACAGTATGGAATGGTTAGTCCATTAGCTGCCGTTAGGCGCATGCATGTGTCAGACCTCAACCTATGGTCTTTTCCTTTCATCCATTTGGTGTAAAAATTTTCCGTAATTGTCGTCACCTGGGAGCCTGTATCCACAATTGCCTTCACCGCGATGTCCCCGATCGTAATCATCATTTCGGGACAGACTCCCATCATTTTGTTTCTTGGGCCATAACCTCGCCCCTCTGTAGCCTGGCCCTGCCTTACAGAGGACGACCGTTTCCCTGACAGTACCGTGCCATATGTCCGGGTTGTGAGCAGGACAAGCAAATTGGTCGACCGTCAGCCGTCCACCGGAGCGATGGACCGGCAGGTCGCGGCTGTCCAACCCGTCCCTGTTTTGTCCCGTTTTTGCCCTGATTCTCAGCTGTTGACCTGCTTTCTAACCTCTCCAACCGTTGGTCAACCTTATCCAGGTGGGCCAACAGTTGAGCCATCATGGTTTCCATCGTGCCGGTCCCTGTGGGTGGGGATTGTTTCTGTTCCGGCACAGAGACTTTGTCTACCGAACAGTTCGATTGGTCCTCATCCTCGGACCTGCGGATCGCTGAGTTCCTGACCTGAAGGAAGGTCAACTGTGGGTCTTTGTAGACCTCTTCTTTCAACTCTCTCCTTAAGATGGGGGTTGCTAGCCCCTCGATGAAATGGTCCCTCAGTAGGCGCACTTCAATGTCGGGTATTTTGCCCTTTACCGCATCAAAGGCCCTGTTCATTCGGTGTGAATATTCCATCACACCCTCCGCCATTCTCTGCTTTAATCCTACGAAACCCGATAGCAGTTGCGATCCCGACCGTCTCTCCCCATAGGTCTCCATAATTAGATCCAGCACCTTATCTGGATCTGATTGGATGGTTTTATCGTGGCATTTGACCTCTGCCCTAACCGTCTCCCCTATACTGCCCATCAGCAGTCTTAATCTTTCCTCTGGTGACATGTATCTCGAGGCCCAGGCCGCTTTGACCTCTTCACTGAACCTGTTGGTTAAAGCTGGATCACCGTCCCCGTAAAATTTGTTAATGTGGGACTCTCTGGGCAGGACCACAATATGGGTCTGCTTCTCGTCCAGAGTAGACATTATAATTTTTATTCCTTGAGTAAAAAAAGAAAAGACCTTTCTTACCGTGTGTGTATGAAAAATTTTCCTCGTTCCTCAATTTTCACTGTTCCTGAATGTCCGAATTCACACACACACGAACCACAGTTATGAACTGAATCTAGGTTGATAATGGGTGCCTAAAGCGGCTGGTCTAGTTGAATCACCCTGCTCGCAGCGCCAAATGTGACAGAGTCTAGTTGCATCTTCTGCTCGACAACGCCAAATGTAACGAGTCTATTTGCTTGTAGTGCCAAATGTTAACGAGTGTATTTACTCAGTCTACACAACATCGACCACAATATAGATACTCGAAGATGCAGGTTTACCATTGATCCTTTTATTACATGAATCAAAAAGAAATGCTTCACAATAATATAATGAATCAACTGACCCCCAACCGTCCTCACTAGTCTTCACATAACCGAATGCACATGTCTATCGTCCCTATTAACACAATACGTCTACAACGTTCAGTAACCAACTTGATACTGCCACACTTCTACTCCTTGACTGACTGACTGACTCGTTCTCAGCCGTCGCCTTCCTATATCTCCCTTCGTATTCGTAATCGGATTCGTAATCGGATTCGTACTCGTATTCGTACTCGTATTCTAATCGTTGCATCAGAATGTTAATTACGCCGCTTCTGTCATACAGTCCGATTAATAAGCCATCTGCACTGTTACGTCAGCCTGTGAACTGCGCAGCGGCTTTGTGATCGTTATCAGCCTAACACCTGCACTATTGCGTTGTTATCGTCTCTGGTAACTACACCTAGTTACATATATATATATATATATATATATATATATATATATATATATATATATATATATATATATATATATATATATATATATATATATATACATATATATATATACACATATATATACACATATATATACATATATATATACACATATATATACACATATATACACATATATATACACATATATATACATGTGTACCTAATTTGATTTCGTCAGGGACTTCTACAATAGTCAACCGCGAAAAGCTTTTCCTCCTCTTTTGCTTGACCGTGACATTCTTGTGGACTCTACCTTACCTGTACTTCTCCCTGCCGAGAATCGTTTCCAGGCGCTACCGGCCCGTACCCTTCAGCCCGCCGGTCAGCACCCAGCCAGCTTGCATGTTCCCTGACCTTGACCCGTATGACCCCAGCGTGATAGATGTCTTCAGAAAAACCCCGGCCTTCCGCTGTAAGGGAGAGATACCGTACTTCACCACTGTGGGCAACGGTATCGTGATGGTCAATTTCTCCAAAGTCGCTATGGTAACCCAAAATATCTCCAACTTCAAGCATTGCCGTTACTACACCCGTGCCCGAGACCCGACCGGTCCGGACGACCGGGCAATCCAAACAATCCGGGTGAGTCCGTTTTTTAGGAACTCAATTAACTTAACCGGAGATGAAGACTACATATCAGTGGATTGTTTTAATATGAGGGACGTGATTATATCACGGTCGTTTCATCAAATCCTGCGCATAAAACCCCAACTGGAAGCGGAATTGGACGCGAATTTGAAAAGACATAAAAAACAGAACGCGCCGAAAGAAATCATGAGCGTGATTATATTTGGCATCGACGGCGTGTCTAAGCAAAATTTCCATCGCTCAATGCCGAAGACTAGAGATTTTCTTCTTCATACAATGAAAGCTATAGAACTCCTTAAATTCAACAAGATCGGCGTTAACACCTTACCGAATATATTCCCGCTTCTCACTGGAAAACTTTTGAGCGACGTGGATTCGTCCTGGAACTGGACACTTGGTGATAACTTCGACGCCATCAACGATTTATTTTTATGGAGTCAGTTCCGTAAAGCCGGATACAGAAGCTCTTTGATTCTGGATTTAGCGAACAACTCGGCGTTCCATTACTATAAGAAGGGGTGGAAGAAGGCGCCGGTGGATTACTACCCGCGGGAGCTGATTCTAGACACGGAGACCTACCGGAAGGACAAGTTCATGCTGTGCATGGGGGACGAGCCGGAAGTGAGCGTCTTGATGGAGCACGTGCTCCAGCTGGCGGCCATGTTTAATGAATCCACCAAGACGCCGTACTTTGTATTCAGGTAGCGTGAAGAAGTTTGTATCATCTCATCTTTTTTTTTTCGTTCGTGTCCATGACACATGGGGTAGATGAAGTAGAGTTCATCTATTTCAATGACCTCGGTACACAAGGGGTATGTCAGGTACCCATAAGAGCTGGGTGAACTGAGGGACGTCATACAGACTCGAACCCAGGATCCGAACTCGAGACTTTCGGGTTAGTAGACGTAAGCTCTACTGTTCGACCAATGTAATTACCCCAGTCATTGTTTCCCCAGTGATCAAATACGCCCTGTCTATACCCCCTCTGTTAAATACCCACATAATAAATACATACAGAAAACACATAATATGTATGATACTGATAAACTATGAAACCCGACATCCAATAGACAGAGTTTCTTCCAGACATCTCCGCCCCCCCCCCCCCCCCGAAAATTTCAACCCCCCCCCCCCCCCCCCCCAGAGAAAAATGTCTGGAAGAAACACTGCCCATAGAATGGACAGATATGACTAAACTGGGCCCACAAGTTACAACTGTGTAAGGGAATAGTTCAAAATAAAAAAAATTAATTTTAAAATTATATGATTCTCCAGATAGTTACAGTTATGAAGTCGGGTAGTTCTACAATTTAGAGGCATAAAATGCCATTCTATTTTATTAGCATTCAAATACTATTTCTGTAATAATGTATGGTCTGTCGATTGTAATACTTGTAAAAGTAATCAAGGTAGCTAAATTGTACTAACCAAGTGTAATTAAATCATGCGTGTCGTTTGGTCAGATTTGCAGCCATGTTGACTCACGATAACCCCAATCACGTCAGCGCTGGTGATGAACTTTACCTCGACTTTCTCAAAAATCTGGCCAAACAAAACCTCTTGCACAACACGCTCTTCTTGTTTATGAGCGACCATGGGGCCAGATTTGGCGATATACGGTAAGTTACGGTATTTGTTAAGTTTTGTTAAATTACGGTGAGTTACGGTAAGACAAGTTACTATTATTTATGAGCGACCACGGGGCCAGATTCGGCGATATACGGTAAGTTACGGTAAGAAAAGTTACTCTTGTTTATGGGCGACCATGGGGCTAGATTTGTTAAATTACGGTGAGTTACGGTAAGAAAAGTTACTCTTGTTTATGAGCGATGATAGCGGCTCTATTTGACGAGTTACGGCAGGACACGCTGCTCTTGTTTATAAGCGACCACGACACCAGATTTGCGAGATATGGTGAGGCCCGCTACTCTTGTATATACGTGAGACCGCATTGGCCGGCCAATATCCGAAATAAAGAAAAATTCCGGACATAGGCCGGTCAATGTAAGGTGATATAAAGAGCGCGTTGACCAACTTCTGGCTTTGACTGCAACATATTCATACATAAACATATGTTTATGTATTTTTTACCGCCCCCACCCTAACTTGCCTACATCACAGCAGCCGATAACGAAATTTTAGCATACGGTTTGGAGCCATGCTTAAAGTTACTAGACCTTCTAAGATTAGCAAGAGTATCAGGTTGGAGATCAATCAGAGTTTCTACCAGGCATCTCTTCCAGACTCTGCGCCCCCCCCCCCCCCGGAACGAAATGGAAATTATATCGAAATTATATAGAAAACATATATTTTTACCAGTGTCCGCCACCCTCCCCCGGAAATTGTTGACCGCCCCCCCCCCCCCCAAAAAAATAAATAAATATTAAGTGCCCCCTTCCCCCGTAGAAAAAAGTCTGGAAGAAACACTGTTGGAGATATAGTTTTTAATTCCCTTCGATACATTAAAATATGCAATTTCGTAAATACAGGCCTTTGTGTGATAATGTTAGCCTTTTGTTGTTTTTCTTCCCCATTCTAGAAGCACTTTCAACGGCATGCTGGAGGAAAGAATGCCGATGTTTTATCTAGTCTTTCCCGGATGGTTTCAAACTAAATACCCAAAGCTGATGAAAGTCGTGAAAATGAACCGAAAACGCCTGACAACTTTTTTGGATATTCACGCAACGTTAAAAGATATTCTCTATTTTAATGCAACAACGGGGCGAGGTGACTTGACCCAGTCTGGGATTAGTTTATTCAAGAATATTCCAAAAGAAAGACTATGCCATCACGCGCTGGTCGCAGACGATATCTGCGCGTGCAATCGCAACATCACCATGGTGGATATCTCGGAGAAGGAGGTGTCGGAGCTGAGCCAGGCGTTGGTGAGTGAGATTAGGTTCTACACCCGTCTGGAGAGAGACAGATGCGCGCCCCTGGAGCTGAAGAGCAGCGGTCGGATTGCGATGTTGCCTGTGGTCCAACACATGACTGAGCGGTATATCATGACGGTGGTGACGCAGCCTGGGGATGGCGTGTACCAGGGGGTGGTGGAGCGCTCCCCGGCGAAGGAGGGGAACGCCCTGGTTGGGAACGCCACCGGGGCGGGTGTGAACAGCCCGTGGGTGTATCGTGTGTTGGGGAGCGTCCTGAGGCTCAATCTGTACCGGGGACAGGCCGAGTGCGTGGAGAGCGTGTACCTCATGCCCTTCTGTTTCTGCCTGCGTCCGCCGTCACCATGACAACTGGTCACGAGCTGTCTAAAGACTACTCTCGGTGGCCCGCGTCTTTAGAGACTATATTGTAAGCAGAGTTTCTTCCAGGCATCTCTTCGGGGGGGTCGAAGCCCCCCGAAAAAATTTTACCGCCCCCCCCCCCCCCCCGAACGAAATGAAATTTATATAATTTATATAGAAAATATATTTTTTTAACAGTGTCCGCCCCCCCCCCCGAAGAAAGTCTACCGCCCCCCCCCCCCGAAAATTTCAAGTGCCCCCCCCCCCCGGAGAGAAGAGTCTGGAAGAAACACTGGGCAGTTTTATCTTGTTAATGAGCAACGTTTGATGGTTCAATATTGGATAATGGGAGATTAGGTGTGTAAATGGGGGGGGGGGGGGGGGTGATATGGCTTATGACACGATATAAAGTGCTTTCTGAGTGCTGAATATTTGGATGCTGTAAGCAAAAACTAGCAGACACACATGGGGGGGGGGGTGGAGACATCGACTATAGTGTTCAAACCCTCTAGTAAAAATAACAAAAAAGCAGCCATATCCGACTACTTTTTTCTAATATCCCTACACTGTTGTTGGTGGCCCACCAGAATTCTTCCTAATGTCCACACCTCACGTGGTTTGACTGAGTAAAATAAAAACAGAAACCAGGAAAAGAAATAAAATACTCACTGGCGGAGCTAGGTGGGGGGGGGTAGCACTTATAGTTACAGGTCTGAGCACTGAGTAAATCACCCGATTTGCTTACAACTGTTCCACATATTTATTTTAAATATCAAAAAGTTCATGGGGATAAAATTACAAGAGTTTTCTTAGACCTAGATCTATGTTGATGCAAATTTTGGAGAATATTAAAAAATTGAAAATGATAACTAGCACATTAGCTAGTAACTTAATGAATAATTAACTGATTAAAAAATACAACGCTTTTTATGCAAGAGCATTTTTATTGCAAAAACATTTTAATTAAAATATTTAATTAAATCTTATACAAATTATTTACACAAGTAAGGTAAATAAAATAATCAAAAAGTTGGATAAAATAAACAGGGAAACGTCTAAATAAATATGCACCAAGAATGTAATAGTATCACGTTTTAATCAACAGTCAAGTGTAATGTAGAAGCAAATAAAAAAAATTTAATTTTCTCGATTAGCCAAACACTGTAGGCTTACAGCTTGATTAGTGGATAACAAGATTTGAACCTAAGGTATAACGATTGCAATATTAAATATAAACCTTCCCAGCTCCTTCAGTGATAAAAATAGCTGCTGGAATATAAATATGTAGGTCTTGGTATCTATAAATAAAACATTAAAAAACAAGCCGGGGTATTTGGTCTTATATTCTTTTTTTAAATCACCACATAAAAATCTGATAAATAGATTTTTTTAAGGCTTTAATATAAGAATTTTTTTATTAAAATATGTGTGTCCTATTTAATATAAGTAGTCCACTCTATTTTTAAATCCCTACATTTAAATATATTCCAACCTATTTTTAAATTCAGTACATTAAAATCATTCCCCTTGTGTGTAAATATTCCATGGTAACATGGACTCAACAATAACAGGTTACAAAGTCTGCATTGTATTAAAATATAAATGTTCAATATATAGGTGGTCAAACTGCTCAGATTCACCATTAGACTATAACATCAGATTGTACATGCTTATAACAAAACATTTTTTTTTTAAATATGTAGATATTTTGTAATGAAATCAGTATAATATTGTTACTGTTATATTTTTTTTTTACTTTTGACAATAAAATACAAAATTTAACATTGTTTATTCCTGTTAGACAGATTTTCTCTTTTAAAAAATCATTTTAAAATACTCTGTTAACAACACTGTGTAAGGCCAAATTTGATTCAACTATTTTTTAAATTTATTTAATTTCCATTAGCTAAACTAGAATTTAGTTCTTTCAAACAATTGCACAATTTATATTTATTTTTTAAAAAAACTAACCAATCAGTTGAACGGAAAAAAAAATATATCAATATAAAAACTTAAACCATACTGTAGAACTGAAATAAAATTCTCTAATGAATAAATGTAATATATAAATATTTGCCATTGTTTATTTTTATATTATCCTGTGTTCTTTGATTGTCCAATCCTCAATCAGTTTTCTTATCACTACAATCCTCTAGCACAAATTTAAGTAGATGTTTGTTGAAAGCCCCAGGGCGATCCATGTCAATGGCGTGGCCGCAGTTGTCAATGATGTCAACGTGCCGACAGTTGGGCAGCTGGGACCTGAGCAGTTCAGCCCCGCTCACATTGATCAGCTGGTTGAAGGGAACATGGATCATATCTCAGCAATATTATCAACAATATTATCAACAATATTATCAACAATATTATCAACAATATTATCAACAATATTATCAACAATATTATCAACAATATTATCAACAATATTATCAACAATATTATCAACAATATTATCAAAAATATTACCAACAATATTATCAACAATATTATCAACAATATTATCAACAATATTATCACCAATATTATCAAGTCAACCAAAACATCCATCAAAGCACAGCAATCAAAACATGAGAATAAAATCATATCTCAGCAATAAAATCACAAGAATCAAACACGTAGTACGTTGCAGAAAGGGATTTATGTAAACAATACATTTTTCATATACACACTTAAACTCCTAGCCTAAACCAAAATCAAGAGTAATTAACTTGACAAAATATTATTTTTTTATTGTTTTTTACTGTATGGCCTTAGTAACACTTATTTGGGTAGAAAATAAAAAACCACCCCCCCCCCATTATCTGAAATCTACCCCATCATTATCTGGAACCTACCCCATCATTTTCTGTAACCTACCCTATCATTATCTGAAACCTACCCCATCATTATCTGGAACCTACCCCATCATTATCTGTAGCCTACCCTATCATTATCTGAAACCTACCCCATCTTTATCTGAAACCTACCCCATCATTATCTGGAACCTACCCCATCATTATCTGTAACCTACCCCATCATTATCTGTAACCTACCCCATCATTATCTGTCACCTACCCCATCATTATCTGGAACCTACCCCATCATTATCTGTAACCTACCCCATCATTATCTGTAACCTACCCCATCATTATCTGTAACCTACCCCATCATTATCTGTAACCTACCCCATCATTATCTGTAACCTACCCCATCATTATCTGTAACCTACCCCATCATTATCTGTAACCAACCCCATCATTATCTGTAACCTACCCCATCATTATCTGAAACCTACCCCATCATTATCTGTAACCTACCCCATCATCTGTAACCTACCCCATCATTATCTGAAACCTACCCCATCATTATCTGAAACCTACCCCATCATTATCTAAAACCTACCCCATCATTATCTGAAACCTACCCCAACGTTATCTGAAACCTACCCCATCGTTATCTGAAACCTACCCCATCATTATCTGGAACCTACCCCATCATTATCTGTAACCTACCCCATCATCTGGAACCTGCCCCATCATTATCTGTAACCTACCCCATCATTATCTGTAACCTACCCCATCATCTGGAACCTGCCCCATCATTATCTGTAACCTACCCCATCATTATCTGTAACCTACCCCATCATCTGGAACCTGCCCCATCATTATCTGAAACCTACCCCATCATTATCTGTAACCTACCCCATCATTATCTGTAACCTACCCCATCATTAACCTACCCCATCATTATCTGTAACCTACCCCATCATCTGAAACCTACCCCATCATCTGGAACCTGCCCCATCATTATCTGTAACCTACCCCATCATTATCTGTAACCTACCCCATCATCTGGAACCTGCCCCATCATTATCTGAAACCTACCCCATCATTATCTGTAACCTACCCCATCATTATCTGTAACCTACCCCATCATTAACCTACCCCATCATTATCTGTAACCTACCCCATCATCTGAAACCTACCCCATCATCTGAAACCTAACCCATCATCTGAAACCTACCCCATCATCTGGAACCTAACCCATCATTATCTGAAACCTACCCTATCATTATCTGTAACCCACTCCATCAATGGCTGGAACTTACCTGATCATTGGCTCCCCATATCACCTGTGTAGGTGGGGTAATGTTTGGGGCTGCGTTAAGCAGCAGATTCAGATGTTCTTCAGAGATGACAGACTTGAACACTGGTGTAACAAAAAAAATGTACCCTTAATATCATAACAATTCTCTAAATTAAAAGAATAATGAGATTATAACAGTTAAATGTATATGAATGTATGTTGCGAGTGTGTGTCTTAAAAAGGCAAGATAAATATAAAATATAGTGTGGGTGTGCGCATGCGCGAAAGGAAAGGAAGCGACAGTTAGATAGCGCGCGAACAACATGGCGATGTCTGGGAGTGAATGCGATGCTCTTATGAACCAATAAAATTATGGAAATTCCAGGAACAAGGGTTGATTTTGTTTTTGAGTGTGTGCCATGAAATAGGTAGGAGAAAAGCCTGTGACAGAGATAAACATGTGAAATCATTCAAAAATCTTTTTAAAAGTTGCTTACGTCTCAAAAAAAAGGGCAGCTTAGGCATGCGCAGTGTGAGAAACCCTTTGCAAATCTGACGATTAAAAAAAAAAAATTCAGAAAAGTATCACAAAGGAAATCAAGTTTGAGAGTAGTTCTTAAACAAAGTTATCTTTCCTACATGAGGTTTTATTTACATTCTGTAGGTCCTGAATATTTCAGATATAACCTATCAAATCCACTAATTTTTTTAAAGGATAATTTTGGTAGTGAAATAAACCCTAGCAGTATGGTCTATCAGTTTAATCCAACTCCTGAAATGACTTTACTATTTACAAAAATTACGGGGGAAAAGCTAATGCTACACAAAACATAGTAAACAACAAAGTGACTTCACTCTTGGGAAGTGAGAACATAAATAACAGGGTGACCTCCCTTGCTAATTGTTGCAAAAAAGGGTGTGAGTGTGAATACAAGCTATCCAATACTAAAATTTCATGTGATCTTTATAAAAACAACACCCACCTGGTCATTTACCCGTGTGATATTTTTATTGTAACAGCAGAGAGAGAAAAGGTTCTTCATCCCCTTCACATCAGAGGCTAGCAGAGCACAGTGGTCTATGGTAATGTTTTCTGGGCCCAGAGCCATGGCTTGCTTCAGCTGGAGGGCAAAGTTACTTTCTACTGGGGTCTCCACTGTAACAAAAGGCAAAGTTACTTTCTACTGGGGTCTCCACTGTAACAAAGGGCAAAGTTACTTTCTACTGGGGTCTCCACTGTAACAAAAGGTAAAGTTACTTTCTACTGGGGTCTCCACTGTAACAAAAGGTAAAGTTACTTTCTACTGGGGTCTCCACTGTAACAACCAAAGGCAAAGTTACTGTCTACTGGGGTCTCCACTGTAACAAAAGGTAAAGTTACTTTCTACTGGGGTCTCCACTGTAACAACCAAAGGCAAAGTTACTTTCTACTGGGGTCTCCACTGTAACAAAGGGCAAAGTTACTTTCTACTGGGGTCTCCACTGTAACAACCAAAGACAAAGTTACTGTCTACTGGGGTCTCCACTGTAACAAAAGGCAAAGTTACTTTCTACTGGGGTCTCCACTGTAACAAAAGGCAAAGTTACTTTCTACTGGGGTCTCCACTGTAACAAAAGGTAAAGTTACTTTCTACTGGGGTCTCCACTGTAACAACCAAAGGCAAAGTTACTGTCTACTGGGGTCTCCACTGTAACAAAAGGTAAAGTTACTTTCTACTGGGGTCTCCACTGTAACAACCAAAGGCAAAGTTACTTTCTACTGGGGTCTCCACTGTAACAAAAGGTAAAGTTACTTTCTACTGGGGTCTCCACTGTAACAACCAAAGGCAAAGTTACTGTCTACTGGGGTCTCCACTGTAACAAAAGGTAAAGTTACTTTCTACTGGGGTCTCCACTGTAACAACCAAAGGCAAAGTTACTTTCTACTGGGGTCTCCACTGTAACAAAAGGCAAAGTTACTTTCTACTGGGGTCTCCACTGTAACAAAAGGCAAAGTTACTTTCTACTGGGGTCTGCACTGTAACAAAAGGCAAAGTTACTGTCTACTGGGGTCTCCACTGTAACAAAAGGTAAAGTTACTTTCTACTGGGGTCTCCACTGTAACAACCAAAGGCAAAGTTACTGTCTACTGGGGTCTCCACTGTAACAAAGGACAAAGTTACTTTCTACTGGGGTCTCCACTGTAACAAAAGGCAAAGTTACTTTCTACTGGGGTCTGCACTGTAACAAAAGGCAAAGTTACTGTCTACTGGGGTCTCCACTGTAACAAAAGGTAAAGTTACTTTCTACTGGGGTCTCCACTGTAACAACCAAAGGCAAAGTTACTGTCTACTGGGGTCTCCACTGTAACAAAGGACAAAGTTACTTTCTACTGGGGTCTCCACTGTAACAAAAGGCAAAGTTACTTTCTACTGGGGTCTGCACTGTAACAAAGACAAAGTTACTGTCTACTGGGGTCTCCACTGTAACAACCAAAGGCAAAGTTACTTTCTACTGGGGTCTGCACTGTAACAAATGGCAAAGTTACTTTCTACTGGGGTCTCCACTGTAACAAAAGGCAAAGTTACTTTCTACTGGGGTCTGCACTGTAACAAAAGGCAAAGTTACTTTCTACTGGGGGCTCCATTGTAACAAAAGGTAAAGTTACTTTCTACTGGGGTCTCCACTGTAACAAAAGGCAAAGTTACTTTCTACTGGGGTCTGCACTGTAACAAAAGGCAAAGTTACTGTCTACTGGGGTCTGCACTGTAACAAAAGGCAAAGTTACTGTCTACTGGGGTCTCCACTGTAACAAACGCAAAATTACTATTTACTGGGGTCTCCACTGTAACAAAGGACACAGTCTACTGGGGTCTCCACTGTAACAAAGGGCAAAGTTACTTTCTACTTGGGGCTCCACTGTAACAAATGGCAAAGTTACTTTCTACTGGGGTCTCCACTGTAACAAAGGACACAGTCTACTGGGGTCTCCACTGTAACAAAGGACACAGTCTACTGGGGTCTCCACTGTAACAAAAGGCAAAGTTACTTTCTACTGGGGGCTCCATTGTAACAAATGGCAAAGTTACTTTCTACTGGGGTCTCCACTGTAACAAAGGACACAGTCTACTGGGGTCTCCACTGTAACAAAGGACAAAGTTACTATCTACTGGGGTCTCCAATGTAACAACCAAAGGGAAAGTTACTATCTACTGGGGTCTCCACTGTAACAACCAAAGGGAAAGTTACTTTTTACTTGGGGTCTCCATTGTAACAACCAAGGTACATGGTAAACTTCAAACCAACTAGTGCATCTACACTGAAACCACCAAATAACTCGCAGTCATAGTATCAAATTATTTTTAAAATTGACGTAATGACCTACTTGCTGGACACACCAAGGTCAGTTTGGCCACCTTCTCTGGGTGATGCGCTGTATACAGACCAGCAATAGCGCCACCTAGTGATGACCCAACTAAGTGAATCTGCTTGTTTTCCAATCCTACCAGCTTTAAGAACTGTGTAGAGAACATCAACAAATGGCAATTAGGCACCAGGCAGCAGTCAGTCAAGCTTGCAGTAAAATGCATTATTAAAAAACTTGATCATTGTGTGTTGACTAGATTTTTATGTCACAACAAAACTAAATGTTTTCTCTTATTGAATGAAAATGGTCCAGTTATTATAATTTTATTTCACTAAATGTAACTAGCCGAGTTGTAATAATTATATTTAACTATCCCGATCAGGAATAAAATATTTGTGTTATTGATTGCATTTGTTTATGTGTGTGTTTAAAATGTCAATACATTTTACTTAATTTAAAATAATCAGTATATTTGACTTTACTGTGTTCGTAATATCTAAAAGACCCCCTACATTAGACAATATCTAAAAGACCCCTTACCTTAGACAATATCTAAAAGACCCCCTCCCTTAGACAATATCTAAAAGATCCCCTACCCTAGACCTGATCTAAAAGATCCCCTACATTTGACTTAATCTAAAAGACCCCCTAACTTTCACAACCTAAATTATCCCCTACATTCTACTTTAACTAAAAGACCCCCTAAATTAACTATCCACTACATTTGACTTAATCTAAAAGACCCCCTACCATTGACAACCTAAATTATCCACTACATTTGACTTAATCTAAAAGACCCCCTACCATTGACAACCTAAATTATCCACTACATTTGACTTAATCTAAAAGACCCCCTACCATTGGCAACCTAAATTATCCACTACATTTGACTTAATCTAAAAGACCCCCTACCATTGACAACCTAAATTATCCACTACATTTGACTTAATCCAAAAGATCCCAGACCCATATGTAATATCCACTTCATTTGACTTACAGTGTTCAAAGTCTCCACAACATACTCTAGCCCTAGCTCAATATCTTCATCAGGGGTAGACGAAGCTCCATGCCCAGGCAGATCAAGAGCAAGCATATGGAGATCTTTGGGAAGCCCCTGCCAATAAAAAAAAAAAAACTATCTCAGAGAAAGAGTGACAAGAAATAATGTCTTTCAAAACATTAATGTTGTAGATGTCATGGAATAAACATAATTATGTGTTCCAATGTCCAACAAGAGAATGTTGTAATGTATAGGAAAATTTACCGAAACTTTAATTTTAAAAAAAACATGATGTAACTGGATAGGAAAAAAAAATTAAGCTGCAATGTCAAGTTAAAAAAATATTGCTTTAACATCAAAGAAATAGATTGTCATGTTATAGGAAATTTGTTTGAAATGTAATAAAGCCAATGAAAAAATAAAATAGCGATAAATACTTTAAAACATGGAATCCATTGGTCCTTAGAGGATGAAAACCCATGTACAAAAACAATGGACAACTTGTCAGGCTGCGGAACATTTTTCTCAGCATAACACAAAGTTCCACCACTATGTTTCACAAATTTTATTTTCATGCCCGCGAGGTATCTTCTAAACCTGAAAAACAAAAACGATTACCCTGATTTAGTTAGTGAACAACAGTAGAATTTGGATTTTAGTATGATTTTTACTTGTATACATAGGTCTAATTTTCACTAGTGTATGTTGGTTAACCCTACAGACTCCGCATTTATATAGTGTCCAATGTTGCTCATCATGCTTAACATTTATCAATTTATCATTACAAAACAGTATGTCATAAAATAAATATTTTAAATCTTAAAAATCATCAGAGAATATATGGAATTTGTATTTTGAGACCCCCCCCCCCCTTGAAAAAATACCTATCTGGTTCCTAGGTTGGACTTATTGGTCTAATGCAGAGATACATGATTTAAGCCAGTGACTCATACACCATACCTATATAATTATGTAACATACAGCTGACGTCCCTAAACACGATTTTTGTGAGTGGTATCTATATTAAAATATTTTTCATTTAAGCCTGTAATATTATAATGATCATTTAAAATAATGTATAACCTTATGTTTTATGATATCACAACTATGACATAAGAGCCATGTACACAACAATACTGTGTTATTTAAATATAAAATAATACTTTTCACATACCTAATCCTTAATGTTTACAATAATTATTTAACGTTATTTACAACACTACTTACATAAAACCATAGGAAACAATATGGTGTGGATAGATGTAAAACAGTAGAAAAAATCCACAGACAAAAGCCCCTATGAGGCCCAAGAGAACAAACACCAATGTTATCAAAGCAGCCATCATTGCTTCTGTTGCACTGATGTTCTTTAAGTCTTCAAAGAACTGCAGATATAAATGTTTACATTGTCAAAAAATAATAAAATGTAACAAAAAACACTGTATATTAATATTATTTTTTAGACTTTTTTTTAAAAAAAAAATGTAAGAGTTTAGCAAATTATTTTTTTTTATAATTACTGCTATCTTCTACTAACATGTAGAGTCTAATTATTAAAATATTTACACACACACAAAAATCTAAATAAAATAATAACCTGACAAAACACTACAGCAACAGCCTAATCAGAAAGAGATACACACATAAGCCACAAGGCAAAGATTTAGATAATCAAAGACAGTTCAAAATCTACATGAGATGCAAAGGGTCAAAGTCCAAAATCTAAAAATATCTTCAGATGTTGATAAAACCTTTAAAATTAGCTTTTATGAGGTTTCCCAGATTTTAAAAAAAAAATGCATTTTAACAAAAATATGAGAGTGCTGTTTTAATTCATGTAATTTGACACTTTATGAAGGGCCTAGATCTAGTAACCAGAGATCTAATTTAAACTTTATTGATTACTAAATTGTCATTTGAAATTTGAGTTACAGTTCTATGATATATAATACTGTGGCTAGTTAATTATACTAAGTGCATAAAGGCCTACTGTATACATCATCATATTTTCCTGTTCGTGTCTAGGGTAGATGAAGTAGAGTTCATCTGTTTCAATTACCTCATCATACAAGGAGATATGTGGTCAGCCCTATGCAAAGTCTCTTGTTTCCTTAACATGAGTCAGGTACCCACCAGAGCTGGATAAACTCAGCCTTCAAACTTGTGACTTTTGGGTTAGCAGTCATAAGCTATACAATTTGGCAACACAGTCCCAATTTTATATATGTTTGAACAATCAAAAAGTTAATTATAATTTTGTCAAAGTGAACTTACCTATATGATTAGACTATATTGTAAGCCTATAATAAAGTGTGAGCTACTACATTAAAGGCCTCAATGCTTTTGGCTTAATTCATTTTACCAACGGTTGATAGAGACAAGCATGAACCAGCGAAAGTGGGGGGGGGGGGGGGGGGGGGGAGACAATCTGCTATTCTGGTAACACCTGTCCCCTGTATAATAAATAATTATAGTTACAGACACATACAGAGTAAGTCATTAAAATTGTATTCATATTGTAGATCTAGCTAGATTTACCTAGTCTAGGACCTATAAGTCTGATATACTTTATATAAATATAAAGCAATATATGTTTGTCAGTCTGTCTGTTTGTTTGTATGTCTTTTATGCATTACTAAACCTTTCATCTGATCGCCATGAAACTTTAGGAAGTTGTTGAGAATACTCCTAGGGGGGTATCTGGAAAAATTTAATTCGCATGGGTGGCGCCCCGGGTGCGATGAAGTTTTGGGGAGTGGATGAAATTACAACAGAGAAGGATTCTACTAAATATAAAATTTCTTATGGGTGGTGCCTGGGAGAGTGCCATTTTTGTCAATACACAGTTTGGCACCCAGAGTTCCAGAGCGGCTATCTTAGCACTTGATATCCATTAATAAAATGGCATCCTGCATAGCAGATAAGAGGTTGTACTATATTCTGCGGTAAAACTGCAGCATATGCAGCCACAGGCGCCCATGCGATTGCATTACCCAAGGCGACCCGGGCTCCCCTGTGAGCACTATGGCACCCACATTGGTTTTAAAAAAGGCTTTACACTAAAGACACAATGGGCAACAATAGTCGTTGACTATATCAAATCAGGTGCATTCTCCGGTGCCCCAGGCTCTCCCATGAGCGCTATGGCGCCTACGTTCATTTCAAAGAGTGCAATAGAATATGGATAAAACGTAGTATGATAGTTGTTTATTAAATTGAATCAGACACGTCCGCCGGCACCCCGCACTATCAGGTGAGCTCTAAGGCACCTACCTTAGTTTTAAGGAGCATCCTACAATAATGACACAGTGGCACGCGACATACAATGATTAAACCAAGCCAGGGGCCGTATGGGGTGCCCTTGCGGTAGTATAACTTGGGGTTCACGAGAGCGCCCCTAGATGTCCCTGACACCTGGGCGGTCGTTGAAGTGTGTTCTAACTCACTATTACGAACAGTGATTAACGCTGCAATGCATGTGGACGGGCTTGCTAGTTTATTAAAATTAGGCATATAGCTCTATCTATAGACTATAGTGTATAGGCCAGGGTCTATTTAATTAATTGGTAATTAGACCCTATTTATTTAGAATATCTTGATCAAATTTAATCTAGAACCTAGATCTAGAAATCAAGTTCTTACTCACTTTTCACTTATTGATTGGGCCCTGATCCTAGTGTTAGGGCAGGGCTAGATTAATTGATTAATGATTTCTAGGCCAAACTATCAAACTAGTCTACTTATTTATAGTCTTATACTATACTCATAATACTATGACTAGGCCTACTATTTAAATTTAAATTTATTTTAAATTAAGTAGATTCTAGGCCTCTTTCTGCTAGATCTAAAAATCTATAGATGTACGTCAAAGTGAATTTTTTATGTTGACATTTTATTTTTAGACTTCACGTTACAACGCAGACCTTTGGCCGGACGAAACTGTGATTGTCAGACAGTGAAACAATCATCCAAGCTAGATTCTAGATCTAGATCTAGATAGATCTATATAGACTATAATTATAATTATTATTATATAATTATTAATTTATTAATTATATTTATAATATAGATCTAGAAATCGGTAATCTATCGTTTTGGGTACGTAAAATCGCCCGCGGCTATTAATGTACGAAAACGTTACCTCATTGTCAAGGCTGTAATAGAAGTGTATTGTGATATGTTTTTGTCAAATATTATAGATAAATGAATAATAAACCTAAATCATTGGCTAAATATATCAATATAGGCCAGAAATTAACTTTAAACAGCAATGTCTGCAAGCAAGATTTGCTATATAAACAGCAGCCATTTGTAAAATAGAGTGACTTCCGCCTGAATCTGGCGCTATAAGTCTATAAAAATAAAACTTTCACAAGATGGCTGCTATAATAAATGAGCATGGTTGCATCTGTTGGAAACATCGCTGGTGTTCATTTATTACTGAAAAGTTTTAATTAAACTGCTTAAAAACAGGTACATAAATGAAACATGGAAACATTTTTGTATTTTAAAAAACATAAATCCTCCTCAAAATGTGAAATAATTATTAAAATGTAAGGAGTCACCTGTTTTTCACATTACAAGTCGCGGGCGATTTTACGTACCTAAAACGATAGATTACCTAGAAATCTATATACTAGATCTATATAGATCTAGATCTATAGAATATATCTCAGTCTAGGAATAGGAGTAGGGGAGGGTAGTTTAAGTATAGGCTAGAGCAATAAATATTATAAATAATAATAAATAATAATAGACCGACTGGATACATTTATATATATGGATTATATGGCCTAGTTCGTGGACTCGGCTACCTGACAAGAACTAGACTCTAGTCTAGGTCACTGGGACAACTGGATTCTAGGGCAAGTTGTAATCAGTATCAGTAATGTCTTGTGTACGGGTGATCGGTACACATATTTGTTTCGTAACTTGTGATCAGGCTACTTGAAATTTTAATAATCCAAAAATATAAGGTCTAATTCCCGATAATTACTAATTAGGCCTAGATCTAGATCTAAATCTAGGCCTAAACCATAATTATTTATATATTTTACATTTACGTTTATGGTTTATATGAGAATAAAAATTGTTTTCAAAGCATGGACCCAATCATAAGAGACATTAATTTTTTTTTTAAATTACTAGATCTACATCTTGTCTATTGAAATTATGTTTGAGGACAATCCTCGGGGGTTTTAAAAAATGGAACGAAGGATATTATTATTTAAGAAGGGGAAAGGGGGGGGCGGTAGTCGGATGTTAGAGCTTTAACTGCACCCAAAGCTCAATTTTTTAAGTCTGTATGACGCCCCCTCCCCAGTACATCCAGCCCTGATGAGTACCTGACTCATGTTAGGGAAGCAAAGACGGCTGGCATAGTGCTGTATACCGAGACCGAGGTCATTGAAAACTCTACTTCATCTGTCCCATTTGTCTTGGGTGCAACCGGAAAAACATGCGATTGTATGGATAAACCCCCGATTGTCGCCTAAATAATGACTTCTATCATTGATGAATGTTTAGCCATTTTTTTTTAAGTTATTTATTTATTGTCGGCAAAATCGTATCAGCTTTAGGCATATAAACTATTCAGAGGCGTAGCGACCCTTCCCGGCGCCCGGGGACAAACTTTCGATTTGCACCCCCCTCCTCAAGATTTCTATTTGCACCCCCTCAAACTTTCGATTTGCACTCCCCCCCCCCATCAAGCTTTCAATTTATTTTTCCAATCCATTTTGGCGCCCCCTAAGGTTGACATATGTCCCCCCCCCCCTCGCTACGCCTCTGAAACTATTATACTACCTAACCTGCATCAACATTAAATTGCAGAAATACATGTCATACGTGATCGGCTATATAACTGTCACAAATGGTTTGGTGGGTGGTTTGTAAATTTTTGTTACGTTGTGTTATATTGGGAAAGGTGGCGGTGTATAACCATGTTATATACAATATTAAATCACCATGCATATTTTAGAACATACAAGGATTGGATGAATAGTGTAGTAAATTTAATTAATCGTATTTTGATGGACTTAAGTCATAAGAATACATATATTCTGGCGTATCAGGATCAGAGTTTCTTTCAGGCATTTCTCATTATCATCCCCCCCCCCTCCCCCCGAAGCACGTCCACTGGTTTAAAAAAGTATACATTTTGTAGATAAATTCTTTTTCGTTGAGGAGTTGCGGTAGACGTGCTTCGGGAGGGGGGGGATAGCAAAATTGCGTGGATAAAAGTTTAATGTAAAATTGCTCAGTTTTGAAATATGTGTGGACTCCTGAAGAAAAGAACCAAAGGTTGGCCTAGATCTAGATCTAGTACGAAGTACAAAGTAATCGAGCATTGTTCGGTTTGTGTACAAAACAAACTCCAGGGTCGGAAACCGTTTGCATATTTTTAATTTTCTGCAAGCCTACATTGAATGATTCATTTTTACATTTGTTGGTGTCAGGGAAATAAAGTTCATTAATCGCATTATTATAAATTATTGACAGGTCTACACAATAGAATCTACTTCATATCTATATATTATATTACATTAGATCTATTCTATATTTTGAGCGACTCTACAATCCCAACAGTAGATGAGTGGTAGTCTAAGACGAGTAAGAGTAAGTGTAAGAAGCGTAAGACTAAAGTAGTGTAAGAGTGTTGTAGTGTAAGACTAAGAGTAGAGTAAGAATATGAGTATGATTGAAATTTAAAATGATGACTAAGTCTTAATCTTAAATTTTTAAATAGTAAATATTACCTAAATTATAATATAGGCCTACTAAATAAATACGCTCATCATCATGTCATGCATTGTCTTTTGTTTTGCCTTTTATTTTTTATATATATAGGCCTAGGGCCTAGATCTATATACTATATATATGTCATTCCCTTAAGTTGCAGGTTTTGCAATGCTAAATTGTGGTTTGGGGGGGGGGGGGGGGCTAGAACGTAGAAATGTTATAACATATATGTAATGCCAGTGTAAGGGTCTTCAGAAGTTGTATCTAATATTTTTTTGGGACATAACTAATATAGTTTCTTTTTTAAAGTTGACTTTGATAGTAATGGTACCATAAACAAACCTAACACAAGTCATGAACTTTACTGCCATGGCATATGTAAATAGATCTATATATATATATTGACTCATGTTTGAATTATTGACACATGTGACCAAATGTTGTGAACACACGGACAACGCTTTACGGGTTATCCTGTGTGTTACGCAACACATAAGACAAACAGATTATGACAGATGGCTTAAGACACTAGTGGTATACACTAGGGGAAGGGACAGGCTACTACATACAAACAGCATTCATCCCTTTCACCCCCTTCACTCATTCACTACTCTAGACTTAGGTTAGGTTAGGCAGGATAGAACAAAGGATATTTTAGAGTTAGAATTGATAGTGGGACTTGAGATTGCTGTGCTAGATAATGCTTAGTACATTTGAAATTGAGAGGATGTAATAAGTAAGAATGTGATGTAGTTGTTGGTAGGGAATAGGATAGAGTAGCTGTATGAAGATGAGCCTGTGTTTTCCTTATGTGTGGAAATAAATCTATTTGTGAAATCATTGCCATTCATTCATTGTATGCACGTAATACGATTAACCATCACAAACTCATCACTGGCATTAAAAGAAACCCCAATCACACTGTCTTTTTACCACAGTATAAATGCAAAGGCTATAAAATACATTATTTCCAAGGGATGCTTAGTTATAAGCTTATATTCTTTAAAAAATAAAAACATTTTATTTTCAGATTATCCAGTTGAAAAGGGGCAAATTCACAAAATTTGACAGTGTTAGCCTTTTACATAGTTGACTGGTTCCTCTTATCATCATGGTGTTGTTTGTTATAGTCGGTGGATATATTTTAACTTCCATGTTACTGTTGAAATACCCCAAACTTTTTCATCGAAAAAAATGCCTCAAGTTTCGAGCTAAACACATAAGCCATAGAGGTGGTAAGTCACGTAATTTATTTCCATTTTAATTAGTGTAAGGTTGTATTAATTATGAATGTCTCTTTATTCTTCTGATTCACCTGAATCTTCAAAATATTTTCCCATTGATAAATTCTTGCATATGTATTTGTGTGTGGTTTAATCTCTAAACATTATTCAACCACAATTTTCTAACTATCCATAACCATCTCTGTGAACCCACTTCTGACCCAAACACTAACCCTAAATCCAACTGTAATTAAACCAATGAATCATTTTTGCATATCCAGCTTTTAGGATTATGAGAGTGTCTTATCATTAAAAATTTAATTATTTTATGTTGAATGGACAACTAGATCCAGTGGCAAATGTATATTTTGAAAACAAAATAATTTATCATATTTCTCAAATAAAAAACTTAAGTCATTTAAAGAAAATGATTTTTCATAAATTTTTTTAGTGCCAAAATATTCTAGAACATTTTTAACATCAACATTTTTATTGTATAGGGCTTATTTCATCTATCAAATTAAACAAAATAAAACTACACTAGCTTAGCAAAGATTTTATCAATCTTTAAAAATTTATTCAGAGTTTCTTACTAGATTTGTTTGAAGATTGAACTTTTTTTAAACCATCAGGTGCAGCAGAAAGAATTGAAAACACAATGGAAGCTTTCAAACAGTAAGTTTAAAATTGTCTTATTAAGAAGAATTAATTAACAGCTTTAAGTTAGCCAGTTTTAGCATAAATGAGACGAAATAAAAAATAAAAGCCCGCAACAGAATATTAATTTCATAAAACCTCTATCTTATTTAAAAGCATACTTGTTTATTAAAATCTGTATGAGTAGTTTGAAATGAACATGTTGTAACAACGGAAATTCGTGCCATATCGTTTAGTACATCTAGTCCACCCCAATCAGGGGGCATAACCTGTCATGTATCCGTAACATCTGTATCTAGTGCTGTTGAAGTGGGCACAGATATGCTGGAGATAGACTGCCAGCTGACCAAGGATGACCAGGTGGTTGTGTCACATGATGACGTCTTGACGCGGACGTGTGGGGTGGATGTTTTAATCTCAGAAACTACCTACAAGGTGGGGGATCTTAAGCTTGATCCTTTTTGCTAAGCTAAACTTATGTTTTATGGGAGTAAATAGTTGAGTGGTAGACTGTATGCTATTGTGAAAGTAAATGTTTGAGTGAATTCAGCTTGGTAGAGTTCTTACCTCACAATTTCATTTACATGTCAGGTTCACAGTAATTGGTCAGCTCTGCTTCATCTGCTCAGTGGGATATCGGGGGGGTGGGGGGGTGGATGGCTTTACTTTCTTTATTTTTACTTTAATACTAATCACCTGATGCACAATTCCCCTTACCATATTGACCCAAAATCCTTCTGTTCAACTGAAGCAATAATACAAAATACCAGTGACTTCAAAATATATTTACATTTATTATTGCTTTCTTTTGAAAGGACCTACCACCTATGATGAATGCTGTACCAGTTGACTTCTATTACTGTAAGTAAATCTACTAGTTAAAGGCTTACTAATAAAATGTATTGCTTGAATTTTAAAAAAATTGTATCATTCAAATACATTTGATAACTACACTCAGCTTACATCTGACTGTAAAGTTCAATTATCTAAATGAATCAGTTGCTAAGAAAATGTATTTTTTCTTTAAAAAAAGGAAAGGGAATATGTTTTTAAAATGGCTGTTGTCCAAAACCTCTATTCCCTTATAACAGTGACACACTACAGACTAATTGTTAACTGGCAGTGGTTCTCTGCCATGTTTTGTTCACTAGGCTGCTGCTAGAGTTAGTTCCCATTACAAATATGGTGTAAGAAATATGTGACAAACAGGCCATACTCAAGATATGAGTTATGATTTTTTTATTGAAAACAATTTGAACTTAATGAAACAATCTTCACTGGTTCAGATTTAGCAAAAAACTATATGAATGTATGATGTATGTTTACCATGGACCCTGAAACAAAGTAAATTAATGAAAACATGGCGTGGTCATTTTTGTAAGATATCTTTTTATACGAGATGGCATTGTCAGGTGTTGGTAAAGTCCATGTCTGCTAGCCCAAAAGTCTCGCCATCAGGTTTTGGGTTTGAGTCCGTAAGACCTCCCGAAGTCCACCCTGCTCTAATGGGTCCTTGAATAACATTAACAAAAGTAAAGGCTGCTGGGCATAGTATTGGACCACACTATCCCTTCATATGCCGAGCTCACAGAAACAGATAAACTCTACTTCATCTGCCCTTTGGTACACCAGGTCTGAAAGGGTAACACTTATTTTTGTCATAGCAGAAAAAAATAGGTCATGTAACGTTTTATTTTTATAAATTTTGTTGTACGATAATAATGTAAATAGCTTTATTTATTTCTCGTTGATTATGATTATTTTTGTTGTAGGAAAAAAAATATTTGTCTTAATTGTTCATTTTTAATTTATAGCATTACATGGAGAGGGTTGTGACCACAAGATTCCTCTTCTAGAAGACGTATTTCGAGAATTCCCCAACATGCCCATTAATATTGACATAAAAGTAGATAATGATTTGCTAATGAGAAAGGTATGTTGCTATAATTATGTTTAATTAGGATTTTATTCTTTTAAAAAGTGGAAGATCGATCCAGAAAATAATATTTTAAATGCATGGGGTTTTTGGTGTTTGCAGGTCATGTTCAGTGATTATATTTTTGTTGTTTACATTTCAGGTCAATGAACTTATAATAAAGTATGACAGAGAAGAGCTCACAGCCTGGGGAAACAGATCTGATGAAGTCTGCCAGAAGCTTTATGCATTGGTCAGAGTTTGATTCATATCTTTTTCCTTACATTTCACTTTTTCTTTTTAATCAGTGTAGTTAATTTTAAAAATAAGGTATCTTTTAGCTATACATGTCATTTTAAAAAGGTAAAAAATCAGATTTATAAAAACATAAAAAATCATTATAGATTAGGTTTTTTTTTCCTTTCAGAATCCAAAGGTGCCTCTAATATTTTCTTTGAAAAGAGTGATAGTCCTTATGGTCCTGTTCTGGACTGGGCTGCTACCATTTGTCCACATTAAGGAATCCCTTTTAGAGGTTGTTGTACCTGGAATCATGCTGGATGCGTGAGTTGTTTTTGTTGGGGGAACTTTGCTACCAGGTTTTGTAGATTTGTTGTGATATAAATTTAACCATTTCATTTTACCATTCATTTACATAAATAATAATCTGAACATGGTTAATAATCAACAACATTTAATAATTTGGTATAGTTTAAAATGATCATTTAAAACTGTGAAACATATTTTAATATGAAAATAAGATTTTTAAAAGTTGTATTAATTTAATTTTTTTTATTTCCCTCAGAAATGAATTGCTACAGCGAGAACTTGGATCAAAGGCAAAAATGTTTTTTTGGCTAATGGACAAGTAAGTTTTGGCTTTAGCTTTTCTATAGAATTGTTTTGTGTTTTTGTTAAATATCTTCATGAAATTAATTGCAAGTTATGATATACAGTTTATTTAAAATTTAGGAAGTCAATTAGCTAATTAATGTATTGAAATGTATATTTGTACTGTTTTGTCACATTCATCTCATTTTGAAATTCTTTTGATTTTATTATATAAGACTGTTAATGAGACCATCATTAATCAAGCATTTAGATGAAAGAGGGATTCAGGTAATTTATATAGTTTAAAACATGTTTTAAAACAATATACAATATATCAGCATCTTTTTACAGTCAATTGTTTTCTAAAAAAGTTTATACAAAAGGCCTAAATATTAAATATCACAAACATTTTTTTTAAATGCTCATCAGAAATAAATTACAAAGCTGGATTTTCCAGAAAAAGTCTTAATAAAAAAATAAATAAATAAAGGAAGTAGTCAATACTTATGATACTAGCATGATTGATAAAAACTGTGTTGTCAATCTTGTAATTGTATGTTATACCAAAGTTGATCAACATTGATTGCTGATTTCAGTTTTCATGATAAAAGTGTTTGGCTAAAATTTCTGAAACAAATAGTTGCATTATTTTGCTAAGGTTTTAAGACATATGTTTGTGTTCTTATTCAGTTTGATCCTCTAAACTTATCAAGACATCTAAATTTTAGGGCATATAATAAATCTATAGAAATTTCAATATTTTGAGTTGTGATGATTTCGAGCCAGATTTGATTTAGAAATATGCCTTAAAACTTCCTTTTTTGACTGAAACATTGTGTAAAACTGTGCTCACTCCTTGTTATTTAATTTACTTTAGATAAGGGCCAATTGTTTTTATGTATCCAAACCTGCACTTCTAAACTCTTTGAATGACTTTGTGTCAGCAGACGTACTTGTGGGTACTGAACCGTGAAAAAGACTTTGAAAGAGCTTATCAGCTTGGGGCAGCTGGTGTCATGTCAGACAGGATACAGCTCCTCAGGAATTTCCTGGATAAAGAACACCCTCCGCTACAGAGTCCGTGTGATGGGGACAAAACAGATTGACGCAAGCTAACCTATTAGTTGAAATCTCTGTTTTTTTTGTCATCTACTTTTAGATGTTTATAAATGTCCATAAAACCAGTAGATTTGGTTATGAAGTTTTTCATTGTCAGCAAATACATCTCTGTGACAACTAAGAGCACTCAATGTTGTTTCAGTGTTCTAATCTGTGCTTATTTTTAATGGTTTAATTTTTTTACTGCTAGAACTGTCTTAAAAGTATCAAATATTTATTAGACCGGCCCTGTGGGTCAGATGGGTATAGGGCAGGGTCTGTCCTGTCCTGATGGGTATCCAACTTTGTTCAGGAGGTAAAGGACGCTAGACATTATCCTTCCTATCCAATATCTTCATATGTTATGATCACAATTTTTTTTTTTCATTTACGAAAGACTATTTTATTTTATTTTAATATAAATAAAGTAGTATTTTAAGCCAAGTTTTATTATATGAAATGTAAAGTTCTAGCTATTTTCTAGATTTAGAATAGTATCTGATTAAAATGCAGAAATTATTGAAAAAATTACAAGAAATAATTTGTCTACTGGAGTTTTTAGTGCATTTTGACAACCATTCCATGTGTACATGTTGTATTGAGAGCAAAATATCTAAATAATATCAGTCATGGCTTTGATTGAAATAGAGATTGCTTTACAATGAGCGCCATACATTTTTTTATATATATTTTCATCAGTTTATTCAGAGGTTCTCACTTCATGCTAGCTCAACCAACCATCCAGTCAATATATGGAAGTGGGCATTCTATGATTTACATGCTTTACAATACTCAAATCAGCTTTGCAATGGCCTGTATCAATTGTGAAGCATAGTGATAACTTTAATTTTTTAAGTGCTGTGGTATATTTTCCATCTTTAGTGCTTGTTTTTTTTTAAATGTTGGCTTTGTAAATGCCCCCTTTTGTTATCTTTAATGTTGGCTTTTTTTATGACTAGCCTCCCTTGTTAATTTTAATGTTGACCTTATGACTAGCCTCCCTTGTTAATTTTAATGTTGACCTTGTGGCTAGCCTCCCTTGTTAATTTTTGCTATGGAGTAGGTCTGTGGTCTAACTTTATTGTAGGAGAGCTATAGAATGAATTTTGAATGTGGCTCTTATGTTACGAATTTAAACTTGTTACTAAGAAAAAGTTTGGTAGCATCATATATTTTGGTATTCATAAATTTCTCAAAATATGTTAAAACTTTTATCGCAGCTCTTTATATATTAAAAAAATTATTTTCAAATTACACTTTATACCAACAACAAATTGGTAGATTTAGTGAAAATGATTAATTTGTTATTTTAAAAACTTGTGTAAAAGAATTTGTTTTAAGGATAACAGGGTGTGAAACAATTGGACTATGATGGGGATTTGGTTCCGTATTTGGTCAAGTAATGAGATAAGTGATCGTTTAGTTGTGTTATTTATAATAAGTGTAGATGGACAAGTTTAGGTTTAAATTCAGTTTGGAACAAGTACAAGATTTAAGTCTGGAGTAAGTTTTAGATTTAATGAAATGAAACCACATCTCTTTTCTTAGTGCCTTATTGACTATAACTATAACCAGACACAGTTTTATCAGAAGCTTTGAACCACAGCCTACATTCATCCTGTTGAGATTTGAAACAAGTTGTAATCTGTACTTGAAACTTTAATCACTACTTTGTTATGTATGTACTTTGTTTCAATTGATTGCTCAAGTGTTTTTTTTTATAAATAAGATTTTATTTATGCTAAAATATATAAACATTAAGACACTCAATAGCTTTATTTTGGGACAAAGCTTAAAAACAATAAAAAAATTTATTTGGGTGTAATCTGTCAACGCTGTACAAATGATTAAGTAAACATTTAATTAACTTCTCATGAAACTATCATTTGGATGCATAAAAATAACATTATAAGAAGTTGTATAATACTTTGCTACAAAACATATTTACTTTAAATTAACGTAAGATATTATTTCATTTTCTGTTATATACATGTTTTACATATATCTGTGTTCTAAGTTGTGATCATTTTTATTTATTATGAAATCCAATTTCCAGTATGAAAAGTTGAAAGATATGTTATTGTTCTCTATGTAGTGGAATTATTTCTTCTTTAATATTATTTTTCTGTAGTTTAAGTCACTAAACTTATGAAAGGCTACAAAAAATTCAATACAATTACTTAACTTAAAAATTTTAAAGAAAATATTTTATAAGAAAAAGACAATTTTTTAAAATTTCATGGTTTTTTTAAAAACATTTCCAGAGGGAAGAGATGCAAATTCTATTCCATTCCCTAATTAGCCAAACTTGATAAATGTCGAATAAAGTGGACCAAATTTGTGTGCATAGGAAGTTGGTTATTGTGATGATACTTTATTTAAATCAAACCATTTTTGTGCTCTTTCTTGTTGCTTTTCTGTGTAGTCAAGTTAAACTTTATTTAAAATGTTATAAGCTGTAAATATTTTAACTTAATAAGCTTCTGTGTGTGTTTGATTAACATTTTTACAGGAAAAGATTTATTTACCTATTCCAAGTTTTTATTTATTAAAGTAAAGCTGTTCCAGTAAATTACTTTGTATGGTAACATATCCATGTAAACTTCCCTCCCTTTACTGTCTATCTTCTGGTATACTGTCAATGAATGATTGATCTCTTTAGGCTTTAGTGGCCATGTTTTTAAGTATTGTCTTTCATTTTTAATGAATTAAAAGAGTAACTGTTCACTTGGAGCTAATAATTACTAGACAAAAATATAAATAAAAAAGTCAAATGTACGTTATTTTGAAAATGGTATGCTTTTTTAAAAACTGACTTTTTAATAAACATAAGATCAAGATGAAGAGACTTAAAAGTGAACAAATTTACACCATCTTTTGTACAATTTTCATGCAACTAGCCACATCCTACACAAGTTTTCTTTTACCTTTTGTGTTTCTTTTTATATTGTTTGAATGCTGACATCACCATTACTATAGACTTCTGTGAACTTTTACAGCAATATTTTTTTAAAAGTATTCATGACAACTGGATACAATTTAGGGGTATCCAGAATATGACAAACTATGATGGCCTTTAAACCAGTTTTTTTTTAATTTGATTTTTTTTTTAATTTAACTTATTTAAAATGGCATTAGGGTATTAAAAAAATTGCATTTAAAATAGAACAAGCAAGTCCAAAGATGCTATTAAATTGCCAATGCCCTATATAAATACTAACTAGCAAATGACAATATCAAATGTTTTTTTTCTGTAATAACTTTTTGAATGTATTTTTATTATACTGTTCACATTTGTTGTTGTATTTTTTGTATTAACTTCTTTTTCAAAGTGAATTTTTCGCTTCAAGCTTGCTTTGTTTTTTTAATAGATAGTATGATTTTATCAAGTGTATGAGGTATGAAACAAAGCTTTGGTTTCCATTTATTGTGATTTAGATCAACTGAAAGAGATTATGGGAAAAGATACTCAGATAAGATGAATCTTGGAATACTTTCTATAGAAGTTGTTTAACAAGTATTTTACTTTAATAAAAATTATTCAAAAACAATGTTGTTTACGGTTTTGTCTTTTAAACCGATATAAAAAACCAAGAGACTTTACACAAAACTTCAAACCCAACAACACTTGGCATTACAGCTTTTAATATAGAAGATGAACAATAGTTGTGAAATAATGAAAAGTAAAAACAATTTGAGTGAATTAATATTAACTGTTACAGTACTAAATCTGTTTCAAGTCTAGGCATGATTTTTATAAGCTAAAAATTTTCTCATTTGCTTTAATTAATATAAAAAAAATCATAAGACATGAATCATAAATGGAAATACACTACTAGTTTCTTAAACACTTGATCACAAAAATATACATTTTAATTTTCCCTTTTTTGTAGTATAGTACATGTTAAACTTAACTTCTATTGAATCAAGTCAAGTGTCTCAATAAAAGCTACAGAGTACTGAGCTGTTTATGTGGGACTAAACACTCACTGAACCCAGCATTGGTCAACAGTTGCAAGTATAGTAAAAACCTCATCAAATGTACAAAAAACATTCACACAAAGCCACAAAACAAACTGTTTATGACATGAAACAAAGACAACTCCCCACCAAACAGTCTTTTCAGATGTATTGTGTTACTCGGATATTATAAAAACACATTTGATACCCACTAAAAGTATAACCTGTACATTCTAAAAAGTTTAACTAGCATGGGGTGAAATAACACTGATAAGGCAAATCAGTGTAAGTTGATGTTCCAAACAACCAACACTTAAGGATAGACGACCCCCAGACCTCTTTATTCCAGCTGCAGTTCTTTCAATCAGATTTATGAAATTTTTTTTTTCCAGTGTTAGTTTACATTTTAAGGTAGTAATAGTGAAATGTAAGTTTAAAAGTACTTTTTTTAAGCTCTTATCAAAATTTTTAAACAAAGAAATTTCCTAAAACATTGGAAAAATTACATATATGAACATCTATTGAGGATAAAAGGAAAACACAGTGATTATCATAACAGATCTTGTACTTTAGAAAACCAAATCACTACTTCTCTTAAAAATTTAGCCATTAAAATAAAATAAGTGTAACTCCATTAGCCTAATAAAACAGTCTCACACACATCAAACTTTTACTCAACAGGACCAAAAAACTTGACTGAACGATCCATACTGACGGATGTAATGAATGTTGAGTTGTGGCCGAATCTCACCCCAGTGGCAGCAGCAGTGTGGTCATTAAAAACTGCAAGCTCGCTCCACTGTTTGCACAAATACACCCTGAAATAAAAACATTCACCAGTTATTGAAACAAACTATACTAAAAAAGTAAAATGATCATAAATCGTTCAAAATATGGATTGAGAAATTAATTTAAGAACAATGAAATATGCATAAAAAGTAAATTTTTAGTTCCCACTTTCAGTAAGTAAATTAAAATAAATTTAAAAATATAAGTTTAAAAATCACATCAGCAAAAAATTAAATATTCAGTTTAAAAAAATGAATAATAAAATTAAAATTACAATTATCTTAACAAAAATTGAAATTTTTATATAATCTCACCTAACATCAGAGCCAGCTACAGCAAGGTACGTTCCACTCTGGTCAAAACTAAGCCCTTTGACTTGATAGTTATCTTCTAACTGTAGAGTCTTAAAGTTCTTGAGCTTCCTAAGATCCCACAACCTAACAACTGAGTCTTCAGCTGATGTTGCTAGATAATAACCTGAAACAATAACAGTGCTAGTGAAAAAACAGTTTAAAAAATCTTAAAGTAAAATCTCAAGCTAGGATCTTGGTTTGGATTCAGGATGTCCCAGAGTCAACTCAACTCTGAGGGGTAACTGACTCACTTTAGAAAGAAAGGCTGCTGCGCATAGTGCTGATAGATACCTAGATCTTTCAAACAGATACTCTTACTTTAACTGCCCCATGTGTCTTGGGCATGTACAGTTAGGGATGATGAAGTAGACTACACAGATTTTCACAAAGGCCACCTGTTGTTCATGATGTCAAATTTTAATATTTTTGTGATGAAAGTACTTGATTGAAAACCCACCATTTTCAGAAAATGAGATGCTTGTAATCTGCCCTTGGTGTCCTTGGAAGTTTGCTACATTTGTTCTCTCTTTAAGATCCCAGATCTTTATAACAGAATCATCAGTGCCAGTGCCAAAGATGAGACCGTCAGGGTGAAACTGGGCGCAGGTCAAGGCAGAAGCTGCCATGTAAAAAAAGACATGATTTTTAAATATGATGAAATTTTTAAAAATTACAATTTTTAAAAATGAAAACACTATCTTTTACTTACACATTTGTCCAGATTTTTCAGCAACTTTGGTCAATATACGTCCAGTTCGAATATCAGAGAAAGCCCAATACTAGGAAAAGAATAATTTTGTTAATCTCAGGTCAAATTTGGTAAGATAAGAAACATGGCTTTTTACTTGAAGTTTGCTACATAAATTGACAGATAATTAATAACATTTAATTGTCATAATAATCATACAAAAGTGATATACTTTAACATATTGTTACTGTTCATTAAATACATATTTAGACTCAACTAATCCATAAGAGATTCACATTTTAAAATAAAATTTGTATGTCCTGTTTCAAAGATCTATTCATACACCTGAAGACTTAACAATTCCTTTATAGAAAAAATCCACTCTCAAGTATTTTAATCATGACAAATAATACCTACAAGCCATGAGATGCTAGAAAATTTAAAAAAGTAAACATTTTCTTGTGTACAGGAAAATGCATCTTACCATATCTGTGGAACATGATAGCAGGTAGTCGCCTGTTGCATGCAAGCTGATACCAGTGACAGGAGCATCGTGGGCCCGGATGATTTGACCACAGGATGCAGTTGTGATTCCCCACACCCTGATGGTGTTGTCAGGGGAGGCAGTGATAACCAGTTCCTGGATGTAGGAGATGGTAAACAGTGATAAAGCAAGGGGACAAACAAATAGTAACCAATATTTTACAAGTATTTCTTCTTTTCTCACTAAAAAATTTAAGGTAGCCATACTACTTAACAATTTTAGTTGAACAGATAAGTACAAATGGAATCCAAAGACAAAACGTCTCTTAAGAAAAAGTTTTTCAACTGATATAAGCTTTCATAAGGATATCAATATGAAACCCAGATAAAAAAAGTAATCGGATTGGTAAAGCAGAAATTTCTACACACAATTTTAACCTTAAATGCTTAAACTAAGTACTAGAGAAAAGCATTCAACAGCATATGCTTAATTAGTTATACTAGAAAAAAGCAGAACTGAAGCAGAGGAAAAGAAGACAGACCAGAGGATAATGAAAAAATCTTAATGACCATAAAAAATAAAACACATAAAATGTACCTCCTCGGGGTGGTAGATGACACTTGTAACTTTCTTTGTATGACCCTTGAGGATAGCCATGACCTGCTCAGTATCTTTGTTGAAGACAACAGCATTCTTATCATTGCCACCAGTGACAATCCTGGAGGTGTCTCTTAGACAGACATCAACAGCTAGGATACCAGGAACACTAGCACTGTGTAGACCCTAGAATAAAAAGCTCTTCAATAGATGCATGTCCTGCCTATTACTAAAAAGTAATATGATGTATTTCAGTTTGGAACAACTGACAAGCATTCAATTATTTCAGCAAAACTGATTAAAGATGTAGAAAAATGATGAAATGTGAATAGGCTCCAATAGTATGAACTAAATAATATTTAAACAAACTGGATTGAAATAATAATTACCGTATGGGAAGCCAATTGACGATAATTTCGAATATCTTCACTTGAGGCCAATCCCTCTGGCACTGTTTTACCACGCTGGAAAAGAATTATATTGATTTAGATTAAATGTTTTGAATTACTCCATCATTTAAAAGGTGTACTAATCTAACAAAGAAAATGCTGTAATGAGAACACTTATTGGCCGTCAACTAAAGCATTATAAAACTGCTTGCACAAGAAATAGTAAACAAGCTGGACAAATCACAACACCACAAGTGAACAAACACCTTAAAGTTCTCTTTGAGGGGCAGAATGAAGCATTCAAGTCTTAGGGAAATAATTATAAATTGTTATTTAAAAAACGAAACAATTTTACCTTCTTTCTTTCAGCAGTAAGAAGTGTAGCTTTGTCTTGGAGCTGTGAAACAAAATTAATCTTTATTAAATGTTGAAAAAAGAAAATAAATCCTTTGATTCAATGATTAATAATTAACCCAATAATATATCAAATTAAATATCAAGAAGTTAGCACTCTTAATTGCATCATTAATTAACTTATTGGGAGTTCAACCTTTTTAATAATGTCATCACTCATGACAGCCTCCTCAGCAGGTTGTGAAGCAGACTCTGGTCCTGCATCGGCAGCAATAGACTGGAAGAAATAACATCTCATATAATCAAACAGTGGAAATTACTTATCAACCAATAATGAAATAATTTTTAAGTGAAGAAATTTACAAACCCAAGCATAAAAAAATAAAAACTTACTGGGTTGGGAGCAGGAGCATTGTAGCCAGGGACTGCTGCTGTGAGACCAGCCTGTGGTTTCAAGGTGGCCAAAGCTGCAACAGCATGGACAAATATTTAAACACCACTAAAAGAATCTTGCTTCACATTAGGTATGTGAGCATCATAACATATTTATATTTTTACAATTAATCTTACTATGAGAACATGTGCAATGGGGGTAAAGAACAATGAGAGAAATCAGTACCTTCTCTGGCTGCTGTGACTTCCTTGATCAAACGAGCAATGACACGACATGCAGCATCATGCTGGTACAAAGCATGAGACAACTCTGCAAAGACAAGATAAAACCATTACAACTCTATCCATTCTTGCTACAGTATTAGTAACAAATGATATATAAGAATCAATTTTTACCTTGTCTGGCTGTCTGCAGTTGCTGTCTCAGTGTAAAGCTATGCAGCATTACTGCATCCTTAAAAAGTGAAATAAAATTGATGAAACAAAATATTAAATATCACACATGATATAAATTTGAAAGTGAGGCCTATACAGGATTGTTATTAGTAAAACTATTTTACCCATTCATCTTGAAGAGACTTGAGAATAGCAGGAATACTTGTGGCTGATGGTGGTCTTGGTTTAACAATAGCTGATGCTAAAAGAAATTTGTTACAAATTATTTTACTTCAGGTTCTGGTATAAAAATGTAAATATCTAAGTGAGACTAGAAAGAAAATTGTTTTTTTTTAAAATCCAAATTGGAGTTAAGATTTTAAGTATTTTGAAAATTCCTTTTTTTAACTGAGCTAATAATGATTTACTAAAAGACCAACAAATTGAAACAAAGCTAACTTACTCTTGACTGGTATAAGCATGTCAACTGACAACTTTTCATTTGCAATGGGGTCTGTGCCATTTTCTTGAATGAACTTTTCAATCAATCTTCTTTCAAAGATGTGTCCAGAAACAGGAGAAATTACAGGCTGTTCAGGTACTTCGTTACTAACTGAAATAATTCAATCATTAGATAAGACTTGGTTTCAAAATAAAAGAATGCAATCATTGATATGGTAAGACAAGATAGGGAGAAACATAGAATTTGTAATTTGTAGTAGGCTCTATCAGCTTATTTACTTCATATGGTAACACCAACTAGCTATACTTATAGGCCTAAATAACACATTTAAGACTATGGGTAGGCCTACTTTAAAATACATTTAAAAAAATTTATTCTCCATGAAACAAACAAGTAGGTCCTATGCCAATATTTTTTTTCAATTTACTGTCATCTTTGAACAATACATAAAGGCCAAGAGTAGGGCTAAAATTAAAAATTAGTGAAGACTTGCTGTATTTATCCCAGTGAGGACCGCATCTCGACTGACTAAAATGAAACACTGCATTACCTAGCTATGAAAAACCTATTATAAAGTTAAAAAACTAGCTAGAATATAGAATAATATAGATCAATGCAAATCGCCAAAATATAGGCTAATAGATCTAGATTAGAATCTAAATCTAGTGGCCGATGGATGACACACATTCACATGGCACACTTAATTCAGTCGAGGCTACAGTAGCCCATTATAAAGCCCTCCTATAAGAAATTGAGGCAAAACTCCATTTTAGCGTATTTTATTCGCCGCTTCGCATTCACCTCCGGTTGAGCGTATTTTATTATAAACACAACCGAAACACACAAAAACGTAAGAAAACACTAGGATTAGAGCTAGATCTAGATCTACTTATTTTTTTATGAATGTGTTTATTAGAAAAGGTGAAAATAAAACAGTAAAAAGCATTAGGACAGTTCCAATTAAATAGTGGTGTGATCGTCAGCAGGAGAAAAATCCCTACACGGTCGAGGTTTCACCGTGAATTGACTTTTATCTTCACCATATGTCATAGCTTGGGCAATAGGTATTTGAAATGGTGTTGGTCTCAGTTTTGGGGTCATTGTGAGTTCATAAAAGTTTATTAATAGTAGCATGCGTGGGAGATACTTGTATCAATACAAACATAACCGCCTTGCAACTGTGAGTTTCGTACTTCACTTATTGCCATGAATATCTTAACTGTCACACGAACATAGCACAATGAATACTCCAAATTTGGATTTTTCTCAAGTTTTGACAAAAGTAAATTATTAAAACTAAAACAAAACTTCATAAAGAAATAAGCCCAATGTTTTCCTACTGTTTTTGTGTGTTTCGGTTGTGTTTATAATAAAATACGCTAAACTGGAAGTGAACGTGAAGGGGGGAATAAAATACGCTAAAATAGTTTTACCAGAAATTGATTCGACAAAGTTGGCCTAACCAATAAATAATGAATTACAAAAACCCAGTCAACTAATTATTCTACAGTAGGCTACACAATTCAGTTCTACTCCTAAGAAGTTGCAAAAAAGGGAAATAATCCTTCAAGACACTTCAAGATAGTGCACCCAATCTAAAAGAGATAAATCATTAGAACCTATCGGATTACATAGATCTATATCTAGATTAGATATAACTGGATAATAATAAAATAATAATTTAGATAAAATTAGGTTCTGCCTTGGAAATGCATGCTAACAAAAATTGTTTAAATTCGGAACAAAAATTTTAATTTTTTAATCGCCGGCGTCAGGTGTAGGTAAAGATTCTAAGATTCTTAACGTCTCCAAATATATTTTTTTTAATTATACTGTCTAAATAAATTTTAATTAAACAAAATTAAGAAAAACTGATTGTCCAGTAGACAAATAGAATGCATTAAAATACCAATAAAACTATTTTAAAATGTTATATTGACAATATTCACGCACTTGCACAGCAAAGCGCCATGTTGAAATATAGTCACGTGACTAAATTGGGTTTAGCAAAAGCTGACCCGAAAATCCATAAAACAAAAAAGCCTACAATGCAGGAGCATAATAAAAAATAAAACTAGGCTAATGTTTTGTAAAATAGTCTAAACACAAACTTCTTTTATACTTATGATTTTTTTTAATGTTGTAAATACTTTCATATTAGTTAACTATGTAAGGTTAATTTTATAATAGCCTACCTCTTGTATTTAAATTTTAAAAGATTAATCTTTATTGTATTTTTAACTAGGTCTATGTAAAATGGCATTGGCACCTATTCAAGGAACGTAAAAATAGTGAGAAGCTCTGGTATAACCTGGGTATCTACGTTTTCTCATTCGGTGCCAAAAACACACAGGCATATAACTATAAATAAATATGTCTTTGTTATGTGTAATTCGCTGCTTGACATCTACAAATACACTTCGCGTTTGCTTCTAAAATCTAACAATTGACACGCTTTTCTGTTCTTATTATATCAGGTGAATAAAAGATGTGCATTTCGCGTACAAAGTAATCAAACAGGTTTGTGATTTGTCTGTTGCTTGGAACCGAATATTTATGTACGGTAAATAGTTGCTTGACCCTTTAATATGACTCGTTAATTTTTTTTTTAATTCTTTAATATATTGCCTGACGTAGCGCTTGTTAGTGACATCTACGAGTGCTGAAAAAAAATCCTATTACATACAAAAAATAAATGTTTAATACTTCTAGTTTCTGAAAATTAAATAAATCGAAAGTAGACGCGTGTGAACGGGGGAACGGGGATCTATAATTCTCAATTTTTGTGGACTTCATAAATGGATGACCCTTTTATTATATAGGGGAGGGAATCGAGTCAAAGGGCGGTAAGTACACATAAAAGATGACTCTTTACTTTCGACCTTAAAAGGGGCATTTTTTTTTACTTTGTTCCAATGACGGATTAAAGCATGCGTGGGATTTATGAAAGAAAATTACTTTGAACAAAGTACAAGAAATAATATTTGTCATACACAAACCAAAAAAAAAACAAAAAAAAAAAACCAGTAGTTTTATTGTCGCTAAAATTCGGCGGAGGGGGGGAGGGGGGGGGGGAGGGTTAGACCAACACGAAATCCCGCTTCTTACTTTTTTCCCCGCCATTATTAAAAATGTGCAGCTGTCCAGTTATCATACTCAAGTGACGTCATACAGTTGTGGCGGGTCACTCTCCCATTTATGCTTGATACCAATTTGAAGTTTAAAGATGTATTATTCAATGCGACGGCGTGGTATCGAGGTATTAGCTGATTTACGACTGTATGACGTGCCTGAGTTCACCTAGCTCTAATTTTTACCTGACTTAGTTGGGGAAAGTAAAGCTAGACATCGTGCTGACCAAACTATCCCGTCATTTGCCTAGTTCACAGAAACATATAAACATATGTATCGCTAGGTCTAAAAAGGAACTTTACATAATTATTATATTTTTATGTTATCATTGAATATAGATCTGTATTTCCATAGGACCTCTTCCTCAAACAGACACACACCTGTACTTGACTTCAGCAAAAATGGCTTGCGGATGTGTTTTGAGCAGCTTCATTTTTAGCAACGATCTGACTACTATCAGCAACATTTTGGAGAGTTGCGTTTGGAAAAGATTTTCTGTTTCATCAGACAACGAAACAATTCCATCTGAAAGTTTTCATTTTCAAACAACCCATGACAGCGATCCAGATTCCTATTCAAAATATGGATTCGAGGATAAGAAAATATCCGTCATGAGACAAAGATACGGAACAAAAGATAGTTTTCTGATATATTTGAAAAACAAAGGTTTTATGGTTCATGAAGATGACAAGGAGATGAACAGTTGTCGGTTTGATGAGAAACTTACCTGTCCACATCCGACTATAACAGTTAGTGCTGTCTTTACTGGCTGCCCATTGCTGTTGGGCTATTTTCTTTACCTACACGAGGAGCCTGAAAAGGAAAAACAAAGCGGAAGTGTTACTGGTACTGACGCAAACTTAGCATTAGTCGGTGACACAAGTCAAGTTCTGTCCGGTCCAGCTTGTAGAACCCAATCTCATCACACCCAACACACGAAGAATTTAGACTTTACGGACACCCCACACACGAATAATGAAGACTTTACGGAAACCCCACACACGAAGAATTTAGACTTTACGGACACCCCACACACGAATAATGAAGACTTTACGGAAACCCCACACACGAAGAATGAAGACTTTACGGAAACCCCACACACGAAGAATGAAGACTTTACGGACACCCCACACACGAAGAATGAAGACTTTCCGAACACCCCACACAAGAAGAATGAAGACCTCGATGACACCCAACACACGAAGAATAAAGACTTTACGGACACCCAACACACGAAGAATGGAGATGTTGCGAGCACTAAAACATTGAGGCAAGAGTTGAACCGGCTGGTAGATATCCGCGTCGCCTGTGAATTCCCACTCACAGATACCTGGATTCATCAGTTTGTCAACCTAGTCGTCTCCCCTCTCCATCTCGCCTGCTGGAGGCATGACGTCACAGCCATCCAAACCTTACTCCAACATGGCGCTGACCCAGATAAACTAGCACTAGAACAAGCGACAGAATTCCACCACACGGAAGACGGGAAACTCTACGCCCAGTCACGTGATAACCTGTACTACACTGATGGGTTCCTGTTCCACAGAAGCAGAGGACTTTCCCCGCTTCATTTTGTGGCGCTGGGTCTCAGATCTCCGCCTAGAGAGAGTGTAATGCCGGGTAAAAAGGTTGGCATCATTCACGATGTAAGCGCTTGTCTGTTCAGACATTTTGCCACAGACAAAACGCGATCGGATGCTTCACTCAACCTTGGGCCTGATAGTAACTTATCTCCTATCTACAACTGCGGGGCATCAGTAACTAGTTGTGTGGTCTCTTATCTTGATTGTAATTCATCTCCAATCTATAACCTTGGGGCATTAGTACCTATTAGTGAGGTCACTTATCCTGAAAATAACTCAACTTCCTTGTGTAACTTCGTGGCATCAGGGAAACACAAAGACCTGACGCAGGTCAAGGTTATGCTGACCCAAGCATGCATCACTGCGCTCATCAAAGCAGGAGCGAACCCCAACTCCCCAGACAACAACACCTTCCATGGAGCCCACCCTCTAGATCTCATTATCCAGCCTCCCATGAGAATCTACTACGCTCCTTACGCTGCCAGACAGGCGCAGAACTCGGAGAGTCTGAGAATTCAGAATATGAACCAGAAAGCCCCTATGATAATAGCAGCAGCAGATATGTTGCTGTTTTACAACGCGTGTCTATCGGAGTCATTTTGCCTGCAGTATCAATGGAGACCACAGCTCCTGAATGGCTTTCATTTGAAAGACTTGGAAAGTTCTATTGAAATGGTCAAGATTTTTATAAAAGCTGGGCTTTTTCCAAATATTAGTTTAAAAAACAGCTGCAAGTTATGTTCCAACAAATATTGCACAGACAATCCTGACCAACAGTCGGAAGAACTTGTGAAACATTTTATTGCTGACGTCATTAACACGTCAGTTCCTCTTATGTTGGTTTCCCTTGTGTTGAAATGGTGTGACGTGTGTACACTACATACAATACTTCGCGGAATTCAAACCCCTGTTGACTCTTCAGGACAGAAGTCAAGTTTGGAAGATTTCTCGAGATTTCTAATTTCCTTACAGATGAGATCTCTTCAGCATTCGTGCGCACATCAGATCGCGAGATGCGCTGACTGGAACACCCAAGCTCTCCTTTCACTTCCTTTACCCCTTGTGATAAAACAAAATATCATTCATTTAAATTATTAATTCGCATTGGCTGATGAATGCTTTGTAATTAAAACTTGAACGAATTGGCTGAATTATTTGGGAACTTCTCTTTTTTTTTTAATTCATTTTAAAACTTCAACCCTCATAATTCAAACAATGTGTTTATTTTCAGCTTAAGTTCTTTAGTAGGCTACAGAGGCAACGGGTAGTGACTAAAGTTATCCTCAGACGAATTATTTTAAAGTAAAATCTTAGACAACAGTTCCCAGATCTCAATATATATATATATATATATATATATATATATATATATATATATATATATATATATATATATATATATATATATATATATATATATATATATATATATATATATATATATATATATATATATATATATATATATATATATATATATATATATATATATATATATATATATATATATATATATATATATATATATATATATATATATATATATATATATATCGCAGAAAAAATATCTCAGGAACAAAATGACTTCAAAACATCTCAAGGACAATATATCTGAGGAAATAACATCTCAGGACAAAATATCTCAGATAAAATAATTTGAGTATCTATGAAGCTATTAGATACGTAAAATATTAAAAGTTACGATGTATTTTCACAAGTTTGGTTTTCACACACACACACACACACACACACACACACACACACACACACACACGCGCGCGCGCGCATGCACACACACACACACACACACCTCTTCACCCTTGTTGTTTGTGGCCATCCAGTACTTAATGATCAAACAAAATTCATTTATAAAAGCATACATGAATTTGTAATATTTTAATAGCCTACAGATTGTCAGTATGTATTCTCCTAATAGTCTACAGATCTTCAACATGTATCCTGCTAATAGCTTACAGATTGTCTGTGTGTATTCTCTTAATAGCCTACAATATGTATCCTGTGAATAGCCTACAGATTGCCTGTATGTATTCTGCAAATAGTCTACAGATCTTCAACATGTATTCTGCTAATAGCCTACAGATTGCCTGTATGTGGACTAATTGCGACATAACATGCCACAAATCAGCTTTGGCACAACCTAATGTTAATGAGACTTGCCAAGCATGAGGCACGCGTGACCAATGGTGGTCAGCTGATGTCAGACTGTCATGTCATAGGTGTGCCTCAGTAGCGTAGCGAGGGGGGGGGGGGGGCGCCAAAATGGGTTTGAAAAATAAATTGAAAGGTTGAGAGGGGTGCAAATCGAAAGTTTGAGGGGGGGGGGGGGGAGGGTGCAAATCGAAATCTTGAGGGGGGGGGTGCAAATCGAGAGTTTGAGGGGGGGAGGTGTAAATCGAAAAGTTTGTCCCCGGGCGCCGGGAAGGGTCGCTACGCCTCTGGTGTGTCTACATTTCCCACCTGTCACTAGACCTGCTTCCCATTTTGGTTTGGATAAAACCCCTTTAAAGTGACGACGATAAAACACTATTAAAGTGAAGAGGATAAAACACCTTTAAAGTGAAGAGGATAAAACACCTTTAAAGTGAAGAGGATAAAACACCTTTAAAGTGAAGAGGATAAAACAACTTTAAGGCGAAGAGGCTAAAACACTTCTATGGTGAAATGGTTAAAAATACTTTAAGGTGAAAAATTCTAAATCAAAATGTGTGTAGTTACATGTGTGTGTATGTGACCTTGTGATATTCAAACTAATGGTCACAAAACAAGATATCCAGACACAGAACAAAACAGAATTAAAGAATTGTTGCCCCTGAAAACGTAATTGATGGGTTGTTGCCCCGTGCTAAGTGAATTTAAGAATTGTTGTCCTTGACAATCTAGTTGATGGGTTGTTGTCCCTTGATAAGTGGATTGCTGCCCCTGTCAACTTAATTAACGGATCGTTGCCCCTGACAACTGACTCTATGATACGGTCACGTGTTATGCTTCAACATTCTGACCTATATTAGTTAAGTACAACAACACTAAGTGCTGAATTTCTTGTGGTGTGGTTTTAATTAGGAGTTTATAATTATTGTAAATCTCGAATTTTAATCTAATTAGTAAATATACAGTGGGTTTTTTTTCTATTTTGTTTTAAATTCTAAATGTTATTGAATACGTGATCATGTTTTAACAATTCAAATAGGCAATTTTAGAGACAATATAATAGTTTAAAATCCAGATTATTTTTTTTTTAAGTTTTATCCTTGTTGAGAGAGAGGCAAAATAACTTTCTTACTAGGTGATAGAAAAAGCTGTAACAGTTATTTTAAAATGCTTTTTATACCGATAAATTTGTGGGTTTTTTTTTTTTTTTTTTTGTTTTTGTGCTTATAAGCAATGTAAATATTTTGTTAACAGTGATGTAGACTTAACGTATAATTACTAATTTATTACTTGTTAATTTAAGATATCAATAACGTTATAGTAAATGTACTTCCTGTACCACAACGTTACTCGATTTTTCTCATAATTATTTGTGATCGAAGGTCCAAGAATTATAAACAATAGCAATATTTTGCTGACTGAACGTATTATTCCTAATCGTATTGGAAAAAAAAACAACTATAAACTATAAGTGTCAGAATTGTTGGATTTGTGAATACGTAACTAGCACAATGAAAAGAATCGTGTTTGTAAACTCATTAAAACTCAGTTCATCCAGTGAATGTTCGGGTATCATGGGGTCAGTTATAACATGGCCGAGGCCCGGACAGCCCAGGTCGTACATTACATTGGCCCTACCGTCGTCACATTACTTCACAAAACCCAGTAGTCGCCCCTTTCTACTAAGCTCACAACAAAACAAAAATCAGAACAGGAGCTCAGTGATTAAAATACCATCCAATCAACAATATGTTCAGAAGATCCGGTTAATTCACGGCATTCCGGCAAAGAGCAGTGAGCTGGTTCACGGCGAAGAGGATCTGTTCGGGGACTACCGGATCGCCTACGGCACCAAGTCAACTTGGGAACTTCTGCGCACGCTCAGTGTGTTCTTCCTGTGCAAGTTTTCCTTCTTCACCGACAATGCTGTCCGCGTGAGTAGACCAAACGGGATTCGGTATTTTAATAAGTAGACCAAACAAGATTCGGCATTTTAATAAGTAGACCAAACAACATTCGGCATTTTATTGAGTAGACCAAACAAGAATCGGTATTTTACTGAAAAAAAAATTGAATACACTTCTATTACTTAAAGAAAAGAGTGAAGAATTATCATAATCAATTAAAAATTAATTGTTATATCTGTTTAATTGGTTTAAAAAATCCAATCCAAATAACATTCGGCATTTTAAGGAGTAGGCCAAACGAAATTTAATCTTCCATGCGTAGTCCAATGTAAATCAACTTCCGTAGGACGGCGTGGCCTATCGGTAGAGCGCTAGGCTGCTAAGTCTGGAGTTTGAATCCGGGCTCTTGTCAGTGGAGAATCCTTGAGTCCACCCAGCTTTGATGAGTACCTGACTCCATTTTAAAAGTATTTTTTGCTTAAATATATACCCATAACTTTTTTTGTTAAAAAAAATAGAACTGGTAACAATTGTTTTTAAAAATAAAGTTTACATAATTAATTAATAATTAATAGTTATATTTGTTGCAGACCAGTTTATAAAGAATTCCAAATTTGTTATATATATATATATATATATATATATATATATATATATATATATATATATATATATATATATATATATATATATATATATATATATATATATATATATATATATATATATATTACTCTAACCAGCTGATGGATATGAGCTACCGAATCCTGGGGAGGAGATTCTCTGATTTCCTCATTGAGAGAACAGTGTACTCCCAGTTTGTGGCAGGGAGGTCGGAGAAAGAGCTGATTGACGTCATCATCAAACTACGTCAGGTCGGAGTTGGACCGATGCTGTGTATACCGATAGAATGTGATCCAGATGGGTAGGTGGTCAGTTAAGGTCAAGTGTGGTCAGTTATGGTCAGCAGTGGTCAGTTGTGGTCAGTAGTGGTCAGTTGTGGTCAGTAGTGTGTTGCGTGTGATCCATCTGGGTAGGTGGTAAGCAGTATTCAGTACTGGTCAGTTGTGGTCAGTAGTGGTCAGTGTGTAGTGTGTGATCCAACTGGATAGGTGGTCTCCAGTATTCAGTAGTGGTCAGTGTATAATGTAATGTTTGACCAAGTGAGGTTGATGGTCAGTAGTGCTAAGTCTGTAGTGTGTGATCCAAGTATGTAGGTGGTCCGCAGTGGTCAGTATGTAATGTGCGACACATGTGGGTAGGTGGTCAGTAGTGGTCAGTGTGTAGTGTGTGACGCATGTGGGTAGGTGGTCAGTGTGTAGTGTGCGACACATGTGGGTAGGTGGTCAGTGTGTAGTGTGCGACACATGTGGTTATGTGGTCAGTAGTGGTCAGTGTGTAGTGTGTGACACATGTGGGTAGGTGGTCAGTGTGTAGTGTGTGACACATGTGGGTAGGTGGTCAGTAGTGGCCAGTGTGTAATGTACGACACATGTGAATAGGTGGTCAGTAGTGGTCAGTGTGTAATGTGCGACACATGTGGGTAGGTGGTCAGTGTGTAGTGTGTGACACATGTGGGTAGGTGGTCAGTGTGTAGTGTGTGACACATGTGGGTAGGTGGTCAGTAGTGGCCAGTGTGTAATGTACGACACATGTGAATAGGTGGTCAGTAGTGGTCAGTATGTAATGTGCGACACATGTGGGTAGGTGGTCAGTAGTGGTCAGCGTGAAGTGTGTGGCCCAGGTGGGTAGGTGGTCAGTAGTGGTCAGCGTGAAGTGTGTGGCCCAGGTGGGTAGGTGGTCAGTGTGTAGTGTGTGACACCCAGGTGTGTAGGTGGTCAGTGTGTAGAATATGACCAATGTGGATGCGTGTAATTTTTTTTTAAATGCGTCTCTAACATTTTTTTTTCCTTGCACTATTCTTGCCCAATCTGAATTTGTCGCAAACATTTTTTCTTGCCCCCAATCTTACGCTAACAGTTTTTCTTACATTATTCAAACCCAGCCCACCAGTCCCGGAGGAATTTTTCGACACAAGTCTGAAAAAAGTTTTAAGCAGTCTGAGCCTGGCCTTGACCTTGAATGACGCGGTGCCCATGTTCCAGTACAGGTTCAGTGCCCTTATGCCCGGGGATTTGCTGGTCAGTGATGGTCAATCGATTTTTTTTTTTTTAAAAAAGCTTGGCTGGTGTTGGAGCATTGTGGGGGATTATCATGTATTTATAGAAGATATGACTGGTCATTGTTGACATAGTTTTGATTGTAGTGGTCAATGTAAATTTGGTTATTATAGTGATTTGAATTGGTTATTGCAGTGGTTATTGCTGATATGGCTATTACTGTAGAGATTGATGTTAATAGTGTTATCAATGTAGTGGTTATTGCTGATATGGCTATTACTGTAGAGATTGATGTTAATAGTGTTATCAATGTAGTGGTTATTGCTGATATGGCTATTACTGTAGAGATTGATGTTAATAGTGTTATCAATGTAGTGGTTATTGCTGATAAGATTATAGCAGTGGTTATTGTTTTCATGGTTAGTAGTAGTGGTTAAGTGTTGATATAGTTATTGCATATTTAACCTGTACATTTTACTGAAAATAGTTGTCAAATGAAAGACAAGTGAATTGACAGCGAATGAGGGGAATGACAAGATTTTTATGCTGGGGAGAGGGTTGTGTATGGTATGGACTAGTACGTGAGGGTGGGAGTACAGTACAAAGTTTACAATCTAACATTTAGCATGTTGTTTTTAATCTCCACAGAAAGCGATGTCTAAATGCTGTACAGGGACATCACCCAATACAGAAGTGTTGAACGCTTTGGTTGAAGGAATGAAGGGAAAAAATATCGCCTTCTCTAAAGTTGGTTTGCACTTTTTCAAAGTTCAACCAATCAACGTTACTGTCGTTAATTTGAATATTTATGTATAGAAATTGAAAGAAAAAAACTATCTTCAATAAAATATTTTTAAAAATCTGTAAGTTGCTCAGTAGCCTAGCTATCAGGGTTTCTTTCGGATATTTTTCTCCAAGAAGGGGGGCACAAAACTTTAGGAGTTGGCGTGGCGTTCATTTTAAATGGGGTGGTGGTGGGGGGGGGGGGGGGGGGGGGGTAAACATGCTCTAGAGGGAAATGCCCCCCCTTTACCTTCTCTTCCCCCCCCCCCCCTCCATGCGGAAGTCATACCTGAAAGGAACTTTGTCAGCTATGTTTTAATACTTTGGCTCACTGTGTGCTTGATGTAACAAGGACATTAATTTTTTTGTGTAATGCAGCTGCCTGTGTGGTCGGAGTTCCCGGATGAAAAGTCGGAGCAGTTGGCGAGAGGTTTGAGACGATTGGGAGCCATTTGTGAGGTAATGATAGGAGGGAATCGTTAAAGTTGTTTAAAATTTTTTTTTTTTTGCCTTGGATTAAAGGTGCACGGATATTTTGGCTAGGGTACGAAGCAACTTCATTCATAGAAAGATAACTCTGAATCGCCTTCACTTAACACAACGTGAGTTGGGTACTTATTAGAGCTGTGAGGACTCAAAGAAGCCCAACGGACTCTAACTAGGATTCGAACTCAAGAGTTTCCAGCTACCGTCAAACCATGCCGTGCCATAAACGATACGAAAGAATTCTCGATATCATACAGACTACCTTGTTAGAAATTTTAAAAATATGATCCTATCCTTAATTCTTTCCTTAACTCCTATATCGATAGTGTCAGACTAAATTATCGATACAGACTGTATTTCCACGATTGGATATTTTACAAGTAGTCTCGTTCTATCCGCGTAGTAGGCAATAAGTCCAAACGCTATTGTAGACTTAATTGAATACGAATTGTATGACCCTGTTGCTATTGAAAGTACTATTGTTCTTTAAATGTAGACAATTAAACACCATTATGTTATAGACTTGATTGAATACGGAGTGTACGGTCCTGATAGATTTTACCAGTAGTGTTGTTTAACCCCTATAGGCGATGAAACCCCACGATGTTGTGGGTTTGATTGATGCTGAGTACACCTACCTGAACCCCGCCCTCAGGGTATTAGCCCTGTCCATGATGAAATATTGTAACACAGAGAGGGCCAAAGTCTTTTACACCTACCAGGCTTACCTTAAGGTAAATTTTGGAACAATTATATCTCTAGCGATGTCCACGATGATATATATATATATATATATATATATATATATATATATATATATATATATATATATATATATATATATATATATATATATATATATATATATATATATATATATATATATATAGGCCTATATATATATGTTTATTTATTTATATTTATATATTTATTTATATTTATATATATTTATATATAAAGGAGAAGATTGCGTCTACGCTTATCTTACCTGAAAGCTTAAAGAGAAGGAGCAGTGTTCTACAGAGTTTCTTCCAGGCATCTCCCCCCCCCCCCCCCCCCCGAAGAAAGTCTACCGCCCCCCCCCCCCCCCCTCCCCCAAACGAAATGGAATTTATTTAGAAAATATATACTTTTACCAGTGTCCGTCGTCCCCGTCCCCCCCCCCCCCCGGAAAATTGAGTCCGCCCTCCTCCCCCTCCCCCCAAATATCAAGTGCCCCCCCCCCCCCCAAGAAAAAAGTCTGAATGAAACACTGGTCTTCTTCGCCTACCAGGCGTATCTTTAATGAAGTTTGCAACGCTTAATTAAGCCCATTTAAAAATCCTTATTTGTAATCCAGGCAACACCAGCCATCTTGGAAAATGACATCAGCTATGCGAAAGAAAACGGTTTCTGCTTCGGTTTAAAATTAGTCAGGGGAGCTTACATGGTAAAGGAAAGACAACTCGCGCGAACATACAGGTATGAAGACCCAGTGAATGAGTCGTTTGAGCAAACGACCAACAGTTATCACAGATGTCTTGATCTTCTTTTCAAGAGAGTTCTTCAGGGACCGCAACTCTCGTGCAGGTTTATTATTGCCTCCCATAATGAAGACACAGTTAGGTACGCCTTGCAAAGGTAACGCCTTCAAGTTTTCTTTAGTTTTAAATTAACAAAATAGTTTCAAGGCGATGCAGTTTTCTAAAATCGATAAATTTGTTTTAGGTATTTAAAAAAAAAAATAACAGACATATGCTTCATATTTCTCTTTATGCGACAAACAACTGAAGCAAACAAAACATTTATGCAACTGATTTGGATCTGGCATCACGATGGTTGTCAATGTCTTTGTTTTGTTTATTTGTGAAAGGATGGAGGAGCTCCAGATTCCCAAAGATGGCGTCTCCGTGTTGTTTGGGCAGCTGTATGGCATGGCAGATCACGTGTCTTACACGCTTGGTACGTTTATCGATTACTTTTTTCTTCAATGGCGTAGGCAAGGGGGTGGGGGTGGGGGGGTGGGGGTTTGACCCCTCCCATGGACCCATATATATATATATATATATATATATATATATATATATATATATATATATATATATATATATATATATATATATATATATATATATATATATATACTAGGCATACTGCCTAGCTTCGCTTAGGTTTTCAAAAGCATTTGTTGATAATTTGAATACTAATTATTTAGTGATGGATGAGGTATGGAGTGCTTAAATTTAAACAGTAATGCTAATTTTAGAGAAGATGTTGTTGATTGTTGCTTATCATCCTTTGTGGAAGAAATTATTTGAAAGTACGCAATTTCTGACTAAAATGGAAATAGAACTACAGAGGTTCCATGAACAGTATATTCAAAAATTTCTATTACATTGACTTTTAAAATTATTTTTTAAATTTAATTATGATACGTAGCTTAATTGGTAACTTAATTTTTTACTAAAGCAAATGCTATACTTTGTCATTTTCTGTTTCTCTTTAAAATAGTATACAATTATTTGAAAAATAATTATTTAAATAGGTTACCTCCCTTGAAAATAGACCGAATGACGTATGTCTTTGTTTTCTTTTTTTAAACCAACAGTTGCTATTCTTATATAAGAAAATACGATAAATGAACATATTTAACGACTACAATGGCTTTTTTCCGACGGAAATAAAGTTTTTTGTTATCCTCCAGGGTCGGTTTACGACCTCAAATAATATTAAGGGGATCGTTCGTCAATTTATTTATATACATCTCATATAAGGAGAATTTCACTCGCGGTCATCTTTTAGCACTGGTCGAGGGCTTTGAGTCTGACCAACAGTTTTTCCATAGGGCCTAGTCATCTATAGAAGTGTATGCAAAACATGAGCATGATGTACAGAGGTTAAGTAACCTAAAAATTGTGTTGAAAATTCCCTGTTTTCCCCATAAAATACAAAGATTATATAGGGAAATACAACTGGTCAGTTTTGACCGCTTTACGAAGTTTTCCCAGATATGCCGAGTTTTTTGTGACACCCCTAGGTGTTCTTCTACCACCTCACAAAATATCAAGGGGGGTCGTCGGAGGAAATTTTTTTTCGTAATAGAGCTCATATAAAGAGAATTTCACTCGCGGTCACTTTTTAGCCCTCGTCGAGGGCTTTGAGTGTAACCGACAGTTTTCCCTAAAGGCCAAGCCATTGACCTAGGAGCATGCAAAAAATTAGCCAGATATACTGAGCTTAAGTACCCTAAAGTCTGCGTTGAAATGACCCTCTGTTTTTCCCATAAAATACAAAGATTATATAGGGAAATACAACTGGTCAGTTTTGACCGCTTTACGAAGTTTTCCCAGATATGCCGAGTTTTTTGTGACACCCCTAGGTGTTCTTCTACCACCTCACAAAATATCAAGGGGGGTCGTCGGAGGAAATTTTTTTCGTAATAGAGCTCATATAAAGAGAATTTCACTCGCGGTCACTTTTTAGCCCTCGTCGAGGGCTTTGAGTGTAACCGACAGTTTTCCCTAAAGGTCAAGCCATTGACCCATGAGCATGCAAAACATTAGCCAGATATACTGAGCTTAAGTACCCTAAAGTCTGCGTTGAAATGACCCTCTGTTTTTCCCATAAAATACAAAGATTATATAGGGAAATACAACTGGTCAGTTTTGACCGCTTTACGAAGTTTTCCCAGATATGCCGAGTTTTTTGTGACACCCCTAGGTGTTCTTCTACCACCTCACAAAATATCAAGGGGGGTCGTCGGAGGAAATTTTTTTTCGTAATAGAGCTCATATAAAGAGAATTTCACTCGCGGTCACTTTTTAGCCCTCGTCGAGGGCTTTGAGTGTAACCGACAGTTTTCCCTAAAGGTCAAGCCATTGACCTATGAGCATGCAAAAAATTAGCCAGATATACTGAGCTTAAGTACCCTAAAGTCTGCGTTGAAATGACCCACTGTTTTTCCCATAAAATACAAAGATTATATAGGGAAATACAACTGGTCAGTTTTGACCGCTTTACGAAGTTTTCCCAGATATGCCGAGTTTTTTGTGACACCCCTAGGTGTTCTTCTACCACCTCACAAAATATCAAGGGGGGTCGTCGGAGGAAATTTTTTTTCGTAATAGAGCTCATATAAAGAGAATTTCACTCGCGGTCACTTTTTAGCCCTCGTCGAGGGCTTTGAGTGTAACCGACAGTTTTTCCTAAAGGCCAAGCCATTGACCTATGAGCATGCAAAAAAATTAGCCAGATATACTGAGCTTAAGTACCCTAAAGTCTGCGTTGAAATGACCCTCAGTTTTTCCCATAAAATACAAAGATTATATAGGGAAATACAACTGGTCAGTTTTGACCGCTTTACGAAGTTTTCCCAGATATGCCGAGTTTTTTATGACACCCCTAGGTGTTCTTCTACCACCTCACAAAATATCAAGGGGGGTCGTCGGAGGAAAATTTTTTTCGTAATAGAGCTCATATAAAGAGAATTTCACTCGCGGTCACTTTTTAGCCCTCGTCGAGGGCTTTGAGTGTAACCGACAGTTTTCCCTAAAGGCCAAGCCATTGACCTAGGAGCATGCAAAAAATTAGCCAGATATACTAAGCTTAAGTACCCTAAAGTCTGCGTTGAAATGACCCTCAGTTTTTCCCATAAAATACAAAGATTATATAGGGAAATACAACTGGTCAGTTTTGACCGCTTTACGAAGTTTTCCCAGATATGCCGAGTTTTTTGTGACAACCCAAGGCGTTCTTCTACCACCTCACAAAATATCAAGGGGGGTCGTAGGAGGAAATTTTTTTTCGTAATAGAGCTCATATAAAGAGAATTTCACTCGCGGTCACTTTTTAGCCCTCGTCGAGGGCTTTGAGTGTAACCGACAGTTTTCCCTAAAGGCCAAGCCATTGACCTAGGAGCATGCAAAAAATTAGCCAGATATACTAAGCTTAAGTACCCTAAAGTCTGCGTTGAAATGACCCTCAGTTTTTCCCATAAAATACAAAGATTATATAGGGAAATACAACTGGTCAGTTTTGACCGCTTTACGAAGTTTTCCCAGATATGCCGAGTTTTTTGTGACAACCCAAGGCGTTCTTCTACCACCTCACAAAATATCAAGGGGGGTCGTCGGAGGAAATTTTTTTTCGTAATAGAGCTCATATAAAGAGAATTTCACTCGCGGTCACTTTTTAGCCCTCGTCGAGGGCTTTGAGTGTAACCGACAGTTTTCCCTAAAGGTCAAGCCATTGTCTTAGGAGCATGCAAAAAATTAGCCAGATATACTGAGCTTAAGTACCCTAAAGTCTGCGTTGAAATGACCCTCTGTTTTTCCCATAAAATACAAAGATTATATAGGGAAATACAACTGGTCAGTTTTGACCGCTTGACGAAGTTTTCCCAGATATGCCGAGTTTTTTATGACACCCCTAGGTGTTCTTCTACCACCTCACAAAATATCAAGGGGGGTCGTCGGAGGAAATTTTTTTTCGTAATATAGCCCATATAAGGCGCTGGTCAGTCGAGGTCAGTTTTGACCCCCTCTCCGTAGACTTTTTGCCAAACCGTCACCGGCCCTCGTGTTCTATCGCCCCAAGGCACCATCGTGCCAAATTTGACGCGCCTGCGGCGCTGGGAAGTGCCCTATCGGGCACCCGACAACTTTGCTTTATATATATAGATATATATATATATATATATATATATATATATATATATATATATATATATATATATATATATATATATATATGGAAAAATGTTGAACCCCTCCCATGACCAATTCCTGGCTACGCCACTGTTCTTCTTAAAAACTGTTATTGAAATAACTTTAACCAAAAAAAAAACAAAAACAACCAAACCAGCTATGATCACCACAGTCTCCTTTTTTTAAAAAAATATTAGCCATTAGTGTAGACTCAGTGTATGTTTCATACAACTTCATGTTGTTTCGCATTCTTCGTCCGTTTTAGTGTTTCTTTCAGATATTTTTCTCGGGGGGGGGGGGGGGTCACTTGAAACTTTCAACGAGGGGGGAGGGGTAATGTAAAGTTCCCTTTTTGAACCTGACGATGCACGGGACAAGTGAATCTGTTTCAGTGACCTCGGCATATGAAGGGATAGTATGGGGGCGGGGGAGAAGGGAGGGCGGGGGGCATTTCACTATTTCCATAAGAGAAAGGCAGATACGGGTTAAAGTATATCTTTTCTTTATAAATTATATTTTTCTATTTTGTCCCGTGTGGAGGGAGGTGTCCTTTTAATCCAATTTAAAAGAGTTGTATAACAGGTTTTCAATTATAAATAAATACAATGTAATTGTGTGTTACAACGTTCCAAGACTTTTCCACTCGTATATTCCAGGACACAACGGGTACCGCATCTTCAAGTCCATTCCCTACGGCTCCATAGCCGACACGTTGCCGTACCTGGCCAGGCGAGCCCAGGAAAACAAGGCCATCTTGGCCAATGCCAGGAGGGAGAGGGCACTGGTGGGGAAGACGCTGAAGTCTAGAATTTTCTCTAGTTAGATCAATTGCAGCAATGGAAACGATTCAAATTTGGGGGTAACTAAAGGGGGTCGTCCATAAATGACATCACACTTGTAGGGTGGGGGGGGGGTCGGTAATTTTGTAACGATGTGTGACGAGGGGGAGGGGAGAGGTAAAAATCGTCCAAAAAGTAAGGACTTATTGTAAAAATAATGTGTCAGGGTGATATAAAATTAAACAATCAGAAAATTCTCTTCGTGTTTCATACTTGTTTTTAGTTACATCAGTAAGCGACCAACACATAGGAATCAACCCAACATTTTCTGGGAGATAACTCCCACTAAAAGCCAGTTAGCCTGACTAATGGGGACGGCTCCTGAGCCGGGAGTTACGTGTCTCTTGAGAAACATCAGTAGAAAGCCTACAATCTTTATAATTCGAATCCGGGTTCAAGTCAGTGGTACGTCCCTGAATCCACCCAGCCCTGATGGGTACCTGACTCACGTTAGGGAAAGTAAAGGCTCTCGGGCATTGAGCTGACCACACTATCTCTTCATATTCGATGTCATAAAAACAGGTGAACTCTGCTTCACTTGCCCAATGGACCTTCTGGTTCGAAAAGGGAATTTTACCCATTTCAGTAATCAGTTCTACAAACCCCCTAACCCCCGACACAACAAGAAGTCATCAGGGATAGGTTCAACTCTTCAAAACCTCCGGCACGCATAAATGACGGCCAAAGTTTTAGAGTTCACCATTATGCATGTCATAGCTTGCTAAGTCTTATCTGCTGAATAAAAAGTGACGACACAAAATTGCATTCAATCACAGAGCTGCTCCATATCAACTGCTGTGTCAGCTATTTTTAGACACTAACCAGCTAAATTTAGCTGCGGGTTTTCACAGAATGTTGTGCGTGGAATTTGTCTTTTAGTATCTACACTAGTGTACCCGTCACGCGTCGTTGCGATCCTCAGAAAAAAAAAGAACATTCTCGGTAACTCTCGTTATAACAACATTTAATTGCTGCCAGTTGTGTAATTTTAACTTTTTTTATCTGTTTCAGGAAACATATAACGGGCGCAAAAATTATGTTTCTTTTTTTTTCTCTTAAGCTAAACCTCGTTTTCATGTCAATGTGACTGCGAGAAAGAGAATCGCGCACCTATTATGGATTAGGTATAGGGTACCCTGCTCTGGTCAAAGGAAGAGTGGTGGGTGGGGGGGTGGGGAAAGTTGACAAGGCGACCGGACTTATAAATGGCCAAATTATCAGAATCAGTTTACATGCTGTTCTCCTGAAATTACAAAATTACTTGATAAGATTGAGGAAATGTGAACTCAATGGGGCCAACAGTGTGAAGAATTCAATCGAATTAGACCATGTCATTAAATTATACTATTAGACTATATTATTAGACTAAACTAATAAGCTATCAGTATTTCGTTCAGTCATCTCTTCGGGGGAGCCCCCCCCCCCCCCCAAACGAAATAGAAAATATTTTTTATAGAAAATATATACTTTTAACAGCGTCCACCCATCCTGGAAAATTTAGTTCGTCCCCAGCTCCGAAATTATTCTCAAGTGGACCTTCCCTTCTCCCCCCCCCCCCCCCCGAGAAAAAAAGTCTGAAAGGAAGACTGTCTACTACACTATTAGACTATACTATAAGGAAAGATTAAAATGTAAGCTTCATGCTGTCTGAATTTAAGTAGCATAATCTATATATATAATTCTCTTCTGGGAGCCGCTAGAAAACAAGCTGTAAACGCGCTCCCTACCTCCCCACCCTACATGGTCTTAGTGAGCTGTGTTCACTCTAAATGTTTACAAGCAGAGCCAACGATTTTAAACGTAAGGGGGGAGAAGGGGGAAGGAAGGGGGGGGGTTATGGTCCTTAACGAGCTACTTATAGTGTTTTAAAGAAATATGTTCAGTGGCAGCGTTGGTAATGTCGAATTCACAAATTATGAATTACTGAAAAGTAGAAAATAAAACAACTAAATAGCGGCGTATGTTATGCCGCGGGCTGGCTCGTATACGATATTCCCCGGGTATTTAATGCCGCTCTATAATCATGGCATAGTTTATAATCGTATTTTCCTCTGTGACATACGGACTTTCAAGTCTACAATATAATATATATATATATATATATATATATATATATATATATATATATATATATATATATATATATATATGCTGACGTCAGCGTACACGCGCGATGTGTTCTTGTTCATCGACCCATCTATTTTTTATTTTTTTATAACCCAAGATGGCATTTCACATTACGTGTTTTTTTCATGGGTTTTCCCGTTACATCAATTTTTACCTTTGGCCATGTTTAATGGGTTTTTCCTCAAGTTGAAAGAAATTTAATATACACGCATCAAATAACGCAGGTAAGAAGCAGGTGTTTCATTCATTTGAGTCTATGATAAAATAATTGTTATCTAAATCTTCATTTAAATTGATCAATGGATGACAAAGTAATAGTTAATATTTTTTTATAGCAACATTGAAATCATGGCGTTGAAAATTTAATTTATAAAATGAAATATCAACGAAAACATGGTGTGGAAAATTTTATTTATAAAATCAAGCATCATCGTTCACACGTGGGTAACTTCCTACTGAGGTCCATGTTACCCACCTACACTAAGGTGACTGCAATACAGCAGCTGACCACGTTTGATTCCGTTGTACCCCATCTTGGTACCATTCTCCAGAGTTTTCCCTTCTTTCGTCGTGATGTTGTTGACTGCAGTACCCGTTCTCTGTGCCACCTTTTTACGAAATACTTCTACTTTTTCTTCTGAATTGGTTTCTACGGTAAACTTATTTCCTTCCAAATCCTGAACTTGAACCTCAAAATTGCTGTTGATGAACAATTGATTTCTTTATAGTGATGCATTTTATAGGATTTTCATTTAATCATTTTAGTTAAAGAGTAAAATGACTATCCCCTAATGCGTTTTTGCTTAATACATTACAGTTTCATTTAACAGGGGGCATGTACAGTTTAAACTTTACTTAAGATAGAAAGACATTATAACTCCTAACTTTGCTTCACGAAGAGATATCAGTCTTATACATTTTAGTTGTAATAAACAGAAAACATGCTCAAAGTATAAATAAACAGTTAACAATGATTTTTTTAATGAATAAAATATTCTGATACATTTTAGTCGTAACAAACAGAAAACATGCTCAAAGTATAAATAATGAACACAATTATTTACAGACTGAATTTTAAAAAAAAGTGTTGTTTCCTAACCTTGTTCGGATCCACTCTTTGGTTCTCTCTGCCCCGCCCATAGCAGCGCTCGCAAGTCCGGGCAGGGCACTGTGACCCCGAGTAGTGCTGTGACCTGATCTGACACCACTGTCCAGCGACGGACGCCCCTGGCCAGGGCGTGGCTCTGAAAACATTAGATTTGGTTCGATTGAAGGAAACACTCATTTTAGAAATTTTAGAGGAAACTACAAACATTCTAACCAAGCATATATATATATATATATATATATATATATATATATATATATATATATATATATATATATATATATATATATATATAGTTGCCAGCAATAAAAAAAATATTCTTTTTAAATCTATGAAATTAAAGCTTGCCAACCCCAAATACCAAGAATTCTTTCAGACCATTTTCTGCTGAGGGGGGGGGGGGCAATTGAAGCTTCCTGGGAGGGTGGGGGGACGTACATTGTTTGAAGTATATATTTTATATTCAAATTACAGATTTTATTTTCTATTCCGTCCGATGTGGGTGTTTACTGTGGACGTGCTCAGGGCGACGCTGCCCACCACCCCCTCCCTTTCCCGGAGACATACCTGAAAGAAACTCCGCCACATTTTCATGACTGAGCGAGGTTCAAAAACAAATCAGAGCTAAACAAGAAGAAGATTTCACACACATACCTACAAGAGTTGACACGCTGGATTCTGCTCTGGTGCTCATACTGTCGGTGTTTTGAACACCACTATCTGTACTTCCAGCATCCATATTCTATAAATAGTGAGTACAATAATATATTTTAAAATTAGATCACTTTTTTCTTAGTTAAATGATCTTTTATAATAGTGGTAACAGTACAAAGGCAATTTAAGATAGAATATCACAAGACAAAATTAATTTAAGGTAGAATATCACAAGACAAAATTAATTTAAGATAGAATATCACAAGACAAAATTAATTTAAGATAGAATATCACAAGACAAAATTAATTTAAGATAGAATATCACAAGACAAAATTAATTTAAGATAGAATATCACAAGACAAAATTAATTTAAGATAGAATATCACAAGACAAAATTCCTCAAGACAGAATATCACAAGACAAAATTCGTTAAAGATAGAATATCCCAAGACAAATTTCCTCAAAGATTATATCTCACAAGACTAATTTTTTCAGAGATAGAATATTTCAAAACAAAATATCTTAAACTTAACATCCATCAACATAAAAAATCTTTACGATGACAAGATTTTGAAGACATTCACAATATCTAAAATAACCAACTAAAACAGATCTACGTTTTACAAGTGATCTATTGGGCAGCTCATGAACACAGATAGACATGTCGATACTGTGAACTAATAACATACGTCTACACATTTATTTTAAGCCGGAATAATAAATAAACTTACCTATCTGACGCGAAATGGTCAAGATTTAAGAAAAAATGAGATTGAAATCTTGATGCTGCTTTATGTTAATATAGACTAGATAAAATTAGCTATTACGTGTTGTTTGGGAAAACCATATTCTTATCGAACAGAAAATGCTAGAGCTACATTTTTTTAAAGCATCCAGTTTTTCCGATATGTAAACAATAGAGGGAAAGATAACGGTTAGGATTAAAAGTGGTTTTTAAAAACGTCTGTCTATTGGTGTAAGCCGCAATGTCAGCTCCAAACTTGTTTGGTAGATTACATAAGAGCGCTAGATAGGTTCTTTTTATGAGATGTCGTAGCTCTGTATTCGTGAAATAAAATGATGAATAGTTTATTATGTGTTTATAACTGAAAAGAAATCCGTTATTGTTAGGGTCGGACTACCAATGTAAATTAATAAATTCTTTTATAAAATAAGCAAATGTATAATTATATCTTATTGACAATTTCTATAGTTATTTTGTCTACACTAAGCTAACCAAACACACTTCTTTAATAAAATAAGCACGTGTATAATTATATCTTATTGACAATTTCTATAGTTATTTTGTCTACACTAAGCTAACCAAACACACTTGTGGCTTTTTATAGGGATATACAAATATGCGAGTTCAAATCCGTGTTCTAGTATCCTGAGTGGGTAGCTAACTCACGTCAGGGAAAATAAAGGCGGTTGGGCATAGTGCTGACCACACTATCCCTTCATATGCAGAGGCCACTGAAACAGATGAACTCTACTTCATCTGCCCCGTGTGTCTTGGGCACGAACGGGAAAAGAGTAAGACGTTGATGATACCAACATTAAATAAAACAAATTTAAATGAGAAACTCTGCTTTTCCGTTTAGTTTATATTAAATGTATATACATCATTAGGCACAGGAATTTAGTCCAAGTGGATATTGACGAAGGAGGTGATGATGATATTAATTTGCTCTAATTCTGGCGTTGCTGTGTGTAGAAGGCTCGGATGCCCCCCCCCCCCCCCACACACACACACACAAACACACATCTCTATTTAAAAATATAAAAAAAGGAAAATTTATAAAATCGAAATAGCACCCCATATATATATATATATATATATATATATATATATATATATATATATATATATATATATATATATATATATATATATATATATATATATATATATATATATATATATATATATATATATATATATATATGTGTGTGTGTGTGTGTGTGTGTGTTTGTGTGTGCGTGTATGTGCAACACAATACGATACGATACGATACGAGACGAGACGAGACGATGATACGATACGATACGATACGAGTCGATACGATACGATACGATACGATACGATACGATACGATACGATACGATACGATACGATACGATACGATACGATACGATACGATACGATACGATACGATGCGATACGATGCGAAGCGATGCGATGCAATGCAATGCAATGTAATACCCACTTATAACTCGGCAATTACGTTAGAGAAATTTAAAAAAAAAAACACGTTTATTTCTAAAGACAACGCAAGAATATATATTTTTCACGCTAGTTAAACAAAGTGTTTACTTTACAAAGACATTTTGTGTATTATCTTTCATTGAATAATTAAATTGCAAAAAAAATAATTCAGTTTTTATTTCCAAGGCTGAGAATTCCCAAGTGACTATCGATAATCCTCTGATTTAAGTAAGAACTCTATCTGTTCAGACTGTATGAATTCTGATTATAGGTCGTACAAGAGCGAATGAAAGAAAACTACATTGTATGTCGGTAGCACACATTGAATGAAATAGCAATCAACCTTTTCAAACTATATTTGACGGGAAGAAAATGAATTAACACCCAATTATGAAAAGCTATATAAATATATATTTTAAAAAACGTCATTGTTTTACATATAATAGTAAATTTTAATAACTGCACTACAAATATGTGTAAAAAAATAATGTTATAAGTAAAAACAAATAGCATAAACAAATGCTAAAACATGTTGCTTATTTTGTCCATAAAACTTGTAATTCTACTTCTAGTAATGTTTACACTTTAAAAAAATATTTAAAATAGAGAAAATTATTACTAAACATTATTACTATTACTACATTATTACATAGCTATATAACTATTAATATAATATTATTAATAAAACATAAAAAAGTGATAGTTGAATTGTAGGTATGCATTACACTATTCATTTATTTAATGTATTGAAACTCAACTATTTAATCAAACTTCTGATCTACTTTTATAAATGATGAGCTAACATATTTTCGTAACTTCATGCGCTGAGGCAGACATTAGCCACCGATCATTCGATCACAACTTAAGACAGTATCCAAATGCTTGATGTTGTAGTCGCTTAGCCTTTTGTTATCTTCAAGGGTTGCGCCATACTGTGTTGTGATGGACGTTGAATTATTACCTGTAAGGGTAGATACTTTTTTCCGAAATTCGGAAACTTTTTCATCAGGTCTGGCATGTATAACCTCAGTGTGGTTCTTCAAATCTTTAACCTTGACTTCAAATGAACTAGAAAGGATTCATGAAAAAAAAATTAAACTTTTTAAAGTACTAATTTATTACAACTATAAAAATATTAAATTAAATTCGTTTGCACTTTTAAAATGCTGAAGATTTAAGCTTATGTTTAACTCTGAATTTAAAAAAAAATTACTTTCTGTCCATTTTTTCTATTAATTTTGGAGCAGGCTGTGTAGTTCTATTTGTTCTTGAAGGCGTAGAAGCTTTAATGTCAACAAGAGTATTTATGTGTGCTTGAGTGCTCTTGATTTCAGATATATGACTGTTTCCAATTACAGATGAAACGCTTGATTGCCTTGACGATGCTTTTTCAGCGTGGGTGCTCTTGATTTCAGATAAATGACTGTTTCCAGTTACAGATGAAACGCTTGATTGCCTTGACGGTGCTTTTTCAGATTGTGTGCTCTTGATTTCTGATATATGACTGTTTCCAGTTACAGATGAAACGCTTGATTGCCTTGACGGTGCTTTTTCAGATTGAGGGCTCTTGATTTCTGATATATGACTGTTTCCAGTTACAGATGAAACGCTTGACTGCCTTGACGGTGCTTTTTCAGATTGGGTGCTCTTGATTTCAGATATATGACTGTTTCCAGTTACAGATGAAACGCTTGATTGTCTTGACGGTGCTTTTTCAGATTGGGTGCTCTTGATTTCAGATATATGACTGTTTCCAGTTACAGATGAAACGCTTGACTGCCTTGACAGTGCTTTTTCAGATTGAGTGCTCTTGATTTCAGAAACCTGAATGTTACCTATAACCACTGATTCGCTTGATTGTCCACCTTGTGGGATATCGATAACCAATCGTTCTGTACTTGGTTGGCTTTGATTTGGATCTGTGTTTCGGACAGAAATAAATGAAAGAAACATTTCTCTTTAGGCCTAAAAAAGTAACAAATAAAAAATGCTTTTTTGTTTTTGTTATAAAATACATAAATATAACTCTAAATTTTAGAAATGTTTTACTGAAGTGTATAATACATTAAAACCATCTGTTTTCTTATAATTACTTTATCGTTTTTTACTTTATTAACTTCAATTTTTATAAATTTTCTCAGCTTATTCGGTGGTTTTTATTTTACGGACAGTGGTGGCGTTAATGTTATACTTTATCGAGATTATGACTGAATGAAGTTTATAAGTGTGATTTTGATGGTATTTACCTCTTACTGAAGACATTATACATGTAGTTATATACGAAGAAAATTATTTTTTTGGCTAATATTTGTGGGTTTTTTTTTTTTTTTTGTCGGATTTCACGGAATATTTAGTTTCGATTTAATGATTATACAGTATATTAAACAATGAAGATCGCACCAAATAGTCGCTGCGGCGTTTAAAATAATAAACATTAGTCTAATTTTCGTAAAAAATCATTGTACCGTTTTTGGGTAAGTAAAGTAAAAACAAAATCTGAAAATTCTTAGTTTTATAACAGTTAAACCAACATACAAATAGAACTAATTTTTTCAGCCTTTATTTTAAAATTATTAATATGAGTTAAATTCACAGAAAACCATACCAACAAATGGCGAGGCGCTTGGAGTCTTTTGGGCGCTCATAACATCCGAAGTTGTACATACTACGTTGTCATTGCTCTCGCGAGTTCCATTCATGACTTGCCCATTCACAGCTTGTTGACTGAGTATACACAGTTAGTACCAAAGTTTTATACAAGGTTAAAGCGCAGTTCTAACACCTTTACTATAAGAGCTAAATTTTACCAGTAAATGAAGAATGTTTGTAAACATTGAGGAAGATGTAAGTTAAATTAGAACCACATTAGAGAATTTCATTGTTATTTAATTGTTCATTCTGGAAGTAGTTGTTTATAATTTTCTAAAATCCCCAGGCAGCAGAGATTCTTTCAGGCATCTCTTCATGGGGTGGGAGGTGGTCCAACCAGAGGCGTAGCGACCCTTCCCGGCGCCCGGGGACAAACTTTCAATTTGACACCCCCACCCCCCATATATTTTTTTAAATTTATAATACAAAACTGCAGCTAAAATGAGCTTTTAATTTTTTTTTCAATCCATTTTGGTGCCCCTAGGGTCGTCGCCCGGGGACATGTGTACCCTACGCCCCCCCCCCCTCGCTACGCCTCTGGTCCCAACCCTTAGGATTTAGGGCAGATTAAGTAATGACGGAAATACTTCTTGACCTCGGCATATGAGTTGTGCTCAGCGCTTTTATCAGCCGCCTTTAAATTCTCTAATTTGATTCAGGTACCTATTATTGCTGCGTAGACTCAAAGAAGTTCTGCAGTCTCGTCCGGATCGAAACCGTACACGAGGCCATCGGGCTAACAGGCAAGCGCTCTACCACCCAATCATGCCGTCCTCAGCTGTTCATAAAATGCCGTCTTAACATTTAATAAATATTTTTCTGTTTAAAAAAAAATCATATTTTTTATTTACGTTTGAACCGATGGCATTTGTCTTTGATTCGAAACTTTGGTACCAGGTCTCTCAGAGCCACTCACAAAGCCGCTGTCTGAACTTGCAATGCTGCGGGCAGCATGGGGGTAGCCGTGGTGGGAGGGGTCGTCAGACCGGATGTGTCCGGTCACGTGATGCTGGTGTCCCCTGTTTGACCACTTGGTCGATGACGTAACACTTGTAGGACTGAGAAGACCGGAGTCAAACGTGTCCAAGTTTCCGTCAACAGCAGGGGGACGGGAAGCTGAAATTAAGACAAACTTTTCCTATTTTACTGTGATTGACTACGATGCTGATTTTTACAAAATAGTGGTTGCATTTGTGTTTAAATTTCATTATTGTTTGATAAAATGTATATAGTTTAAAATTATTTGCTTTTAAAAACTGGTAGCCTAGAAAATATTTGTATGTAGCCTACTTGTCTTCTTGCTCATGAGATCTTTTACATATTTTAGCGACATAAGCTTTTATGAAAGAAATCAGATTAGTTTTATTTTCTTATTTTCTTTGCATTTAAAAACTTGTTGCTATATAGATTTTTTAAAATATTTGTTGTTTTTTTAAACTATACCATTTAATTAGTTTTTCTGTCGTAATATCTATTTCCGAGTAGTCACTTCGTTTAAATTATAACTAATAGTGAGTTTATGGGACGGAGTGTAAGTCTCGAGTTCGAATCCGGGTTCAAGTCAGTAGACCGTCCCTGAGTCCACCCAACTCTGATAGGTACCTAACTCACGTTAGGTATTTAAAGGCGGCTTGGCATAGTGCTGACCACACTATCTCTTCATATGCCAAGGTCACAGAAACAAGTGAACTCTACTTCACTTGCCCCATAGACAGTCAGGTTTGAAAGGGAAACTGTACTTTACTTAATATTGAGTTTGATAACACAACTTACCACGAAGAGACGATGCGCGTGAAATACTTGCGACGCTCATAACTTCTGAGATGCCACTGTCGCTACTTACATCCACCATTTCTACATTCGCATCCTGATGCCTGGTTCAGCAAAAGAAGTACCAAATATATAAGTAAATAAAGGATCTATCTTTTTAATATTGACGCGCATAATTTTATTTATTTACTTGGTATATTTCTCATAAATAGGACGACGTAGTCGCATCATAGAGTGTTTGGCTAACCCGAAGGTCTCGAGTTCGAATCACGGTTCTGATTTATGACTTCAGGACATCCATGAGTCCACACAGCTCTGATAAGTACCTGCCTTACGTTGAGGAAAGTAAATGCAGCTGGGCATAGTGCTGACCACAACATCCCTTTATATACCGAGGGCAAGAAACGCAAGCGGATGAACTCTACTTCATCTGTTTAATGGGGTGCTAGTTCTATCAAGGATTCTCTATATATCTCTTATAGATATAGAAAGAGATATGAAGTAATTTTTCAACCCCACTGCCTGCCGTCGTCTACGCCACTGCCTCTACATACAACAGTTTGAATTGAGGCATACCCCTGTTTCAGTTTTGCATTTTAATATTATATTTCCAACTTTCTTTGCCAATGAGATCGATAAAATAATTCGGGGTGAAGAACTAAGTGAACTTTTTAAGCTTTAAGAAAAGGTGTTTTCTTTTCTGGCCGTGGGTCAAGTTTAAAAATAGATATGACATGAAATACATTTAGTCTCTTAGAATTACGCATTGATCGAAGTAAAACTAAAATCAAAGCCAAATTTTTATTATTAAGAAATGTATTCAAACTAAAATGAAATGTGGTTTCAATTTCAGATTAAATTTTAATTTAAATGGATATTTTTTTTTCTTAAAATGTTATTGTTGATCTGGCTATTAATATTATTGTCAAATATTTTAAAATCTTTATGCGTGGCAAAAAATATAGTCTTATTCTTTTCTTACTTTTCAACCCATTCTTGTGTTTTCTGAGTTGAATCTAGGTCATCCATAACCAAACCACGGTTAGAACTTGCATTGCTGTGGGCAGCATTGGCGTGGCCTGACGGGATGTGTCCGGTCACGTGATGCTGGTGTCCACTGTTTGACCACTGGGTCGATGACGTAACACTTGTAGGACTGAGAAGACCAGAGTCGAAATAGTCCACGCCTCCGTCAAAAGCAGGGGGAGGGCAGGCTAAAATGTAAAATTTCGTTCTGCTAAGGCAATTAAATTTTTAAGTCACTACTTCACCTCAGTTAACCGAGATTTAATGAGTACAATACTCTCGTTAAGGAAAGTAGAGGTGGCTGGGCATTGTGCTAAACACTATCCCTGCATATCCCGAGGTAACGGAAATAGGTGAACTCAACTTTATTTGCCCAATTGACCGTCAGTTTCGGAAAAGGAACATTGCTTTTACTTCAATTACAATACAATTTCTGGTTGGGCTTTTCGCGGACTACCCATGATAACCTAGATTTAATTATGCTAATGGGTTAAAATATTCGTTGCTGTAATGCCAATGTTTATTTTATCATAGGTTTCTAACCCTCAAACTATCACTTACAAACAAGAGTAGCGGTACTTGCCGCGCTTCTTGTGCTCATTGCATCTGAGCCTGTGCCCACACCACTGTCTTCACTCTCTGCTACATCCATTTTGTCTTCTGTCGTAGACATTTTCCTGGCCTTTTGTTATTCTAGAAATATATATAAATATATAAAAATATATATATATATATATATATATATATATATATATATATATATATATATATATATATATATATAATGTTCACAAATACTGACAAAAAGGCTTGAAAGTTGTTTTTTTCCGTAACAAAACAAATATATTTATAGCCCATATCAAACACATCGTGAATAAAATTTATTATTTTGTAATCACGCTTTATTTTGACATAATCCTAGATGGATTTAAAACCTAATTGTGTATAAGCCTAAACATTTTTACGAAAAATGAAGTTAAAGCAATCTAGTTCTATGAAAGCTGTATTTTCATACAGACACATATGATTACATATACCTATACACACATAAATGTGTGTATATATAGGCGTATATATATATATATATATATATATATATATATATATATAGGCCCTATATATATATATATAGGTCTTTACATGTGTGTGTATATTAACAATGTGATTATATAGAGAGAGATAGCGATAGAAATAGATAGTATGAATATATAATGTGTATATATAGTGTATATATCTATCTATATACATAGTGAATGTATATATATACATAGTGTATGTATGTGTATATGTATATATATATATATATATATATATATATAAATATATATATATATATATATATATATATATATTTATATATATATATATATATATATATATATATATATATATATATATATATATATATATATATATATATATATATATATATATATATATATATATATATATATATATATATATATATATATATATATATATATATATATATATATATATATATATATATATAGTAAGGCTTCTCAACTTACCAAACAAAAATACTACCACAGGTATTCAACGATGTCCTTGTGATTGTGAAATCCACAACACCTACTAAGGAAAAACCTCAAACGCAACAGAATGTAAATATCACTGGAACTGAAAGTAAAATTTACAGAATGATTGGAATCGTAGCTTGATTTTAGTCGTGACATCATGGGCAGAGGGGATTCCCGAAACCACCTGTTTACACCATGATAATCTACTTTCTGTTTTAATATCATGTTTATTATCTTCTTCGTATCAACTGCAAATAAAGTTTTATATATATATATATATATATATATATATATATATATATATATATATATATATATATATATCTGACACAAAATCATATGATCGCTACAAGCTACATCCGCACCCGGAGGGGGGGGGGTAAACTGCATGGCAAAATTAATATGTTATTAGAGTTATCTTTAACTAGCAGTAATGGCAGACGTACTGCAAAGTGTGTTTTGTCAGATTTTCAGTTGTCATAGTGTCAGAACCCAAGTAGGCCTATAACATATCGAGGATTAAACATTCAATGAGAAAATGAGCTATTCATCCTATTTGAGTACCCCTGATTCAATGGTATAATTAATCTTAAAATAAATCGAGTTTCAGATAGGCGAACGAAGACAATTATAGAGGATAGAAACGAGAAATAAAATCCGTCGAGTACATTTAAATAGAATGATATACAGAGAAAATGAGTTCTTATTTCCCGGCAATATATGATAAAGAAAACATCTTTGTTTTATAAAAATGAAATCAAATGTTTTTTTTTTTAATCCAGGAATTGATAGGCTTCTCGCTAATTTTTTTTAAACGTTTCTGAAAAGAAATGTTTTATTAAGCATTCACACAGGCCAACAAAACTTGGCATGAGATTCAAATAATCTTTTCAGAAGTCAGATCCCATTTTAGCTTTTTACAGGGAAATAAATTGTAACAAGTGCTCGTTCTCCCCGCCCCCTCCCACACAAACAGCTACACCTACAAAGGTGTTGATTGTAATATAATTCATATTTGAAAGTACTTTTCCTAGAATGAACTGTAATTAGGTTTCGGCTTACATTTCACAGTTTTAATCAACTTGATACTGATAATTTTCCTTTAAAAACTATAAACAACTAATATTTAGCAATAAAAGTTTTCTTTTTTTTTTTTAGCAAAAAATAAAATTACATGGCGAGGATGGTAGGAGAGTAAAAGTATGATTTTAAAGTAACTTTATAAAATATAAAATTGTTGTCCAAATAACTAATAATCCTTATAATCTCACTTTCGAAAAAATACTGAATGAAACAGGCGTTCTAGTATGTGGCCTTCGCTTTAAGCTAGCTCGTCAGCTGTTCCAAAAAAAAGGATATCACTCAATATGAGTGCAAGTTTTACAACCTTTTGGCCAATGTAACAAACACAGTTGAGAAAGTTTCATTTTTTTTTCTCGAAAAGGTCAAGATTCCTTTTTAGAACTAGCAATCCATTGGGCAGATGAAGTAGAGTTCATTTCACATTTGTTTATTTACCTCGGCATATAAAGGGATAGTGAGGTCAGCACTATGCCCAGCCGACTTCACTTTCCCCAACTAAGTCAGGTTTTACATATAAGAGCTGTGTGGACTCATGTACGTCATACAGTCACACGTCCGAACCGAGATCCGAACTCGAGACCTTCGGGCTAGCAGCTTTGTGACTAAATGTGGGTTATATTCGTCTAAACTATGTCGCATGTTTTCTGGGCGACCCTTAAAATTAAGATGAACTTAGCAACTTTTCTCTTTAAAAAAAATAACGATATTTTTCCTGCAAATGTCATGCATTTTCTGAAGATCAAATCTTGTACAAAAACTGAGGGGCGGTGACGATTGATGTGGCTGACAAAAACATTAACTCTACTTCCCCCATCTTTAAGGAGTCTATCGAATGAGAATATTAGATGCCCGTGTATTATACGGCTTACATGATGGATTCTCTTCTGGTCTGGCATTTTCCGGTGCATAGACGGTGTGGTCAGCACTTTGTTCTGTTGTCCTTACTCTCCCCTACCCTAGTCCAGAGACCCACGTGATATCTGTTGGGGGCATAAACACACTGCCACGCACACATGTTTCTAATCAGGCATTTAATTATCTCCTGATTGCGGTTAACGTCATAAACTTTTGGCTGCTTAGCTCAAGTTTATTTTTAACCTGTTCGAGGATAACGAACCCGAAACACGTCCATCGGGTGGGATGATAATTACTTTAATTTTATTTTGGGTCCTTCTGTCAGTAATTTTACTAGATCTATCTCTTAAGAAATGCCCTTAGATGTCTACGTTGACTTGCTTTTCTGGTTTGTTTTTTAAATTAATCAGGATTTATTAGTATGAGACCTACATCTTTATCCTTATACCATTAATCTGGTCATGTATACATTTAGCCCGTAAAGTCACAAGGAAACTCTGAAAACCGTTTTTTATCCAAGTAAAATAAAATCATGGTAGCATAGTAGTGAAAGGGTGACACCAAAACGAAAATGCACAATTTTTGGAAGTTACCGCACCGGGTGACACCCGACCTTGTGACGCCACTGCTTACAGCTTATCACATCATGCGTCGAAATAAATAAATAAATCAATACTAGTTATCAAAAAATGTTTATTAGTAACTTCTATAAAAACAAATTTGTATCAGGAAACCACAACAACAAGCGGCAACTGTTCCATTATACGAATGTGTCACCCCCCTCGCAGACGCCCCTGGCAGTAGATGGTGGAATGTTTCTTGATGTTGTAGTCACAGAGGCGTTTACCGTCCTCCAACTTCCGGCCCTCGGCACTGGTCAGGTACTGCTGGGAGCCGGGCACGCCGGTCTTCTGGTCAACCTTAGCTCGGAACTTGGCCACGTCTTCGTCACGCTCCACTGGGATGGTCAGCGTTTTGCCGTCCAGGTTCTTGACAAACACCTCAAAGTGCCTGGATGGAATGGATGAGGTTGGCACAAGAGTTTCTTCCAGGCATCTTTTCGGGGGGTGGGGGATGCGGAGCTATCTCTTAATAAATGGAATTTATATAGATAATATACACTTTTAACAGTGTCCGCCCCGCCCCCCCCCCCCCCCGCCCGGAAATTTTAGTCCAACCCCTCCCCCTCCTCGAAAATTTCAAGTGCCCCCCCCCCCCCCGGAGAAAAAAGTCTGGAAGAAACACTGGTTGGCACTGGTTAGAAAAAAGTCTTGTAAGATATCAATTAGTTGATTTTTTAAAATATGGATAAGATATGTATCGTGCATATTTACAACATAGAACGTGACATTTTGTAACCTATCCCTTTCATATAGGCTATATAAAATGTTCTTAGACTACCATCTCTCAATTTATTTCAGGTAACACCACTCCCCCCTCCCCTAAAACCACGACATTACAGTTTACAGTTTAAGCGTCAGTTACGTTATACATAGGGCGGGGGAAGGTTGGGGGTTCGGTCCTCACTGGGTGACCCCATGTAAAGGGGTGACGCCACTTAGGAGGTGACACCACTTTGGGGGGGGGGGGAGGACGACACTATTAAGGGGTTAACACCAAATCGTAAAATAGTGCAATGTACTGTAAAAACACTGGTTCAGCTAGTTACTACAACAATATAGTATGGGGAGAGGGGTGACATCGTATTAAAAATGCTAAAATATTTGAGGGGGGGGGTGAGACCCTTAGTCACCGCACCGGACGACACGTCACACCAGATCTAGTGACGCCCCTGTTAAGTCAATATCACCTTTTTTAACTGTGATAATATTTCGATTTTATTAAATATGCAACATTTTAATAGTAAAAACCTAAATTAAAATATTTATAAGAATGGTAAATTCTACAAAATTAGTTATGATTCCTAGAAAAGTGAAATTATTTCCGCCGCCCGCCCCCACCCTTCACCCCCGCCTACTTTTCAATCCAATCCTGTGTTTTCTGAGCGGAGTCAGTGACGCCGGGTCTAGCCGTACCGCTGAAAAATCCGCTATCGGAACTTAAGCCACTGTGGGCAGCATTAGGGTGGCCGTGGTGGGAGGGGTCGTCAGACCGGATGTTTCCGGTCACGTGATGCTGGTATCCACTGTTTGACCACTGGGTCGATGACGTAACACTTGTAGGACTGAGAAGACCAGAGTCAAAAGTGCCCAGGTCTCCGTCAACAGAAGGGGGAGGGGAGGCTTTAAAATAGATAAGAAGAAATCTAAATTTTATTTCATTGACAAAACTGATATTTCAACATAAATAAAAATCAAATTAAAGCTGATATTTCAACATAAATAACAATAAATTTAAAATGTCAGGTTTTTAAATAAATGTTACACTTAAGTGGGAGTCAACGCGAATAAATTGTTGACTTGGAATACTTAATTGTGTTGGAGAATATCCTCTTTAATTAAATTTAAAAGCAAAGAAGAAATAAATGTGATGTTTAGTTGAATACATTTTTACATGTAAGGCTTATGTAAACTTAGACCAATTATTTTATTGGTTAAAACATGATTTAAATCTCTATTCACTAGGGTCTACACCAAAGGTCAAATAGATTGTAGATCTAATACTAAACTCCATGGATTACTATATTGAATATAACCCAAATTATAAAGACAGCTGTATGCTATCTCATAAAAGTTATCAAGCTAAATGTATTTACTGTGAATACATTTATTAATTTAAGTTTATTTAATTTATTGAGCTAATTTAAATCTAAAGCTACGAAAAGCAAGGTTTCTCTCAAATTTTTCCGGGGGGAGGGGGGTGGCGGTGAACATAACCCTCACTCCCCCGCATCAAGAGATGTCTGAAAGAAACTCTGACAAAAAAGTAACGGTTAAAATTTGGCTCACATCGAAGCTGTAGTGAAGGTGTACAACTCAAGAAAACTTAACTTACCCACGAGAGTTGCGGTACTTGCCGCGCTACTTGTACTCATTGTATCTGAGCCTGTGGCTACACCACTGTCTTCACTCTCTGCCACCTCCATTTGGTCTTCTGTCGTAGACATTTTCTAGACGTGTTGTTCTCTGAACAAAGATGGAAGCTCACTAGAAAATCGTTCACGCACTTTATTGATATGCAGGAGTAGTTTTTCTTCCAGACTTTTTCTCCGGGAACGGGGGGGGGAGGGGGCACTTGCTATTTTTAGAGGGGGGGGGGCGGACTAAATTTGGGGGGGGGGGGTGGCACTGCTAAAAGTATAGGGGGGGGGCGGTAGACTTTTTTCGTGGAGGGATGCAGACTTTTTTCGTGGAGGGATGCCACCCCCACCCCCACCCCCACTACCCCCCCCCCTCACCCCCCCCCCCCCCCCCGAAGAGATGCCTGGAAGAAACAATGTGCAGGAGACAGTGGAAAATAGATATAGAAAAAAATTTACCAAGGACACAAATTTTAATGCATGGCTGGATGTTGTAAACGGTCTATGTACCAATGGGAGTTGAAAACGCGAAGAAGAAGAAGATGATGATGATGATGATGATGATGATGATGATGATGAAGATGATGATAGTGAAACAGATAACGCAAGGTCAGACTTTATTAATTCGGCTACGCCAGTAAAAATTAATTAGATCTAGTAATCAATTAATATCACTATGGTAAATAAATAATCCTAATTTTTAGAGAAAAAAACATCGGCAAGCTCAACAGGAGTCTAGTCTAGAAACTTTAAGGAAGAGGGGGGGGATAAATTTTCCGGGGAGGTAGCGGGCCACTGGTAAGAGTTTATATTTCTATATGAATTCTATTTCGGGTGGGGGGGGGGGGCAATTTAATGTTGGGTGAACTTTACCTCCGCACACACACACACACACACAAATACAAACACACACACACGTCTGTGTTAACATATAAGTACGATCTCGCTTTCTACTTACTTTGAGACAAAAAACAATTCTTTAAAATTGTCGTTGGTGAAACAATAAAAATATTTTAGAATAATAAAATTTGACCTATCAAATCCCTGTTATATTTCTTAAATTAAATTACACATTTGTTATTTTAAAAAAATAAACCGAAAAAAATTATGAATTTTAAACCTACCTGTAAAAATGTATGAAAACAGTGACACTTTTAATTTAAAAAATGGGTGTATTCTTTGCAAGATTCGAACGCCAACTGGAAAAATACTGATGGAACAAATTACAAACTCACTGAAACAGAAACTGATACCCAACAGATTTTAGGATTCGAAGACTGCCCGCGAAGCGGGCTAAAATTAGTCTTGATATCATTACTTGAGGAAATTCCCGATATAACGTACGTGTCTTTCTAAGAAGGTGGTCTAGTTTCACACTGAAATACAGGTGTGTGTATGTGTATGTGTGTGTGTGTGTGTGTTTTTAACATATGGAATGATGTCATGCACTTTCCTTGAACTCTGAACTCTTCTGTATAACATTAGTGTTAAGCAAGACAACCGAAAAATCAAAGGCAAAGTGATATAACATTGCTTTATAACACCATGATATACAAACACAGCACATCTACCATTTTGTGTTTTATACAATAAGTAAAGAATCCTCTTTAGACCTAGCGATCCATTGGGCAGATGAAGTAGAGTTCATGTTTCTTCACCTTGGCATATGAAGGGAAGGTGCAGTCAGCACTTTGCCAAGCCGCCTTTACTTTCCCCAACGTGAGTTAGGTACGCATCAGAGCTGGGTGGACTCAAGGACGTCCTAGTCACTTGGACCCGGATTCGAACTCGAGACTTTCGGGTTAGCAGCCTAGCTTATACCACGTCGTCCCATTATATAAGTATGTAGTATATGTGTGTGCTAAACTGTTGCATACAAATGTAGGAGGGGGGGGGAAGTAAAAGAAAACTGACAATATTTAGGTTATATAATAATTGCACGATCCATTAAAAATAGGCTAAGAATTAGGGTTAGTGTACAATCCAGCCTTTACCCAATTAACTTAATTTTAGTAATTATTAACAAATATTAACAAATGAAGATTAACGTGATATGGCTATGGCTATGGCTATGGCTATGGCTATGGCTATGGCTATGGCTATGGCTATGGCTATGGCTATGGCTATGGCTATGGCTATGGCTATGGCTATGGCTATGGCTATGGCTATGGCTATGGCTATGGCTATGGCTATGGCTATGGCTATGGCTATGGCTATGGCTATGGCTATGGCTATGGCTATGGCTATGGCTATGGCTATGGCTATGGCTATGGCTATGGCTAGGGCTGGGGCTAGGGCTAGGGTTAGGGGTACGGTCAAGGTCGCGGTTAATGGCGCGATTAAGGAGGTCAACATTAGGGTTTTGGTTACGGCTAAGGTTAAGGCGATTATGGCCGTTAAGGCTGTTAAGGCTTAGAATTATTGTTAGAGTTAGCTTTAGGTTCAAGATTTGGTTTAGATATCTCAATTTCGTATGGAAAGGAAGAGGTATACTATATGTCTTCATATAATTATTAGTTTAAGATTTTTATGTATTCTCAAGACAACTTGGAAAGTGGTTGTGGAGTAATGACCATTATGGTGATGTCCAGAGCCAGAGGGTATTGGACCGAGGGATATTGTCGTAGAATGAGATGTCAAATAAACTGTAGTCATCGAGGTGGCACAACAAAGATCATTGATATCTTTCATTTGATTAATTGGACATCTTTAATTGGACGTCTTGATGATCCAGTTTAAGTTTTTAGAAGGAAGAGGAACGATGGCGAAAAAAATAAAATTCTGCATTCCTTTTCTGTCGAAAAGGTCGTTGGTAAATAAGTCATCAATGGTAAATGTATGACATGATTGACATGCACCTTGAGCTTGGAAATGGAATTTTTAAATTGGGTATGCCTTTGCGTTGGGCGTTGAGTCGTTGAGTCGAAGCGACGCTTTAAGTCTAAATAAATAACCAATGTGATATATATCCAATCAGCGGGCTGAAGTTTAATGTAAAGGATTTCATACCAGTCCGTACAAAGCACAAGCTGTTGTTTTTATAGCAGGGCAAAATATGATAGAATCTATATCTTATTTCCAGTGGCGTAGCCAGGATCGTCTCAAGGGGGGGGTTCCAATTTTTACCCGGGGACAAACTTTCGATTTGCACCCCCCCCCCCCTCAAACTTTCGATTTGCACCCCCCCCCCTCAAACTTTCGATTTGCACCCCCCCCCCCTCAAACTTTCGATTTGCACCCCCCCCTCAAACTTTCGATTTGCACCCCCCCCCCTCAAACTTTCGATTTGCACCCACCCTCATACTTTTTATATATACCGAGAGGTCTATGGGGGGGGTTATGACCCCCCCTAACCCCCCCCTGCCTACGCCACTGCTTATTTCTAATTGCTTGTTGGTCGTGTTTATCTCGATTAGGGTCTTTTGTTAGACCTAAATGACATTGACTTGATAATGATTTCCTTCAGACCACTTAGACATTTCACTGACAGGGGAAGCTACTCAAAAAATATTATTTTCATCATTGTCGAGTCATTGACAACATTCGGGGATTGTGCGGTGGAGATATGATTAGGCATTTTCACACTTTTTTTTAGATTTTATATTTAGGCCTACTCTATAAAATTAATAGTCTTCAGTAAATTGTGTACATTATTGTAAACACCAGTTGCTTTTTCTATTAATCATCAATTATTATCACGATAATATTATAAAGAAGAAATTTAGTATTTAGTCGAGTACCCACACAGTACACAGTTATGAGTTACGTAAGAAAAGTTCAAAAGAAAGAGTTTAAAGTTTAAGGTAAGAGTCTTAGAATCTAGATCTAGATCTAGAACTCAAGTACTGTAAGACTTGACTAGAAGAGTAAGTGTAAGTCAAGTAAACTCAGTTACTCTTCTTATTCTAGAATCAAGTTCATCTAGATCTAATTATTTTTTAGGCCATAGATCTCTATGTACTATGATATGAGTATTACTATTCTCTAGGATTTGAATTATACTAACTAACTAAATCACCAAACTAAACTTACCAAACTTAAAACTAATATGTCCACTAAATGATAATCGTCCTTCATGAGCTACTGACAGAGTTTTAAAGCAAAATAATTTCAGTCACAGTAGGGCCTAATGTGGAATGGTAGTGTCAAATTCACAAATTATGAATTACTGAAAAATAGAAAATAAAACAACTAAATAGCTGCGCATGATATGTCACAGGTCAGCTCGTAACTTATATTAGGCTAGGGTTGAAGGATTAATGATACCATCTATTCTAAGATCAAGTAAAGAATAATTAGCGAATGAAGACTTCATTGAAGTTCCACAATTCCCGCAAGCAAAACCAAGTTCTAAGCTAAGCCAAATCACCAAACAAGTAAGTATATTATACTAATCCAAGGTGAGATGTGTTTATTTAGAAATTTTATTTTCTTGTAAGTATGTTGTATAACTATAACTAACTAAGTAAGTAGCTTACTTAGCTTACTTACTTTAAGTAAGTAGCTTACTTAGTTTTGGCTAAACTTACGACTCAGTGATTTTGTTGTGTTAGTGTTAAGGCTAGCTTTATAGGGTTAATGCTACAAGATGTGAGGTTGGGGGGGGGGGGGGAGGGGAAGAGATGAGACTATTCAAGGTTGACACTAAAATATATTATGTAAAAAGTCTTTTTTTATTATATTTATGTCTTGGTTACAAAAGGTCTTTAAAAACTGCAAATAAATTCTAAAATTCAGTTTATTTAATGAGTGTTCAAAATGCAAGCTTGTCAATTCATTTTTAAACCTCTCCACATTAATGCTAAAGTTTGAGCCCTGCCCCTCCCCATCCAGGAGTGTAACATCATTCAAGGACAACCCCTAATCTTTCTATTGGCTATATTTTACATAACTTATCAGTTCATTTACTTTATGAACTTTATGAAACACTTATTATTGAAAATTAGATTAGATTTCTAATTAATACTTAGTTAAGCAACTTAATATTAAGTTAGATTTCTAATTAATACACAGTCAAATAACATAATATTAGTTTAGACTTCTAATTAATAAACAATCAAGTAACTTAATATTAGTTTAGATTTCTAATTAATACACAGTTAAGTAACCTAATATTAGTTTAGATTTCTAATTAATACACAGTTAAGTAACTTAATATTAGTTTAGATTTCTAATTAATACACAGTTAAGTAACATAATATTAGTTTACGTTTCTAATTAATACACAGTTAAGTAACTTGATATCTTTGTTTCAGGTAAAGGTAACCATGAGTCGCAGAGACAGTGATGGCACTGAGGTTGATCTCCATGGTTACTCAGACAACATCCCCAGTGAAGAAGAGGAGGGCCACTTACAAAATGATGAAACAACCCATCCTCATGGTTTGACGGTGCGCTATGTCTACCCACGTCTTAGATACAGCACCCTGTTTAGGGGGATTGTGTTGGTTGATGCCCTCGTTACGGTTGTGTTGTGGTTAACAGGTTTGTGGTCTTATTGTTATTGCTAACCCGAAAGTCCCGAGTTCGAACCCTCAAGCAGATGATGCTCGTTAGCTGGTGACAGCAACCTATTTAGGAGAGAAAACTACTAAATCAAACAGGAGTGAAGCCCCTTAGGCAATAGGATTACCAACTCAGGTTTCCTTTCGACAGCTCCTGCGACACCGCTGATTCCAATCTGTACAGGTAACGTCCTGTCCCTTGGGTCCATCAGCTGTGTGGAGAGAGGGGGTCTGATATATGGGCAACATCTGGCTCTTCTCATCTTAGGGGCCCAGGATTTGTGCTTGGATTTCCAATGCGCGATCATTCAATGATCTATTAGACTATAGCCATTATTATTCAGAGAGATCATTTTGTTACTTTTGTGATTGCCAGCAGGTTGTAATCAAGGTTTTCTTTTTTTCATGGCTTTGGTCAGGGTTTGGGTAGTTATACCAGCAATAACATAGCCGCAGAGTTTCTAGAACCCCCCAACCCCTCCCCCCCCCACCAACGAAATAGAATTTATATAGAAGACATATACTTTTACCTTTGTCGTCCGTCCTGTCCCCACTGCATATCTGTAGACTATAACAAAAGTATCAGATTTTGTATGTGTGAGTTGATGTTCCCATTCTAACTGCCTGATGGGTGAGTTTATACTCATGTGCACACATTAAAAAGAAAAAAAAATTACATTAGCTACCAGGGCAAACATATATTTAATTACTTCTCTCTTTCTTTCAGGAGGAGATTCAAATTACTTCATCAATAACATCAAAAATTTCAAATTCTCCCTATCAGTGTTTGACTTGGCCGTCCTTTCTGTCGTTAAAATTCCATTTTATTTGTTCATGGTCAGGCATGCAGAAAAAAAAGCTATTCGATTTCTCGATGCTGCTTACAACCACTCACTCAGGTCAAGATTTTTATCCAATATTGCCATGATCTGTTCAATCTCCTTCATCGCCTTTGTGTTCACTGTAGTCAAAGGCAGTCTGATCTTAGAAAAAATATTATCCGAGGCCGCGACCTACCCTGGTATGCACAAGACATATTATGCTTGTGTTATATGGAGCGCCAGCTGTAGTTTTATCATCTTTGTGCTGTCTGTGTCTGCAAAGTGCGGGTTTAAGACACTCCAGGCTCAGCGGGTGAAAAAGTTTTACAACAGGGAGGGCCGAGAGGTGGACAAGGACGGGAAGCCTGTACAGAGAAAAGTGAACCTGTATAGGCTGGCTCTTCTGGCTAAACCTGTGAGTAGTAGGTTGTGTGGTGCAGTTATAAAAGGGTTAAGGCAGTTGTTAAATGGTTTATGGGTTAACTTCTAGCCTGTGAGTAGTAGGTTGTGTGGTGCAGTTATAAAAGGGTTAATGTAGTGCTTAAGTGGTTTATGGGTTACTTCTAACTTGTGAGTAGTAGGTTGTGTGTAGTTGATGCAGTTATAAAAGGGTTAAGGCAGTACTTAAGTGGTTTATGGGTTAACTTCTAAACTGTAAGTAGTAGGTGCAGTTATAAAAGCGTAAATGCAGCGCTTAAGTGGTTTATGGATTAACTTCTTACCTGTGAGTTAAATTTTATGTGTAGTAAATGCAATTATTAATTAAATAAGGATTAATATTTTTCATATTATTTTTTGTTTGTTCCAAAAGTTGGGTTTAGTGCAATTATCTATTGTTTTATGGTTAGTAAATTATGTGCAGGCCTACATTACATTTACAAGGATCATATAGATTGCTTAAATGGTTAATTATTAATGTTGCCTTTTTTTTTTACTTGTCTTCCTTTAATAAAATTACAATGTGTATTTTATTTAATCTTATTTTTAAAAATGTCATAAGTTTCACAAATAAAATACAACATCGTTAACAAATTGATTTGATGTTAAATTACTTAAAAACAGAGCTCGTGTAAATTTAAAAAAAAAAACTTTTATTTCCATAGGAAGCAGGGCTTATTACCATTGGTATGGTGGCTCTATTGATGACAACAGCTGTACAAACTGTTGCACCTCTGTTTTTTGGGAAAGTGGTGGATGCTGCTTTAGAAAGCATGGGTAAGTGGGGTAACTCTGAGCATTATTTTCTTCAGATTGATTTCCCTTTTTTTTTCATATGAAATTCAAAGTGATTTAATATTAAATACTTAGACCTAGAAGTTGTGTCACTTTATTAAGGGGATTCATTCTCTTGAATCTTTTAACTCTGTACAGGTCAAAATATTAGGACGAAGAGAAGTTAACAATATCATCATTATGTTATGACATACAATGTGTCAGGGTCAGGGAAAGATGTAAGGGTGGGGCTCATTAAAATTGAAAGCCCCCACCCCTTAATAAAATCTAATTTATATAGAAAACACTTTTACCTGTGTAAAAAGGGATCGGCGTAGTTGAGTTGGTAATGCTCATGGTTGCTTAACCGAAAAGTCTCGAGTTCGAACCCTTGGGCAGATGAGGCTTGTTAGCTGGGGACAGCCACTCTTCTCTCAATGGCCATGACCAGTTGACACATATACTTAATTATGTTGGAGGGGATCCCCTCCCAACACTAAAATTAAGAACTAAGAAGAAAGAAGAAAGCTCTAGGGTTTAATTCTTGAAGTTAACTTCCCAGAGTCCAACCTGGACAGCTGTTATCCTATCTGGCTAGGGATTGTTAGGGCAACTGGACATACTGTTGACCATACAATATGCAGAGATCACTAAATAGATGAACTCTACTTCTTTAGTAAAATTTTAAAAATAAATTCTTTTATTTTTTCTCACTTTGTATTTGGATTGTTTTTACAAATAATCCATTTTCATTTAGTTAGTTAATTTTGAAGTAGAGTTCATCTGCTTCAGAGACCTGGGAATATGAAGGGTTAATGTGGTCAGCGCTATGCTCAGCCACCTTTGTTTCCCTAACGTAGGTTAGGTACTCATCAGAGCTGGGTGGACTCAGGGATACGACAGGTTCGTGTGGCCAGAAATATGCCCAGTCGCCTTTAATTTCTCTAACGTGCGTCAGTTATCCATCAAAGCTTTATGGGAAGTTCTACGGATATCAACCCGGATTCGAACTCAAGACTTTTAGGTTGGCAGTCGTATGCTCTACCATTCCACCACGTCATTCCATAATTCTCTACCATGTGGTTCCATACTGTTTTATTTTTTAAACCCAGTAGCTTAAACAGAATTAATTTGATTTGCTGGTGACATGCCTTTTACACTTTTAGCTGTCATTTAAATCTAATTGCATACTCTTTTCTGTTTTCATAAAACTAGAGAGCTTAAACAGAACTGTTTTGATACTGCTGGTGATATACCTAGTGGGCTCTGTATTTAGCTTGGTGAGAGCCTGGATATTTACCCTCGCTGGCCAGCGTCTGGTAGCAAGGCTGCGATCTCAGTTGTTTGGCTCTGTTGTTGTTCAGGAAATTGCTTTCTTTGATGTAAACAGGTAATGTTGTTACACCTAACTAGTTTGATATTATTGTACTATTTTTAAAAGTTGCATTGTTAAGGTGTATTTAAGGTATTAATAAAATTAATAGTTTATATTATCTCATTTATAAATTAATTTACTTTTCTAAACTTCTAGAACAGGAGAGCTGTGTAATCGTCTTTCATCAGATACAACAGTTCTACAAAATGCTGTCACAGTAAGTGAATTGATTACCGGCTAGGTGGGTGGGGGGTTTAAACTATAGATTATGTTATTAAAAACAGTTATTACTCTTACACATTTTTAATGAACTTGTTATTTTGTTTACAATGTTGAATTCTTGTTTTTTTATTTAGGTGAACTTGTCAATGCTTTGCCGCTACTTGCTCCAGATCATTGGATCACTTGCGCTCATGTTCTACTTGAATGCTTCTCTGACTGGGGTGCTCCTGGCTATTGTTCCTGTGGTCACTCTCAGTGCCATGCAGTATGGTCAGTTACCAAACTTAAGCGTCATTGATACATTAACAATATTAACAAATGTATAATATCTTTAACAGATTCTTTATGATTTTTATAAAGACTGAAGTGAACCTCAGTTGTTCTGTTTTAAAATTTAACGGTTTGTTTTTCACTTTGCCCAACATGAATTTAACATTATTTTTTAAATGTAGGTAAATTTGTGAGGAAAATGCGCAAGTTATTTCAAGATCGCCTGGCTGATGCTGGAACTCAAGCAGAAGAGGCTTTGTCTTCTGTGAGAACTGTCAAGTCTTTTTCTGGTGAGGCCAAGGCTACATCAGTTTACAGTGACTTTATTAATGAGAGCTACAAGATTGGGAAAAAACTGGCACTTGCCCAAGGTAATGTAAACTGACATGCCACATGGCTTCGAATTCTTGTTAAAATGTTTAAATTAAAATTTTTTTTCAAATATGGAAGTTATTTAAAGTATATTTTTAATATTATTTACATGTATTTAGTAATGTTTATGGCATGCCTATTTAGTACTGATGTTTCTTATGTAGTATTTAAATGGTAATATGTTATTTATATATTACTCATTTTGCAAAGATATATTTATTAGATGTATTTGGTAATAATGTAATTTAAGTGTAATTATTAATTATGTAACAGATATTTAATAATGTTATTTCTGTAAATTAAAATTGTTATTGATGTAATTTAAATTGACTAATGTTATTTGTTTTTGTTTGTGTAATTATTACTTAAGTAATGATGTATATTTTATTAATTTCTGTAATTTAAAATTGCTAACGATGTAATCTGTTTTCAGGCATCACAGATGGCAGATCTATGTGTAATTATTACTTATGTAATGATGATTATTTGATTAATTACTGTAATTTATAATTGCTAACGATGTAATCTGTTTTCAGGCATCATGGATGGCCTGTTCAGCTTCCTAGCATATGGGTCCATGTCAGCTGTTCTGTGGTATGGTGGGAAACTTGTTTACGACAACTCTAAAGACCCAACCACTGGAATAACAGCTGGCCTGCTGACCTGTGAGTCTCTAGGCCTACATAATTAGAACGGATTATTGTGTTATTTTTGTTTATTAAAGATTTAAAATCTTTATTTAAAAAATATCAGTAGCTAATTAATTATTGTTACCCAAATTTTTCATTGGAATCTAAGAACTTCATTTATTTTATGGCATTCCTTTTGCTTGTGATGCTGGAGAAGGAGTAATCATTGTTTAAGTCATGCCTTGTAGTGCAAGAGAGGGAGTAATCATTGTAAAATGTATTTTAAATTAAGATGACAGTTTTTTTTTTATTTCTGCGATTTCAGCATTTCTTTTGTACACACTACAAGTTGCAATGGGATTTGCATTGTTATCATCTCTCTATGGAGATTTTATGCAGGTAGGTTAAATTCGTTGTGTTGGGATATAATTATTAAGTAGGATTTATTTTAGTTTTTATTAAGACACTCGGTAGCAAAATTTTAATTTTCTTTATTTATAAACTTCTGTGTGGAGGTTTTATATATATATATATATATATATATATATATATATATATATATATATATATATATATATATATATATATATATTTAAAACTTATTCTCAGTTATCTGGATCCATATTGGTTTGGCACTTGTCTTCTCTCATTATAATGCTGTTTAATAATTCAGGTCATCTTTGTAATGACAAATTTTCAGGAATGATACTTTTGTTTTGGGAAAATAATTTAATTTAAATCGATTCCTCACTTTGAAATTACAAAAGTAATTTTTATAGATTTATGTCTTAGTCTATAGACTTTTTACCCAGTCATTATACACTTGACTGAAAATGATAAAAAATTATATGTGTAATTGTGTACAGGCTGTGGGAGCTTCAATGCGTATATTCACCCTACTGGATAGAAAGCCTGAGGTCTATACACCACCAAATCCTCTGGTATTGGCTACGTTAACTGGTGGCAAGTAACACATTTTTTGTGTGGGAGTGTCTGGTTGGATGGTAGAGCATTAGGCTGCTATTACGAAGGTCCTGAGTTTGAATCTCTGTTGGGACTTGTAGCTGCTGGATGTTGCTGAGTTCACCCAGCTCCGATGGGTACCTGACTCACTTTAGGGAAACCAAGGCAACTGGGCATAGTGTTGACCACACTATCCCTGCTGAAATCATAGAAATATATTAACTCTTCTTCATCTTCTCTTTGGCACGAACAAGAAAAGATGATGATGAAGTAGCAATTTTATCTTTACTACCATTTTTTCCCTTGTGTTTTGGCTGATATGATTTTTTGGTTATATTTTTTAACTGACTCATGTAATTGTGGGCATACAGTTATCAACTTTTAATCAGTCAATATAAATTGTGGATTTTTAATTAAATTTAATTTTAGATTTTAATTTAGTTAACCATTCAGACCTGTCAGTCGACATATGAAGTAGATTTGTTCTGTTTCTGCAACATCTGCTTGTAAGATATAGTGTGCTCAGCTGTTCAAACAGTTTTCCCTAACTTGAGTAAGGTACCTATTAGAGCTGGGTTTTTATTTTTTCAATCAACCTATGTAATTTGGAAGAGACAGCATGGTTGGATGGTAGAGCTTACGACTTATAACTCGAAAGTCTCGAGTTTGGATCCCTAGCTTGAGTTCGTAAGACGCCCCTGAGCCCACCCAGCTCTTATGGGTACCTGACTCATGTTACAAAAGCAAAGGTGGCTGGGCATAGTGCTGACCATGCTATCTTCTTGTTCATTGAAACTCTACTTTATCTACCGCATGTGTCTTGGGCGTAAGCTGTAAAAATAAGGTTAAATGTTAATTCTGGGATATTCATGTTTTTTAGACAATGTAATTTGAGAGTTGTTAAGAGTATTAATTATTTAATTTGATTATATGTTTTTAACAATTCAAGGTACATTGATGTATAATTGTTTTTTTCTCTCCAGAAATTGAGTTTAAGAAAGTTTCATTCACTTATCCCTCTAGACCTGAGGCACAAGTGATCAAGGTAAATTCCTTGTTTACACCAAGATGCAAATGGTTGGCACTGCTGTTTTTGTATGTGGCTTGTGATTTCTGCAATTGCTGTTTTCCAAGTTAACATTGAAGAAATCAATTGAAATTTAGTTTTACATTCTTTAAATAAATAAGACAAAACTAATAAAAAATGTAAATTTCTCCTTGAAAAAGTACACAATTATGAGTAAGCAATCTTTTAATTATACTTATTAGCATCCTCCTTCATGCTTTCTCTAATTTGAATACAATGGCCTTAAACAAACAATGTTACAACATGTCTAACATAATCTAAAATTTTGTCAGTTCTTTTTTTTTTTTTTTTTTTTTTTTTTAAACACACTAATGTGTGCTGGTGAAGACCTTAGGTTGTAACTTGGGTTTGCATTATTTTACATTGTAAGTTTGCCAACATTAGCGACATTTTAAATTTTTGTAATTAAATTTCCTTGTCTGCAACATTTTTTTTTTTTGTTTTGCTATAAAGAATAATAATTTAAAGTTGTAAAAATTATCTGTTTTTAAATAATTTACATATATTTCTGCAGAATTTGTCTTTTAAAGTGGAGCCAGGTCAGATGGTGGCACTAGTAGGGCCCTCTGGTGGTGGCAAATCAACTGTTGTCAGTTTAATAGAACGATTCTATGACCCTGATGATGGATATATTTTAATGGGTCAGTTGCTTCAATTTACTTGACAATTCTTTTATCTTTTCTTTTTTTTATATATATATAAAATTGAGGCGCAATAGAAAATATTAAAAAATTTCACATAGGACAAGATCATTGATGGGTTAAAAAAGGGTAACATGTGATAGTTTGAGAAGCGCTGCAATCAGCAAAACTTTATTTTGTTTACGCACCTAATCTGTGATCTGCTACAGTCAGTCTGGGTGTCAAAAAAACAAGGCACTACACAGTCTGTGTCAAATAAAAGGCACTGCACAGTCTGTGTCAAATACAAGGCACTACACAGTCTGTGTCAAATACAATGCACTACACGGTCTGGGTGTCAAAATACAAGGCACTAAACAGTCTGTGTCAAATACAAAGCACTACACAGTCTGGGTGTCAAAAACAGGGCACTGCACAGTCTGTGTCAAATACTAGGCACTACACAGTCTGTGTCAAATACAAGGCACTAAACAGTCTGTGTCAAATACAAGGCACTACACAGTCTGGGTCAAATACAATGCACTACACAGACTGGGTGTCAAAAAACAAGACATTCACACAAGAATTAATTAAATTATTACCTACTTAGTAAATGAACTAACATATCATCATTCTTAACTTTTGTAACCAGATGGTTGTGATTTAAAACTGCTGGACACCACGTGGTTCCGGCAAAAAATTTCTATGGTCAGTCAAGAACCAACTTTATTTGCTTGCTCCATCAAAGAAAACATTGCGTACGGGCGCGCAGCAACAGATGAAGAGGTAACCTCTTCCTCCTACATTGTACTCTCCTATGTGAAATAAGATATTTTCTTTTTATAAAATAATTAGAGATTTTGTTTTTCCATCTAGGTTGAATATAATTATTTTTAGCAAAACTATTCATGATGGATGTCAAAATTAAAAGGCTTTTAATCTTTTCCCCCACAAGCTGTGTGGATACACACACAAAATAATCTTCATTTTAATATTAGGACACTGAGATATTTTTACCCAGTTACTAATAAGCATCATGATGTAATCAAACTTTTTTAAGTTATTATAAACCATCATGGTGTAATCAAACTTTTTTAAAGATTACTGAAGTTATTATACACCATCATGATGTAATTAAACTTTTGTAAGTTATTATAAATCTCATGATGTAATCAAACTTTTTTAAGATTACTGAAGTTATTATAAATCTCATGATGTGATCAAACTTTTTTAAGATTACTGAAGCAGCAAAGCAAGCCAATGCACATGACTTTATCTCCGAGTTTGAAAAAGGCTACGACACCCTGGTCGGTGAGAGGGGTGTCAGGCTGTCGGGTGGCCAAAAACAGAGGATAGCCATTGCCAGGGCTCTCATTATGAATCCTACACTTCTGCTACTAGATGAGGTAGGTCAACATTTTCGTATCGCTTGTATTCATTTATAATCTATTTATTTTTCTTAAGTGTTCGTTTCATCAATATTTATATTTCATTTTTTTTGTAAATTTAAAAGAATAATAGATAGTTTTTTGTTGTTATGCTCCCTTTTTTAACCTGATGGTCCATGGGGCAAGTTCACCTGTTACTGTGACCTCAGCATATGAAGGGATAGTGTGGTCAGTACTCTGCCCAGCCGCCTTCTTACTATAACGTGAGTTAGGTACCCATCATGGATGTATGAAGGGCTTTATACTGACTTGAACCAAGATTCGAACTCGAGACTTAGGGGTTAACAGTCTAGCGCTCTACTGCTTAGCCACACCGTCCCCAATTTTTAGGTGAGGAGTCTAATATTCATTTTGTTTAAACTATTTCTAAAGGCAACAAGTGCTTTAGATGCTGAAAGTGAACACCTGGTCCAAGAGGCCGTGGATAGGGCTATGAAGGGTCGCACTGTTATTGTTATAGCTCACAGACTCTCCACTGTCAGGAATGCTCACAAGGTAAAAATCCGACGATTGGTTTGAGATATTTTGTCTTAAGGCATTTTGTTCTCATAAATTAAGTTCTTTTTTTTAAATCCTAGATTCATTATCATTGAGATATTTTTGTCTTTGAGATATTTTGTCTGATTTATTTTGTTCAAGATATTTTGTTTTTGAGATATTTTTGAGCTATGATTTTTTTTAATCTGATCTGGACAATCACAATAAATGAAACACATAAGTTTTTGTGATCACTTGCTTTAGTAACACTGCAAAAAAAATTCTTAAAACTTCCTTTTGAGGGTCCAACCAATTGTGATGTTTTGTCATGAGATTTATTGGTAAAAAAAAATTATTCTAGAAATATTTTGGAAGTTCTTATTTTTAATATTTTTCATTTGTTTATACCATTTAATTTAATTTTAACATTTGTATTCCATTTGGTAAGTGCTTTGAGTTGTCGTAGAAAAGTTAGAAGCTCTAGAGAAAATAAAACTTTTAAGTTTTATATAAATATTTGTGCTGTAATTTCCTACATCTCATTGTTTACAATGAATGAAATTCCCAGGTTATTTGTGCTGTAATTTCATACATCTCATAGTTAACAATGAATGAAATTCCCAGGTTATTTGTGCTGTAATTTCCTACATCTCATTGTTAACAATGAATGAAATTCCCAGGTTATTTGTGCTGTAATTTCCTACATCTCATTGTTAACAATGAATGAAATTCCCAGGTCATTGTGATAGACAAGGGTCAGATTGCAGAAATGGGAACACACAGCGAGCTACTGGCCAAACATGGGGTGTACAAGAAACTTGTGTTACGGCAGCTGACCGCTGGCTACCCAGTGGACCAAGGAACAGACAGGAACGGCTTAACGTCGCCACAATTAGGGCACAATATCAACGGGAACAGTTTTTATGTCAACGAGGGACTCACCCCCGACGAGATGGACAACAGTGATGATGAAAACCTCATAGATTTGAAATGATCCACAACTGATCGGACATAGCTAAAGCTTTTATATTCCATCATTTTGTTCACAAGTTAAAAATTCTAGATTCAATTGTGATTTTTTCTTTTCTTTTTCATTTACCGAATAGGGCAAAGCATAATATATTTAATTGACTATGTAAATAATACTTATGTTTTTAACAAGTCATCTGCAGTATGTTCAATACAGTTTATTCTATAGTGCAATTCTGGTTTAAACTGCCAGCAACAATAGAGTTCAAATGTTTACTAGCTCAGGTGATTGAGAGTGATATTAACTGTTGTAATATGTATGTTGTCTTTCTATGTACATTTGTATCTTCAAATATAATAGGAATTTAAAAAAATGAAACAGCTGCTGTCAAAAAATGAATCAAACTTTGTAAATAGAACTCTAATGAAAATTCTGTCTCCTTACTTTGATGTGTCATTTTGATTTGATTTTTAATTTAAGGCTTAAGTCAATTGTAAACTTAATGAGTAATTTAATGAGTAATTAGTTATAATTTTTATTGAAATAACCAGTGGAGAATGGCATGATTAATGAGCACATGATTTCTAACCTGAATGCTTAATATATTGTTTTCTGGACTTGACCCCCATCAGATGTCCCTGTTAAACCACTTAACCTGATTCAATTAGTAAAGATTCCTCAACATAAAGGGGTAATGTGTTCAGCACTAACCTGATTCACTAAATGGAAAGTAAAGGCAGCTGCTCATAGTCCTGACCACACATCCCTCTTCATATTTCAGAGATTAAAGAAAGAGATAGAACTCTATTTACATTGTCTTTTGGAATCTCTGGTCTGTAAAGAGTCCCTATTTTAAACCAATGGGCCTATTTGAGTTTCAAGTTCCTTTTCATGTATTTTAAACAAGTGACCATCCATCTCTAAGAACAATAAATATTTACACATTTTTAAAATGAAGTAGTAACAAAGCTACATAAATATCTGTTTGTTAGTTAGAACACTGTTATTTTTACCCTCTCATCAACATCAAAGTTTTGTATCGCCAAATAAAATGACAATTTTTGTACAAATAGTTTTATAATATTTAATTCAAACTATATCTAATTTTAAGAATGAATAATAACATTTGGTTCCTCATTTAAAAAAAAAATTTAGTATTGAAAAATTATTTAGCAAAAAGAAGCCAACATTGTAACTAATAACACCTGTGTTCAGTTGTTAAAGAGTATAAAGGCAAGGACAAGATTTTAATTTAGGACGCTTGTGTTCAGTTGTAAGAGAGTTAAGGCGAGTCTGTTAACGGTGATAGAAACTAATTAACACCCTACCCCCACCAACCTACAAACACAAAAATTCCACCACTGATAGCAATGCAGTTGCGATAAGTGTTTATCCATACATATTTGATGCTTTATTTCACACTGTCACAAAAAAATCAGAACCCCCAAAGTAATTAACTGAGCTTAGGACCAAAGTAATGTACTGAGCTTTGGACCAAAGTAATGAACTGAGCTTAGGACCAAAGTAATGAACTGAGCTTAGGACCAAAGTAATGAACTGAGCTTAGGACCAAAGTAATGAACTGAGCTTAGGACCAATTAATGTACTGAGCTTAGGACCAAAGTAATAAACTGAACTTAGGGCCATGTAATCAAATTTTCTTCAGGTGACTTGACTTATTCCTGTGTGGCACTAGGGAGCAAAGGGCTGCAATCACACCAGACATGGTTTTGGGGCAGTTCTCCTTATCTGCACCCAGCGGCCTTTGCCTCTTCTACTATTCTTCTCCATGACTTCCTAGGCCTGGCACACATCCCTCCTACCCTGAGGATTCCAGTTCATGGCTTCCTTTGTGATATTTTCTTCATCCCTTGACAGGGTATGTCCAGTCCACCCCCACTTACTGGCTTGGATGTCTTTTTCTATTGACTGTTGTGTTTTTCTTCAAAATAAGATTCTTCAGGTAAAATGTCAAAATATTTATACGTGTTGGTTTAGAAATACAACTCTTCATCTCTCTCTACATACATGTATATTTATGTATATATATAGGCCTATATATATATATATATGTATGTATATAGATAAATAGGGAGGTTGATAGAGAGGCCTATATATTATATATATATATATATATATATATATATATATATATACACATACATACATACATACATACATAGACATGAGTCCCTCTAAACTTACGCACTGGTAAATTTGCTACATGATAAATGGGACTAAATATGTCAGAATAGGTAAGTGACATTTGTAGGTTGATTACAATTTTTTCTGTTGGGGGTGGGATGCTACACTAATTATAGCTATAAATCTGGACTGATTAATTTAACAACTCTTCATCTCTCTCTACATACATATACATGTATATTTATGTATATATATATAGGCCTATATATATATATATATGTATGTATATAGATAAATAGGGAGGTTGATAGAGAGGCCTATATATTATATATATATATATATATATATATATATATATATATACACATACATACATACATACATACATAGACATGAGTCCCTCTAAACTTACGCACTGGTAAATTTGCTACATGATAAATGGGACTAAATATGTCAGAATAGGTAAGTGACATTTGTAGGTTGATTACAATTTTTTCTGTTGGGGGTGGGATGCTACACTAATTATAGCTATAAATCTGGACTGATTAATTTAACACCAATATTTGCCTTGAAGTGTCTAAGCAGAACCTTTTTTTAAAGGAACAATTGTTTAATTTTGGACCGTGCACATTTAGGCTGTATAAACAGCAATTTAATTTTGGATCCACTTCTTCAAATTTCTATAACATTTCTTTAGGCCACAATACAATAGCTAATATAACATTCCACCCTCGCCCCCTCTCCTTACTGAGCTATGGATTTCCGTGAAGTGCCGCACCAAATAATTACTATAGATAGGTAGCCAAGCTTATCGTTTTATTCAATCGCAGTTGGGTCTATTGTTTTGTCAAAGCATTAGCTACTAACTATGGGGTATTATTAGTGTATGTTTGTAGTTACGAGCTTAGGGATTCGATCTTCATTTAGTTGGTTCCCGGGTGGCAGTTTGTATCGGAAAAAGCCCAAACATGTTTACACTTGGGGGAGGGAGGTCATCCATACAAGATGTCAAGCTTTTTTTGACGATTTTTACCTCTCCCCTCCGTCACACATCGTCACAATAAGCTAGACCCCCTCCCTTAAAATGACGTCACACCTCAGCCTACAACCCTCCCCCTCAAAATTGCAGTTAAATTTTTCTTAAAACATCGATGTTTTTCCAAAATCTTGTCTGATTTCATTCAACATAGAGTATTTTAATCAATTCCTATTTCCATTTATTAAAACAGTTTTATAAACCGTGATATAAAGGCTAAAATTCGTTTTCTAATATTGCTGTATAATGCACACGTTTGACGTCACACCATCTGAACAGAGTTTCTTCCAGGCATCTCTGCCCCCCCCCCCCTCGAACGAGATGGAATTTATATAGTAAACATAGACTTTAACTAGTGTCCGCTCCCCCCCCCCCCCCACCCTACCGGAAAATGTAGACCGCCCCCCCCCTCATCACTCACCGTCTCAAAATTACGGACCCCCTCCCCCTACGATTGTGACGTCATTTATGGACGACCCCTGGCGAAAAAACAACTTTCAGAAAGTATCGGACTACATGTTCGGGAGGGGGGGGGGAATGATGTTTTTAATATAGCCTTACTTAACTTTTTTGCGAGTTTTTTTTCCTAGACATGTAGGCCTATAGTATATGTGTATAGATGTGATATAATAGCCGTGCGCGTCAACCTACTTGATAGGTAGAATGGCCTTATATCGAGAGATCTACCAGATACAACTTTTACACTTGCGACTTGTATACTAAGTATCCGTGTTCCGCGGGGAGAATGTTTTCGTATAAAATTATATAACATTTCCCCCCCCCCCCAGACTAGTATAGTAGCCTATACATGTCGCAAGAGTAAACGCGGTGTTATAGTAGCCTCGGAAAAGGGGGAGGGATGAAAGTATAGAAAAAACAAGTAATTAAAAAAGTCTAGTGACAATTTTAGCGCTATTTCCTTATGTTATCTAAAAATAGCTCTGTCGTAGCGTAGCGTAAATCAAGAGCAGGGTTAGTAAAACCATTGGTTAGTTATTAAAACGTTTTTTATTAATTTTTATTTCAGTATTTAACATGTTTTATTTACAATAGAGTTACATGACTAAAAACCATTGCGCGCCTAGCTACCGAACGTGATGACGCAGCCATTGAACGTGATGGCGCAGCTATTGAACGTGATGACGCGTGTGGTGTGGTTGGAAAAAATGCCTACTAATTCGGTCCAAATTTTAATTAATTAAAAAAAATTTTTGTGACCGAACGAAAGGATATTTTTGAAAACTTTCTTCGGCAATATTGTTCTAAATAATGGCAGAAATCGATTGGTACATGTTTCAAGTCGCTAAGTGGTCTGGTTGCCGAGATATGGGCCAAAAACTGCTTTTTTTCCGAGGTTTTTTGGCTTTTCCGGGAAATCCATGAAAGAAACCCGGAATTTTTATGGCCTATGTTCATTCTCGTAAATTGCTTAACATAATTGCTTTTGGAACTAGTCATCGATATTGCTTCGTTGAGGAGGAGATACGACTTAAAGCCCGGACACACATTCATCCATACATTCATTCATTCATTCATCCATTCACCCATCCATTCCCAGAAATGACGAGTTAATAAACGCAATTCTCCAAAATGGAAATTGCGCTAAAAAACAATACCATTCATCCAGTGGCGTCGCTAGGTCGGGTATCACTCGGTGCGGCACTTCGTGGTGGCACCCTCCCCCCAAAGAAATAAAGTAGATATATATATATATATATATATATATATATATATATATATATATATATATATATATATATATATATATATATATATGAGAATGTCGGCCTACATAGGTCTATAATTTAAATAAATGCCACATACGCGTACATATATGTGTATAAGCTCTAATCACTCCAGACGTAATAGTAACAGTGTTTATCTATTACCTATTAATAATACAGCTGAATGTAGCATTTTTTTCTCTATAGTTAGATGGTGTCACCCCCACCCTCTTGTAATAATTGACGATTTGTACTAAAAATACTATTTAAATTTAATTAATCATTAATGGAGCTGGCAAAAAGACATTTTTCTTCTTTACATTTTGCAATTTTTTGTCTTGGTTTCACCCCCCCCCCCTAAACGGTGTCACGCTGTGCGGTCCTTCCCCCACCCCCCGCCCTCGCTACGCCTCTGCATTCACAAACAAACTACAAGGCAGCAGTTGTTTGATTTTGGAGTTTGGTCTCCTAGATTGGTTGCTGACACCAGCTATCGGGCCTCATTTGCGCGAGGGTTCAAACTCGAGATTTTTCCGGCTCGATCACACCAACCCAATTAGGCCTACATTAATAAATGTCTATTGCCTTTACTAAATCTGTCTTTCAAAACCGTGGAATAAAAGTTACAATTCAATTTCTAATACAAATTTATTAAATTTTAACGTGTGTCACATTTTCTGAAATTCCGCCTTCTCTCCCACTCTTCATAAATAGTCTCAAATTTCCGAACCCCCTAAGGACTGTAACGGGGCAGTGTGGCGTCGTTTATGGATGACCCCTAATGCCCCCTGATAATTCAACCTAATATATACGGTTTTTTTTTCTCTTAAAATTATCGCCACAAAGGATTGTTTTTATTATTTGAGGAATTGTTTATTTTTCTACAGGTACGTAATCAGGATCGGGCGTAACTAGACCTTGGGATAACGGTGAGCTTTTTTTGTAACGTTTTACTTTTATTAGCAAATTTTAATCTGCTTAAGAAGTGATTATAAAGATCATTTTGCTCCTTTGGATGTTTTAATAGTTTAAAATAGAAAAAAACACGTGTTTGTGCTTAGATCAAGTTTGTAGGGGCCTAATTAATCGATTTTATTTTATAGGCCCAATACATTCATTAGGTCTAGGCCTACAAATAGAAAGCGAAAGCTACCAAGATCTATAATTAAACCAATCAAATATCTGGCTTTACTGGCTGTCTATTTCCGGTGACGTAATTAAATATCTTTACGAAGGTAGTGAATTTGTATATCATAAATACTATTTCCTCTTATTGAATAAAAGTAAATGAGTAGATATTATCGGAGGGATAACTTTATCTCTAAAAGATTTAATTATTTTTACAGCTTAGTAAAGTTCTTTGTAACTTTTTGCATCTTGTTTCTGTAACTAAACCATTGCGCATGTCAGAGACGGCCATTTTGCACCGAAAAGAATTTTCACAAGTTATTTCAGTCGTAAACATTGGGATTTGGAGGACACACATTTTAATTTATTTTAACTATGTTAATTATAAAGAACAGAGTAATTATATTTGATTGTATTAGTGTGCATTAAATATCATTTGCGTGTACGTGAAGCAGTAACAATAATTAATCAGGCTACATTCTGTCCGTTTTCTAAGTCACCCACTTGCCACACTAAAAATTTGGTCTGATGCGAGGTCTAGTCTAGATTTACATATAAGAATCTCTAGAGCTAGCTTAATCAAGGAAAATCCTCCATTTTTGTACGTTGAAATGAGGGAAAATATAGATCTAGGCGAAGATTTATGTATGTTTCTAATGCCATGCTATTTAAATCAATTTAGTTAGGCCTAAGTCTTAAGATAGGTAATCTATCGTTTTGGGTACGTAAAATCGCCCGCGGCTATTAATGTACGAAAATGTTACCTCATTGTCAATGCTTAAATAGAGGTATATTGTGATATGTTTGTGTCAAATATTATAGATAAATGGATAATAAACCTAAATCAATGGCTAAATATATCAAATAGGCCAGAAATTAACTTTAAACAGCAGTGTCTGCGAACAAGATTTACTATATAAACAGCAGACGTGTAAAATAGAGTGACTTCCCCCTGAATCTTATAAAAATAAAACTTAAACAAGATGGCTGCTATAGTAGTGCTTGCTATAGTAAATGAGCATGGTTGCATCTGTTGGAAACATCGCTAGTCTTCATTTATTAATGAAAAGTTTTAATTCAATTGTTTAAAAACAGATACATAAATGAAACAAGGAAACATTTTTGTATTTTAAAAAACAAATCCTCCTCAAAATGTGAAATAATTATTAAAATTTAAGGAGTCACCTGTTTTTCACATTACAAGTCGCTGGCGATTTTACGTACCTAAAACGATAGATTACCTTAAGATATGTTGGGTTGTAGTTGTAGCTACTAGAGGAGTTTACACTTTTCGGACACACACCAAAAATTACGTAGGACCGAACACTTCGTCGGTTTTTGGCTCATAGAAACTTTAATTAGCATGTCTCACGCGAAACCACGGCGCCTGCACGTAAACTGTTCATTTATGAACACTTCCGTGTCAAGTACTTCCGTTTCCTTTCTCAAGAATCATTTTTAGAAATTTTTTAACGTTGCATGGTACGCACATTTCTATTTTTACACCAGCCGGATGAAGTGACCTAGGGTTGGACTTAGGGGCAAAACTTGAACCAATCAATGCTTAGCTAAAAGGTTACACTATAAATAGCTTCTATATATGTATGGAACATCGTAAATGTCAAGGTTAATGGGTTTTTTCGTGCTTGAACAATAAAAAAGGGGTGTTCGCTAACTTATTTGGCCTTACATGGGACCGGACAGCAACACAAAAATATTATTAAATAAGAATTTAGAGCATAAAAGGGGCTGGTTATTGAAGGGAAAGGGTCAAAATAAGGTCAAGAAGGCAGTGGAATGCGAAAGAGGAGGGGGAATCATGTGACCTGGCTGGCTTAGCAGCGTACTGCGCGAGCCGCAATGGCTGAATGGGATGAACTTTGGGAGTGTGGGAAAAAGGTTTTATACTATTAAAATTACCTCACAAACAATCAATAACACAATATAAATGCATATAATATATGTTTTTATTCATTAAATTGACTTTAAATTATTCTAAATGAACAAAAAGTGCTATGTCCGATGACGGGTAAAGGTGTCCGAACACATGTAAAACTGTATTACATGTGTTCGAACACACGTTAAGACCCCCCAGTCACTATAACAAGAATAGCTTAAGTTCTATGCGTATGAATACAAAATGACACACACATTATTAAAGTAGAATGGTTGCGGATAGATATGATACTTTTTTTTGTTTTCTATGTTAAGCGGTTACTGAATGAGACCGCATGGAATTTTTACGTTGCGTTTTTTCGCTATGTGTGTCCGAAAAGTGTAAGCTCCTCTAGCTAGCATTAAAAAAGAACAAAAATGAAAATTTGGGGGAATTTTTATACCAGTGTCACTGAGTGTGTCTGGTAATATAAATTATAGGCCCTAATCTTCTTTAAAAAAGGGGTGTTACGTTACTGGTAGTTAACTAAATACACACATGGCTGGCTAATGTCAACGCTAACTCTGTCCCTATCCCCAATCCTAGTCCTACCATACGCCTAACCCTAATTTCTAACGATAAAATTGGTCGAGATTACAATACTACTAACAACCCACCACTCCTATTTTATGGAAGAGTCTATTATCGGACATGGGTATCTCAAATCATCCGTAAATTTTATAAAATATGTTTGCAAATTTTTTTTGAATTCTAGTGATTAGACCTAGATCTAGATCTAGGCATTTTGGTAAAAATTATCAAAATTCTTTTTTAGAAAAAAGTATCAACAATTTATTAATATAGCTAGTCTCATAACGCGAGTTGAATTACCTCCCCTGACCCGCTTTTTTATGACCACTTTTTAGTTCGTTTTTTTCAACCGCATCTCTGCACTGTTGCTAAAAATAGCATTTGTGCAATACCATACGGGTAACTCTGTTTGGTGTCTGCTACGCGTGATAGATCGTTGAATGGCTGACAAGCTGATATAAAAATTATTGCGACCGGATGCGATTTTCATGGAAGTTGAGCTAGATTTAGCAAAAGACAGCTATATTTGTGTAAAATATTATTATTTATGCTTTTACTTACACAGAAATTTTGATACCTGCAGTTCAGTAGTCCATTTATCTTTTAAAATGTATCTTTAGAATTTCTGTACCTTTTGGCAATCGGTCAGGAGCATTTGCGCACTAAAGCCACCCCCGTACGGCAGATCCGATTTTTTTCCCAGTGAACTCGTACTGACCTCCCACATAGCTAAGATAGTACATTGATACTGATGGGAAAGCCTCTAAATCTATATTCCTACTAGAGATCTAGAAATAAATCTAGATCGTGGAGTTTTTATAATGACTTTTAAATTGAATGTCTTCAGTTTTAAGATATTTTTTTTTCAAAACATAGCAACTTTTAGTACTATATTTATTTCAAACCCTTTTGGTAGTTTTTTCCGTCACACATCGTTACAAAAAGATTTTTCCAAAATCTTATCTGATATCTGTCAATATAAAGTATTTTAATCAATTCATATTGCAATATATTTAAAACAGTTTTCTAAACCGGGAACTAATGTCTTAAATTAGTTTTTAACATTGCTTTTTTATAATGCAAAAGTGTGGCGTCGCACCATCTGAACCCCCTCCTCCCCCTCATCACACACCGTCACAAAATTCGAGTGTGACGTCATTTATAGACGACCCCAGAAATAAAAGAAAGGAACTATATAACTCTGTACAGCTCATCAGGGAATACTAAAAATATTCTTAACATTAATCAATTTTAATTATGAGACTTAAGATATATTAATGCAGTAGAAATAAAAATTTTTTTTACTTAAATTGCACTATTTAGCTGAATTTCTTATTAAATTACCTCTCCTGGCATAATTATTAATTAGTTTTATTCAACATAACTTATAAAAGTATAACAATTTTTTCTAGGAATCTAAGCAAAAATATTATTTGACATTGATCCGTTATATGTTTTAGCAATGTGCATGTATTTAACATTTTGTTGATGTATGGAAAAAACCGTTGCCAACCATAACATTTTTTTAGTCATTACATAAATAGACTTTACTACATTATTTGTTATAAGACAATGCGATGCAGGTAATGCACTGCATGTGGTGTTTCTAAATTCTATAGCGATGACAGGTCGGAAGTGCGAAATGACACTGGCGTCTTATATTAACAAATATTCAGGCCTAGACCTATTTATATTCCAGTATGATCTAGGCCAGTGATCTGTTCCAGATTAAAGTACTCAATAAACTTAGGTCATAAGCCATTACATTTTTTTTTAAGTTAAGCTTCCTGCTTTCAGTAGGTATTGAGTAATGTTGATAAATTCAGTAATTTATTTCTCAGTCTGATGTGGGAAAATAGTTTATTAAACAAGTTTTTCATGCCAGAGCTAGTAGCAAGTTAATAGGACACTAAGGATTAAAAATTTAATTTTCTTTAATTTGGCATCATCCTATTAGCTTTTCAGAAAGTCTTGAAAAATAGTTAAAAAACGTGCTGTTTTTTTTAAATTATGTGTGAAAGACTCGATGAATCCAAGAAATTTTTTTAAATCAATGAATTTTTAAATTAAACCTACCCCCCTGCAAATCTAATAGAAATAATTAAAACACTAATTTATATGCCCAAACTAATTAAGGGACTGGAATAGTTAATTTTAAAAAATCTAGGTAACTCATGTGACCAGTCAAACCAATAATTTATTTAGGCCATGCCTGCTAGTCCATTGTTAAGGCATATCATTGTAATATATAAATATATCTAAAAAAATGCCAAGACCCAAACGCCTATTTCACTCAGTACAAAGTAAAAAAAATTAAAAAGACTTATGAATGTAAACAATAGTTTTCAAGCTAATAATCAAATACATTTTTTATACCTGTATTACTTTGTGCCTGTTTTTCTCTAAAAGTGCTTTACTAACTTTTAAAAATTCTTTGTATACTTGTATGTTATATAATATTTTGCAAGTCTAGCTGTTTTTCATAGCAGTTAGGAACTTCCCTCTCGAGACAACCAGTATGAAAATAGGTTTAGTCATGTTTTGGTCAGCGGTCATTTCCGCTTATCCATCCAGATGACAGTTAACTGTTAGTGTATCTTTGCTTAGAACTTTTTCAGTATGGAATTTCAAGTCCTCTTTATGTTAAAAATAGCCTAAAATCTTTTAGGGAACAGTTTTGCATTTAAGAAAAAACCTTTGGCCCACACTGAAAAAAAATTGATGTTGTATTAAGAATAACCTACAATTTGACCACACCAGCCCACATGGTTGAATGGTAGAGCGTATACTGCTAATCTGAAAGTCTCGAGTTCAAATCAGGGTTTAAGACCTTAGAATATCCCTTGGTCTACTCAGCTCTGATATGCACCTGACACTTAGGGAAGGTAAAGGCGTCTAGGCATAGTGCTGACCACTTTACATATGCTGAGGTCATACTAAGAGGTGAACTATACTTCACTTGCCCATTGACCGTCAGGTTCAAAAGGGAACTTCACTTATTTACTTATAAAGAATATAATGAGTAATATGCAATTATATTTTTTATATTAATCATATGTAATTCTATGAAATGATTCCAAAAATTTGATCTAACATACAGAATTCAAGATACTGATGTCAATTGGTCGAATGAGGATCCAACAGTGCCAGGCCTTTCCCAAAACTGGCAATTGGCCGTGTACACTAGCCTGAGTGAGAGTGGCGAGCGTCATGCCGTCACTCCCCAAACCTGGAAATCTTAAAGACCCAGAAGTTGCTGGACTTTTCTCAAATGATGATCCAGAGAAAATATTTGGGGACCTGCGAGAGATCGGCCATGGAAGCTTCGGCGCTGTCTATTTTGTAAGTCATAGTTTAACTAATCTTTCACGCACACATACAATTTTGTTGTTGTTTTGTTTTACATTACAGACTTAAGTTTACATTTTATCAAATGTTTAAATACAGCAGTCATAGTTTAACTAATCTTTCACACTCACATAAAATTTAATTTTAGTTTTTTTTACATTACAGACTTGAAGTTTAGATTTTATCAAATGTTTAAATACAGATAAATTATAAATATTCTGTTACTCATTGACTAGCTGTTTCTGCATATTTATTTAGCTAGTTTTGTCTATATTTTAAACTTGAGCCTAACCATAGTTTTATGGTTAATATTGCATCTCTATAAATATGTGGATAAAGCTAATCAATAAGACCTGATATTTATATGGAATAATATAAATAATTGTCATCGGCATTCTTTGTTTGTTAAATTTAGCTATTTAAATTAATTTTTCAGGCACGAAACAACATTACGAAGGAGGTGGTGGCAATCAAAAAGATGTCTTATAATGGAAAAGGCTCTAATGATGTAAGATTTAATATATTTTGCTATAAAACAATTGAATCCTTGTTTTTATGCTAATACCTTTTGGTTATATGTATTTTCCTATAATAACATAGTTTGATGATTAATTTGAATTATTATATCTTCCAGAAATGGCAAGACATTATTAAAGAAGTCAAATTCCTACGACAGTTAAAACATAGGAACACTATTGAATACAAAGGATGTTTTATCAAAGAGCATACAGCATGGGTAAACAATTTATTTTTTGTAAACTGAATTTAAAAAAATTTCTACTTCACAATTCATTAATTTAAGTTAGAATAAGTAAAAACTCAAGATAGGTTTTTGTCAAGTTGGAATATAAATGGTTATTGTATGACTAAAGAGTGAATAAGTGTGAGACTTCACTAAATAAATAAGTTGTTTTTGATTTGCTTATTTAACATTTAATTATTTTGGGTATAATAATTATATTTTCACTTTTTCATTTTCAGCTTGTAATGGAGTATTGCTTAGGTTCAGCATCCGACATAATCGAAGGTAAATTTGTTTTTATGCTTTTAAAAGTGTGACTAAAAACTGTATTGCAATTAACATAATAAAATTAAAAAAAAAATGATCCTCTTAAAAACAGTTCACAAAAAGCCCCTAAAAGAGGTGGAGATTTCTGCCATTTGTCAAGATGGCCTTGAGGGACTGTCATACCTCCACAGTCAAGGCAAAATACACAGAGATGTCAAGGCAGGAAATATTTTGCTAACAGAAAATGGAACTGTAAAATTAGGTATGTTATGTGTGAATTCATGCTGTAAGAATGCTTTCTCCATTAAATTTATGTGCATTGATGTGTTTACAACATTGAAAAATGAAATCTGTGTATAATTTAAATTAGTTTGTAATTGATTTTCAAAAAAATTGCAGCTGATTTTGGGTCAGCATCATTGATATGTCCAGCAAATTCCTTTGTTGGCACTCCTTATTGGATGGCACCAGAAGTGATTCTAGCAATGGATGAGGGCCAGTATGATGGCAAAGCAGATGTGTGGTCACTGGGTATCACTTGTATAGAAATGGGTTAGTTTCACTTTATTTTTCTAAGATATGGTTGGATTTTTAGTCATAAATTTAAAAAAAAAACCTGACAATTTAAAAAATCAACTTTCCTACCTCTAAGCATTATTGGACAAACAACATTGAAATCATTTTATCAACTACTTCTGTTTGAAAACAATTTAAAGTCATGTCCATGCATTTTTAGAAATACATGTGTTAATTTAATTTTATGCCAAATTTCTTCCTACCAGCTGAACGCAAGCCACCCCTTTTTAACATGAATGCCATGAGTGCTTTGTACCATATTGCTCAGAATGACTCTCCAAGCTTGGCAGGTGGGGAATGGTCAGATGAGTTTCACAACTTTGTTGATGCTTGTTTGCAGAAGTTACCTAAAGACAGACCATCCGCTACAGAGCTGCTAAATGTAAGCTTTCTATTTTTCATCAATACATTTGAACAGAAATGACTTAATAGTTTTATTGTAGCATGTAAGAAATGACTTAATAGTTTTATTGTAGCATGTTTTAATAAATGTTTATTAATTCTTAAAACAGCACCCTTTTGTTCGCAAAACACGGCGTTCTGATGTTATATTAGAATTAATTCAGAGGACAAAAGTAGCTGTGAAACAGCTGGATAACCTGCAGTATAGAAGGTTGAATAAACTCATCATGAACGGTGGCAACGAAGAGAGTTTGCTGGAGGGAACTGTTGTTACTAATGTGGAAGATCTTGTTCCACCAGATGATAATTCATCTCAGGTTGGTCCATTATACTTGATCTAATTTAATGTATTTCATCTTGACCTATTGGTCTAATCTCCTGTTTCTAATTTTTATCTACTTTAATTTCTCTAATAGGTAGAAGATGGCAAAATATTTGTAACTCCATTTATAAGGCACGTCAAATTTTAAAATAAATGCTTGTCTTATTTAGGATGGTGATAACTTGGATAGCAAATCAGACAGTTTACCAAGTCAACACAGCAACACTGCCAGCAGTCAGAGTAGTGTAGCAAGTCTTTCCCAAGCTAGCCAGAACGAGGAGCCCATTTCATTTGCTAGAGAGCGACATGTAAGAAAGCTGTTTTCTATAATTCTGTTTATTAGATCTAAAACATTGATTCCTACATTTATTCTAATATATCATGACCCCTCACTTTAGAGGAAAGATTGCTGTTAAAAATAAAAAGCAGTTTGTCACATTATTTTGCATTGTTGATCACAATCAAAGCTTAAGACACTGTTGTTAATGTTGCATCGTTATATTTATTATGACATTTAAGATCAAGTAAAATTTTGTTTTTTAAATTTGAGATAAATCAGATATATCTCTTTGTAAAGTTTTTTTTTCTCATATTAATAGTGTACTATTTTTAGTTTTGAAACAATTTTGCTTGGTCTTAAATCAAATTACTGATTACATTAACAAGCTTTACCTTTACCCACCCTTCATTTATTATTTGCACCTATTGAAAGCATTTTTTGAACAAAAGAATCAAATTGAGTATAAATGAACAATTTCTAATAATATAATCCACTTTCAAGAGCCACACGGAACCATACATAGATGCTAACATAATTACATGCCATAGTCACTGTCACCTTTGTAATATATAATGGTATCTATATATATAATTCTCTTCTGGGAGCCGTTAGAAAACAAGCTGCAAGCGCCTCCTTGCAGTCCCCTCTCTTTCTATCACTATCACTACCACCCCCACCCCACCCCCACATTGTCTGGTGAGCTGTGGTCACGCTGTTTACATTTTACAATCATATCATAGAGACGGGTTTGGTGACGGCTATTAGGGGCAGATAATTTAGTTTGAAACGATTTTAAACTTAGAGGAGGTAACTAAGAGGAGGCTGCTTTCACGTGGGGGGGGAGGGGGGTTTAGTGTTTTTAAGCAAATATTTTCAGTGGCAGCATTGGTACTGTCGAATTCACAAATTATAAATTACTGAACAGTAAAAAAAAAACAACTAAATAGCGGCGTATGATACGCAGCGGGTCGGCTCGTTTTATATAGTTTGCTAAGTCTGTAATATCACTTATTAGAAAGTAAACTACACATGTCTACACAGTTCTTATTTATACTTTTGTAAGTTCTAATCTGTAACAACACTAATAAGCAAGTAAGCTACACATTTCTACACATAGGAAGAGCATTGTTGCAGATAATATTTATACTTGTGTAAATTCTATTTTAGTGCCTATAAATAATTTCAATATGTGCCAAATAAGAATTCTCCATTGTTTAAAGTGGTGAGGCATTTCCAAATGGAACAAGTGAAAATTGCAAACTTTTATTCCTTCTGTCTTACTATTATATTAATGTATTGGGTCAAAGTATAACTTGTATATATCCATGCTCATCTTGTATATCTATTGGTTTTCTCCCAGTCACCTGTCACAGTACAATTGCATTTACAGGTAACTGCATGGCCTGATCTTGTGCATTGTTGTTGTGAATTAAAGGAAATATTTCAAACAATTTTTTTTACAGATAGTTTAATTTATTATTTTTTACTGTTTCATTCATGAATAAGAATTTCAGTTTTTTTTTAGAAATATCAACAGTTTTAGCAACATGCTGTTATTTTCTTACTTAAAAATGTATATCCAAACAATGTACATCAAATCTCCTCCCACCCAACTAAAAAAAAAACAACTTACAGCAATACAAGTCTTTTTGTATCGGTGTTTTTGCTTAGTTATTTCCTTGCATTACATTTTCTCTCTATTCTTTAATATACTAATTACATATGTTGTCTATTGGGATTTTAAGACGGGAAGACAGACTTTTTCAGTGGGTTGTAATGTTGGGTAAATAATTTCTGCAATCAGAATTAATTATAAAGATTAAATTAAAACAATAGAAGAGTAAATTCTAAGAATATCAGAATGCAGCACAAATTTTTCCAGTAGTAAACTTTTTTTTTACTATATAAATTTTGAAATAAGATTATAAAATTAACTTTTCTTGAATACAAATTTATAAATAAATAAAAAAAAATGTTTTAAATTATAAACATCTGATAAATTAGAAAAAAACTTAAATTCCATTTTGTGTATATTATCTTTAAAATAATGCCAATTGTTGAATAATGTAGGGCAGTGGTGGTGGTTTTGAGTGGCCATCCTTCACACATCGCAGTGCCTCATACAGCCCTTACCTGGCATCTAAGGTACCCCACCTTGAATGATCTTGAATGCCAAGATTTATTGAATGTTTTTACCCACATTGTTTTTTTTAAAAAAAACATTTTCTTGTGCATTGCATTTTGAATGGGTCTGACAGAGAAATTTTGTTAGATGCCACTTTTAGATGTCCTTACAAAACTGTTAAAAATTGGCTTACTTATAATTTGATAAATCTTTTTTTAAAATGGTTTTAATTTGACCTGGATTTTAAAATGTTATTTTGCATTTACAAAAGTTAATTCTTCTTTGTCAGATCCATGACACTGTGACTGAAGTCTTTTTTTTCTCAAATAAATTAGCCTAAACTTTTTATCTTGTATTTCATAATTTGAGATTAGATAATTTTGGACTGAAAGTAATTTAAGATTCTATTCTGCACAAACATAAAGTAGATAAAGTAGTTCTATACATTTTTTTTAACAAGTGTTGCAATACAGTTCTCAAGAAATCAGCTTTATTATTAGCTGAATATTGGGGTGCATGGCATGACTACTTTCTCTACCCCTCAATTGAATTCTGCATTTAAATGGTCACAAGCATGACTGATCTATTGCGTTTTTTAAAAACAAACTTTTTCTGCACTTTGTTTCTTAATCTAGCAATCGAGGATTCGTTGGGTTGTTATTTGCACATGCTGTTTTAAACAGTGATTTCATGCAGCACTTTGTGTCTGTTGTCTGTTTAAATCATCATTTGGATTAGAGGGTTCTACTATTTGACTGTTGTTAAACTTGCACCCAGTTGCCAGTGCATCACCAATTGTGGATGAATCTTACATATTGTTTTTATTTTAATTGTTTGCAATACATCATTTTTCAGCATCAGTAGAATTAGAATATATATATAATAATTATTTTAAACCTTTTTAATGTGAGAATGAGTTTTTTTGGGCTGATAAATGACCCAGACAAGCCAACATGAATCTCTAAAACTTCACACTTCTCATCCAATACTTAAATAACAAACTTTTTCATAATGGAATGCTTAGTTGTTGTATGTATTATCATATTAATGCTTGGTTTCATTTTTTCAACTAGGGTGAGATGATTTAAGTTCATTTTAGTTTCTCCTCACTGCATTGTGATAGTTATTGAAATTAAAAGTTGTGCTATATTAATAAATAGTACTCTTAAGTTATAAATGTTTATTATGGATTGTAAAATGATTGCCTTTGGTTTAAAAATTAGAATATTTTTTTCCTAATTTATAATTATTACATGTGTTTAGTAATTTTCATGGGGAGAAAAATGAATACATGTTGTCATAAAATGTAAGCGCTTTCTCTAACTATTGTTGTGCATAATAATGTATCAATTGCTTGATCCTTTTCAGCTTTGAGCTTGTAAAAACAGTGTAGTATATCTATTTTTGTCACATTTCTAAATTCCACTGTAGGCTAATGCTGTCTGAATGTCATGTTTAAGAATTTTGTTTCAATATTTGCAGGCATCAGGTGGAAGTCCCCGTGGCTTTGACCCTTCAATGGCCAATAATTTTGCCACAATTCGTACAACATCCATTGTGCAGAAACAGATAAAAGAGCATGAGAGAACCAATGACTATAGAAACTTTACAGTATACAAAAGACTCCGCAAAACACATCAAAAAGAGTTGCAAACTGTAAGTGACCACAAATTCAATACTAATAATCAATAGTTACTATTTTATTTTATATACATTGGTATGGATATAGCTGATGTAATTTTTTTTTTTTTCCTATTTCCCTATATTGTAGTACATGCCATACATTTTTTGTTTAATTTTTTTTACATTTGTTTATAAACATTTCAGATGGAGTCCAGATTTAAGGCAGAGATGGAGGAACATAAGCAAAAACTAGACAGAGAATATGATAACTTGAGACAGAGGTTTTTCCGTGAGTTGGAGAAACTAAAAGCTCAGCACATTAGTGAACTTGATAAGCAGGTACATTTTTATTTGGTCTTGTCAGATTTTTAATCCAGTACATTTATAAGCTAAATTAAAGTTTGAATGCTGCATCCAAAAAAGAATAGACAAAATATGGCACTGGATAGAAAATATTGATTAAAACTAGTTATCAAGCTATATTAAAAATGTTGGTAATTCAGGTGATCTTTCACTATTGAATCTTAATAAGAAAAATAGTCTAAAAAGTGTGTCAAATAAAATAATTTGCTTTGTAGATATTTAAATGCATGATCATAAGTAAGGGTCAAGCTTGACTTAACCCAGGGGTCCAGGTTTAGTATTGGTCATGCAGTAAAAGTAAGACTTGGTTGATCCAGGTCCTACTCTGCTTTAAGCCCGTAGCAGAAAAGATCAACTGTTGTCCAGTTTAAATGTCAGGGATGTAGCAACAAGCTGATATAGTGATGACAAACTTAAAGGTTAGGTTAGGTTAGCCTGTCGCCCCTCCTGGGTGGATACAGGCTGCTGACAAGAGCTTTCCTGGAATCTCTAATCAGGGATTGTCTCTTGGTGTCTTTTTCCAGGACACGTCTCTGATAAAGTTAAAACGTTTTTTTTTATTCTTATTGCCACATTGCTTGTTTAACAGAGCAAAAACACCCAAGCTCAAGAAAGAAAGTTCCTTCGTGATGTTCACCAAAATCATGACACAGAGAGAAGGAGCTTAGCAGAACAAATGAAGAAAAATTATAAATCTGACAAAGAGAAAATGAAGAAGGTAGTTTCTCTACAATATTGCAATTGCAAAATGAATAGTATGAAAATAAAAAGCTTCTTAAATACTTATTTTAAAATTTTTTTTTAAAATTTTTTTGCAGGGACTGGAGACAAGTACCCCTAAGAAGGAAAGAGATGACGCAATGAAGAACTTCAAGGAGACTCTGACCCGCAAAAAGAGAGATGCTGAGTTTAGGTTAGAAAAACACCAGAAGGACACTTTAGAATTTAACCTGAGGGCTTTCAAACGCAGAAAACTGTTGCAGTATCACAAGTTGGAGCAAAAACTGGCACAGGAGGTCAGTTACATTTGACTTGCATCTAACATTGTTTTATTGTGATGAATCCTATTGTAGAATAACAAACACAATGACTTTTTAAAATCAGTTTTGTACTGCAAATAACAAAACCTCATTTCTGTATGCTAAAATTGTTTTTTTTTTTTATGTTAAACATTTTAAAAATATTACTCCCAAATTTTAAAACTAAAAGTTTTCAATAATTTAAGTAACAATTTGTGACCCCCAGGAGATAGATCTAGGTCAGAGGCATAGTACTCCCAAATTTTAAAACTAAAAGTTTTCAATAATATAAGTAACAATGCTGCAACAATTTGTGACCCCCAGGAGATAGGTCAGAGGCATAGTACTCCCAAATTTTAAAACAAAAAGTTTTCAATAATTTAAGTAACAATGCTGCAACAATTTGTGACCCCCAGGAGATGGGTCAGAGGCATAGTACTCCCAAATTTTAAAACAAAAAGTTTTCAATAATTTAAGTAACAATGCTGCAACAATTTGTGACCCCCAGGAGATAGGTCAGAGGCATAGTACTCCCAAATTTTAAAACTAAAAGTTTTCAATAATTTAAGTAACAATGCTGCAACAATTTGTGACCCCCAGGAGATAGGTCAGAGGCATAGTACTCCCAAATTTTAAAACTAAAAGTTTTCAATAATTTAAGTAACAATGCTGCAACAATTTGTGACCCCCAGGAGATAGGTCAGAGGCATAGTACTCCCAAATTTTAAAACTAAAAGTTTTCAATAATTTAAGTAACAATGCTGCAACAATTTGTGACCCCCAGGAGATAGGTCAGAGGCATAGTACTCCCAAATTTTAAAACTAAAAGTTTTCAATAATTTAAGTAACAATGCTGCAACAATTTGTGACCCCCAGGAGATAGGTCAGAGGCATAGTACTCCCAAATTTTAAAACTAAAAGTTTTTCAATAATTTAAGTAACAATGCTGCAACAATTTGTGACCCCCAGGAGATAGGTCAGAGGCATAGTACTCCCAAATTTTAAAACTAAAAGTTTTTCAATAATTTAAGTAACAATGCTGCAACAATTTGTGACCCCCAGGAGATAGGTCAGAGGCATAGTACTCCCAAATTTTAAAACTAAAAGTTTTCAATAATTTAAGTAACAATGCTGCAACAATTTGTGACCCCCAGGAGATGGGTCAGAGGCATAGTACTCCCAAATTTTAAAACTAAAAGTTTTCAATAATTTAAGTAACAATGCTGCAACAATTTGTGACCCCCAGGAGATAGGTCAGAGGCATAGTACTCCCAAATTTTAAAACTAAAAGTTTTCAATAATTTAAGTAACAATGCTGCAACAATTTGTGACCTCCAGGAGATAGGTCAGAGGCATAGTACTCCCAAATTTTAAAACTAAAAGTTTTCAATAATTTAAGTAACAATGCTGCAACAATTTGTGACCCCCAGGAGATAGGTCAGAGGCATAGTACTCCCAAATTTTAAAACTAAAAGTTTTCAATAATTTAAGTAACAATGCTGCAACAATTTGTGACCCCCAGGAGATGGGTCAGAGGCATAGTACTCCCAAATTTTAAAACTAAAAGTTTTCAATAATTTAAGTAACAATGCTGCAACATTTGTGACCCCCAGGAGATAGGTCAGAGGCATAGTACTCCCAAATTTTAAAACTAAAAGTTTTCAATAATTTAAGTAACAATGCTGCAACAATTTGTGACCCCCAGGAGATGGGTCAGAGGCATAGTACTCCCAAATTTTAAAACTAAAAGTTTTCAATAATTTAAGTAACAATGCTGCAACAATTTGTGACCCCCAGGAGATAGGTCAGAGGCATAGTACTCCCAAATTTTAAAACTAAAAGTTTTCAATAATTTAAGTAACAATGCTGCAACAATTTGTGACCCCCAGGAGATAGGTCAGAGGCATAGTACTCCCAAATTTTAAAACTAAAAGTTTTTCAATAATTTAAGTAACAATGCTGCAACAATTTGTGACCCCCAGGAGATAGGTCAGAGGCGAGCTCAGCTAGAGTACGAGCACAGCATGCTGGTCAGGCACCACGAGTCCACGCAAGACTTGGAATACAAGCACCTGGCAGCATTGCAAAAGATGAAAGACGAGCAGCTGAGGAAGCAGCATGAGACAGAGAGGGATAACCAGAAAGATTACAATTTATGTGCTGAGGCAGATCTGAGGAAAAAACATGCCTTGGAGGTGAAACAGCAACCCAGGAGTTTAAGGGTAGGTAGCTTCACTTCAGATGGTGAATGGTAGAACCATGTTTATAGTCAGTCATAGCTGTAATATGTTGGATGGGATACATTGTTAGCACCATTGTAATTGTAAAGTAGCTTCACTTCAAATGGTGAATGGTAGAACCATGTTTATAGTCAGTCATAGCTGTAATATGTTGGATGGGATACATTGTTAACACCATTGTAATTGTAAACATTGTTTTGTTTGCCTTCCTGGTTGGTACCTTGCCGATGTCACTAAGTCAGTCTGACCTGTAGCAAGGAAAGGTCAAGGTGGTTGAGGATAGTGCTGGCCACAGAATCACATCAAAAGTCAGGGTCTTAGATATATGGGTACCCATATATCAGCCCTGAAGATTAACACTGTTGAGTGTGCAGATTAATTAAAAGTCTTTTCAGTCACAAACAATTGTTCAGACATAATTATTTAATGTTATGATTGCTTTGATTAAAGTATGCCATCTTTGTTAAATAGGCTAAAGAGATCCAAATTCGGAAGCAATTTAACGAGGCTGTCAAGACTCAGCAACGACAGTATAAAGCCCTGAAGGATCATATACTTCAAAACACTCCTAAAGCTGAACAGAAAACTGTTGTAAAAAAACTCAAAGAAGAGCAAATGAGAAAACTAGCTGCTCTTGGAGATCAGTATGAGGCTAGTATTGCTGAAATGCTGCAACAACAGAATGTAAGTTTTGTTTTACAATTGATCTGTTTTATAATATTTGAACTCTTGTGTAAGCCTGAAGTGCTATTTCTCTTTCTGGTGGTTCACAATTATGGATCAATTAGGAGGATTTACCTACATTTGTATATGAATGACTTAAGGCTTCTACACCAATTGTGTAGTAAAAACTCATTGATGTGATTTCAGGGCTGCCTACTTATACAATTTTGCCTGTAATTTTACGATTGTGACACCAAGGTTACGATTATGCTTTAACTGTTATGTTTGCTTTCTGTTAAATTAAAAATCGTCAACGGCATACATTTTTTGTTCAAGTTGCAATCTATGATTCCTGGTCTAGAGCTTAACATTCATCTGGCTACAATTACAACCTTTGTCCAGTACTTCTTATTTAGATGTTTACACATGTCTTCCGCAACAATGCCTACCTCTGTTCCCTGTTTTCCAAGACAATACCTATTGCCCTGTTTCCCTTTTGTTAAGCCAGGCTTGAGTCATTAGATCTATGGTGTGAACTTTCTCTGACCCTGCAAATGTTGATTACGCATGGTTTTCCATTCAATCTAAATCTACTTTTTTTTAAACCAAAGTTCCAGTCATAAAATTAGAAAACAATGCAAGCATAGTTATCTATTAGAGGCAACAAAGAATTTTTTAAATTTTGTAGATTACCATGAGCTATCTGGATTCAAATTAAAAATTTTCTATTTAAAAAAAAAATCATAGCTGATTATTATCATTATACATATACATTTTGTGGTGTACAAAATTAAACTTATCTGGTATAAAAAAAAACTGATGTGAAAAGTATAATTCTTTAAAAATTTATGGACAGAAGTAGGATATTATGGCAAATCAGGGCTTCTGTCTCGGGCTGATGTAGCTCGTTAGCTGGGGACAGCCACTAATCTAGGAGAGACAACTCCAAAATCAAACAACTACTGCCTTGTAGTTTGTTCTTGCTTGGCAAAGGCTGTGGAAGCAAATCCAAAAAGAAAAGCAGGCTGAAATCGGAGTCAATGGCCTCAACGGCGCATAACCAGTTGACATGTATACTGGTGTTGGAGTTGATGCCTTCCAACACTAAAATTAAGAACTAAGTAGAAGACATAGTGCTTCTTTTATAGAAAAACATTTTTTGGGGCAGGTACTGCTATAAATTCTCCAGTTTCAGAATCATCAAATGCTGTACTTGTTTCATATCCTATAGGTACGATTAGATGAAACACAAATGGCTGATGCTATTGAGCTCAGGAACCGTTTGCATCAGGAGCTAGAATTGCTTATTGCTTACCAAAGTAAGATAAAGATGCACACAGAAGAGCAGCACAAGAGAGAGAGGAAGGTATTGGAGGAGCGTGTATCACTGCGGAGAGCCTTGCTTGAACAAAAGGTTAGAATACAGATTGCTTTTTATAGTAAAAACTTCATACTATAAGTACCTACACACCATCTTACTAATGCTGTAACCGTCTCACTGGTTTTAATATGACATAATGCTCGTATACTGGTGTTACATCAGCACACTTATTTTATACCAGTATACCAGTTCACGACGGACTGGTCTAGTGGTAGAGAGCTGGACTGCTAACCCGTAAGTCTCGAGTTCGAATCCGGGTTCTAGTCAGAACGTCCCTGAGTCCACCCAGCTCGGATGGGTACCTAACTCATGTTAGGGAAAGTAAAGGCGGCTGGGCATAGTGCTGACCACACTATCTCTTCATATGCTGAGGTCACAGAAACAAGTGAACTCTACTTCACTTGCCCTATAGACCGTCAGGTTTGAAAAGGGGATTTCTTTTTTATACCAGCACACTGGTGCTTTACCACCATTTAGGAAGAGTGCTGACAATTTCTGTCCTTGATATTTTGAACTCTTGTAAGAACTCTTTCCAGTCTCAAGTAATGGATTCTATTTTCAGATGGATGAGGAGCGTTTACATTTTGACAGAGACGAACAGGACAAAAGAGTTATGCTACAAGAAAAACACCGTGAAGAATTGAATAACTTTGACATTGAAACAACCCGCATGGGTCTGAACAATGTAGAGGTGGCTCATGCATCAGAGGAGCAGGTGGACGATGACATCAGCATTCGAGGCAGCATGCTCAGTTTAAGTGGAAGCGCTTCCAGCAACTCCTTCACTTCACACACACCTTTATAACGATGGCTGTTTCCCTTACAAAACTTTTGCCACCCCCCCAACTCCTTTCACTGTCAGGTTTGTAGTAGACGCATGCTGGTGGTGGCACTGTCACCACACATCATGGCTGTACTACCATTCATTCGACGCATATAAACATCATAGTAGCTTCCCTTTATCTACTCAATGCAGCCACACTAATGTTATGTTTTTTTGAACATCAGCTTTTTGTTTTTGACAATTCATTCTTGCAGTTGTTTTCCTTCACCTTGTACGCATCACTTGTTATTTCTCATCAGATCATGCATTTGAAAAAAAAATACTAATGAGTTACCACCCTTTTCTCCAACCCACCTCTTCCTCCCTCTTCCCCCCGTCCAGTAACCCGTTTTATGAAAACCAGGTGTGGCGCAGCTTCTTGTTCCTCTGTACAGGTATTGTTGAATTGTTAGGTACACAACACTTAAGCTACGTCTGAGGTTTTTTGTTTACTTTAGTTGTCCAGCAAGGCCCACGGTTAGGTGGGGCTTCCATGCTGTTGTTTTAATCTCCAGGAGTTGAGTTTTAACAGATGACCACCTCTCTCTGATATTTCATAGTTTTAGAGAAACCTGCAACCATTCCCATGATGCTTTGCTACCCACTTGGTGTAACCAGCTACTTAGCTTATCATGCTCTGTGTAAGGATGCAGAATGTGCTGCCGTGCCAAAACATGCACTGTGTATATACAATCTTTCTATTCCCTTGTTTTGTGTGTAGCAAAGCACACAGCTGTTCTATTCTCTTGAACTGGGTAGACAGAAGCTTATCAAAACAAAGTTCTGCAACCTGTGGCCATTTTAAAACTTTGTTTCTGCAGGGTTATAAAAACAGTTGCTGTTTGATGTTACAATATTTTCTTACAAAACAGGTCATTTAAAAAAAAAATCTGCCTTCTTCTTTTCTTTTTATAATCCATTGTATAAATTCTTTTTATCTTGGAAGGAAGTTGGCAGGATATGTTTTACCTACAGCAAGTGTTTTAAACCCCTCTACAGCTAGTGTCACTGTTGAAAAAAGTTCACCTGAATTCAAAACAGCATCTGTTTCTATAAATATTTTGTTCCAACCTAGTTTTGTTTTAATAGTAAAGGTAGACCTTTTGTCCAGCTCATCAACATTCATGACAAAAGAAAAAAAAATCTTGATCAGTCTTAATCCATGCTATTGGATGGTTTACAGCATTACAGAGCTATTCACCTATTCAACATATTTGTATTCTCTCTTACCCTGTTTGATTTTTTTTATCCTAATTTGTAATGATTAAATTTCCATTGTTTAGGAGTAAAATAATTTTTTTTTTTATGTTGATTGTACTAAGTCAGCAAATTTCTAACAAAAATGTAACCTCGTATGTTAAAAGCAACACTTACTCCAGACATTACATAGGAAGGTGATTAATTTTTTTTTTTCTGTACATATTTTATATATTGTATAATACTCTAATCATATTCTCATTGTGTTTTTGTGAGACCCACTGAATGGGAGAAAATAAAGGAGCATTCTTGTCTCTAGTTGATGTATGCCAATCTTCATTGTATCTGTAGTCGTGGCCAAATATGAAATATGTACTGTAAGGGGAGTTAACTCTAAGATTGTTTTAACAAAGGGAAAAGTTTACCATTTTTATTGACATTTTTTAAAGTTGATTTTTAGTCGGAAGTTTAATTCTGGTTCAACAGTTGATATCTGTCCTTCCCCCTCCCCACTCCCCTTTAGACTAACTACCCTTGATTCCATGGAACATGGATGTTGCACTACCATTTTAACCTTTGTTCCAGGAACTTGAACCCTAGCTAATGTTCTATTTTACCAGCCTTTTACTGAATGTTTTAATACTTATTTTAGAATGAGGGAATTTTTTTATTCAAAAGCTGATGAAATAACTAAGTTTTCTGAAGTCTTTAGAGTATCGCTTGACATTTTATTTTATCTCACTAAGGCAATGGTTGATTTTTTAACATTATTTTCTTAAGATTAATAACTGCCCGGTACTATACTTTGTTTAGTTCACAGTTTAAGAAAAACTCGTTTTAAAAAAAATAAATCCGTCATTAAAATAGAATGGGACATGCATGGCCGCATGTTAAAATATCACTGTGAGCATAATGAAGATCCAAGCCTATCTGATAGAGAAGTGAAAGATTGCTGTAAATAAAGTGTTGATATGAGTGAATGGGTCATGACGTGAGGTTGGTCAGATGTACAGCACACGCAAGATTTTTGGCCATTTGACATGGCACCAAGTCTTCTATTGGGAATGCAATATTATTTCTACAGTTAATATGTATTTTCATTCTTGTATAAGGTATGACACAAATAAATAAAAATATTATTTTAAAGCTTTTTATTTCTTCAGTCAGGGATTTTGTCAGTGAGCTTGTCATTTCTGTAGCAATCAATTACATTCTCCATACATCACCCTCACAACTCACATTCACCCCACATTTCCCTCACTTATACATCCACTCTTCTCTTCCCCCCCCCCCCCCCCCCCCACCACAATACACACACAACTCTTCTACATGTCTCTTCTCCATATAACAAAATCGTCTTGACGCGAGTTGAGTTGGCAGTATTTTTCCAAATGGGTCGCATAACTAAAAGCGTAGCGGGCTCTATTATTAATAGTATTAAATGTTCTGTCACGTATGTCCTCTGTGCCTCCTGATTGGGTGGTCTTGCTGCCAAGGTAGATAATTCCTCCCGAGCATTTACATGCCTTCCATGTATTGTCACTGGGGGCTCTTGGTTATTGAAAATTCTCATTTCTTTCGTCTTTTTCTGTAAAACTTAAGTCATATGTGCTGGGGGGGGGGGGGGGGGGGGGGCTCCTAATGCATGTATTTTGTTTTCCTGCATGTCATCCAGTCGGTGTGAAAGTAGAACAAGGTCATCTGCAAACTCTAGATTCTCTAATTTCCCTAAGAGAATTCACTGTATACCTTTTCCCAGAACTAGCATGGCTGTGCGCGACACTCAATCCAGAATAACCCGGTCACACACACACTTTTAATTGACTGATCAAAACATACTTCATTTATAGTTATAGGCCTGCTAATTAACGTTCAACGTGTAGGCTATGTGACCTGGAGGCGGAGTCTTCTTGAAGAACTGAAGCCAACAGGGATGTCTTGGGAGATGTCAAAATTAATAGCCGAGGATAGGAAGAAATGGAAGGAAATGGTGGAGGCCCTATGCTCCATAAGGAGCAAAGAGGACTAAGTCATGTAGGCTATGTGTACCTTGTAAGGCTAAAAAAAAAGATGTTTTGTATGGCAATGGAAAAATCTATAATGAATTGCGAACAATAAATAAATGTCATAAAGAGAAGATCTCTAAACGTGGGTGGGCTGGTCAAATAAATGTCATAAAGAGAAGATCTCTAAACGTGGGTGGGCTGGTCAAATAAATGTCATAAAGAGAAGATCTCTAAACGTGGGTAGGCTGGTCAAATAAATGTCATAAAGAGAAGATCTCTAAACGTGAGTGGGCTGGTCAAATAAATGTCATAAAGAGAAGATCTCTAAACGTGGGTGGGCTGGTTAAATAAATGTCATAAAGAGATCTCTAAACGTGGGTGGGCTGGTCAAATAAATGTCATAATGAGAAGATCTCTAAACGTGGATGGGCTGGTCAAATAAATGTCATAAAGAGATCAATAAACGTGGGTGGGCTGGTCAAATAAATGTCATAAAGAGAAGATCTCTAAACGTGGGTGGGCTGGGCAAATAAATGTCATAAAGAGAAGATCTCTAAACGTGGGTGGGCTGGTCAAATAAATGTCATAAAGAGAAGATCTCTAAACGTGGGTAGGCTGGTCAAATAAATGTCATAAAGAGATCTCTAAACGTGGGTGGGCTGGTCAAATAAATGTCATAAAGAGAAGATCTCTAAACGTGGGTGGGCTGGTCAAATAAATGTCATAAAGAGAAGATCTCTAAACGTGGGTGGGCTGGTCAAATAAATGTCATAAAGAGATCTTTAAACGTGGGTGGGCTGGTCAAATAAATGTCATAAAGAGAAGATCTCTAAACGTGGGTGGGCTGGTCAAATAAATGTCATAAAGAGAAGATCTCTAAACGTGGGTGGGCTGGTCAAATAAATGTCATAAAGAGATCTTTAAACGTGGGTGGGCTGGTCAAATAAATGTGATAAAGAGAAGATCTCTAAACGTGGGTGGGCTGGTCAAATAAATGTCATAAAGAGAAGATCTCTAAACGTGGGTGGGCTGGTCAAATAAATGTCATAAAGAGAAGATCTCTAAACGTGGGTGGGCTGGTCAAATAAATGTCATAATGAGAAGATCTCTAAACGTGGGTGGGCTGGTCAAATAAATGTCATAAAGAGAAGATCTCTAAACGTGGGTGGGCTGGTCAAATAAATGTCATAAAGAGAAGATCTCTAAACGTGGGTGGGCTGGTCAAATAAATGTCATAAAGAGAAGATCTCTAAACGTGGGTGGGCTGGTCAAATAAATGTCATAAAGAGAAGATCTCTAAACGTGGGTGGGCTGGTCAAATAAATGTAATAAAGAGAAGATCTCTAAACGTGGGTGGGCTGGTCAAATAAATGTCATAAAGAGAAGATCTCTAAACAAGAGTGGGCTGGTCAAAAAAATCCCGATGGGCCCCAAGACAAAATCTTGGTGGGTTCCCAAGAAAAAATTTCGAGGGCTCACAGGAAAAAAATCGAGGTGGGCCCTCAGGAAAAATGTTGGTGGGCCCTCAGGAAAAATATCGGTGGGACCTCAGGAAAAATCTTGGTGGGCCCACAGGAAAAAATCTTGGTGGGCCCTCAGGAAAAATTTCGGTGGGCCGACAAAAAAAAATTCCCTGTAGACGCATCTGATGTATTAAATTAGTTTTTTTTTAAATAAACAGTTTGTTGGTATTACTCCATTTTACCATTCCTTCATACTAATTCGGAATATTCATTTTGATGGGTTATAAAATGCTCGGTGAAAAATTCTCTCCACAGTTGGGAGCCGCTTTGAACATTCTCCGGGCCGCTTAGACAAAGCCATTTCTACCTTGTGCCTGTAAATTAGACGCAGAGTTTCTTCCAGGCAACTCTACCCCCCCCCCCCCAAGCGAAATATAATTTATATAGAAAATATATACTTTTGACAGTGTCCGCCCCCCCCCCCCCCCCAACCCGAAATTTTTAGTCGTCGTCGTCGTCCCCCCCCCCCCCCGGAGAAAAAAGTCTGGTAGAAAATTTGAATAGACGGTGGCGCTGTCAACAGTTTTTTTTTTACTGCCAGTCACACTCGGAGACCTTATTGTTTTTTTTTTTGCCCAGCTGGTCGCTGTGACCCCACGATGTGACCCCGGGCGGTGACCCCATGCGGTGACCCCAGTAAATATATTCTTGTCTTGATGTCACTCTGACCCTGATAATGGCAAAGCAATAATTATATAATAATACAATGGCACTACGAGAGTTAGAATAAATAGGGCTTTAAATGCCACGTTTCAGCACGCAGATCGTTAGACTTTAACAATAAAATTCCCAGCGAGTTTAAAAATTACACATCTTGACAGCCGAAACAATAGTTTGAACTAAAAATCAAAATGTAACCTTGGCGTTGAAGTTTACCCGCACTCTGTAATTCTCCCCCCCCCCCCCCAAAAAAAAAGGGGGGGGGGGTTGTAGACAGTGTCGTTAAACCACATTTTCCCACATTGTGGGGTGTAGAGTTTCTTGTTGTGGGGTGTAGAGTATCTTGGTGTGGGGTGTAGAGTATCTTGGTGTGGAGTGTAGAGTATCTTGATGTGGGGTGTAGAGTATCTTATTGTGGGGTGTAGAGGATCTTGATGTGGAGTGTAGAGGATCTTGATGTGGTGTGGTGTAGAGTATCTTGATGTGGGGTGTAGAGTATCTTGTTGTGGGGTGTAGAGTATCTTGTTGTGGGGTGTAGAGTATCTTGATGTGGGGTGTAGAGTATCTTGTTGTGGGGTGTAGAGTATCTTGTTGTGGGGTGTAGAGTATCTTGTTGTGGGGTGTAGATTATCTTGATGTGGGGTGTAGAGTATCTTGTTGTGGGGTGTAGAGTATCTTGGTGTGGGGTGTAGAGTATCTTGATGAGGGGTGTAGAGTATTTTGGTGTGGGGTGTAAAGTATCTGGATGTGGGGTGGTGTAGAGTATCTTGGTGTGGGGCGGGGTGGTGTAGAGAATCTTGTTGTGGGGTGTAGAGTATCTTGGTGTGGGGTGTAGAGTATCTTGATGTGGGGTGTAGAGTATCTTGTTGTGGGGTGTAAGGTATCTTGTTGTGGGGTGTAGAGTATCTTGGTGTGGGGTGGTGTAGAATATCTTGATGTGGGGTGGAGAGTATCTTGATGTGGGGTGGTGTAGAGTATCTTGTTGTGGGCTATAGAGTATCTTGGTGTGGGGTGGTGTAGAGTATCTTGTTGTGGGCTATAGAGTATCTTGGTGTGGGGTGGTGTAGAGTATCTTGATGTAGGGTGTAGAGTATCTTGGTGTGGAGTGTAGACTATTTTGATGTGGGGTGTAGAGTATCTTTGTGTGTGGTGTAGAGTGTAGAGTATCATGGTGTGGGGTGTAATCTTGTTGTGGGGTGTAGAGTATCTTGGTGTGGAGTGTAGAGTATCTTGGTGTGTGGTGTAATCTTGTTGTGGGGTGTAGAGTATCTTGTTGTTGGGTGTAGAGTATCTTGGTGTGGAGTGTAGAGTATCTTGGTGTGTGGTGTAATCTTGTTGTGGGGTGTAGAGTATCTTGTTGTTGGGTGTAGAGTATCTTATTGTGGGGGGTAGAGTATCTTGATGTGGGGTGTAGAGTATCTTGATGTGGGTTGGTGTAGAGTATCTTATTGTGGGGTGTAGAGTATCTTGATGTGGGGTGGTGTAGAGTATCTTGATGTGGGGTGGTGTAGAGTATCTTATTGTGGGGTGTAGAGTATCTTGATGTGGGGTGTAGAGTATCTTGATGTGGGGTGTAGAGTATCTTGTTGTTGGGTGTAGAGTATCTTGGTGTGGGGTGGTGTAGAGTATCTTATTGTGGGGTGTAGAGTATCTTGATGTGGGGTGGTGTAGAGTATCTTGATGTGGGGTGGTGTAGAGTATCTTATTGTGGGGTGTAGAGTATCTTGATGTGGGGTGTAGAGTATCTTGATGTGGGGTGTAGAGTATCTTGTTGTTGGGTGTAGAGTATCTTGGTGTGGGGTGTAGAGTATCTTGATGTGGGGTGTAGAGTATCTTGGTGTGGAGTGTAGACTATTTTGATGTGGGGTGGTGTAGAGTATCTTTGTGTGGAGTGTAGAGTATCTTGGTGTGTGGTGTAGAGTGTAGAGTATCATGGTGTGGGGTGTAATCTTGTTGTGGGGTGTAGAGTATCTTGGTGTGGAGTGTAGAGTATCTTGTTGTGGGGTGTAGAGTATCTTGGTGTGTGGTGTAATCTTGTTGTGGGGTGTAGAGTATCTTGATGTGGGGTGTAGAGTATCTTGTTGTGGGGTGTAGAGTATCTTGTTGTGGAGTGTAGAGTATCTTGATGTGGGGTGGTGTAGAGTATCTTGTTATGGGGTGGTGTAGAGTATCTTGGTGTGGGGTGGTGTAGAGTATCTTGTTGTGGAGTGTAGAGTATCTTGTTGTGGGGTGGTGTAGAGTATCTTGATGTGGGGTGTAGAGTATCTTGTTGTGGGGTGTAGAGTATCTTGTTGTGGGGTGGTGTAGAGTATCTTAGTGTGGGATGTAGAGTATCTTGATGTGGGGTGGAGAGTATCTTGATGTGGGGTGGTGTAGAGTATCTTGTTGTTGGGTTTAGAGTATCTTATTGTGGGGTGTAGAGTATCTTGATGTGGGGTGTATAGGATCTTGATGTGGGGTGGTGTAGAGTATCTTGTTGTGGGGTGTAGAGTATCTTGTTGTGGGGTGTAGAGTATCTTCATGTGGGGTGTATAGGATCTTGATGTGGGGTGGTGTAGAGTATCTTGTTGTGGGGTGTAGAGTATCTTGGTGTGTGGTGTAATCTTGTTGTGGTATGTAGATTATCTTGATGTGGGGTGTAGAGTATCTTGATGTGGGGTGTAGAGTATCTTGGTGTGGGGTGTAGAGTATCTTGTTGTGGGGTGTAGAGTATCTTGGTGTGGGGTGTAGAGTATCTTGGTTTGAGGTGGTATAGAGTATCTTGTTGTGGGGTGTGTAGCATTCTGGGGTGGGTGTTTAGCATTCTGGGGTGGGTGTTTAGCATTCTGGGGTAAGGTGTATTGCATTTTGGGGTGGGTGAACAGCATTTTGGGGTGGGTGTATAGTATTTTGTGGGGGGTGTATAGTATTTTGGGGTGGGATGTATAGCATTCTGGGGTGGGTTGTAACCAATTAATGTACACCGTAACCTCACTCAACTTAAAAAAAACCCGTCAAGCAGACTGACTTAATGTTTAGCAAATGATAGGCTATCGACTGAGCTTTATTTGGGCATCAAACTGAAAGTGTCATTCAAATGCGACACAAAAATAATAGTCTCGGACCCATAAACGTCGACACTTGATTTCTTAAATACCTCGTTAACTTACTTCCCCTGAATATAATGTCCGAAACTCTTCGCCAACTTCATTTTCCTGCATACGATTCTCATATTGTTTAGATCGAGCTAGCCTTTGTATCAGCCTTTGTGAAGATCAGAGCGTTTAGAGGTATCATGGCGATTGTCCCATCACACATTGGGCTGTTGCTACTGACCAGTTTCTCGTTACGTGTTCAGATCACGGTATGTAATGTCAATTTTAAATATATTATTATTTTTATTATTTTTATTGATAGTACCGTGGTAAAGATATCCGTTGATAGAATTATTTGCTGAATTTTTAGATCATTTCAATAGGGTCCCGCTTTTTGGACCATTTCAATAGGGTCCCGCTGGACCATTTCAATAGGGTCCCGTTTTTTGGACAATTTTATCCTCATCGTCAGACATCGTCACGAAAACTAAGACCCCCCCCTCCACCTCTTAGTTAAAGTATTTAATCTTTGAAACTGCTTAGTCAACATCAGTGCTTTTGTCCAAAAACGAACAGTTTTTATTTGAACACAAGTCTGTTGTTAAATGAATTAAAACGCGAACATCCACGTTTTAAAATAGATTCTTCTTTCCGTCTTTGACATCAGTAATAGAGTACATGAATATTTTGCTTACGTTGCAAAAGTAAATTTTAAATTAAATAAAAACACTTGTCAAAGATTAAAAATCCTCGAAGTTGTGGATTAATTAATGAAATACAACAGAATTTATTCTTTGAAAAAGGTACCTGCTTTAATTGAGTGAGGTGAAACACCTCAAGATAGTCATTAAAATGAAGATAATTGGCTTATCCCTACAAGCACCCACCATCTCCCACCATCTCCCACCATTTCCCACCAGCAGCCACTAGCACCCACCATCTCCCACCAGCACCCACCATCTCCCACCAGCACCTACCATTTCCCACCAGCACCCACCATCTCCCACCAGCACCTACCAGCACCCACCATCTCCCACCAGCACCCACTAGCACCCACCATCTCCCACCAGCACCCACTTTCTCTCACCAGCACCCAACATCTCCAACTAGCACCCAACATCTCCAACTAGCACCCAACATCTCCAACTAGCACCCACCATCTCCCACCAGCACCCACTTTCTCTCACCAGCACCCAACATCTCCAACTAGCACCCAACATCTCCAACTAGCACCCACCATCTCCCACCAGCACCCACTTTCTCTCACCAGCACCCACCATCTCCCACCAGCACCCACCATCTCCCCCAAGCACCCACCAGCACCCACCATCTCCCCCAAGCACCCACCATCTCCCCCAAGCACCCACCATCTCCCCCAAGCACCCACCATCTCCCCCAAGCACCCACCATGTGACAGTTATATTAAATTGTCAGTTATGTTAAAGTGACAGCTATGTTAAAGTGACACTTATGTTAAAGTGACAGCTATGTTAAAGTGACACTTATGTTAAAGTGACAGCTATGTTAAAGTGACACTTATGTTAAAGTGACAGCTATGTTAAAGTGACACTTATGTTAAAGTGACAGCTATGTTAAAGTGACACTTATGTTAAAGTGACAGTTATGTTAAAGTGACACTTATGTTAAAGTGACAGCTATGTTAAAGTGACACTTATGTTAAAGTGACAGCTATGTTAAAGTGACACTTATGTTAAAGTGACAGCTATGTTAAAGTGACACTTATGTTAAAGTGACAGCTATGTTAAAGTGACACTTATGTTAAAGTGAAAGGTATGTTAAATAGACCGTTATGTTAAAGTGACAGTTATGTTAAAGTGACAGTTATGTTAAAGTGACACTTATGTTAAAGTGAAAGGTATGTTAAATAGACCGTTATGTTAAAGTGACAGTTATGTTAAAGTGACAGTTATGTTAAAGTGACAGCTATGTTAAAGTGACACTTATGTTAAAGTGAAAGTTATGTTAAAGTGAAAGGTATGTTAAATAGACCGTTATGTTAAAGTGACAGTTATATTAAAGTGACAGTTATGTTAATGTGACAGTTATGTTAAAGTGACAGTTATGTTAATGTGACAGTTATGTTAAAGTGACACTTATGTTAAAGTGACACTTATGTTAAAGTGACAGTTATGTTAAAGTGACAGAAACTATCAATTTATCGCCCCTTGCATTTATTTTAGTCTATAAAATAAAAATGACAAGAACACATCTACTGAAAATCATTACATTTTTATTAAAATAGAAATGTTTCATTTTTTAAAATTGCATATAAGAAACACACAGCATAACTAATGGCACTTTTAAATTGTTTGTTTGTAGAAGATGTTTTTGTTTCTGTAGGCGGAAGAAGGACCGAACAACCTTATGACAAATACTTCAAGACAACAGCAGTTACGATTCTTTCGAAGCTGTTACACATTTCGGACAGATGATGACAGTTATATTTCTCATTATGTTCACCGGATCAACGATGATGTGATGTTTAACTACTGTATTCAGACAGACTGTGTCCATCTCATAGACCCAAGTGGTGCCTTTGAAGAAATACATCTGACAACTACGTCTAGTAAGTGCCAGCTCATTTAGTATCTTTCTATCAAATTGTTATTCCATGGAACAGTGGCGTAGCCAGGAATTGATCATGGGAGGGGTTCAAACATTTTTTGATATATATATATATATATATATATATATATATATATATATATATATATATATATATATATATATATATATATATATATATATATATATATATATATATATAAAGGAGTCCATGGGAGGGGTTATAGCCCCCCATCCCCTAACGCCCCCTTGCCTACGCCACTGCCATGGAACTCATTTAAAAAACTTTTCATTGCAATTGTTGAGCACAAGTTATTTGACGCAATCGATGCAAACAATAGATTATAATTTTTTAATCTTGTGTATTATATAGACTTGAGTAATATAGACTTGTGTAATATAGACTTGTGTAATATAGACATGTGTAATATAGACTTGTGTAATATAGACTGGGAATACTTTGAGTAAAATCAAATCGTTAGATTTAACATAGTTTGAAAATGAATGAATTATTAGACACAGTTTGCTTGCACTTGTTTCTAATGAAGTTGAAGCAAGCAGTTTTCACACACAGTGATGTAGTTCCTAAACTAGTGTTCGTAGTAAAACCAATTATTTTTTCTTTTGCAAACTGTGTTGTCTCTCGTAGAAGAATGGTGAGGGTGGGGTCGGGTGTATACTGAATGATATAAGATTTGGGCAGTCTAAGAAAACATGTTTTACAAATAGAATACCCTGTAATAGTAATGGAATTCTCCAAAACAGATGCTAGGTGAGTTCGCAGGTTTAGCACATTTTCATATCGACTATTTTAACATTAAGAATTTATTGAATATTGTATGGTACACACTATCTTTTAGTGCACGTTGCTAGTTGAAAGAACAAATTAGATGCTTGTTATCAAGTCATTACAGAATTTAAACTATCACAAATTAAGCGCGTTGTTCTATTCCTGATAAAAATCGAGTTATTTCAATTGGTTCTGACGTTTTCATTTTTTTAACATTGTGAAATTTTTTTTTATTACACTTCGCTTTACTAACACAACCTAGCTGTATGTGGTCTCCATTCTATAAGGGGTTTTGTTTCTTTGTTAAGCAAGAACTTTCTGGGCGAGGAAGATGTTGACCAGTGCTCCCATTACCAGTAAGATGAACTCTGTGGAATACATAAAACATGTTCACGAAATACCCACAAACATGAACACATACAATCTTGTTTAAAAAAATTCGGTGTAGGCCTATACAGAAATGTTTATTAATCTGCTCTATCTTGAAAACGTAATGAATGTGTGCGCTATATTGCTATATGGGGATTAGATGTTTATTTTTGTGTTAAAAATGCAGTTCAAGTTAATGTTTCATTTTAAACGAGTCAGGCACACACAAACTTTTTTTTATTGTTGTGCTTAAGTTAGTTTGTATTGGTGAGCTTAAGTTGGTTTGTATTGGTGAGCTTAAGTTAGTTCTTTTATTGGTGAGCTTAAGTTGATTTGTATTGGTGAGCTTAAGTTGATTTGTATTGGTGAGCTTAATTAAGTTGGTTTGTATTTTTGAGCTTAAGTTTGTTTGTTTCGGTGAGCTTAAATTGGTTTGTATTGGTGAGCTTAAGCTAGTTCTTTTATTGGTGAGCTTAAGTTAGTTTGTATTGGTGAGCTTACGTTGGTTGGTATTGCTGAGCTTAAGCTGGTTTGTATTGGTGAGCTTAAGTTGGTTTGTATTGGTGAGCTTAAGTTGATTTGTATTGGTGAGCTTAAGTTGTTTTGTATTGGTGAGCTTAAGTTGGTTTTTTGGTGAGCTTAAGTTGGTTTGTATTGGTGAGCTTAAGTTGGTTCTTTTATTGGTGAGCTTAAGTTGATTTGTATTGGTGAACTTAAGTATTATTAGTTACCCTCTGGTAGGTCTCGAGATAAAAGGCTGAAATTCGCTACCGATTTATATGCACATATTTAATTTAAATGTAAGCAAATACCTGGATGTAACGATTAATTTATATGTAAGCAAATACCTGGATGTAAAACTTAATTTAAATGTAAGCAAATACCTGGATGTAACGATTAATTTATATGTAAGCAAGTACCTGGATGTAACCGACTTTCTCCATTCAGCGACGCCATTGAATACGAGGTTTTCAATCTAGGACGTTCTAGGGGATCATAGTTAGCTGCAAGTAAATAATTGAAACTGCAGTCCTCTACTTTTTCCGATTTTGACGTGTTGGCAACCCTAATTAGTTATAGTACAACGACAACCACAGCAGCAAGTGTTATTGACATATAGTTATATTTCCAAGACAACCACAGAACCACGGGTTGTGGTCTTGGAATGATTGGTCCATGACTATCACAGAATCACAGTTTAGCGACATTCCTCTGTTGTTATCTGGATTCATTTTAAGGACATGCCTCATCTATTGCCCTTTTCGTGTTTCAATTATTTCGGAAACTGCTTCAATTTCCATCTCACCTAGTAGTCTATCATTTGAGATGGTGTTAGGCCAGTGGATGCCTTTTATCCTTCACAAGCACTTAGTTTGGAAAGAATCCGGTGATCTGCCGAAGGAGGTTGTTACTTTCCAGCATTCGCTGCCATATAGTAGGGCATAACTTCTAAAAGTCTGTATCTGGTCGTGGAGGAGATTTTTCTACGATCACGTTTTTTGCATGGCTGTAAAGGCTTGTTAGGCTTTAGAGATGCGTGTTTTAATTTCAGAGGTCCAGTGAAATAATGTTTAGTTTGAGTCCAACTCCTCGTGGCAAGTTGTTAGTGTCCATCTGATGCCTCTCGCTTCGTTTATATTTTGTGTCATCAACCTATCAATTGCTAGGTTTAAAAAATGGGGACAGAACACACCCTTGTTTCACTCCAGTCTGAACCAGTGATATTTGCTACCACATATAACTTTGCATTAGAACCCTTCATATGTGATTTTGACGGTATTTATGATTTTGTTTTGGAAAAAAAAGATGCCATAGTATGATTTTCCAGAGGCTGTTTCTCCCTAGACCACTAAAAGCCTTTTCAAAATAAAAAAATGATGCAGAGGGGTTCTTCCATTAATAGTTTTTTTTCTAGTGTTTGTCGCAAGGTAAACATGTGGTCAATGCATGATACGTTGCCATTACTCGTTTACCGTGTAATATATATATATATATATATATATATATATATATATATATATATATATATATATATATATATATATATATATATATATATATATATAATACAAATATAAAATAAAATTTTTAAGTTAGATTATCTATGATTCCATGTTGTTAGACAAAAAAAGGCTTACATTATCGTTTACTTTAGCACAACATATAAAGAGAAATTCTTCTGGGAGCTAGGCAGCATTCGTTGACACAAGCTGTAGTAAAATATCAGTTACCATAGTGACTGACACAAGCTGTAGTAAAATATCAGTTACCATAGTAACTGACACAAGTTGTAGTAAAATATCAGTTACCATAGTGACTGACACAAGTTGTAGTAAAATATCAGTTACCATAGTGACTGACACAAGCTGTAGTAAAATATCAGTTACCATAGTAACTGACACAAGCTGTAGTAAAATATCAGTTACCATAGTGACTGACACAAGCTGTAGTAAAATATCAGTTACCATAGTAACTGACACAAGTTGTAGTAAAATATCAGTTACCATAGTAACTGACACAAGTTGTAGTAAAATATCAGTTACCATAGTGACTGACACAAGTTGTAGTAAAATATCAGTTACCATAGTAACTGACACAAGTTGTAGTAAAATATCAGTTACCATAGTGACTGGCACAAGCTGTAGTAAAATATCAGTTACCTGGTTTGAGTGAAGAGTCGAAGATGTTGCTACAGTTCATAAATCTCACTCTTCTAGGTTTACCATAAGGTTCTATTCCTGTTATGCGATACAACGCATTTTCAACCAAGGGGAAGAACTTGATTGACACGGGGTAGCTGCCAGAGCAGTAACAGGGGTACGTTATAAATTTGCAATCCTCGGGACCGCACCAATAGAGTGGACAAAGCTAAAAAAAAAGTTTATAAAATGTCAATAGCATTTTTAATTAAAGAACTTTGATATTATGTCATAATGATAAAAGTAATCACCACAGTTGTAAACAGGTAGGTGACGTCTAATCTATATCCGTAAAATTGGATACCAAATTGTGTTCGGCGTGGTTAAAGTTTATGGTTGCCAAAGTCCCGAGTTTGAACCCCCGGGCAGTTAACGCTAGATAGCTGGGAAAATCTACCCTTCTAGGAGAGAAAAAAAATCAAGCAACTGCTGTCTTTATCCATACTTTCTTCTTGGATGGACAAAGACTTAGGAGTCGATAGCCGTTATGGCGAATAGCTAGCATTTTTGTAATACTTATTGTGTTGGAGAAACGCCGTCCAACATTACAATTAAAAACAAAGAAGAAGAAGTTTACCAAATTAATATTAAAAATACCGAATAGCAACCAACCAGTTTCCATGATGTATGTATAGAACAGTTATCTTTCTTTTCACATGCTGCGACGTATATCAACCCCAAGCAATCGGTGTCTGATGGTACATACTCCTCGTAAAGACCAATGCTCCCAATGATTTTGCCTGTGTGGCGGCAACTATAATTGACACAATCTTTCTCAAATTCTGTGATCTTCATATCATATGCCCGCATGGTGACGATATCTGAGGGAAAATTATGTACATTCATTTCATGCAGCTAAGCCAAACTGAGATAAGTTTCGAGTCAAAATATATATTAAAAGGAAAATCGGTTTTTACAAAATTAAGTGCAATAGGCTCATATAATGATTTAAAAATTGTCCTAAGACTTGCCTTTAGTTTTAGTATTTCGGTTTTCTATAATCCAGACGTCTACTGCTAAACTTAATCATTGATAATTTATTTACATAAAAAATAGCAGACATTTTAAGGATCACCGAGAAAATCGTGAAGCTAATTAGTATACATACCATGAAAGTTATTTGTACAGATTTTAAAAAAAACTTTATTTTAAAAAATAAGTATTTATTTTAATTTTTTTTATTTCTTTGTAATAAAAATACATTTTTTTTTTGACAAATGTAATGTTAATGTAAAAGAGGGTTGTACATTCGACTAAAATTGTGTCTAAAGACGTAACTACTTTCGGAAACTACCTACCGAGTAAGCACACCATACAAACAAGGAATATTGAAACCTTCAGAACTTTTTCCATTTTGTTTTGTTCATGCGTATGTGGGAATTCAACCTAAAATGTTAAAATGTTAAGTTAGATTCGAAGCAGTTATTTCCATAGAAGAACAAATTATAACCCAACGTATCATTTATATATGAATATCTATATCATTAACCCTACACGGATGGCTCTATCTAATTCAGAGGCGTAGCGACCCTTCCCGGCGCACAGGGACAAACTTTCAATTCGGCGCCCCCCCTCCGGGAACAGACTTTCAATTTGCAATTTGCACCCCCCCCCCTCAAACCTTCAATTTGCACACCCCCTTCAAACTTTCAATTTGCACCCCCCATCAAACTTTCAATTTGACCCCCCCCCCCCACCATATTAAAAAAAAGTATAATTCAAAACTGTAGCTAAAATGAGATTTTAATTTGTTTTTACAACCCATTTTGGCGCCCCCTAAGGTCGGCGCCCGGGGAACATATGTACCCCCCGCACCCCGTCAAAAGAGCGCACGACAAAAGAGCGCCGACATAAGAGCGCAGACAAAAGAGCGCACTAATTTCCCTACAAAAGAGCGCCGACATTAGAGCGCAAACCAAAGATCGAAAAACCATATTTAATAAATAGGAACAAGAAAATTAACTCAGATCAGAAGGCATTGTTTGATGTTAACTCTTTATTGTTTCATTAAAAAACTAATTGTTCAGTTTCTTTAACTAAAATACTGATATAATCAACGTGAAGTCCAATTATTCAAAACGCAATCTAATAACACATACATAGATTTTAAATGTTAGGCCTAAAGTGAGAATATAAACTGAAATGAAATGTAACAAAATGAAAATAAGTTCAAAGTAATAAAACGTTTCTTTATAGTTGCATTTATATTGCTAAGTTGTGGGCTATACCTCGTAGGTAGTCCATCATTGAATCATTAGCATAGGTTGAAGCAATCGTCTGCAATCTTCGGTTCAGCTGAACATATTTGTTCTTTGAAGTTTCTGGTTGATTATTTCCAGCTAGATTACGTTCCAGTTCCTCGACGGTTTTTCCTTTGCCTCCCAATAATCTACCAGTGGCATAATTGCTGCAGGACTAGCTTCTACCAAATGCTCGAATGCAGTACAGACATCATTTACAGGAACAAAACTTAAGGCAAGCAGCATCTTCACTGTCATTCGACATCTGTAGCCTTCGACCAATATAATAACCTTCAATTTCTGTGATTCCATCTTCTCCATGTTACTTGGGTTAGAAATATTTTCAAACTGCATTCATAACATATTAAACATAATATATAAATAAACACATGTCGTTTTATCGTACCGCCGATTGTTTAATTAAAACAAGTGTTAACCATGTCATATTCGTTTAGCATTTTTTTTAATTGGCTGCGCTCTTATGTCGGCGCTCTTTTGTCTGCGCTCTTATGTCGGCGCTCTTTTGTCGTGCGCTCTTTTGACGGGTCACCGTCTGAACTAATTCAAAACACTAGCTCTGATCCTAACATTAATCTTTAACCAAAACTAACAAACATCAGTTAAAAAAAAGTAATGTTTCCATACCAAACCTGACGGTCTACGGGGAAAGTGAAGTAGATATGAAGAAATAGTGTGGTCAGCACTATGCCCAGCCGCCTTTACTTTTACTAACGTGAGTAAGTACCCATCAGGTGAACACCAAATAAAATGTGCATAATAGTGCGCAATATTATTAGTACTTTATAAATTCACATGCCTTTTTTGAGAAATCGGAAATTGCGAAAATTACTACTTCCGGTCAACGGAAATTACTCAAAATTTGATAGAAGGCAGATAATTACTTTCATTTATCTATCTGAAATAGTACTCAAGTTATAGGTTTTGAAAAATTCAAAGTAGAAAAAGATTTTAATACTTATATATGAAATTTCATCAACCTAGCTGTAATGGTACTCAAGTTATCGTGTTTACACATACACACACACAGACACATAGACACACATACACACACAGAGACATACGGACAAGATTGCAAAACTATGTTTTTTCGACTCAGGGAGCTGTAAAACGTCGAGGTTTGCGAAAATCTCGATTTTTTTTGCTCGATTACAAGACTTTCTCTATACTTCGTATATACGAGAAAGTAAAAATTAACCATCGCGAGCTCCTTACCTATTTCCATCTCTATCCCTGAAGTTTTACTTTAGTAAGACAAACATCGATTGGCTGTATAGAAACACCTCTAATGTATTTCTAAAATCCTTAAAGTTTTAGTAATCTGTACAGAAAACAAGTGAACTCTACTTCACTTGCCCCATAGACCGTCAAGTTTGAAAGGGAAACTTTTACTTTTAATCTGTACTCAAAACATTACCAGTAAATTTGAAAAATAAACCTATGCTTTTGAACATCACGTGATCTAGTTTCACCAATTTTATTTTATATCTATAAAAGCAAATTAGATTCTGTCCGCCTGTTATTCGCACCTATAAGATCTGGTGTTTGCAGGTAAGTATAAGAGGAATTCTCTTGCCGAACTGTGTAGTTACTCCTATACTAGCGGGAAAACTACAGCCATCTCAATAATCGTGTTGAAAGTGACCGAAGACTGACCTAGACTGACCGCGGCCTTATATAAACTATACATTTTTTCAAGTGCTTGAATTAGATCGACCCAGTGGCGTAGCCAGGATCGTCTAATTGGGGGGGGGGATTCAAATTTTTCCAGCATTTTATATATATATATATATATATATATATATATATATATATATATATATATATATATATATATATATATATATATATATATATATATAGAGGGGTCTATGGGGGGAGGTTGTAAACCCCCCCCCCCCTACGCCACTGGATCGACCACTTGGAAAAGCGACTTCAACTTAATATCAGGTTAGGAGATAACACTGGTGCCTTAGGCAACGGGAAAACTATCAGATTATCAGAAAAGTTATATGGAGGGGTTGAAAATAGAACTGCTTAGCCGCGTACTTTTACCTAATAAACTTGTTATTTCACCGTTCTTTTACTACACATACAAATACACGAAGAAAACATTTAGACAAAAGAAAAATTCTTTTGAATGTTATACTAAACTGTTCTCGTGTACATTTAGAGCGCAATTATTTTTAATCATGCAACAATATGGTTTTAGAAATGCTTAAAACGTTTCAATAACAAGCTTTAATTTAATAATGAACGAAAAAGGAAAAACAATAAACCGGGAGTAGTCTCCCCTAAACTTTCTCGAATATTCTTATATGACACTCCGGGAGATGGCACATAGCGATTTAGACATGATTTTTAATTCATTCAACTTTAAAAAATAGAATAGAATCTCGTAGAAAAAAGAATTGCGCATCAAGTGAACTCCAAACAATATGTGTATAATAGTGGGGAATATTACTAGTAATCAGAGAAGTAGCGAGGGAGGGGGGGGGGGGGGGGGCGGAGGGTGCGGACCGAACCAAGTGTCACCATTTAGGGGGTGGCACCAAGGCAAAAAATAGCAAAACATATACAGAAAAATGATAACTTCACCTAATTAAATGATTAATTAGAGTGAATTAAATAGTCTTTTAAGAGCAAAATGGACAAATCCCGACACGGGTGGAGGGGGGAAGGGGTGACAACATGAAGTAAACCTGCTAATGATAAGGAAAACATGCAACATTCAGCTGAATTTATAACTGATTATAGATACAAAACGTTAGTATTATCTGAGCACAGTTTAAAACAATCACCGTGGGGGTGACTGGGGAGGGGGGATGTGAAAGTTACATCAACTCAACGTTGCAATATATAAGCCTGAGGGAAACGGTTTGGTTAAAAATCGTAATAACCTATATGTAAATCCATGTATACACATACGTATACACATCTTACAAGTGTATATGGAATATATATATATATATATATATATATATATATATATATATATATATATATATATATTTATGTTTATGTTTGTCTTACGGGGGGGGGGGGGTTACACCGGGTGACACTCGACCTCGCTACGCCCCTGTTTGTACTTTATAAATTCACATGCGTTTTTTTTTTTTTTTGAAAAATCTGAAATAGAGGAACGTTCTACTTCCATTCACCGGTAATTACTCAAAATTCCGGGTACTTTAAGTTAGGTTTTAATATAATTATCTATTATTAATTAATAGGGACTAGTGGCTTTTATTTTTATAGTAGATGTTAAATATTGTATGTGTTTAATGTTCTGTTACAATTTCTTATAGTAGTTTTCATTGGGGTTTTTTTCCGTTCACTGTTACATGATACTATTGTGATATTATATTTTTGTATATTTAATTATATCACATGATGTTGTTCGCAAGGAGATGGAAAGTAAGTAACAAGCTATTTTCTGTTTCATTATTTGACTCTGATGCTTATTTAATTTGTGTAAAGAACCGAACTATTGAGGAATGGCAGTTGTTGTGTAAGTTAATTTTTAGAATTACGTTACATTGTACGCTTCGCTATTTTGGGGTTAGCTTTACGCAATACACGTTATATTTTCTTAAAACATTTTGTAAACATACGAACATATCAGCGTTAACATTAAACTATAGATATAACTATAATTGACTGGAGCAAAGCCTAGCCGGTAACGGCTAGTTATGAAAAGGTTAGATAAAACCAACAAATCGCTTTTAGCTTTTTTAAATAATTTAATTTTTGTGCGAAAATAGACCTAAAACACCAAATACGCCTAATGCTGAATAAATTGCAACCAAATGGACCATTTGAGACTTTCCCCGTTGTGATCCATTGACAGGTGGTAGATCTAGTCTAGGTCTAGATCTAATATCTTGGTATTGTGACCTATGTAAGAAATAGATCTATCTTTCAATAACAATAAGTTTGTACCTGTGTTTTAGACTAAATCCAAGAATATCCTTTAACCCCACTCCATTTAGCTTTGGTTAAAACGGTACTACTTATATAGATCTTTGTAGCGTAATCTTTGATTGAGCTAAATCAGTCGCGTTGTGAATCCTACGTCCAAGATTGACGCACTCAAGATAGTGCTTTCTGGCTCAAGTTTAAATGCGCTCGGAATTCACAAAGTTTTGCGCACCAAATCAACATGAATGTGCGGTAAATAGTACTTTACATAGAATAGTGTAAATAATTCATTAAAAATTAATTATGCATCTGTAATAATGCATTATTGACCTACTATATAAATAACTGTAAAGAAAAGTGTGGGTCATTATTATATGTATTGAATACCTTTACTAGAATTCAAGTAGCGACCAACGCTTTTATTTCTAGTATTTAAGTAGTAGTTCATTATTATATAGAATGATATATGTTCAAAAAATAGTTTTTTAGAGAGTATAGAGAAAGTCTTGTAATCGTGCAAAAGAAAATCGAGATTTTTACAAATCTCGACGTTTTACACCTCACTGATACGGAAAAACATAATTTTGCAATCTTGTCCGTATGTCTGTGTGTGTGTGTGGTCTGTGTGTGTCTGTGTGTGTAAACACGATAACTTGAGTACCGTTACAGCTAGGTTGATGAAATTTCATATATAGGTATTTTATCAAAATCGTAGATAAGTAACAAATTTTGAGCGATTTCCGATAACCGGAAGTGGTTCTTTTTCTACTTTGAATTTTTCAAAAGCCTATAACTTGAGTACTATTTCAGATACATAAATGAAATTTCACATGTAAGTAAAAGTTCTAATTCTCTATCTTCTGTCAAATTTTGAGTAATTTCCGTTGACCGGAAGTACTAATTTACGCTATTTCCGATTTCTCAAAAAAACGCATGTAAATTTATAAAGTACTAATAAAATTGCGCACTCTTATGCACATTTTGTTTTGGCGTTCGCTTGGTGCGCAATTCTTTTTTCTAGTAGATTTTATTCTATTTTTAAAAGTTTAAGTAAACAAAAATCATGTCTATATTCAGAGTTGCCATCCCACGTAGTGTTATATTAGAATATTCGAGAAAGTTTAGGGGAGATCACTCCCGGTTTATTTTTAGTACATTATTACATAAAAGCTTGTTATTGAAACATTTAAGCATTTTTAAAAATACAATACAGTTGGAGGACAAGAATTATTGCGCTCGAAACATCCAAGAGAATAGTTTAGTATAAAATTTATAAAAGGAATTCTTCTTGTATCCAGTAACACCATCGCAGTGGGAAACCACCGTTCGTCATTGATTGTTGTAACCCACCGCACCGTAATGCACGACGCTCTTTAATAAACCGATAGTGATCTCTCCTAAACTTTCTCAAATATTGTTATATAAAACTACGGGGGATGGCAACTCGGGGTAAAGACATGATTTTTAATCCATTTTTAATTACTTAAACTTTTTAAAATAGAATAGAATCTCGTAAAATAAAGAATTGCGCACCAAGTGAATGGCAGACAATATGTGTATAATAGTGCGGAATATTATTAGTACTTTTATAAATTCATTTTCGTTTTTTTGAGAAATCGGAAATAGCTTAAATTAATATTTCCGGTCGTTGGAAATTACTCACAATTCGACAAAAGACAGAGAATTAGATATTTTATTTACATGTGAAATTTCATTTATCTGTCCACCCAACTCTGATGGGTACCTAACTCACGTTAGGGAAAGTATAGGCGGCTGGGCATAGTGCTGACCACACTATTCTCTTCATATGCCGAGGTCATAACAGAAACAAATGAACTCTACTTCACTTGCCCTATAGACCGTCAGGTTTGTAAAGGGAACTTTACTTTTTTAAATCTGAAATAATACTCGAGTTATAGGCTTTTGAAAAATTGAAAGTAGAATAAGTTTAACTTCCGGTTACACACAAACACACACACACACACACATACACACACATTTTTAGTCCTTTAGCACTCTTTCCGTCCCTTGATCAATTAAGAAAACACAATTACTTCACTTTAAAAAACACCTGGAGAAAAAAAAAATACTTTTTATTACTTGGTTTTGGTATTGGGAACAAAAATAATTACATAATTAGCGAGGATTGATCAAGTAAAATGTGGTAAGTAAAACACAGATATTTTAAATACTGCCTTTTATTTATTTTCTACACTAAACATACTGTTTGCTAATTATTTTTTTAAAATCGATAACAGTTTAAAAGCCAGCTCCTAATTTCCTCTATGTTTATTTCTATCTTTCCGTTTGCGGATAAGCTTGAGGTATTATAGTCGTTCACGAAATTGAATCAGGCGCGTCCGCCGGCGCCCTTGCACGGTTCGATTTGGCACCCTGGGCTATCATGTGAGCGCTATGGTGCAGAATTTTGTTTTAAACAGTGCGATAGACTATGGATAAGAAAGGTTACTATAGTCTTTAACTGAATCGAATTCGGGTGTCCTCCGGTGCCCCGACAGCGTGTTATTTGGCGCCTCGCGCCATCCCGTGTTAGCTATGGCGTTTACGTTCGATTTAGTGAGTGCAAAAGACTATGAATAGATTGGGGTACTACATTCCTTTACTAAGTTGAATCAAGCAGTTCCACCGGCGCCCCAGCATGGTGCGATTTGGCGCCCCGGGCTAAACTGTGAGCACTTTGCGTTTATATTAAAATTTTCATTTAAGATTGTTTTATGTTTGCATTTATATGCATTATTTGCGTTTAGGTTGGCCTTTGTGTTTCTTTTTGTATTTGCGTTTGTGTTTCCTTTTTTGTTTGCGTTTGTGTTTTCCTTGAGTTTGGGTTTGGGTTTCCGTTGGTTGGGTTTGTGTTTGGATTTTGGTTTATTTTGGTTTGCTTTTTTGTTTGCGTTTGTGTTTTCTTTGTGTTTGAATTTGTGTTTGCGTTTGCGTTTGTGTTTGTATTCGTGTTTGCGTTATGTTTGCATTTTTTGTGTGTTTTGGTTTTGGTTGCTTGCAGTTAGGGTTAATTCGAAATGTAATATATTTCCTAAACCCGGGCAATGCCAGGTACATGCTGATTACTAAAGTCAGGGTCTTTTCTGATATGTTTTCAACAGAGGCCAGTTCAGGGCCTGGTCAGGTAGTTCTTAATATAATTATTATCATTAAAATATTTTGCCAACTAATTTTTAGACCTGGTTATACTTTTTTTTAGAAATATTTTGTCTGAGAGATTATGTCATTGATATATTTACTTGGCAAATGATTGTCATTTAACCGTACTATGTAGGACGATTTATATAATTTAGTGGAATAATAAACTTACCTCTAAACTGAGTACGATTAATAAAATGTTTAATAAAAGCAACACAAAACTTGTTACAGATCCAAACAACACGGAATGCTTTCGGTTCAATGAGAATAACCCAAAGGGCATTATTCTGGCCTCTTTTTCCTACCATGGCCAAAACTGCACAGACCCATTTATATTTGAGATGAAAGTAAGTAAAAAAAAATGCAAACCTTTTTACAAGCTTTTATTTAACTCACTTCCTCTGTCGTAAGTCGTCAGTCGACAGTCTGTCGTCAGTCTAGATAGAAACGTAGGAGTGAAAATTCGGACAGTTCTACTTGACCGATACGATTCACACTTGGCACGTGGGTCAAGACATGAAGACAATGCAATCTGAAACTAAATTTGACTTAATTGGATGCCTAATTAATTTTTTATTAATTAATTAAAATTTGGACCGAATCAATAAGCATGTCTATCCAACCACACCACACGCGTCATCACGTTCAATAGCTGCGCCATCACCTTCAGTAGGCGCGCCATCACGTTCAATAGACGCGCAATGGTTTTTAGTCATGTCACACTATTGTAAATAAAACATGTAAAGTACTGAAATTTTTTTTCATAAAAAACGTTTTAATAACAAGGTTTTATGTAATGATGCACTAAAAAGTAGAAAATAAATTATACACTACTATTTAAATTACTATAAAGAAAAGCGTGGGTCTCTTCTCAAATATTAGTAAAGGTATCCAATAGGTACTAAAGTACTAAAGTGACCCACGCTTTTCTTTATAGTTATTTAAATAGTAGTGTATAATTTATTTTCTACTTTTTAGTGCATCATTACATAAAAGCTTGTTATTAAAACGTTTTTTTATGATTTTTTTACAAGCTTTTATTTAACTCACTTCCTCTGTCGACAGTCTGTCAGTCGTCAGTCTGTCTAGACCGAAACGCCGGAGTGAAAATTCGGAAACTTCTACTTGACCGATACGATTCACACTTGGCACGTGGGTCAAGACATGAAGACAATGCAATCTGAAATTAAATTTGACTTAATTGGATGCCTAATTAACTTTTTATGAATTAATTACAATTTGGACCCAATTAGTAGGCATGTCTATCCAACCACACCACACGCGTCATCACGTTCAATAGCTGCGCATCACGTTCAATGGCTGCGCCATCACGTTCAGTAGGCGCGCAATGGGTTTTAGTCATGTAACTCTATTGTAATAAAACATGTAAAGTACTGAATAAAAATTCATAAAAAACGTTTTAATAACAAGCTTTTATGTACTAATGCACTAAAAAGTAGAAAATAAATTATACACTACTATTTAAATTACTATAAAGAAAAGCGTGGGTCTCTTCTCAAATATTAGTAAAGGTATCCAATAGGTACTAAAGTAATAAAGTGACCTACGCTTTTCTTTATAGTAATTTAAATAGCAGTGTATAATTTATTTTCTACTTTTTAGTGCATTAGTACATAAAAGCTTGTTATTAAAACTTTTTTTATGAATTATTTTACAAGCTTTTATTTAACTCACTTCCTCGTCAGTCTGTCGTCAGTCGCCAGTCTGTCTAGATCGAAACGCCCGAGCGAAATTGCAGGCACTTCTAACTAACAGATACGGTTCGTAGTTGGTACGTGGGTCAAGACATGAAGACAATGCAACATGACATTAAATTTGACTTAATTAGATGCCTAATTAATTTGTTATGAATTAATTAAAATTTTGATCAAATTAGAATTCCAGTCTTATCCAACGACTTTGCACTATTATACACGCATCATCGCGTTCAATAGCGCATCATAACGTTTAATAGGTGCGCAATGGTTTTTAGTCATGCAACACAAGTGTAAATAAAACATGTAAAGTACTTAATGTTTTTTTTTTCATAAAAAAACGTTTTAATAACAAGCTTTTATGTAATAATGCACTAAAAGTAGAAAATAAATTATAGACTACTATTTAAAAAACTATAAAGATAAGCGTGGGTCTCTTCCTAAATATTAGTAAAGGTATCCAATACATACTTAAGTGGCCCACGCTTTTCTTTATAGTTATTTAAATAGTAGTCTATAATTTATTTACTACTTTTTAGTGCATTATTACATAAAAGCTTGATATTAAAACGTTTTGTATGAAATTTGTTTTTGAAATATTTATATGCTCCTTAAAATAGTAAGTATAGTTCCCTTTTCAAATCTGACGGTCTATAGGGCAAGTGAAGTAGAGTTTGCTTGTCTCTGTGACATCGACATATGCCCAGCCGCCTCTATTTTCCCTAACGTGAGTTAGGTATCCATCAGAGTTGGATGGACTCAGGGACTGTCTACTGACTTGAACTTGATTCGAACTCGTGACTTACGGTTTAGCAGTCCAGCTCTCTACCGCTAGACCACTCCGTCCATATATGCTTCTTGCATATATCTAAATGCTATATAGTTGTTGAAGTCAAGAGATTAAACAACATCACATAAGATGCATTACACTGGCGCACCAACGAAAAATGAAAATTGGGTAGATCTAGATAAAAAACAAACACGGAAAAGATATGCTGTCAGAAAGCATAAGCATAAATCACAGAAATAATCCATAGGAATGATAAGTGATGGGTAGATAAATGAATGATAGGATGAATGGATGAATGGATGAATGGATGAATGGACGAATGGACGAATGGACGAATGGACGAATGGACGAATGGACGAATGGACGAACGGACGAATATATAAATGGATGAATGGATGAATAGATGAAAGATAAATAGATGAATGGAGGAATTGAGGAGTGGAGCAATGGCGGATTTTATGAACGGGTGAATGAATGAATGGATGAATGGATGAACAGATGAATGGACGAATGGACGAATGGACGAATGGACGAATGGACGAATGGATGAATGGATGAATGGATGAATGGATGAATGGATGAATGGATGAATGGATGAATGGATGAATGGATGAATGGATGAATGGATGAATGGATGAATGGATGAATGGATGAATGGATGAATGGATGAATGGATGAATGGATGAATGGATGAATGGATGAATGGATGAATGGATGAATGAATGAATGGATGAATGGATGAATGGATGAATGGACGAATGGACGAATGGACGAATGGATGAATGGATGAACGGAAGAACGGATGAATGGACGAATGGACGAATGAATGAATGGATGAATGGATGAATGGATGAATGGATGAATGTAAGGGTGTTTGGGTAGTTGAATGGATGGTAGTTAGATGGACTGATTGTAAATATATATTTTAATAGATTTATTTTGTAATTTATGTATTTCATCTAATATATAAAGCTCAATTCTGTATGTAAAAATACATATGTTTGTCGTTGACATACTTCGATGTATTAAAGTGTTAGATAATTACAGTCCTTTTGGTCTAAATTTATGAGTTAAAAAATTAATATTGAAAGTTTTGGGAAATAATTTTCATTTATCAAACTGAAAGTAATAATTGTCGGCACGTTCATTAAACACAAGTTTTAAAAAAATATCATCTTTTACAAAAATTCTAATTATGTCTTCATTTAGTCCTATAGCACTTACTTCCCTTTGATAAATTAGAAAAACACAATTACTTCCCTTTATAAAACCATTGCATTAGTGGAAAAGAATTTACTTTTTATTACTTTGTTTTGGTGTTGGGAAAAAAAATAATTACATAATTAGCGGGGATTGATCAAGTGCAAATTTTGTAGGTATTTTACGGATAAGCTTGGAGTATTATAATTGTTCATTAAATTGAAACAGGCGCTTTCGTTTAAGTGAGTGCAAAAGACTATGAATAAGTTGGGGTACTATAGTCGTTCATTAAGCTAAAACAGGTGATTCCGCCCCGGGCGTTTATGTTCGCGTTAGTGTTTTCTTTGTGTTTAGGTGGGTTTGCGTTAGTGGTTGCGTTTTGATTTGGTTCGTTTTTGTTCTTTCTTTTTTCGTTTTTGTTTGTGTTTTTTTCTTTGGGTTTGTATTTGTGTTTTTGGTTGGTTTTGCGTTTGGATTTGGTTTGTTTTCGTTTGCTTTTTCGTTGTTTTTTGTGTGTTGGTATTGGTGTTTGTGGTTGTGGTTGGGTTTGTTGTTAGGTTTTTGTTTTCGTTTGCTTTTTTGTTTGTTTTTTCTTTGTGTTTATATTGGTGTTTGTGGTTGTGGTTGGGTTTGTTGTTAGGTTTTTGTTTTCGTTTGTATTTGTAATTGTGTTAGAGTTATGTTTGCGTTTTGTTGTTTTGGTTTTGGTTGGTTGTGGTTTGGGTGGGTAATGCCGGGTTTATGATGATTACTAAACACACAGGTAATGGTCTTTAACAGGAAGGTTTTTCACAGAAGCCAGAGCAGGGCCTGGCCGGGACGGCTAGTAATAATATATGATATGGATGAATATAATTTTTTTCAGGCAAACAATACAGCATCTACAAGCGTTTGCTTTTCTGCAGAAATCCCGAGTTTGTGTGATTGTGACGCCATATTGAACGCAACGAGAGAGACACCAACAACAATATCACCAGGTAAGGACGCATGCACTATTGTCACATTTTTGTTTGCTGCTCAAAATTAAATAACACATAGTCAATTGTCTGGCGGATCAAGATGCATGAGCACAAAGAATAGGTAGCTAGAAATTTCCGCATGTCCTTATAAAATGTAAAATAAAATTTCGTCTACTTTCCTTCTCTTAAACCATAATTTTGTTCGTTTTAGGTAAATCTCTAGTAACACGGCATCACGTCACTACAGTGGCGTCACTATGTCGGGTGTTATCCGATGCGGCATTTCGCGGTGGTCACCACCCCTCCCCATGAAACAATGTATATATATATATATATATATATATATATATATATATATATATATATATATATATATATATATATATATATATATATATATATATATATATATATATATATGTGCGTGTGTGTGTGTGTATGTGTGTTGTGTGTGTGGACCTACATAGGCCTGTAATTTAAATATATGCCACATACATACGCGAACATGTATGTTTACAAGCTTTAATAGCTGAAGACGTAATTGCTACGATGTTTAATCTTTACTTTGTTAATAACATATTTGGATGTAGCATAGTTTTCTCTATAGTTAGCAAGTTTACGTCATAGTGTCAGTCCACCCCCTTGTTTTAATGGTTGATTTGTACTTAAAAGACTATTTAACTTTAATTAATTAATTAATTAACTGGCAAAAAAGTAGTTTTTATTTGTAAAGTTTGCAATATTTTAGTGTCACCGCCAACCCCCTAAATGGTGTCACCCGGTGCGTCCCGAAACCCCGCCCCGACCTTGCTATGCCTCTGAGTTACGATTTTGCAACATTAAACAATGTATAGCCTATAACTAAACAGTTAAACGATTGTTTTTTTTTTAATTTAAAGCTCCGACTCATAGTACCTCAACTGCATTGGTGGATCAGACTGGCAAAAGAAGTTTTTTAAAGGCAATGGAATTGGTACGATTTCTGTATTTCCTGGAAAGTACATAGATCTAGATAATTTGAGTGACCATTACCATTTATCTATGTTTAATTATATTTCAAAATTGTGTTGTAGATCTATTTAGATATTTTACTACATTGTTGTGGTATATTTTAAGGGGATATGCTCAATTTATTTCTACTTTTTACAATTTAAGATCTAAAACCTTTTGAATACTTTTACCATGTTTGCACATGAAAGTAAGTATTAAACAGAAAAAAGGGGGTTAAAAAAAATTTTGGTCGTCATGGAAACCCAAAAAAAAACCTCCGTCTTTTTGATATACAAAAATGGACCAGGTATAAAAAAAAATGCAAGAAACACGTTATGACGAAAAAGTAGGATTTTTGTGATTTTGTAATGAACTTATCCTCCTAAAACTTTAAATCTTTATTATAAAACTATAGTTTTCCCCTCAAATGCATTCCAATACGACACACATTTCTTTGTTTATTTTTTGTAGCTCTATTTCAGTGTTTTGTCATCTAACTATATAAAACTAATTGAAGCTCTATGTTTATTCTTTGTAAAATTTCGTTAAACAGAATACATATTGACAATAACTTACGTTCTACATTCAATATTTGTGTTAAATGATCACAATCTTTTATTATTACAAGCTTTCATTTAACTTGCTTCCTATGTCCTAATCCTGTCCAAATCACCGACCTAATCATGTCTAGCTCGAAACGCGAAAGCGAAATTTCGGGCACTTCTAAACGATCAATTTCTTTGAAAATTGGCACGTGGGTCAAGACCCGATGGCAACGCAATACCTATTAAGAAAAGCGTGGGTCGCTTCTTAAATATTAGTAAAAGTATCCAATACATATTATAGCCGGGTCTACGACAAACTCCCGAAAGACACTTGCCCGAATGCCGTTTGCCCGAAGTCCGATTACCCGAATGGACACTTCGGGCAAGTGTCCTTTCGGGCATTTGTTATTAAAACGTTTTTATGCATTTATTAAAAGCAATGTTTTGACAAAAATTATTACAGGTTAAATCGTTATTAATATTTTGGAAAAAATTAAAATAAATTTCTGTTCAAGGTAAATGTTATATCAGTTTTACCGTGTTAGATGGGCATGATGTCTAAAAATAGTTTTGATTAATTTTGAGTAATGCGTATATTTATACACACCAAAAAGGATCCCCATCTGAAAAAAAATCATACCAGTGCCAACTTTGAATCCAATCTGTCAGTTAGAACTGCCCGAAATTTCTCTCGAGCGTTTTGATCTATGGCGACAGCCAGACTGACGACAGACTGGACGAGGGAGCAAATTAAATAGATGCTTGTAAAAAATCCTGATAGACAAAAAAAAAATATATCTGTATATAGATATAATTCGCAGCAAATGTCAAATAAATATTTCATTTTTGACATTGCATTTTATCGTTTACTTTGATTATCCTTAATTTTGCTTTTATTAAAGTTTGTAACAACACAGTCGTACTCGCTATCTTCTATATATAATTATAATTAAACAAGCTGCTATTTTAGGTCAACTCTCTACAAAATGAAAGCATGATCGCCGAGCAAGCAAGTAGGATCATACGTCTAATAGCCCAAGAGCTCAACACTAGCTTTCAAGTAAACTTCACAGCACGGCCCGTAGATATCGTTGTCATTCTACACGCGATAGCTGCCAAGCTGAAATCCCCAGAAATTACCATGCAACCAGATTCATTACGGGTAATGAAATTGATGTAACAAACCTATTTTTGATTAAATTTTAAAGCGATTAAAATTGTATGTGGATTCTTAATTTTTGCTTAATGTCGCTGCTATATTGTTATTAATATGTTCCGTATATAATTTTTAATATTTTTGTTTTTAGTTTATATTTTCTTAATTTTTCTGTTGTTACTATGTTAGTATAGCGTTAATCTGACAACAGAGGCGTATTTAGGGTGGGGGGTAGGGGGCGTGCGTGGCGGCCGTCCCCGGCGCCGACGTAGGGGGCGACGTTGGGGGCGGCAACGGGGTGAAGGTAATCAAAAGCACATTTTGAGCTGTATTACTGAACTATACAGTCTAAATTAAAAAAAAAGACCGCTACTTGGCTTCAGAGTTTCTTCCAGGCATCTCTTCGGCCCCCCCCCCCGAAATTTGTTTACCGCCCCCCTTCCGAACGAAATGAAATTTATATAATTTATATAGAAAATATATACTTTTAACAGTGTCCGCCCCCCGAAGAAAGTCTACCGCCCCCCCCCCCCCCCCCCGAAAATTTCAAGTGCCCCCCCCCGGAGAAAAAAGTCTGGAAGAAACACTGCTTGGCTTTACAGACTCATCTGATTGTTTTCTACATTCATTATGTGACACCAAAGTAAGGCGCAAAACTGATAGTTCAAATTCGCGCAAAATGAGTTTGCTACTTCTATGACTGACAATGTCTTTTTGTTTCAATTTATGTTTTTCTACTGCAGTGCCGGAACTAGACTAGACAAGCTATTTTGGATATAAGACCTTCGTGCCAGAGGCGAAGCGAGGGGGAGCGGGGGAGGGGGTACATATGTCCCCGTGCGCCGACCCTTGGGGGCGCCAAAATGGGTTGGAAAAAGAAATTAAAATCTCTTTTTAGCTGCAGTTTTGCATCATAAATATATGAGGGGGCTGCAAATTGAAAATTTAAAGGGGGGGGGGGGGTGCAAATTGAAAATTGAAATGAAAGGTTGTTCTCGAAGGGGGCGCCTAATTGAAAGTTTGTCCCCTGGCGCCGGGAAAGGTCACTACGCCTCTGCTTCGTGCGTCCACATATCATTTCAGTGCAAAATATTTTCTTAAGAAAAATACTTTGACAAAAAGTGTGACTATAATTGCTATAGAAAGATAGCTCGTCCTCCACAATGGTTTGAAAAATAACAAACTATATGTTAAAAATAGATATGCCTACCACATACTATAGAAAATAAACTTTGGAGGAGGGGAGGGGGAGGAAGGCAATAAAGCGGGTCCCTTATAGATAGCTTGTTCAGTTTATACGTGCATCCGGCACGGTTGTACTGTCTAGTTTTAGTTGTTTGCTAATGTATTCCTACATTATTTTCATCTTATACACAATTTGTTTTTTTCGTTTAGACTTTTGCTTTGGCTGCAGACATTCTTGCGGGTAGCAAAAGGGTAGAAGGCAACGATGCCAGTCAGCAAGATCTGTCAGAAGTGATGTTGTCCCTGGAGGAAATAGTTAAAGGAAGTTTAAACTCTTTGGAGGAGGAAAAATCTGAAATGTCATTCACCAACTTGTGTATGCTAATTTATTTATTCTTTAAATTTCTCAACTCCTACAGAAGCCGATTATTCTAACTCAATGTTTTTGTTAAGATTTGTACAACCTTATGTTGAAAAAAAAACAAACGTCATGTCAGAAATTTCTGTCCATATCTCAGTCTATTATTACACTTTACAATTCACTAAACACTCAGTATAAAATATATCCTTAAATCCTTGTTGTGAACATTAAAAAAAAACCTAAAGTTAACAACAATATGGTTCTGACTCTAAATCTACCATTTTGTCACGAGATCTTGAAGATACGTTTATCGAGATATATTTTGCGTCAACGGGGACAAATTGTTGAATAGGCTTTAAAGTTCAATTTTCTAATAACAATTGTACAGTAATATAATTCAGTGATATAAACTAAGCTTTTTTTCTTTAATACTCATCGAAAACAAACAGTCGTTGGAAGATACATTGGCGTCGGAAAAATAAGCTTCCCAGATGGAGAAATCTTGGAGACCCACGACTGGTCACCAAGCATGGAGAATCAGATAGTCTTAACATTAGATCCCAAAGAAGGTATTATTTTAATATTGATATGTTAAAAAAAAAACCAAGAAGATAAAAATTGAAATATTAAGGGATCGTCCATAAATGAAGTCTCACTCGTATAGGGGAGGAAGGGGTGGTCTGTAATTTTGTCACGATGTGTGTATGTTATCAGTCATTTCGCAGTTTTAGATAACTGTTTTAACAAACTGAAATAGAAATGGATTCAATATCTTAATTTGACCGAGCCCAATCAATATTTCAGAAAAATGAAGTCGATATTTTAAAAAAGAATTCAATTGCATATTTTAAGAGGTATGATGTCATTTTGAGGAGGGGGAGTCTGGCTTTTTGTGACGATGTGTAACGGAGGGGATGGGGAGGTAAAAATCTTCAAAAAAGCGTGACGTCATTTGTGGATGACCCCAATGTCAATAAAAAAATAATTTGGAAACGATTTTTCCCTTAGTAATATATCTCTGATGGTACCGCTATATTCCAGGATAATAATATGCTTATGTTTAAACAGCTGCTGCTTAGTAAAATATTTGACTGTCTTATTTCAGGTACAAAAAAGGTCTCATTTGTCATATTTCGCCAACGTGAAAACCAAATAGTTCCAGATAAAGGGTATTGTTGCTATACTTTTATTTCAAATTTTTTAAACATGTTCAAAACTAAAGATTACAGTTATAAAGTGAGCTCCCCTAAACTTTCTTGAATATTCTTGATTGAATACCTGTATTAAAACTTAATTTGCGAATGTTGCAGAAGTGTTTGAAGTATTATATATTTAAAGAAAATAATTTATTTTCTTCTGTTTTAGCGCATACATATTTTAAACCTTGTTAGTATGAATTAAAAAAAAATCTATTGCTTTTTCCAACAATTTTTATATGATGTCACCAGTAGCTTTTTAACACATCTAGTTTAAACTATTTTAATCAATACTTAAAGTCGTATGTCAAAATTTTTAAATCTCTCAATATTAAAATCAATCGAGTTAAGTGACGTCCGATTTTCTTTTCTTTGGTTACTCCATTCGCCATTCACTGTCTATTTGTTATACTTAATTTCCCAGTGTAACATTGGTTTCTACACATACCAAACAGTAAAAAGGTTTTTGCAGGGAATTATTGACAACGCCTTCCGGATTTGGCGATACATAGGACAGATGAAGTAGAGTTCTCCTATTTCAGTGATTATCAGCACTATTAGCAACCGCCTTTACCGTGAGTCTGGCACTAATTAAAGCTGAGTCGACTCAGGAACGTCCGAACGGATCTAGACCGGGATCCAAATTCCAGACTTTCGACCACGCGTCCCACTAAAACTTCTGTATATGCTTACGTTAGGAAAGTATTTTAGAACAGAAAAGTTCACTCTAGTCTTTTATAGATCATCATCATTCCTTTGTGGCCCCTGGGGAGCAAAGGGCTGCAACCACACATCTCCAGCGGACTCGGTTTTGGGCTGCTCCTCTAATCTGTGCCCATGTGAGCCCAGCTGTTTTCGCCTCTTCTTCAACCGTTCTTCTCCATGTCTTCCTTTGCCGGCCCACCCTCCTTTTTCCCTGGGGATTCCAGTCTTTTACAGATGCTCATATATTTTTTTAATAAACATATTTAGAATACTTGGGAGTCCTTCCCATGACAGAACTATGAGTGTCGCCTCGAATGTCGTTTCGGTGACAGCATTGGATGTAGCTGGAGAAATAAAAGTTGATTTGGTGTTTTCCGTACAAAATGTAAGCTAAAGCCACCCAAAGCAATTGCAAAACATTAAAATCGAAAGATTTTAAGATATATTGTTATGTTCTATTTATAGAAATGAAATATATTCAGAATACTTAAATTTAATTAGATGCTATTTTTGCCAGAAATGAAAATTTAAATTTTGTGAATAATTTTTCTTATCTTTATTATGCGTTTTAGCCCCATCTCAACCATTCTGTTTGTGCCTTTTTGGATGCCTCTTTTGGGTATTATTCTTTTAATATTAGTACATTATATAAGTTAATATTTGGAAATGTAGAATTCGGGCTCTGCTTAGATGCCCGTTGACTATAGGACAATACAAATGAATTAAAGAAAAAAAAATTCTAGGCAAACCTAAAATTAAACAAAATAAAATAAAATACTGATGAATTCAACTAACGATTTATTCTTAAACAAAATATTACTTGGTTATTTTTTAAATAAAATTTAATTTTAGCATTAGAAAACAACTTTTATGAATAGGACAACAACCTACTTAACTTTTAACTATATCGAGAGAAAGTAAAGTGTAAAGTTTCCCTTTCAAACCTGACGGTCTATGGGGCAAGTGAAGTAGAGTTCCCTTGTATCTGTGACCTTGGCATTGGAAGAGATAGTGTGGTCAGCACTATGCCCAGCCGCCTTTACTTTCCCATCAGAGTTAGAAGGACTGAGGGACGGTCTACTGACTTGAACCCGGATTCGAACTCGAGACTTACGGGTTAACAGTCCAGCTCTCTACCGCTAGACCACTCCGTCCGCATATTGAGAGAAAATAAATAAATAATAATAAATAATTTAGCCGTATCAGCCGAAATGCACCCATTTCTAATGTTAGTAGTAAAGCAAATTTACGTTTGATTTTGCCATAGAAAGAAAACAAATCCACTTTTAACTTTAGCTTTGGAAAATAAATTATGTGTAGTTTTAGTAATGGAAAATAAATATAACTACTGTTTGCAATGGCAATGGGAAAAATAATTCTGCTTTTGGTTTTAGCAATTGAAAACAAAATTTAATTTACTTTTAACTGTGTCCATGGAAAATAAATTTACCTTTAATTATAGCAACGGAAAAGAAATAACTTTTAATTTTATCAATGGAAAATAAATTTAATTTTAATATTAGCCATGAATGTTTAAATTTTAGCAATGTGAAAATAATAATTTTTAGCAATAAAAAAATTTAGTTTAACTTTCAGCCATGGAAAACAAATTTATATTTTCTTTTAGCCATGGGAAAAAAAAATTATATTTTCTTTTAGCCCTCGAAAACAATTTGCTTTACTTTTAATTATAGCAATAGAAAACTTAAAATTTTATACTCTTAATTTTAGAAATGGAAAACACTGGTCCGATGCAGGCTGCACAATCACAGCCGAAAATGTGACACACGTAACATGTAGATGCGTGCATCTGACCAACTTTGCCATACTGTTCCGCCCTGGAAGTAACGTAAGCATTAGACACGTATAAAGCTTTGGTTACTAAAATATGTAAAAGATCTCATGAGTGACCAAAGTTTTTATGAAAGATATCAAATTAGTTTTATTTTCTTATTTTCTTATTTTCAATGCATTTAAAAGCTTGTTGATATAAAAGTTTTTTTATATTTATTTTACCTTCTAGTTTTTAGTTATTCCTAATTTATTAAGTCGCCATGACTAAAAATATTTGCTTTAAAACACTATCAGTAGATTGCGATATCTAGAAAACTATTATTTGACCCGTGAAAGCAGCCGTCCGAGACTATATTTTACAGACGACAGTAGGTTCTTAATTTTTATTATCTGCCCCTTTTAGCTTTCACTAGATCGACAGCCTCCATGATTATAAACATTCGGCGTGAACCACAGCTCACCAGACTAGCTAATTATCTCCTCTTCTACTATTTAATAAAGTGATCCTACTAATGATTTTTATTTTATTATCTCCCCTTAGTTCCAAAATTGTTTTATTTATTTTAATGACTAATTGAACATCTACTTAAATATAAAAAAAAATTAAGATTTTATATTGTCATCGAAGTGGAACGTACCTGGAAAGTTTGAAAGAAATCGCTGCATTAGAAGTGGGTCAAAATTAACTTACAAGATTTGCCGCTAACTCACAACTAACTACAAACAAACAATCAAACAAACACATTGCGAACTACATCATAGCACAATCAGAAATACCGCCGAACACTACGCTGAACAGTGACAGGACACAGACTTTGACTTGACCGCTGCTCTTTAACGATCCATTCCAGGATATTTTGGACCGAACACAGATTTCACTATGTTAAAGTTTTACCGCAATTTTCTATCGTTCTATCGTTCAGGTTTAGCGAAATGAAAGTAGATACCATTCATAACAGTACGAATTGCACACCGATATATATATATATATATATATATATATATATATATATATATATATATATATATATATACATATATATATATATATACATATATATATATATATACATATATATATATATATATATATATATATATATATATATATATATAAATCTTTATATATGTATATTTATAATATATGTATATAAATAAATAATTATATATATATATATATATATTACATATATATATATATATATATATATATATATATATATAAATTAATAATAATAGTTTCGCTGTCTGTCTATGTATCTATGTATCTATCTATCTATCTGAACAAGAACGCTCTAGAGAAAACACAAGCAAATTAAACTTTCACAGTAAAGCGGAAGCGAAATATGACGTCATATTCAGCACATAGTAGAAAAAAGTCGGCAGCCGGGAGAGTGCACAACATAATATGACGTCATTGATTCTCGAGTAGAGTAAACATTGAATTAAAAAGCCAATTTTGTCTAATTTAAGTGGTTTGCGTGCAGAGTTTCTTTCATGCACTTGTTCGGGTAGTGGCTAAGCGCGACACCAGTGTTTCATTCAGACTTTTTCCTCCCCGGAGGGGAGAACTTTTTCTAATCTAAAAAGTGTTTAGCGTGCACCGTGTTATTCATGCATCTCTTCCGGTAGGGGCGAAGCACCGCCCAGATTCTTTCTTTAGTTTGTATGATCTACAAATGCGACCAGTGTTTCTTTCAGACTTTTTCCTCCCCGGCGAGGGGTGGGGGTACTTGAAATTTTGGGGGGCGGGGGTAGAATTTTCTGGAAGGGGGCGGACACTGGAAAAATTATATAATTATATTTCGTTGAATGGGACGGTAGACATGTTTTGGGGTGTGTGTGTGGGGGGGGGGGGGGGGCGGAGCCACCTCCTCCCAAGTAGAGTTGCCTGAAAGAAACTTTTGTCATGAATGAGATTAGGTGCACGGCTTAGGGATATGCCTATGACTATATTTTGTATAAATTAAAGTACCAATTCTGGATAAAAATCCGTTTTCAATGTCATTTTTTTGTTTCCGGTTAAATTAAATTAAGATTGGTGATTTTTGGTTTTGGTTTTAGTTTAGAGAAAATAGACAGCACTATCAACATAGCGCCCGTTGTATCCTTCCTCAACGGGTCATTTTTCTCGTATATATATATACAGATATAAAGATATAAAGATATAAAGATATATATTTTATATATATTTTATATATATATATATATATATATATATATATATATATATATATATATATATATATATATATATATATATATATATATATATATATATATATATAATTGTATTAATTGTTCTAGAGACAAGCTGACCCTGCACTTTCATGGATGACTAAAATAGGAGTCTACTTTTCAATGGCTTGTTTGGCCACAGCTTGCCTGATCTACTTTCTAGTTTGGAAGTACGTGGTACACACTTGCAGACATCACTGGTGTTCACTACACTCTTTATACATCGTACAGGATTGTCATATCATACTACATTTTAATCCTTCCTTTGCCTGAAAGTGCACAGTGTTACTGAATAGTTTTTATCGTTCCACAGGGATGTAAAAGATTGTCACACAATTTTGCATGTTAATTTATCAGCGTGCCTGATAGTGAGCTACATCATTTTCGTGGCAGGTAGCGAAAGGATTGAGAGCAGAGTATGTATTTTATTATTTATGTTTCAGTTTAAAACACAAAAAAAAAATAATTTAGGATTTTGTTATCAAAGCCACACTCGGTAGTCTTTTTCTGCGTTTCATAAAATTAAATCAGCTCCTCATTCAACTGAATGGAAATGATCTTTATATGGGATTTACACCACAGTTTTCATACATAGAGTTCACTTGTTTCTGTGACCTCGGCATATAAATAGATAGTGTCATCAGCAGTATGCCCAGCCGCCTTTACTTACCCTAACGTGAGTTAGGTACCCATCAGAGCTGGGTGGACTCAGGGACGGTCTACTGACTTGAACCCGGATTCGAACTCGAGACATACGGATTAGTAGTCGAGCTCTATACTCTGTATACGAAAAAAACAACTGTGCATCTTGAGATAAAGAGACCCGACATATCGCGTTGAATGAATTTTCGATATCTCAAATACCCAAGCGCTGTAATCGATTATAAAATGAGGAAGTAGAAAGCAACCCTAGGTAGTAAAGATGGCCAATGAAGTTTTAGCTTGAGGAACATACTACAGCCCTCTTTTAAACTAAAATGCTATTGGTAATCATTAATTAAGGTCCATATTGAATCCGCCTGTTTTTGAAAATTCTAAACAAATATAATCATATACACATATATGCCTACAAACACATACGCATATTATAACATGTCTTTTATATTAAGTATGTTAACAAAATCTGTCAACAGTTGCTGTGCAAGTTTATAGCTATCCTCCTGCACTATTGTTTCCTCGCCGTCTTCTTTTTAATGTTGGCGGAGGGAGTACACATTTTAAAAACTGTAGTTTTTGTTTTCAACAATACTTCTGTGCTGAAATATTACATATCCGTGGCATATGGTAAGTTTTAATTATAAAAACATAATGTTAACTATTAATGAATATTTATAAATATATATCGTATTTGCTAAACCAAAAAGTCTCGAGTTCGATTCCTCGTTGGATGAGGCTCAAAAACCCATTTATTAGAGGCAACTCCAAAATTTAATAGAAATGGAGCCCCTAAGGCAGGGGTTCCCAACCTTTTTTTACTCTAGAGCACATTCTAAAATATCGGTAGGGTGGCGGGCACCACCTGTTTTAAATCGACAAACTCCTTCCATAGGCGTAGCGACCCTTCCCGTCACCCGGGGACAAAACTTTCAATTTGCACCCCCCCCTCAAACTTTCGATTTGCACCCCCCCCTCAAATCTCAAATTTTCGATTTGCACCCCCCCTCAAACTTTCGATTTCCATCCCCTTCAACCTTTCAATAATGTTTATGAAATAAATTATGTCTCTGTCGAATAGTGAGAGTCGGGCACATACAAATCCTTCGGCGGGCGCCATGGCGCCCGCGGGCACGGGGTTGGGAACCCCTGCCCTAAGGTGATAGGATTACCAACTCCAGTTTCCATTGGGCAGCTCCTGCGACACTGCTGATTCCATGTTGTATAGGCATTGCTTCTCCCTTGGGTACATCGTTGAGTGGTGAGAGGGTGCCAGATACAAGGTTGGGTACATCGTTGAGTGGTGAGAGGGTGCCAGATACAGGGTTGGGTACATCGTTGAGTGGTGAGAGGGTGCCAGATACAGGGTTGGGTACATCGTTGAGTGGTGAGAGGGTGCCAGATACAGGGTTGGGTACATCGTTGAGTGGTGAGAGGGTGCCAGATACAGGGTTGGGTACATCGTTGAGTGGTGAGAGGGTGCCAGATACAGGGTTGGGTACATCGTTGAGTGGTGAGAGGGTGCCAGATACAGGGTTGGGTACATCGTTGAGTGGTGAGAGGGTGCCAGATACAGGGTTGGGTACATCGTTGAGTGGTGAGAGGGTGCCAGATACAGGGTTGGGTACATCGTTGAGTGGTGAGAGGGTGCCAGATACAGGGTTGGGTACATCGTTGAGTGGTGAGAGGGTGCCAGATACAGGGTTGGGTACATCGTTGAGTGGTGAAAGGGTGCCAGATACAGGGTTGGGTACATCGTTGAGTGGTGAGAGGGTGCCAGATACAGGGTTGGGTACATCGTTGAGTGGTGAGAGGGTGCCAGATACAGGGTTGGGTACATCGTTGAGTGGTGAAAGGGTGCCAGATACAGGGTTGGGTACATCGTTGAGTGGTGAGAGGGTGCCAGATACAGGGTTGGGTACATCGTTGAGTGTTGAGAGGGTGCCAGATACAGGGGTCAGATCTGGATATAGTCATCTTACTGCCTAGGCAGAATAGGTATGCGTATACGTATAGGTATACGTGGTGGTATAACTATAGGTATACGCTTACCTTTACGTATACGTATACATGTACGCAGGGGCGTAGCGAGGGGGGGGCGGGGGGGTGCGGACCGCACCGGGTGACACCATTTAGGGGGGTGACACCAAGGCAAAAAATAGCAAAATATATAGAGAAAAACTCGAGGGGGGTGCAAATCGAAAGTTTGAGGAGGGGGGGGGGTGCAAATCGAAAGTTTGAGGGGGGGGGGGTGCAAATCGAAAATTTGAAAGTTTGTCCCTGGGAAGGGTCTCTTTGCCTCTGGGGGGGGGGGGGGGGGTGACACCATTAAGTGCCGCACCGGGTGACACCCGACCTCGCTACGCCACTGCGTGTACGTGTAGGCATACAATTGTGAATGCGCATTTGCATGCATATGCGTATACCGTTTACAGTATACCGTATACGACTGCGTATGCGTATGCGTTTACGTATATGTACATAAATATATATTCTTTATTAATGTTATGTTTTATTGCTGCTTATTCTAGGAGGACCTTTCATAATTGTGGCGGTGTCCCTTATTGTTTCCGGATCACAAGGCTATGGGGATCACACAACGTTAGTTCCATTCCTTACATTAACAATTAAGTTTAATTTACAAGCTTTCATTTTTCGATATCGGATTTAAGATTTACTCTTAAATCATACCTCAGTTGAATTTGTGGAAACAACTTTTGAATATATTGACATGCTTATCCTTGCTTAGTACACGTACACAGATGGACACACATACCTATCTATATCTGGCGACAGGAGAAATGATCTCAGGCAAAGTACCTCACGGACAATAAATGATCTCAGCGTAGACGTATACAGGTTTTCGGTTTAGGGGGAGCGTCAAACCGAGAAAAAGGCGCCATATATATATATATATATATATATATATATATATATATATATATATATATATATATATATATATATATATATATATATATATATATATATATATATATATATATATATATATATATATATATATATATAAACAGTGTATTGACAAAAATCGCACCCCCCGGGCGCCGCCTTTGAGAAATTTTTATTATTTTTTATTATTTTCGCAGAAACCTTCTCGAGAGTATTCCCATCAACTTCCCAAAGTTCGATGGTGATCGGATGAACGGTGTCAAACAGAAATCTACTTTTATTTTTATAAACCGCATAGAGACAAGAATGGAATCACGCTCTTTAATACATACAAGACAAACAGACTTTGTATAAATATAGACTAGCGTACCTGTCCCACGCGTTGCCGCGGAAATAAAATAAAGAAGGGTTTCATAAATTCGTCATAAATCCTATATTCTTAGACGCGTGACCTTGTTTTCTTAAACTCAGTTATTTAAATGTAAACAATGCATGCTCTAGGATCATAAATATCGGGACACGGGTTTACCTACACTACCTCATGTAAACCTTGAGTGTACGTTAATCACTCACCTAAATAATGGTGTAGAGTACACTTCGGTAACCGCCCGTGTGTCAGGGACGTAGAAGGGCGCTCTCAGGAGCCCCCCGATTACACTACCGTAGAGGCGCTACGTACAGCCCCTGGCTACTTAAAACTAACATAGGCGCCATAGCGCTCACGGTATAGCCCAGAGCTCCAAATAGCATCCTGAAACAATGATCCAGATTGCGTCATTCGCTAACGTGCACAAATCAACATGATTTTTCTTTAACACGTAGACTTTTTTTTTATTTGACATGCTATAAACATCAGTGTGACTGATGCAATTTGTTAGCGTAACTAATGGTGTATTATTAGAAGCCCGATCTTAATTTCCGATTGGATAATCTAAAAATAGATGCTAATTGCATCATTCGCAAAGTGACGAACCGGGATGTTTTTAAAGGACAAAAGGAAACAAACCAGTTAATAATCTAACCTTGGTTAATTTTTGTGATTATTTTTAAAAAAGTATTACAGGGCCCTCAGCGGCCCATTTTAGCCTTTGGGGGCCGAAACTGTAATTTTTGTTCGCAGCCGATTCGCACCGTACCAGGCCGCCGGCGGACAAGCCTGTTTCAATTTAGTGAGCAACAGTAGCGCCCCATCTTATCCATTGTCTATCACACTGTTTAGAACGAACGTAGTCGCCAAAAAAAAAAAAAGCCAAAACGCATCCTGCCAGGAGCCGCCAGTTCCAAATTAAATCAACCCCCCCCCCCAGAAACCTTCTCGGGAGTATTCATCAACTCCCTAAACTTTTATGGCACTCGGATTAACGGTTTCGAACCGCATCCGACATTTTTCAATACATCATATATAGAGAAGAAATGCATCCTCCCGGGGCGCCGCCCTTGCAAAATTAAAAATGACTTTTTTTTTACAGAAATCTCAACAGGAGTGTTCCAATCGACTTCCCAAAGTTTGATAGCGATTGGATGAACGGTGTCAAACCGCAATCGACTTTTATTTTTAAAAACCGTATATAGAGAAAATAGCACCCTCCCGGGGCGCCGTCTTGCAAATTTGAAATATTTTTTTCGCATAAACCTCCCCAGGAATATTCTCAACAACTTCCCAAAGTTTCACGGCGATGTGATGAGAGGTATAATAATGCATACAAGACAGACACACACACACAGACATACATTGCTTTTTATATGTAGATATCTTTTAACAAAAGAATATTACACGTATAAAAGCAGCTGGCTAACACGAAATTCTTTTCCTCGCCCTCTCAGTTGCTGGTTGAGTCCTGATCAAGGTCTTGTCTGGGCGTTCATAGGACCTGTGATTCTGATAATGGCAGTAAGTGACATGGACATCAGCGATACATACAAGAGGGGGGGGGGGGGAGGGGATCAACAAAAATAACTCGGCTGTAATTTTATGGCTGGCTAGTCCGGCTCAAGTGGAGATATTTGAGTGTTGTCTGACCGGAGTCTGACTGACAAATGAGTGACATCTATGTGAAATCTGACTGACATCCGACTGACATCTGACCGACATCTGACTGACAGTAAAGGGAAAGTATAGGCGGCTGGGCAATGTACTGACCACACCTTTATAGAGCTGAAGTTCAAATGAAATCTACTTCATCTACCCGCTAGATCCGTTGGTCTAAAGAGTATTTTTTTACTTTACATGTATAAATAATGTCTATTATCATCGAAATTTAATGGATTAAAAATCGAATCAATATTGTTTTGCTGAGTTGCTTTCTAGATCAACATGTTCAGAGACTTAATAGTAATTTGAATGTTAAAACAGAACGTAACTAGAGCAAGCTTTGAGATTCCACATAATTTACGTATCAAACATGACGACTGTTAAACATAAATAACTAATTAAACTTACTAGAGAGAAATTGAACAAATTCACATTTTGCTTTGTTTGTTTTCAATGTAAAACTCTAAACATGGCGTCCAACATAGAGAGTCGCTTCCCTTTATATATCTAGATATTGACTCAAAAGTTGTGTATAACATGAAAAGTAACTGAGTTGCCCACATGTTTAAAGCTCTGACACTCTTATTTCCTTACAGAAAGCCTACGCTTCAAATCTAAATCTGGGGTCGGCGTGGTCGAGTCGGTAAAGCTCATGGTTGCTAAACCGAAAAGTCTCGAGTTCGAACCCTCAGATGAGGCTGGTTAGCTACAGCCACTCTTCTAGGAGAGACAACTCCAAAATTAAACAACTGCTGCCTTGTAGTTTGTTCTTGGTTGGACAAAGGCTATGGAAGCAAATCCAAAAAAAAAGCAGGCTGAAATCGGAGTCAATGGCCTCAATCAGTGTTTCTTCCAGACTTTTTTCTCCGGGAGGGCACTTGAAATCTTCGGGGGGGGGGGGGGCGGACACTGTTAAAAGTATATATTTTCTATATAAATTATATATATTTCATTTCGTTCGGGGGGTCGGTAAAAAAATTTCGGGGGGGCTTCGCCCCCCCCCCCGAAGAGATGCCTGGAAGAAAATCTGGCCTCAATGGCGCATAACCAGTTGACACGTAACGCTTAATTGTGTTGGAGGCGTGGTCGAATCGGCAAAAAGCTCATGGATGATAAAGTCTCGCGTTCAAACCCACTGGCAGATAAATCTCGATCCCCTCTAACACTAATAATTAAGAACGAAGAAGAAGAAGAATAAGAAATCTAGATCTAACTACTCTTCTAAAATACAGAAACTCACTCTGTATGGATGTGCTCTTAAATACTCAATAGCTTGTACTATTAAAAGACAATTTTCGTTATATTTTCATGCCAGATAAACTTCACAATTCTTGCCATCATTGTTGTGACGTTAATGAGGACCCGAACGCTAAGAGACACGTCACGATTCGTCAAAGCAAAGTAAGATTTTCTAAACATCTTAATGATCTTCTTTGCATGAATTCCCTAATCAAGAAAAAAACCTACATCGTGGAGTTAGATATTTTTAAATTTTTGAATAAATTGTTTAAACCCCATGTCTTTCGAGTTAGGTGTTCTAGGAATTTAAGAACATGTTAGGAAAAAAAATGTTAATTTCAAATAATTCTGAAATTGTGTTTGTATTATAACGTCTAATATAAGCAAACAATGTTACCCATAACCAAATATGTAGCTTTATATTACAATATTACGTCACCAGTTACCTTTTAGTACTACTGTTGGAAACGTAACCCCTTTTAGACACCCGGGATTCAAATAGATTATTGAGAGCAAGCAGGATGAAAACTGAAATGTTATCGTTAACCTGTAGCTAAATCGAAGTTGCTATTAAGAGGAAATTAGTAATAAAACAGATAGTGTTAGGTTTTGCGCACAAGTAAGATCGCTTCTAATTTATATCTTAGATGTTGTTCACAAGTAAGATTGCTTTTAATTTCAAATTAAAACTTAGAGTTTTGTTCACGAGTTAAATTGCCTCTAATTTTAAATATGATCTTAAGTTTTCCTTGTAAGGTAAATGACACCTTAAAAATTAGATCAGTCGCCAATTCAAACCCCTTTCGATAAAATGATGTTACGTTTTAGCCTAAGCCCGCATCTCCAAAGTACAATCAAATCAACTATTTCCGTCTAACAAAATAGCAGTTTTAAGTCAACAATAGGTAATTGGACTATGTTTATTACTATTCACAAAAAAGATGTCTTTAAAAATGGGAAATATTTTTCTAAATAAAATTCAGTTTAAAAACGTGTTTTCAAATGCAGACGTGTGCCGTAGATCGTTCTGACTATCCGGCCCAAACATCTCCATCGCTGGGAGTGTGACGTCATTTGTACACATCTTTTATACGAGAAAAATGGCCCGTTTAGGAAGGATACAACGGGCGCTAGGCTGATAGTGCTGTCTCTTTTCTCTAAACTAAAACCACCCCACCCCCCACACCCCCCACCCCCCCCACCCCCCAAAAAAATTGTCTACTGTCCCATTCAACGAAATATAATTATATACTTTTTCCAGTGTCCGCCCCCTCCCCGAAAATTCTACCCCCGCCCCCGAAAATTTCAAATACCCCCACCCCTCTCCGGGGAGGAAAAAGTCTGAAAGAAACACTGGTGTCGCGCTTAGCCACTACCCGAAGAATTGCATTAAAGAAATTGCAAGAAAACCACTTTTTAGATTAGACACATTAATTAGGCGGTAATTTTATTATAGAGTATCGATGAAGAAATTTCTTTTGAGTTAGGGAGGGGGGGGGGGGCTCAGACGTTCTTACGCGGGGGTGGGGCTTCGCCCCTACCCGAAGAATTGTATGCAAGAAACTCTTCACGCAAACCACTTAGATTAGACAAAATTTCCTTTTTATTCAATGTTTACTCGAGAATCAATGACGTCATATTACTGTGTGCACTCTCCGGCTTGAGATTATTTTCTACTCTGTGCTAAATGTGACGACGTCATACTTCGTTTTTCGAATTACTATGCATGTTTTTAATTTGCTTGTGTTTTCTCTAGAGCGTTCTTGTTAGATACACAGACAGACAGCGAAACTATTAGTATTAATCGTTTTAGCGTGCCAGTCTCCCGCGCTTTGCTATGGGTTCAGAAGAAGGGCTGATGAAATATTTCAAGATGATTTCATCAATACCTTATCAATCATAAATTTTTAAACGCGTGAACTTGTTTTCAAAAACCGAATTAACTCAATGTAAACAAAGCGGGCGCTATATTTATTGGATCATAGTTGTTGAGCCGCGAGTTTGTCCAGTTTATCGTCCAGACGCCTTAGGGCGGCTGTGAAGCCTAGCGTGTACGTTAATCACCCTCCGTAATAGTGAGGTAGAACACATTTCAGCGACCACCCCCTACAGGGTTAGGGATGTAGCGGGACGCTCTCGGGAACCACCAGTTACGAATCGCCTACTGCCGGGGCGCCGCCACTGAAAAATTTAAACATTTAAATCTCGCAGAAACCTTCCCATGAGTATTTGTAATAACTCCCCAAAGTTTCATGACACTCGGATGAACGTTATCATACCGAATCCTACTTTTATTTTTATTTACAGTATAATATAGAGAAGAATCGCATCGCACCCTGCTGGTGTGCCAGCCTTGAGAAACTGACATCATTTTTTTCGCAGAAACTTTTCTTGCAGTATTTTCACCAACTCACAATAGCGTTATGGCGATAGGATGAAAGGTGTAGTCATGCATAAAGGATAAACCCACAAACCCACAAACATACTTTCATTTATATATAGGCATATATATATATATATATATATATATATATATATATATATATATATATATATATATATATATATATATATATATGTATATATATATATATATATATATATATGTATATATATATATATATATATATATATATATATATATATATATATATATATATATATATATATATATATATATATATATAATGCGATAAATATAGAAAATTATTATTTCCCAGCGATATAGTAGTCTTGTTTATTATCCGTTTTTAGCCGTGGCAGAGGCGTAGCGACCATTCCGGCGCCCGAGGTGAACTATCAATTTCACGCCCACCCCGCTTTTCTATTAACCTACATAATTTGTGACATACTCCCCTCCCCTCTATTTACCGTTCACTTTTCCATTTTATTATGGTGATATAGAAAACAGTTTTAAAAGTCTGTAAAGCCAATAAAACGTTCATTTTACTAACTTCGACTGTGGATAATTAACTAATGCAGCTTCGGACGAATTTTTTTTTAGTTCATAATGCAGCTTCGGAGGAAATTAATTTCCACCTCGTTTGGCACCGCCTTGAGATCGGCGCCCGGGTCGGACGCCCCACTAGCCCTCCCCTCGCTACCCATCTAAACCGAGGTGAGTCAAGCAAAAACTAAAACACACTTAAGTTTTTAAATTGACCTTACTTCCAGAATAGCACTGCGAGCAATCCTCATCCTTAACGGTATCTTGGGGAGCTCATGGTCTATGGGCATCTTCACTCTCATCAATGATTCCATCATACCGCAATATGTCTTTGTAGTGCTGAGTCTCTTACAGGTAGGATTTTTAAAGTGTTTTTTGTATATATAAACCAGTCACATGTATCTGAATTCAATACATTGATATAAAATAGTTTCAAAATAAATTTTCAAAGGTAAGTGGATAAAGATATAGGCCAATATATAAATGTGTATAAATAATTAAAAAAATGAATGAATGAATGAATGAATGAATGAATGAATGAATGAATGAATGAATGAATGAATGAATGAATGAATGAATGAATGAATGAATGAATGAATGAATGAATGAATGAATGAATGAATGAATGAATGAATGAATGAATGAATGAATGAATGAATGAATGAATGAATGAGTGAATGAGTGAATGAGTGAATGAGTGAATGAGTGAATGAGTGAATGAGTGAATGAGTGAATGAGTGAATGAGTGAATGAGTGAATGAGTGAATGAGTGAATGAGTGAATGAGTGAATGAGTGAATGAGTGAATGAGTGAATGAGTGAATGAGTGAATGAGTGAATGAGTGAATGAGTGAGCGAGTGAGCGAGTGAGCGAGGGAGCGAGGGAGCGAGGGAGCGAGGGAGGGAGCGAGGGAGGGAGGGAGGGAGGGAGGGAGTGAGTGAGTGAGTGAGTGAGTGAGTGAGTGAGTGAGTGAGTGAGTGAGTGAGTGAGTGAGTGAGTGAGTGAGTGAGTGAGTGAGTGAGTGAGTGAGTGAGTGAGTGAGTGAGTGAGTGAGTGAGTGAGTGAGTGAGTGAGTGAGTGAGTGAGTGAGTGAGTGAGTGAGTGAGTGAGTGAGTGAATTAATTAATTAATTAATTAATTAATTAATTAATTAATTAATGAAAAATAAAAATAATATAAATAAATGAATAAATGAAATATAAATAAATAAATAAACAAGCAAAATTATATATATATATATATATATATATATATATATATATATATATATATATATATATATATATATATATATATATATAAACATGAAATTTTCAGGGCGTCTCAATCCTGTGCTTTCAGTGTTTGTTTAACCATGAGGTACGTTGCTGCTTCGGTTTACGTTTTATTTCATTTTTTTGAGCTTTTTCTTGTTTTATCTGGGTTTTTTAGGCGTTATATTATTAGAATTTAATCAAACAGTATGACTGAAATAAATTTATCACTACAACCACCGTATAGACTCTTCAGTAAATGTTCATTTTGTTCAAAATTATCAAACAAGCTACATTACTGAAATAATGTTAGCAACAACACCATTTAATGAAAATTATTAGCCTATATGTTTATATTTATATTCTCATGTCTAAAACAGTATCAGACATTTGTTATAAGTGAATCTACCACATTTGTAACGGTTTGGAAGTACCTAATTGTTTTTTTTTTCTATCAATTTACAATTCTAGGTCCGACAGGGATTAAAAAAAATATTCTGCAAAAAAAATAATTCAATTGACGTCGCTGTTCTGGGATTGAGCTCTTTCTAAAAGCAAGAGTTTAACTTGAAAAACATAAGATGCCAAGAATTCTTATTTCTTTTAAATAATTTCCAGGAGTTCTTTTACCAAATCCAAATTTAGATTATAAAAGAACAACTTACTAAAACATTATTTGTTCGTTTTCATATAGTTTTATTTTTGTTTGGACTATATTAAGTGTATGGCCTCTCTACTGTCTATGGTTTTTGTACTGCTGTACACAGCAAAAATCTACACTAAGGCAATTTTTGTACATATTATATCCAGCAACCGTCCAATGTAAAGACCACTCTGATCTAAATTGTGTTCTAAATAAATACATTATGTTTGCATGTAATATGTCGTTCAGTTTGGTTTATTAGAATATACACTGATCCAATTACTCTGATTCATCTGTATATATATTGTAATATTTGTCTGATTATTAATAGTGTAATTGTTTGTAAAATCTGTGAAAGATGTATTCCATTTTAGCTAACACGTTATTGGCATTTATATACTCTTATATATATATATATATATATATATATATATATATATATATATATATATATATATATATATATATATATATATATATATATATATATATATATATTTATCTTAACATTTTAAGATATGTAGTATTATTTTAAATTTAATCTCCTTACCTGACACTTAAATAATTGCATTTATCCTTAAAAAAAAGAACAATTTTATGTTTGTATTATTTTGTATTATTTGTTTATTTTCTCCAATTATTAGAACTACCTTTAAATGTAAAACTTGATTGTACATAGCTTTTTTAAATCTATAAAATTAAGTTCAAATCTCAAATTTTTCATCACATAAATTAATTTAATTCATATTCATAAACTTATATTCAAATGATATGCCATATACAATTCATAAAACTGCATTTTAATGCCATGCCTTATTTTTATTGTAAATAGATGTATTTATTTAATAAAACTGAGTTTAAATGGCATACCATATTGTTCAGTACTTAGCTTTATTAATTTCATACAATTTTGTACAAATGCCGTTTCCTACTTTTCTTAACATAGATTTGTTTAATTTAATTCATATTTGTTGTACATGGCTTAATTAAATTCATAAAACTACATTAAATCACATTGATTTTCTGTACAAATAGTTTAAATATCATACCATTTTTTTTCCTGTAGATAGCTTTATTTCATTCATAAAACTGTGCTTTGAATTTTGTTTTTGTTTTTGTATATAAAGTTATACAATTAAAAACAAACAAACTTTAAATGACGTTATTTTTTCTGTAACAAGATATATTAAATTAAAAAAAATGCCTTCGTTTATATGCCATAAAATCTATAAGTTGGTTAATAAGACGTATTCTTTATTAAATTCATAACGATGTGTAATTTACGTGACTTATACACACCTCCACCTAACTTGTGGGCTTTACTCTATAGTTGAGTCATCGTATACCCAACAGCCCTTGCTTCTCCATCCACTGTCCTTCTCCAAGATTGCTGGCCGACGTTTCTTTTCCCAAGAAAGAAGTGTACTTTGTCACGTTGAAGAATTCACTTTCACCAACAATGCTCAAGCATAATAAAAAAACAACTGTTAAAATTTTTTTTGTGTTCTTTTAAAAATATTTTGAATTGTGTGTCTACAATGATATAATTTGAATGATAAGTGTGTAAGAATAATCTAAGAAATAAACACGCTTGTCAAAGTTTAAAAACACTCGAATTGATGGTTTCATTAATTGATAGCAGCTGAGGTCATTAGATGTAAACGGTGCTTGCAATTACTGGATTATAGTAATTAAACGAGGCTATATTGGCTAATCCCTACAAGTTCCAACCAGCACCCATCAGCACCTACCAGCACCCACAAGCACATGAGAGAGAGTGAGAGAGAGAGAGAGAGAGAGAGAGAGAGAGAGAGAGAGAGACCCGACCTAGCGACGCCACTCACTGCTACATTACTTAAACAGACACAGTTCTCTGAGTTAAACCTTAGTACTTTATTCTTATAAACAGACAGCTATCTGTCTCTGACTCTACCTTTCGTTAACGGACTAACAGGTACACATCAACAACACACAACGGAAAACACAGTGAACACTCAAGGGACGTGACCACGATATACATAATACAAGGGACGTAACAATGACAATCAAGACATCATGTAACAAAGACTGGTAATATTGCTTTATCTTTGTGTATATAAGAAGCGAATGCAGGCTTTCTCTAAATGGGACTCAAGATTTGAAATGTTTTGTATTTTGTAAATTTATCAATCAGAAATGAAAAGAATTGTGGGAATGATATTACGTGTGCATTTAAAGGTAATTGTCAAAGTCATGTCATCAGTTTGTATAGCCTAGAATGTACACTAGCTCAATTTGCGTGGGGTCTATTATTATGTACACACTCTGGAACGTCAATGTTATCTGGTTAACCCAGTGGCGTAGCGAGGTCGGGTGTCACCCGGTGCGGCACTTAATGGTGTCACCCCCCCCCCCCCAGAGGCATAGAGACCCTTCCCAGGGACAAACTTTCAAATTTTCGATTTGCACCCCCCCTCGAGTTTTCGATTTGCACCCCTCTCAAACTTTCGATTTGCACCCCCCCCTCGAGTTTTTCTCTATATATTTTGCTATTTTTTGCCTTGGTGTCACCCCCCTAAATGGTGTCACCCGGTGCGGTCCGCACCCCCCGCCCCGCCCCCCCCCCCCTCGCTACGCCCCTGGGTTAACCGCAGTAAAACTAAATAGGATTTTTAGAAAGTTCAAATAGATTAATTAGTATGATGAATAACCAGAAGGTCCTTGAAATTGATAGTGAAATTTCACTGCATAAGGTTCCTCAAAGCGAACTCAGCCAGCTAAAGGCAAATGCAACCATGAAATAGCAGAATCAAGAAAAAAATAAGATTGGAAACAAAGAAAATATCCACCGCATTATTTTGTAATGGACCTTTTATTAAGAGCCTTCTTCAATTCTGGAATGCAGGTATTGGAAAAGTAACATACATGAAGACATTAGTAAATAAATAACTGAACAAGTACTGCAATTGAAAATAACTAGAATGTCCCACTTTATTAGCCTGTTAATATAAACTTAGCCTAAAATTAAACTAACATAAAAACAGCTAAAAAAAAAAGGAACGTCAATGTGTTATCTGTCGAGGCGTAGTGGAACTAGGCACAGGTACTTAAATGTTCAAACAAAACGTGTAATTAAATTACTTCAACTGAGATTAGAAAAGGTTTAACTACATTGCTAATGTTGCGTAAGATTTGTGGGTGCCGTGTAGGTTTGTTCGGGGTTGTTGATGTCACGTGGGTTTGTTGATGTCACGTGGGTTTGTTGATGTTACGTAAGCCTGATTAGATTCTTGATGTCATTTGAGTTTTCTGATGTCACGTAAGCGTGTTGATGTCACTTGGGTTTGTTGATGTCAGGTAGGGGTTTTATGTCACGTTGGTTTGCTGATGTCACGTTGGTTTGCTGATGTCACTTGAATTTCCTGATGTCACGTTGGTTTGTTGATGTCACGTGGTCTGATTATATTTGTTGATGGGCTTCTCTGTTTAGGTCTAGGAGGTCTTTAAAAATGTCAAGAAAACTGAAATCAAAATTGGCGGTTTTTTAAATTGAAAAAATAAATCCTTCAAATACATTTTTATCGTTCTCAACAATATTTATTTTGGTTTCGAACCTTAAAAAAACCCAAAAACAATCGCAGTTATCGTTCCTGCTCGAGTTGTCGAACTTTGGCCCATGTAAAAAAAACTGGGGCCGTCAAACGACAAACTATTTACTTTCCTACAGAGTGCGGGCGCCGTACCAGGGTAGACTCTCCTGCTTTAAAACTCTGCGACTCGAAATTCCTTTTAGAGTGACAAAGCTACAGATCGATGATATCGATTAGTGCGGGACCAATCAGGGCTGAGATTGAAATGTCTGATAAACCGGGGGGGGGGGGGGGGCGGTAGGGTGTCACGTGACTAAACCTTTATAAACAGCATTTGTTTGAGGTGGGTGTTGATAGGGACTGCTACAAGCGACCCGAGACTTCTTGAACGTCAGCGCAGCTTTTGTTTTTTCTCTGCTCACAGGTAAGGTAATTATCTATTGTTGTTTTTAAAAGCATTTTCTTACAAACATTTTAATCGTATTTAGGAAACAACATATAAAGTAGCAGGTTTTTTTTATTTTATTATGTTTGCGGGGATTTTACTTCGAATTTTTTTTTTTAATAATGAGACAGGAAAGTTGGAATTTTCGGCCAAGTTATTGCGATAGTTTAGAATCACGAGCATGAATTAGTGATTGATGTTTTGAAATAAACATGGGCTAAAAGTTAACATGGGTTACTTTTGTCTAGTGGTAAAAGTTAACATGAATTACTTTTTGTTCAGTGGTTAAAAGTTAACATGGGCTACTTTTGTTGTGTGGTTAAAAGTTAACATGGGTTACTTTTGTTCAGTGGTTAAAAGTTAACATGGGCTACTTTTTAGTAGTTAAAAAGTTAACATGGGCTACTTTGTCGAGTGGTTTAAAGTTAACAATGGCTACTTTTTAGTGATTAAAAGTTAACATAGGTTACTTTAATCTAGTGGTTAAAAGTGAATATGGGCTACCTTGTTAAAATGGTTAAAAGTTAACATGGGGTACTTTTGTCGAGTGGTTAAAAGTTAACATAGGTTACTTTTTGAGTGGTTAAAAGTTAACATGGGCTACTTTTTTGAGTGGTTAAAAGTTAACAATGGCTACTTTTTAGTGGTTAAAAGTTAACTTTGGGTTACTTTAATCTAGTGGTTAAAAGGTAACATTTGCCACCTTATTAAAATGGTTAAAAGTTAACATGAGGTACTTTTGTCGAGTGGTTAAAAGTTAACGTGGGTTGCATTTGATGAGTGTTAAAAAATAACATAGGCTTCTTTGTTAAAATAGTTAAAAGTTAACATGGGCTACTTTTGTAGTGTGGTTAAAAGTTAACATGAAAATAGGGGTTCTGTCTTTTCTTATTAAGGTATATTAGGATGGGAGGGGTGTTAGGGTTCGAAAGGTTGTTTTAAGTTTGTAAATACTCCTAAATCGGTTTGGTTTTAAAACCTTTACAACAGACCTACTTTTTGTATTAGACGTAAACATGATATTAACAGACTAAAAACACTGGCAACAAAATCGGGAATTCCTCCTGCCGAAACTAGATCTACGCAACTGACTTCGGGTATTCCCTGTGAAAACGAAATTAGGCTTTCGCACCAAGCCTTCTATAATAAGCAATACAATACGTCTATTGTAGTTATATTACGGTTCAGTGTAACTTGCACATGAATGCACGTCTGACTCTATATTTAACTTTGTACCTTTAAATCCGACCTTGACATCTGACCTTCAACAACAAGAAATATCGAACACCCCGTGTTTGCGGAGTCTCTGGATGAAAACATGCCCCAGTCAATACCGGAATCTCGGCACCAGTGCATTCACCGCATTCACAAACTGCACTGACAGTTTTTTAAAAAGTTGGCCTGGAAAGTAACCCGAGCCGTCAAAAGTTAATGATTGAGAGATTTGTTGTTAGCAGACGTTTACATTTTTTTAAACATTTTTTTTTCTTTCTGGTGTAGAAGTACCTCCCGTTTTATTTATAAAATGGAATAGTTAACGTGTAATTATAGCTAGGGGGTGGCTATTCATTGGGGGAATTATCATCATATTTTCCCGTTCTTGCCCACGACAAGACCCATAAGGCAGATGTAGTAGAGTTCATATGTTTTAGTGACAAAGGGATAATGTGGTCAGCACTATATCCAGCCGCCTTTGTTGCCCTAAAAAGAGTTAGGTACCCATCAGAGCTGGATGGACTCAGGGACGGTATACAGACTAGAGCCCAAGATCCGAACTCGAGACTTTCTGGTTAGTCTGGTTAGCAGTCATGAGCTCTACCATCCGACCACGTCATCCCATTAAGGGAATACAATCAGGAGGTGCCTGCGCTCCCACCCCTCTCCCCCCACAGGGAGCACGTCCACTTTACGAAATTGAAAAATATAAAATTTATATAAAAATATGTATTTTAAAATGTGTCCACCTTACCCTTCCCCCACCCCTTGAAAGTTGATTTTCTCGCCGAAAAAATATGTCTGGAAGAAACCCGATTGGTGATCACATTGGTCTTGAAGTAAAGCACTGAACTTCGTGTCTGAACGTTTCGGGTTCGGATCCCAGTGCATATTCCCAAGACTTTGACGACTGGCTTTTGATTAAAGGAGAAGGCAGCACGGCCTCAGGAGCGTCCCGTCATAACATGACGACCCATGACAAAATGGCCCCGATAAAACGGCCCCGTCGATTTGAGTTTCGTCAGTACCAACACACCACCTCATCAAAGATAGATTAGATAGAGACGCAGCGCTAGACTGTCAAAGGCAAACATTTCTGATATCCACGCTTCGTCTGGGTAGTGAGATACAGGTGTGCTATAAATAGACGAAAGCAGTAAATAAAACATACGATTCAGAATAGTTCGATCTAGATAGACTATGTGATTTCAGGTAAAATGCTGGTAATTGATTACCTAACTAAGCGGAATTGAGTACCTGCAAAAGGTGATTCATCCAGGTGCTGGGACAGGTGCTGTGACAGGTCCAGGTGTTGGGACAGGTCCAGGTGTTGGGACAGGTCCAGGTGTTGGGACAGGTCGAGGTGTTGTGACAGGTCCAGGTGTTGATACAGGTCCAGGTGTTGGGGCAGGTCCAGGTGTTGGGACAGGTCCAGGTGTTGGGACAGGTCCAGGTGTTGGGACAGGTGTTGGGACAGGTCCAGGTGTTGTGACAGGTCCAGGTGTTGATACAGGTCCAGGTGTTGGGGCAGGTCCAGGTGTTGGGACAGGTGTTGGGACTGGTCCAGGTGTTGGGACAGGTCCAGGTGTTGGGACAGGTCCAGGTGTTGTGACAGGTCCAGGTGTTGTGACAGGTCCAGGTGTTGGGACAGGTCCAGGTGTTGGGACAGGTCCAGGTGTTGTGACAGGTCCAGGTGTTGTGACAGGTCCAGGTGTTGGGACTGGTCGAGGTGTTGGGACAGGTCCAGGTGTTGGGACAGGTCCAGGTGTTGTGACAGGTCCAGGTGTTGGGACAGGTCCAGGTGTTGGGACAGGTGTTGGGACAGGTCCAGGTGTTGGGACAGGTCCAGGTGTTGGAGGGAAGTGTAGAAGAAACAAAAATAGAAAATCCTCTTTGAAGGTTGTCTGTGACAAAGCAATTAAAACAGCAGACAATGTAAAGTATTCTTGACAAGGTAGGGGTTGGGTAGTGGGGGGGAGGGTCGTTTATTTATGACCGGGGCGGGGGGGGTCTGCAATAACTTAAGGTGCTGTTACAAGCTTATTAGGATAGTAGGAGACTCTGATTTAAAAATAATTGTCTTATATATATATATATATATATATATATATATATATATATATATATATATATATATATATATATATATATATATATATATATACATATATATATACATATACATATACATATACATATACATATACATATACATATATATATATATATATATATACATATATATATATATATATATATATATATATATATATATATATATATATATATATATATATATATATATATATATATATATATATATATATATATATATATATATATATATATATATATATATATATATAGAAGATAGAAGCGAATCTAGATGAGATACCCATCTTTGCTTTGACTTACATACCAGAGCCAACCCAGGTCTGAAAGAAGTCTTGCCCGTTGTATTTTGAATCTGATAAACAACTGGCGTCTCTGTTGGTTTCCCACTTCCCAGATCTCATCCTTGCCCCTTCCCTGCCCATACGTGAGTAAACTACGCAGTGACCCTCATCGTAGCCCCCGACTTCTCCCAAGTCTAACTTTTCGATAACCTCATCAATACCAATCGAATCAATCTATTCCCAAACCAAACACAACCACCAGCCAATCGGTTCAATACACAAACCGATCGTACATATGTGTAATCGATTATCGATCGATTACAGTTTTTTAAAACCTACTTTAGCGCGGTATTTTTTATAGGCCACCGGGGCACTTACACCTAGGTATAAAGCATTGACATATGAAAGCTTTGAGTGAAGTATTGGCCAGATTTTTAAAAATCTGGCATAAAACGACAAAAGGCCAAAACACGTTTTCTAAAAAAAATATTTTCTAAAGACTTAATTCTTTATGATAATCTTTTATTATTGTAATTTAATGTAATGAACTAAACCTTTCAACTGCCGACTCCCTTAACACGGTGTAACTGCTTTAAATGTTACTTAAGCGAACGGTCTCTTTCTTTGAAGTGTAGTAATTATCGGGAAATGGGTTTCAGTTGAATGTATTGTTCGCTAGGGGGAGACGCCGAGGGTGGGTCATTAATGGACTTCATGGGGCGATTGTGCGGGGGTTGAAAGGTGAACGGGATGTCATTAAACTGGTTGCGTGTTTGGGTTGACGCAAAGATAGCCACCCAAGTTTTCTCGGGGTAGGTCATGGTGACCTGGAGTTTTAATGATAAAGTGGTTTGTCTGATGTGGAATGTGTAGGCAGTGGCGTCGCTAGGTCGGGTGTCAACCCGTGCGGCACTCCTTGGTGCCACCCCTTCCCATATATATATATATATATATGTAACTAGGTGTAGTTACCAGAGATGATAACAACGCAATAGTGCAGGTGTTAGGCTGATAACGATCACAAAGCCGCTGCGCAGTTCACAGGCTGACGTCACAGTGCAGATGGCTTATTAATCGGACTGTACGACAGAAGCGGCGTAATTAACATTCTGATGCAACGATTAGAATCGATTACGATTACGATTACGATTACGAATCCGATTACGAATACGAAGGGATATATAGGAAGGCGACGGCTGAGATCGGGGGAGACAGAACGAGGATCGGATGATCAGTGAGGATCAGTCAGTCAGTCAGTAGGAGAGTGGCAGTATCAAGTTGGTTATTGAACGGGTTAGCCGTATTGTGTTAATAAGGACGATAGACATGTGCATTCAGTTATGTGAAGACTAGTGAGGACTGTTGGGGGTCAGTTGATTCATTATATTATTGTGAAGCATTTCTTTTTGATTCATGTAATAAAAGGATCAATGGTAAACCTGCATCTTCGAGTATCTATATTGTGGTCAATGTTGTGTAGACTGAGCAAATAGACTCGTTACATTTGGCGTTGTCGAGCAGAAGATGCAACTACACTCGGTCACATATATATATATATATATATATATATATATATATATATATATATATATATATATATATATATATATATATGTGTGTGTGTGTATGTGTGTGTATGTGTGTGTTTGTGTCGGCCTACATAGGCCCATAATTTAAATATATGCCGCATACGGTACATGTATGTGTATATGCCTTTTTGCCTTGGTGTCAACCCCCTAAATGGTGGCAGCCGGTGCGGTCCGCACCTCTGCCCCGCCCTCGATACGCCTCTGTGTGTGTGTTGTATTTGGTTGCTTTTTTTTTTAATAAATTTAGTCCAGATTTGGGGGGGGGGGGGGCGACAGGGCTGGTAATAATATTCGTAGTTCGGGACATTTAATTTGCATTTTGTGGTATGCTCATAGCCTGAGACATTATTAAATGGAGCGTTCATAAAACGAAGCATTAATATATCTGGGAATATGTAAAGCGGGGAAATCGTAACAGGAATGGCCACAGTCCAACATTTTGTAAACATATACACGTTCGTGAGCATATATATATATATATATATATATATATATATATATATATATATATATATATATATATATATATTAGTATGTAAGGGAGGAGTTCATAAAACGAGACATTAAAAACATAGTTTTGAATATTATAACGCCGTTAAATGAACTTTGTTTATGAAGTCAATGGACAGCACGCAAACATTTACTACTATGTCTTTCATATTTAATTGCTATTTTATTTTAAAATGTTGATATTATTTGTTTCTAATACGGCCAATGTGGAAAAAAATACCTTCGCCATGGCTTCTAAAGCACCGCTATAAGATAAAGTGTATTATCTATATATATAATTCTCTTCTGGGAGACGTTAGAAAACAAGCTGCAAGCGCCTTGCAGTCCCCTCTCTTCCTCTCTATCCCTACCACAACCCCCCACCCCCCACATGATCTGGTGAGCCGTTGTCCACGCTAAATTTTTACAATCACAGAGACGGGTTTGGTGACGGCTATAAGGGGCAGATAATTTAGTTTGAAACGATTTTAAACTAAGAGGAGGTAACTAAGAGGAGGCTGCTTTCCCGGGGGGGGGGGGGGGGAGGGGAGCATTGGTACTGTCGAATTCACAAATTATGAATTACTGAAAAGTAGAAAAAACAACAACTAAATAGCGGCGTATGATACACCGCGGGTCGGCTCGTTATTATTATTATTATTATTATTATTATTATTATTATTATTATTATTATTATTATTATTATTATTATTATTATTATTATTATTATTATTATTATTATTATTATTATTATTATTATTATTATTATTATTATTATTATTATTATTATTAAGCCCTTTCTTCACGCTACAACACCATGGTAGATTTATAGAACTCCCGCGACTTATATCAAAGACGTGCAAGAGAGACCTGTATCAGAGACCAGAGTTTCTGAGCCCCTCCCCCCCCGTTCCCCCCGAAGAAAGTCTACCCCCCCCCCCCCCACGAATTAAATGGAATTTATATAGAAAATATACTTTTATATACTTTTAACAGTGTGCGCCCCCCGGAAATTTTAGTCCCCCCCCCCTGAAAATTTCAAGAGCAGAGGCGCCCGGGGACAAACTTTTCGATTTGCACCCCCCCCCCCCCCCTCGAGATTTCGATTTCCACCCCCCTCAAACTTTCGATTTGCACCCCCCCCCTCGAGATTTTGATTTGCACCAACCCCCCCTCAATCTTTCAATTTATTTTTCCAACCCATTTTGGCGCCCCCTAAGCTCGGCGCCCGGGGACATATGTCGTCCCCCCCCCCTCGCTACGCTACTGTCCAAGAGCATTCCCGGAGAAAAAAGTCTGGAAGAAACACTGCCAGAGACGTGTACTCAGTCGCTAGACGAGACGTCTGGCACAGATATTAACTGCTGCACGAAATGTCTGACACAACCAGCACTTGTTGGACGATTGGACCGTCTGTCACCCCCCCCCCCCTCCTCCACCTCCCTTCCCCCGCCCTCTTGCAAGACGCATACTTCAACATTTGCCGTACGACTTCCTGATTGCCCGATTGATGATGTTTGATCTAATAATCAGTGATGATGGATGATTGCTTCCGTGTGTCGTCATCAGATTAGCAAGCCTTTTCTGGAATGTTTGATTTTAGATAAAACACTCGGGGTTTCGGAACTACTGAAAAAACCTCCCACGGCATTACTATTGAAATCACTCGCGGTATCAGTATACGCCCCATATAAAGCACTCATTCTCTTGAAAATTCCCAATATAAAGCATTCACCCTATAGGAAAGTACCCATATAAAGCAATCGCTCTTTCGTAGTCTCCATATAAAGCATTTTCTATCTCGGAAAGTCCACATATAAAGCCTTTACTAAATCGAAAATTACCCATATAAAGCATTCACCCTATCGGAAATGACATATAAAGCACTCACCCTATCGGAAACTACCCATATAAAGCACTCACCCTATCGGAAACTACCCATATAAAGCACTCACCCTATCGGAAACTACCTATATAAAGCACTCACCCTATCGGAAACTACCCATATAAAGCACTCACCCTGTCGGAAAATCCCCACTCACCCTATCGGAAACTACCCATATAAAGCACTCACCCTATCGGAAACTACCCATATAAAGCACCCACCCTATCGGAAATTACACATATAAAGCACTCCCCCTATCGGAAAATCCACATATAAATACCTAAAACAGAACAAAACAAGAACTAGACACCACGTGATAAGGTTCTAACGGGACTTTTTATTATAGGGAAAAAACACAACAACTGCTTTTAATAAAAACTTGGTGGAAACGGCTTTAAAAAAAAAGAAAGGTTGATGGTTGGCAGGTATCACATCGGTGACAAGCTGACTCGGCTGTCAAGCCTCTAATGAAGTCTAACAAGTGCTGGATCAACAGACGTACAGCGATCCGTTCAACTAACAGCCGTCGACAGCTGACAGCTCGTATGACAGGGCTGTCAAATATTGTCACGCCATGGTTCATGGGGGGGGGGGGGGGGGGGAGAGACACACAGAACGGTCACGTGACCAACTAGGCTATTGTACAGAGGACAGCCCGTTGGAAGTGCTGCGCTTTTAGAAAAGCTAGTACTGATGAACTCAGTTGATGCTGTTATTAGTTGTATTCAAAAGTGCAACATTATATTGTCCAAACATTTGATGTCAAATGTTATATATATATATATATATATATATATATATATATATATATATATATATATATATATATATATATATATATATTTATAAATATATATATATATATATATATATATATATATATATATATATATATATATATATATACATATATATATATATATATATATTATCTAACACTGTCTAACTTTTTTCAATTACCAAGGGCTAGCTGAGCCTTTATAAACAGTGTCTTCAATCTTATTCTGTGTATTTTTCATTCAATTATTTTTTCTCTTACATATTCATTCCGCAGCTAGCCAAATTTATCACCACCTTATTGGCATTTCAAATTTTGTTTAGGTTTGATACTTAGAGTGGCAAAACACTCGCACTGGAGGCGCTAATAGGGTGGGCCCAGTTACCCGAATAAAGTGTTTAGCACCGAAATGTGTCTTTGAGGCGACACTTGCGAAAAAACGATTCGCATTGATCAGCCGTCCACTTTAATTAAATTGAATTAACTTAATTTTTTTTTTTTTTGCATTTGAAAATTGTGAGTATAAAAGAACACATTATTTCCATTCATTAACATGTTCATTATCACTAAACGATACGTCGTGCTACATTTATATATGTATATATATATATATATATATATATATATATATATATATATATATATATATATATATAATTTTTAAATGCGAGACAATCTTTGTCACAAAGATAATATGGTCAGACACTCGAAATCCCCCCCCCCCCCCACCCTCACCACTCTAACCACCCTGACCCTAGGTAAGCAAAGGTAATACAATATGTTATACATATATAATACAATAATTATTTTACGTTTAGCGAAACAGATTCTCGTGTTGAAAGTGATTTATCTGTTCATCTCACAAGCTCACAAACTTTGAACATTTAGTATTGTTTGTAGAATATAATTTCCCAATTAGAAAGCAGTGAAGTTAATTAACTAATTAATTAACTGAATTTCTTTTTTAAATCTGCAGTAAATGTTTGTGTGTAAAGAACTGTCAACAAGAACCAACCAATGAATGCGCGGTCCTGTTATCTTGAATTCTGATTGGACAGAGAGTGGGATTCAAGATGGGAGCCTACTCCAGCGATATTTTAACGTTTGTTCAACTGGCTAAAAAGGGGGAGAACTCTAGAAAAATCAGAGGCCTTCTAGAAATAGCCCCATTGGAGGAAGTGATGTCATGGCGGGACTCCGACGGCCTAGACGTCATGCATCACGTCATCATCGGCAACAACAGCGAGGTGGTGACGTTTCTACTGCAGCACGGCTACTTTGTCAGGCCGCACCTGCCGGAAGTCACGCCATATTGTCACCTGGCCGCGCTGCTAGGGGCGAGAACTGTCCTGCAGATTTTACTCCAGCACCGACCGGATGATTATCTCCCCTCGAAAATACCCATCCGCGTACCGGAAACAGTTTTAAATAGCATCAACGCCAAACAATCAGAAAAACCTAGTCCGATTATCACAATGTTGCATATTTACAACAGCAAACCAAACAGCTCCAACTCGTCTGCTTCTTCTTCATCCTCGTCCTCTTTAACGTCATTACCTCATGGTCGTACAAGCTATCAAATCCACAGCCTACAAGATCTCTGCTCCATCTTGAAAAACAACCACCACGTAGCAACAACCCCTCTGGAACTTGCCTCGCGGGTGGGGAACCTCCCGTGCGTCCGCGCAATTTTAAACCAATGCATCCTGAAGGCGCACGCTGCCGAGAACATGGTCGACAAGAGCGACTTCACCCTCGCGTGTCTGGCCGACAGCCCGCAAACCCTGGCTCTGCTGCTTCACAGCGAGACGCCCACCCGCGGGGAGTGGGAGTCAGCTGTTGACGTGTGTCTCCACCACGCCTACCCCGAGTGTCTGGATCTGCTGTTAAGTTTAGGACGAGAAACAAAACACATGTTTAAGGGCATGAACTTCTTCCACGTGTTGTTTACCTACACCTCCGTTCAGGGGATCAGGAGTTACCTGCGCTTGGCGCAGACGACGGAAGTGTTGGTGCGGCACGGACATGACGTCAGTGCTAAGCTGCCCTGCCGGACGTACCCCATGTACAGCCTGTTGACCCACGCCTTCTGTTTCCATGACTACTCCCATACACAGTATTACGTCAAAGTAAGTCTTGTTGCGTTATATGTTAGGTCATGGGAAATTTAGTCACATAGGACATTAGGTCATGGTAAATTTAGTCACACTTTAGGTCATGGGAAATTTAGTCACATAGGACATTAGGTCATGGTAAATTTAGTCACACCTTAGGTCATGGGAAATTTAGTCACATAATACATTAGGTCATAGTAAATTTAGTCACACAATACATTAGGTCATGGTAAATTTAGTCACACAATACATTAGGTCATGGTAAATTTAGTCACACAATACATTATGGCATGGTAAATTTAGTCACAAAAACATTAGGTCACGGTAAATTTAGTCACACGATACATTGGATCATGGTAAATTTAGTCACACAAGACATTAGATCATGGGAAATTTAGTCACACAATACATTTGGTGATAGTAAATTTAGTCACACAAAATATTATTTGATAGTAAATTTAGTCACACAAAACATTAGGTCATGGAAAATTTATTCACACAAGACATTAGATCATGGTAAATTTAGTCGCACACAACATTAGGTCATGGTAAATTTAGTCACACAATACATTAGGTCATGGTAAATTTAGTCATACAATACATTAGGTGATGGTAAATTTAGTCACAACATTAGATCATGGTAAATTTAGTCACACAAAACATTAGGTCATGGTAAATTCAGTCAATCTAGTAACGTAATAAACAGCTGTATGACAGTCATAATGAAATACGTCCGAGCACCTTTAGTTGTATTATTCTCTAATTTGAATTTTTATAATTTAGAAAGTTATTTTAATTTTTTTTTTTTACATTTTTAACCCATGTTTGCATTCCTCAAAGAGGCCACCCGGGGCGGACCCCCCCCCCCCTGCACCCCACCTAGTAACGCCACCGGATCAAGACAACCCATTATCTTTAATTAGGTCCGGTAACTCTGTTACCGTCTAGCCCGATTTCGATCACGTCGTGTTAACGAGATCAATAACAACAAGCGGGACTTCGATAAAAATATGACCACGCACGCGTGACCCCTGGGTCTATCGACCTCGTTACCCGGTGACCCTGACATACCTCGGCCCAGACAGTGACGTGGCTCTGATAAAATGGCAGCTTGTTATATCCCGCCATAATCATTGATTTAATGATTACATGAATCGTTCATTGTTATGATTATTATCATCAAGATAACATTGAATTGACCAGCTAAACAATTTTATTCGCCGGCAGAAAAAAATTAAAATAATAGTAAAAAAAAAAATATAATCTCCATAACTGAAAGTAAATTTCCGGGTAATTGACAGTTGATATGGCGGGTGAAGTAGAGTTTAGCTTTTTTTTGGTGACCTCTGCACAAGAAAGATAACGATGTCAGTTATATGTTAAGCCGCCTCTACTCTATCTAATTAAGTCAGATACACTGCTAATTCGAGATTGGAATTGAACTCCAGCAGTTCGGTCTAGCTATTGAGTTCTGTGGCTCGACCACAAAAATTGTGTGCAATAACCAAAACAAAAAGTACCCTTTCGAATCTTACTGGTCCCTGTGGCAGGCGAAGTAGAGTTCACCTGTTTCTAGATACATACGAAAAAAAAATGAAGATATATAACAGAAGGTTCAGCCTGCCAATCATAGTATATCATAATTAAGCTACGTGGATTGAAACAAAATACTTAACACACATATGCATCCCTTTACCCCACCCCAACCCCAACATCTCGGATTTCAATCGAACCAACATTCGTCAAGGGACGGCGTGGCCTAGCGGTAGAGCGCTAGACTTCTGACCAGCAAGTCTCGAGTTCAAATCACCCAGCTCTGATGGGTACCTAACTCTTTTTAGTGAAACAAAGACGCCTGTGCATAGTGCTGACCACATTACCCCCTTGTATACCGCGGTCATTGAAACAGATGAACTCTACTTCATCTACCCCATGTGTCATTCATCCACAGACCCTACGAGTTCTGCTGAAGAACGGCGCCGACCCGAGCTTCGACGAGACGAGATTTGAGCGACGCCACCCCAAGCAGGCGGCCAAGAAGGTGACGGGGCGCCAGGCATTCAGCTCCGCCCTGCACTGCCTGCTGCAGACGGTAGAGAGTTATGCCCAGTACCTGCAGTCCCCGACCCTGGGGGTGAAGTTTGTGGAAGACTGTGCCGGGGTGCTCATGAACAACCACGCCAACATGAACCACGTGGGTTACGTGGGAAATCCCGATAAGATGTAGGTCATTTGTCATATTCTTTGTCCTAGTTGTTGATTTGAAATAATCTTTTTGAAACATACACACGTTTTCAGTTTCGTATATTTTGAATACATTCTTTGTCTATAGAAATAGCTAAGAGTTTTGAAAAGAATCTTATATTAATGTTTTTTTCCAGAACTTCTTCAATGTAACTGTATCCATAATACCTTAAACGCATTTTTCCTAAAACGGTCTAACAACCCTTTTCTTAATGCATGCTCCCCACCCCCACCCCTATAATATTTTCAATGCATTTTTCCTAAAATGTCCTTCATGCTTCTAAAAATATCTTCAATACATTTTAATGCTCATTTATGCAAATGATAACCAAGCTTCCCATTTACTTCCCATAACATCTTCAAACTTTATTTCCAATTACATCTTTAAACTTTATTTCCAATTACATCTTCAAACTTTATTTCCAATTACATCTTCAATACTTTACTTCCCATTACAACTTCAATACTTTATTTCCAATTACATCTTCAAACTTTATTTCCAATTACATCTTCAATTCTTTATTTCTTATAACATCTTCAATGCTTTATTTCCCATTACATCTGCACTGCTTTATTTCTTATAACATCTTCAATACTTTATTTCTAGCGGTAGAGAGCTGGACTGCTAACCCGTAAGTCTCGAGTTCGAATCCGGGTTATGTCAGAGACCGTCCCTGAGTCCACCCAACTCTGATGGGTACCTAACTCACGTTAGGGAAAGTAGAGGCGGCTGGGCAAAGTGCTGACCACACTATCTCTTCATATGCCGAGGTTACAGAAACAAGTGACCTCTACTTCACTTGCCCCATAGACCGTCAGATTTGAAAGGGAAACTTTACTTTTCCTATTACATCTTTAATATTTTATTTCCTATTACATCTTCAATCTCTCCCCCCTCCCCACCCACCCCCACCCCCCCAGCATCCTCCAAGGGACCGTCCTCCACCAGATGGCCAAGTCAAGCGTGACGCTGGGCGTGGACCCGGCCATGGTGCGCTGTGTACTACGTCACGGGGCCAACCCCAACCTGAAGGTAGACGGCAAGTACGCCATCAACGTGTACTTTGACCAGCTGTTCCAGCGCCTGGGTACGCTGAAGGAGGCCGACCCCAAGAGGCATCACATGGACGACGCCCTGACCATCTGCCGACTGTGTATGTTCATGCGACAGGGCTGTATACGGGACTGTTACGTGATTTTTATGAAGGACCACGGCAGAGCCTTGTCGGAACAGGTGGGTGTAGATAAGTGTTTTTTCTCCGGGGAGGGGGGGGGGGGGCACATACAATTTTCGGGGGGGGGGGGGCGAGGGTCGGACTAAAATTTCCTAATGACCTAGGGGCTGAGTGGGGAGGGGCAGACACTGTTAAAAGTATATATTTTAAAAAAATAAATTCTATTTCGTTCGGGGGGGGGGGGGGGGGGGGGGGGGAGAAGGGCTGGGAGCCCCCCTCCTCACCCCTCACCCGAAGAGATGCCTGGAAGAAACTCTGGTGTAGAAGTGATAATGAAATCTGTCCTGTATCCCTTTCTTCACATCACACACACCATGGTAGATTAAGAGATGTCCCATTACATACATAAAGTCCCCCTTGCCTTATATTGTTATCTTTATAAAATAAGGTTTTATGATTATGATTATTTGATGGTACGGCGTGGCCTCATCGGTAGAGTACTAGGCTGCTAACCCGAAAGTCTCGAGTACGATCCCGGGTTCGTCAATAGAACATCCCTGAGTCCACCAAACACTGATGGGTAGCTAATTTACGTTAGGGAAAGTAAAGGCGTCTGGGCATAGTGCTGACAACACTATCGCTTCATATGCCCAGGTCACAGAAACATGTTACGGTTTTATAGCTAGAGTTAAGGATCATATTTTACAACTAGATCTTGAGATAAGGGTTAGAGCTAGTTTGTGAACACAGCGTAACTACCAATGTAACCCTACATCTATCAATAGAAACATACATATTCATAACTCATAGCTATATTTTGAAATACACTTTGAATAACATAAGCTATATAAAATAAAAGTATTTGAGTAATACTAAAAGGCTGAGTTAAACATTGTTTTTTTCCCCCGTAGGTTCAAAACTATGTCAAGGTCGTGAAAGCTGAACTTGACCGACGAAGTCGTCAGGTGCATCCCCTGAGAGACTCCAGCGCATGGGCGGTGTGGGAGGCGTGTGGGCGTAGGACGGACAGGGTCCATGGGCTTAGTATACCCTCGGAGCTGAAGACTTACATCCTGCCCATGCACTTCTAGCGGTGCTGCGGTTTGATAAATGACTGAGCTGTTGGATTACGGGGATAAAAGGAATACGACTAAGGGAGATAAAGACAACAGGGGATATAAACAAAGGGAGAGAAATGAGATAAAAACAGCTGATTCTGTCAAACTAGGGGAAGTAATATGCCAAAATGGAGACAATAACTTGTTGATTGGTAAATTTCCTGTTTACTCAAGTGTTTGGTATAAGCTGCACGTGAAATCTAAGTGAAACTAAAAGTTATATCTAATTATGTCTCGTAGAGCTAAATTTATAACTTGTCAAAAAGATAAGCTACTTGTAGTCAAGTTTCAGATACCAATTTTTTTTTTAAATTTACAACAGTTTAAATCTTGGATGCCCTTTGTATTTTATTGTAATGCAATTTGATTCAATTAGTCGTCAACCCATCCAATCGCTGGTCTAACATACCCTAAAATTGCGATTAGATTATAATGATTATAAAAAAAAAAAAAAAAAAAAAAAAAATAACCGCTATTCTAACATGTCAAACCCTCGCTGTGATGTCTACGTTACCAGAGAAAAACATAACGAAAACAAACGTGCTAATGCGACCTTCGATATGACAGCAAGATTAGTAGAATCCCATGTTCTGATAAATTCTGCATAGCTGATGGGAAGACCCAGTTAGTCTATTTAACAGTATATGGGCATCCCAAAATCCATTTACAGTTCATGGGGCAGGTGAAGGAGAGTTCCTCTGTTTCTCTAAATACGGTGTATGAACTAGTAGTGCGGCCAGCACATGGTCCCACCGCCATCTCACTTCCCGAACCCCGTCAGTTGCTGATCGAAGCTGGGTGGGGGGACCGGAGAGGTTGTAGGTACTCGAACCTATGAAGCAACCTTCGTGTTAGTAGTCGTGCGCTCTACCACGCGACCACGCCGTCCCACAAAGAACATTCCAGTGTTTGATTTTAATCTACTTACGCACTACGTTCACGCGGTTTTGAAGGCTTTACTTATTTTAATGACTTATTATTTCAAGACACCACTTTAACGACGACTGAATCAAATAGGCAACTGAAACATTAACTTACGGAAGATGTCTCGACCAAACTTTCATTCAACTCAAAACATGTTTTCAAGGCACGGTCCAAACCTTTATTTGTTCTCATCTTCACCATTTTACCACAAGCCCTCGACCCTAGCCGCTACCAACAAGCCCTCGTCTCTAGCCGCTACCAACAAGCCCTCGACCCTAGCCGCTACCAACAAGCCCTCGACCCCAGCCGCTACCAACAAGCCCTCGACCCTAGCCGCTACCAACAAGCCCTCGACCCTAGCCGCTACCAACAAGCCCTCGACCCTAGCCGCTACCAACAAGCCCTCGACCCTAGCCGCTACCAACAAGCCCTCGACCCTAGCCGCTACCAACAAGCCCTCGACCCTAGCCGCTACCAACAAGCCCTCGACCCTAGCCGCTACCAACAAGCCCTCGACCCTAGCCGCTACCAACAAGCCCTCGACCCTAGCCGCTACCAACAAGCCCTCGACCCCAGCCGCTACCAACAAAACCTCGACCCCAGCCGCTACCAACAAAACCTCGACCCTAGCCGCTACCAACAAGCCCTCGACCTTAGCCGCTACCAACAAGCCCTCGACCTTAGCCGCTACCAACAAGCCCTCGACCCTAGCCGCTACCAACCAACCCCTTCACAATCGTTCACTCAAACATCTATACCCGCACTCGACCATGGGATAACAGTACCTAAACACCCCGGGGTTAACTCAACTCACACACGCCTCTCCCCTACGTTTTAGACTATTCTAACCGATTCTAATCTAACCTACAACAAATGATCTGTAACCGAAGAGAAATTCGTGGTTTTAAGAACATACTAGACAAAAACATCCCACGACCTAATATCTACAATAGTACTAGCTGAGACAAATTCTAAATCACACAACTTTAGGACACAAAGTTCTAACTTAAGTCCACATTGGCTGTAAGATTCGTGCACACCATCTCACCTGATTGATCGCTACTGCCTACTGTTTTACCCGCTGATATTGGTTCAAGTAACCTTTAAAATTTAATTTAAAAAAAAACTTTTTAAAAGGCTATTTTAAGGGCTAATTAAATATGCGTAAAAATTCAAAGAAATTGTTCCGTTAGGAGTGGGTAAAAAGACGGAGCGTAATATTTCAAGAACACAAAACAAGCCAACTAACACTAAAACAACTGCGTCCTTTTTTTTACTAAAGCTAAAACGTTTTGTAATTCAACGCGCGGATTTAAAAGCTTAATTTAAAAATATTTGCTCACACAATCCCCCCCCCCCCTGCTGCAATTACTCCCAACACACCAGATTAATCTGGTAATCGAACCCGCAATTTGTAAAGATGAAACGATAACTGGTAATTGCCACGGCAGAGTTCTGTCCCCTGCCGGGTCTTTGAATTTAGTCCGCTGGCCAGAAATTTAAACAAACACACTACCATGTCCGTTGGTTATTGAGCTCTTAATTGGCCATTTTATCGCCTGCCGTTTGTCAATGGTTCTTTTGTCCGTCCTTTTTATTTCTTGAATTAATGCACAGGTTGTACTTAATATTCATTCTCTGTTTTTCGACAGCAAAGTTTTAAAATAATTGTTACGCGGTTGTTGTTTTTTTGTGTTTTAATTTTTTAACCCTTTTCCCATTTAAAATAAAGAATATTGAAGCTTTATTAACTTCTTTTATTATTTTTTTTTAATTTAGCAAACACAAATTTATTAAATATTTCGGTTTAGCAACCATGAGCTTTACCGACTCGACCACGCCGACCCCTTCATTTCTAAAATGATATAAACAGATCTTACTTAACACAGAGGTCCAACCTTTTAAAGGAAGTTATTGTGAAAAATTCAAATTGACGTTCATTTTCACAATAACAGTAAACTTTACTGCAAATATAACTAAAGTTTACTAAAATATCTAAAAACAAAACATGAATCCTTGCAATGGTTGTCTTTACAATTAAAAAAATAATCTAAAACGAGGTAAAGTACCCAATGCAATATGTACTTTTATTAGCTACATCTTTATTTATTGTTATATTGGAGTTACGTCCCTTAATTTCCCAGCATGCTGCATCATGGAGTATTCTAGGGCATGACGCTTCAATCTGTACACTTACACTGCTGTTCGTGTAACTTAACTTATTTGTTTGCATTCTAAAGTTCTTACAAATAAGGCAGAAATCATAACATTGCCTGTTGGAGCTATATGTTTTACCACTTTTATCACTCATACACAGAGGCGTAGCGACCCTTCGAGGCGCACGGGGACAAACTTTCAATTTGGCGCCCCTTCGGGAGCAAATTTGATTTGCAACCCCCTCAAACTTTCGATATGCACCCCCCCCCCTCAAATTTTTGATTTGCACCCCCCCCCCCCCCCCGTCAAACTGTTTATAATGCAAAAATGCAGCTAAAATTACATTTTAATTTGTTTTTACCACCCATTTTGGCGCCCCCTAAGGTCGGCGCCCGGGGACATATGTACCCCCCCCCCCGCCCCCCCCCATCGCTACGCCTCTGCTCATACATCATTACATATACAAGCAAAGTTATCACAAGCGAACAGCAAAATTACGATAGGGAGATGACCATTTCAAATTATTTTAATGATCATCTAAAATTATATTAACAACAAAAAAAAAAAAAACCTTTTAAAAACAAATGTTGAAGTGATTTATTAAAACAAGTTTGGAGGATAATTAATTTCACGTTTGAAATTGTGATAGATATTCTAACAAAAATTAAATAGAATTTAGTAAAACATCATCTTTCTAAGAAAATTGCGATACTTGTCAACAAGGCGAGGCTTGAACTTTAAATTTTAAAAATCTTGAATTAGTCACTTTTAAAAATGAATGAAGAAAGTGTAATAAAACCAAGTTTTTGGAAAAGCATAATTAACGACATATTTTGAAAAAAATTAGAAAGTTTTTAAAAATGTTTTAAGAAATATCTATCCTAAAATATAATAAAATAATTTAACTTTTTTTGCCTGATGCTAAAGTTGAGTCGAAAACTTAATTGTCTTGTTTAAGTTTTTTGGTCTCCGTTTCCTGAATCATATCTGGCAAGCTCTGGTTGTGTGTTTCCGGTAGAGGGAACAGCGTCAGGGCAGCTATGAACGAACACACGCCGAATATGATGAAAGCATCGATGTCCAAAAGAGATTTACTCTGTAAAATTTCAGTTTTAGATATATATATATATATATATATATATATATATATATATATATGTATATATATATATATATGTATATATATATATATATATATATATATATATATATATATACATATATATATATATATATATATATATATATAATTCGACATCAAGCGTATTTATAAAATGTACATACACATAGAAATCTCAATAATAAACGAACTGTTTCTAAATTGATCATAATTTGATACAACTACCCACCCGGTGAATTTGTCTGTGCGGCCACAATACCACCCACACTTACCCAGTGGTTTATCTGTGGTGCCACAATACCACCCACACTTACCCAGTGGTTTATCTGTGGGTCCACAATACCACAAACACTTACCCAGTGGGGCCACAATACCACCCACACTTACCCAGTGGTTTATCTGTGGGGCCACAATACCACCCACACTTACCCAGTGGTTTATCTGTGGGGCCACAATACCACCCACACTTACCCAGTGGTTTATCTGTGGGGCCACAATACCACCCACACTTACCCAGTGGTTTATCTGTGGGGCCACAATACCACCCACACTTACCCAGTGGTTTATCTGTGGTGCCACAATACCACCAACACTTACCCAGTGGTTTATCTGTGGGGCCACAATACCACCCACACTTACCCAGTGGTTTATCTGTGGGGCCACAATACCACCAACACTTACCCAGTGGTTTATCTGTGGGGCCACAATACCACCCACACTTACCCAGTGGGGCCACAATACCACCCACACTTACCCAATGGGGCCACAATACCACCAACACTTACCCAATGGGGCCACAATACCACCAACACTTACCCAATGGGGCCACAATACCACCAACACTTACCCAATGGGGCCACAATACCACCCACACTTACCCAGTGGGGCCACAATACCACCAACACTTACCCAGAGGTTTATCTGTGGGGCCACAATACCACCCACACTTACCCAGTGGTTTATCTGTGAGGCCACAATACCACCAACACTTACCCAGTGGTTTATCTGTGGGGCCACAATACCACCAACACGAGCCCAAAGGCAGCAGGCGCCCATGCCAATGTTTCTATGGAGTAAGACAATAGTATATATATATATATATATATATATATATATATATATATATATATATATATATATATATATATATATATATATATATATATATATATATATATATATATATATATATGCTCACACAATCTACACATATACAAAACCTTCAGACAACACAAAAGAAAACGTTATTTGCACATTCACTATTTTCACAAAAACCAAAAGTAGTTTTTTAAATATTTACATATTTTAAAACAATTTAAATTTTTTTAATGCCATGCGATGATCTGCACTTATACTTAAACCTAGTCAATAAAAAAATTGATTAAAATAAAACTACCAAATAAAGCTACAGTAGAGACTTTAAAATAAAAAGACAACACGACATTATATCTGTATTATCTGATATCTGAAGTATGTTACCTCATAACTGTGGGGTAGATCTCTGACGTGTACACAAAGATCATGGCATACTGGCTACACGCTGCACACAGTGCCACCATTGCCATGGCAACCTTCACGTAACTGTTGTCTGAAGATGGGGAAAAACCTGGCTCATTATCTAAATATGATGGTGTGGTCGGGTTGTAGAGCATCTGACTGCTAACCCGAAAGTCTCGAGTTCGAATCCGCGGTTTCAAGACAGTTGAGCGTCCCTGAGATACCCCAGCTTTAATGGATAACGAAGTCAGGTTAGGGAAAGTAAAGGTGGCTGGGCATAGTGCCTGACCACTCTATCCTTTCATATCCCGAGGTCACAGAAACAGGTGAACTCTACTTCACTTGCCCCATGGACTATTTGGTTTGAAAAGGGAATTTAACTACTTTACTTTACTTTACAACTTATCCAAATATGATGGCGTTTTCAGGTGGTAGAGCGATCGACTGCTAACCAGTTTATCTGTTGTGCCACAATAACACGACACCAGAAGCTAACCCGAAATTCTCCAGTTCAAATCCCGTGCTCGAGCTCATATGACGTCAATTAGCCCCCTCCTCCCCCAGATTTACTTCTAAACTGTATCTGTAACTTGTGCAGTAGTGATTGCTTGTTACTTATATTTACTGTTTTTCATTATTCAATGGAGGGCTGGTAAGTAGGTCACCAACCAGTTCTACGGCTCAATAAAACCTGCATGAGCCATAGAACTGGTTGGTGACCTACTTGCCAGCCCTATTACTGTTTACTGCCCTAAATACACAACCTTACCAGATAAAAAATCGTTCAAAAATCCTGTCGCTATAAACGCCACACCTGCTACTATCATAGTTGCCATAAGGGGCTTTTTACGACCAAATCTGAAAAAAAATATCAGCCGATTTTAAAATTAAAGAAATATTGTTTCCGGAATGGCGCAAACAAATTTTAAAATGTGCAAAATAAAAAATTTTTTTAGAGAAAGTTTTAATAAAACTATAATTCAACTTAAAATAAAATGTTAAGTTGTGAGTTAAAGGATTATCATCATCTTCTTTTCCTGATTATGCGTTTGTATTGCAGATATGTTGACCAGTGTTTCTTTCAGAACTTTTCGCTCCGGGGGTGGGGGGGGGGGGAATACCTGGAAGAAACTCTGATGTTTACCATACAATACGTTCCACTGTGTAAGTAATTAAAATCGTGAAATTCTTTTTAGTCTTGATTTTAAAAAGTACAATTTTATAAATATAATGACTAATTTTATATGTCATCATCAGCTTTTCCCGTTCATGCCCAAGACACATGAGGCAGATGAAGTAGAGTTTATCTGTATCAATGACATCGGCATAGAGGAGGATACTGTGGTCAGCACTATACCCAGCCGCCTTTTTTTTCCTAACGTGAGTTGGGTACCCATCAGAGCAGGGTAGACTCAGTGATTTGAATCGGATTGAAACTCGAAACTTTTTGGTCAGCAGTCAAGCGTTCTATCGCTTGGTCACGCCGACCCTTTAAAGGATTATTAAAGACTATTATGCACATTGTGTTTTAAATTTTGAGTAAATATTAGTTAAATGACCCACTCAAATGGAAGTCCACTCACCTATTCATCATGGGCAAATTTAGCAAGTACACTGACGTTTCGAACACACCTCCAATACAGAAGAGTAGATAGACGTTGTCATGGAGACTGGAGAGTTTCAGAATGAGGCCATAGTAGCAGGCTGATAACACTAACCTGTAGACATTGACTAGTTCAATGGAGCCAAGTTCAATTTTTTTTTAATTTTTAAAACTTGGGAGTAAAATCAAATAGATTCGAGAAATTGATATACACATTCGTATTATTTTTTTTATAAAGAATTTTATATTTATTTTTTATGCATAAACACTCAACATGGTTTTTCTGAACACCCATAAAGTGATAAGTTACTAAAGTAAAACATAACCATACAATAATCAAGATTAGGATCTCAAGGAAATAAACAAATTTATTTACATGATCGGTGTTGGTATATGAGGGTAGGGGAGGTAAGTCTTATGAAATAAAGATTTAATAAAACCAAAAGCACCCTTCGACCAACTGAAAAACGTGAATTTCCAATGACATATCATTCGTAATTAAATTAAAGTAATAAAACATCTGAAAAATGTGTTTTAATAGTCTTACAGACACGGAGAACCGTTCTATAAGAAATGAGAAGCCGGGCATGGCCTAGCGGTTTGAGCACTAGACTGCTATCCGGAAAGTCTCGGGTTCGAATCCGGATGCAAATCAGTAATGAGTACCTAACTTCCGTTAGCGAAATGAAAGACGACTGGTCATATCATATGCCGAGTTCAGTGAAACAGAAGAACTTTACTTCATCTGCCCTATGTGTCCTGCTAGAGACAGTTTGAGAAATTAATACAAGAAAGATGGTTTACCATTGGAGTCAGTTTGAAGAGACTAACATAGAGAAAATTGATTACCCTTGAAGGTAGCTGAGGAACTAACTTATCAAACTTAACACTGCAGGAATTTTAAGAAACTAGCATAGACTGTTGTAAGGAAATATTTTTCAACACAGGACAACACAATATTCACCAACCAAACGTAGAAGAGAATGAGAGATCTTTGTCTCATTTGTCCATTGCGGACCAAGTCAGTCAGGTTACACTGTCGCACTTGTCCGTCCATTGATGTGTTCGTTTCCTTTTTCACTAGTTCCCATTCTTCGTCAGGGACTGGTATCTGTTGGATTATTAACTATTTAGTTAAAAAATGTGTTTTGTATTTTCGCCAAATAAGCAGTTACTTGACTTCTAATCCCTTTAAATATAACAATTCGTTTATGTTAAGGTTGAGCTTTTTATTAAAGAGCAAAACAAGAGAGATGGATGAGACCTTATAAAATGGTTGTATTTTTATTTCCATGCCTTAATAGATTATTAATATCATTAAAGCATTAAGTTGTTGTTGTTTTTTTTTTTGCTACCGAAGCCCTGGTGTAGGAACACAATACGTAGTTTTAAAATAAACCGGGCGTGTTCTCCCCTAAACTTTCTCGAATATTCTTATATAACTTGGAATATAGACATGATTTTTAATTACTTAAACTTTTAAAAATAGAATAGAATCTCATAGAAAAAAGAATTGCGCACCAAGCGAACGCCAAAACAAAATGTGCATAATAGTGCGCAATATTATTAGTACTTTATAAATTTACATGCATTTTTTGAGAAATCGGAAATAACGGAAATTACTCTAAATTTGATAGAAGGTAGGGAATTAGATCTTTTACTTACATGTGAAATTTCATTTATCTATCTGAAATAGTACTCAAATTATAGGCTTTTGAAAAATTCATAGTAGAAAAAGTACCACTTCCGGTTATCGGAAATCGCTCAAAAGTTGATACGGATCTACGATTTTGATAAAATACTTATATATGAAAGTTCATCAACCTAGCTGTAACGGCACTCAAGTTATCGTGTTTACAGACAGACAGACAGACAGACAGACAGACAGACAGACAGACAGACAGACAGACAGACAGACAGACAGACAGACAGACAGACAGACAGACAGACAGACAGACAGACAGACAGACAGACAGACAGACAGACAGACAGACAGACAGACAGACAGACAGACAGATAGACAGGCAGACAGAAAGACAGACACACAGACATACGGACAAGATTGCAAAATTATGTTTTTCCGTATCAGTGAGGTGTAAAAAGTCGAGATTTGTAAAAATCTCGATTTTTTTTTGCACGATTACAAGACTGTCTCTATACTTCGTGTATACAAGAAAGAAAAAATACACCAATATTCTACTTTATAATACTGAAGAGCTATAGATTCTATTCACTGTCATCAGGGGACAAACTGCTTGGGAATGATAATCAAGTGATGATGGAAAGGGAGACAACAATGAAAATTGTGTGATTGTGGAAAAGTGGAAACAAACTAAAAGTGTGTGACTGTTGAAAGGGGAAAAGACAATGGTTGTGTGAATGTGGAATAGAGAGACATAAAAGGTAACTGTGACTGTGAAAAGGGGGAGACAACATTGATTGTGTGATTCTAGTCAACACAGACAGGAATGGTAACTCTGTGATTTTAGACAAGGGAGAAAATAATGATAAATTATTGGTGAACAGGGTAGATAACAATAATAACTGTGTTACTGTGTGAACAGGGGAGGTAAATCAACTATGTCAGTTTATGCAAGCGGAGACTACAAAAACAAAAGTAAAACCTTATTGAAATTGCAGATTCTCTTGATGACGTCATAAGCTTCTTTCGTTTTCCCCTTCATGATGAGCCATCTAAGAGATTCAGGTACTATCCTTTAAGTAGAGGCAAATTATTTAAAGGGGCATAAGCTAGGCTTTATTACATGTAAACGTGTATGATGGGAGGCGACTCAAATACGATTTCAAAGGATAGACAAACATTTAAAAAAAAATAAGATACCGAAGTAATAAGGGATATGTTTATGTTTTTTTTACAAGTAAATAGGAAAATAATTGTAGAACGCACGACTGCTAACCTGTAAGTAGTGGCTCGAGTACCCGGCCCTGACAGTGTAGTACTAGTAGCTAAAACAATTTATGGCATTGTAAACACTATCTCCAAACTTAGATCTTTATGGTCGTACAATAATTGTGGTTTTTTAAATCTAAATGCGTTCATACTTAAAGTGATCTCATTACACTATTTCTGTGTTAATGCCTCACTAATTTCATTATCTTTTACATTTTGTTTTTATACATTATGTTTGTGCTTCTAAAATGTTTTTGATTAATTAAACACTGTTACTTTTATATTTTAAAGGAAAATAACCAAAGTTTTGTACTATAAACTAATTATTAATATCACTCTAGGTTACGATGTAAACGACGTTTTATTGTGAGATAGCTCTGTTTTATAAAACTGTACAGGTACAAAATAGCTAATATACACTACACCAATAGATGGTTGACTAGAATCTTTCTATAAGAATTTAAAGTTTTCTACTTTCGCAGTGCTGACGAAATGCAAGTGTCTATAGCGTTGTGTCAGTAATGGAGTAACGGAATGACACACTACTTAGCGGCTTGTAGTATAGATGTATTGTATTATAGAACGTAGCCCTCATTAAAAGTACCAAAATACACTACAATATTGATTTGACAGACTGTCAAGATATACAACGTTGTCCCAACAAACTACATAAATACAACATTGACAAAAAAAAAACACCAATATACAACATCAACCCAACAACGCACCAAAATACAACAATAGCTCAACTACCCTACAAGATACAACAACAGTCCAAACAACCCTAACACATACAATATAGACCTACAACCCACCCACTCACATAACATGGCCCCAAAAACCCAACAAGATAAAACGTTGCCCAAAATAACAAAACAAGATAAAACATTGCCCAAACAACCCAACAAGATACAACAATAACCCACCAACATACAACAACAACACACCAACATACATCAACAACCCAAAGAACCCACCACGGATGTGCCAGTGCTGTGACCCCCACTACACTGATCCCAATCTGCAGATGTCGCCAGTTCCTCAACAGATACGCCAGACCGGCGAGGACGAGCATGCTGAATCCGAAGAAAAATTCCATCAGCACTCCAGCAAATGGTCGATGTTTTGCCACATACAGCTCTACCGCCATAGTGTATGCGGAAGTTTGAAATCCCTGAAATTATATGTCCTAACTTTAATATCATTCGTGTTATGGTATTTAGTGAACGAGTAAATGGGAATGAATGGGGGTGAATGTTGTTTATACTTGGTACACTATTCAATTTGTCCCTGTTCAGTTCTCGTGCAGTGAGTTATAATAGTCCGGTTGGTACCAGTTTATGTAAGGGTATATAAGGTGTGTGAAAACGTGTGAGATTGCAGAGTTTCGTCCAGATCTCATCCAATGTTAGTCTATACTGCTAGTTAGCCACTGTGTCTTGTAAACGTAATTGACATATAGTAATACCTGCATCAATAGCCCCTGCAAGAACCTCAGGACCACGAACATTGTGTAATTGATTATCATAGTATTACCTGCATCAATAGCCCCTGCAAGAACCTCAGGACCACGAACATTGTGTAATTGATTATCATAGTATTACCTGCATCAATAGCCCCTGCAAGAACCTCAAGACCACGAACATGGTGTAGTTTATTATCATAGTATTACCTGCATCAATAGCCCCTGCAAGAACCTCAAGACCACGAACATGTTGTTGTTGATTATCATAGTATTACCTGCATCAATAGCCCCTGTAAGAACCTCAGGACCACGAACATTGTGTAATTGATTATCATAGTATTACCTGCATCAATAGCCCCTGTAAGAACCTCAGCACCACGAACATGGTGTAGTTGACGGAGAAGGCGATGATGACCCCCAGGACCGATGACGTGTAGAGGGTGAAGAGCATGACGGGAAGACGGCCGTACCGGTCAGCTAAATCACCAAACACCAGACTACCAATGGTGACGCCACTGAAATAAATGGTGGTAGCCAGGTCGACAAGGTAAGCATCGGAGCAGACGAGATCAAACTGGAATAAAAGATAAAACGATTATATGTGAGAATTTTATAAAAAATAAACCGGGAGTGCTCCCCGAAACTTTCTTGAATATTCTTATATACAGGGGATGGCAACTCGGGTTATAGACATGATTTTTAATCCATGTTTAATTGCTTAAACTTTTTAAAATAGAATAGAATCTCGTAGAAAAAAGAATTGCACACCAAGTGAACGCCAAACAAAATGTGCATAATTAATATGGCCCATAAATTATGTATTTAAAATGCAGATCTGACCTGGCTGACGATGTTCCACTCGTTGTGTACAGGTGTGTACATCCACTGTCCCGCCGTACACAGTACAGTCTCGTTACGGCCGTCAGAGAAGTAAAAAGTAGTCGAGCATTGCCAGTGGGACGTGCTAGTGACGTCATTGGACATTTTGACATCATAAACTGCTGCTAAAATGAAAAGATTTCACACCTCGTAATCTGGTTAAAAAAAACCAGTCTAAGTTTAAGTTTGAAAACTTTCAGTAAAGCATGAAGAAGATCCTAGCTTTTGATGTTTCAAAAAATGGTTAAAATTTTTTTTTTCATTTTTTCCCCAGTGCTCCATCAACCCGAAGAGATGCCTGAAAGAAACTCTGATTTTTAGGAATAGCTAAAACATGTTACTCGAAAGAATGTAGATGATGGCCTAACATCATCTTCTATGATAGACTACAAGGAGAGAAGGAAATGGAAGCAGTATCCGAATTAAATGAAAAAAAAGAAGATGGCGCTGGATGTGGCACGGCTCATGAATGAATCCAGATGATATTGTAGGAATGGCGCTAAACTGGACGCTTCAACAAAAAATAAATAAATCAGGAAAGGTCAATGGAGACTTGGAGGCGCACAGTGTGGAAGCAGCTGGCAGAGGAAGGACTGTCATGGGGGACTGCCAGGAAGCAGCTGGCAGAGGCAGGACTGTCACGGGGGACTGCCAGGAAAATTGGGGGAGACCGACAAAAATGGTGGGAGCTTGCTGTGTCATGGGCACAAAAAGGAAAATATGATGATGTAGATGATGATATTGATGATGATATAGATGATATTTATGATGATATAGATGATATAGATGATGATATAGATGATGATATAGATGATGATATAGATGATGATATAGATGATGATATAGATGATGATATAGATGATAATGTAGATGATACAGATGATGATATAGATGATGATATAGAAGATGATATAGATGATGATATTGATAATGATATAGATGATGATATTGATGATGATATAGATGATATTGATGATGATATAGATGATATAAAAGATGATATAGATGATGATATAGATGATGATATAGATGATGATATAGATGATGAGATAGATGATGATATAGATGATGATGTAGATGATACAGATGATGATATAGATGATGATATAGATAATGATATAGATAATGATATAGATGATTATATAGATAATGATATAGATGATATAGATGTGATAAAGATGATGATATAGATGATGATAAAGATGATGATATAGATAATGGTGTAGATGATGATATAGATGATGATGTAGATGATACAGATGATGATGTAGATGATGATATAGATAATGATATAGATGATGATGTAGATGATGATATAGATGATGATATAGATGATGATATAGATGATGATATAGATGATGATATAGATGATGAAGTAGATGATGATATAGAAGATGATATAGATGATGATACAGATGATGATATAGATGATGATATAGATGATGATGTAGATGATGATATAGATGATGATATAGATGATGATATAGATGATGATATAGATGATGATATAGATGATGATATAGATGATGATATAGATGATGATATAGATAATGATATAGAAGATGATATAGATAATGATTTAGATGATGATATAGATAATTATATAGATGATGATGTAGAAAAAAGATATAGATGCTAGAGAGGATGATATAGATAATGGTATAGATGATGATATAGATGATGATATAGATAATGATATTGATGATGAGATGATGAGACTTACATGAATTCCCTACACTGGCCATGCATGTATGGGGGACCGGCAACCCATGGAAGGCCATGATGACGTGATGAAATAGAACATTGATGTAGGATACAGCCAACAGGACGTGGACCATCAACTGGAACTTGCCACGTCCTCCTAGAGCGGCCATCAGGTTCTCCAGGCTGTCCACACTGTAAGTCATGGTGGGCGGTGCTGGGATATGTGACTTTGGTTGACTGAAGTTGACTTTGGTGGACTTAGTTGACTTTGGTGGATTCAACTTGACTTTGGTGGACTTAGTTGACTTTGGTGGACTTAAGTTGACTTTAGTGGACTTAGTTGACTTTGGTGGACTTAAGTTCGCTTTGGTTGACTTAGTTGACTTTGGTGGACTAAGTTGACTTTGGTAGACTGAAGTTGACTTTGGTTGACTTAGTTGACTTTGGTTGACTTAGTTGACTTTGGTAGACTGAAGTTGACTTTGGTTGACTTAGTTGACTTTGGTTGACTTTGGTTGACTTAGTTGAATTTGGTTGACTTAGTTGACTTTGGTAGACTGAAGTTGACTTTGGTTGACTTAGTTGACTTTGGTTGACTTTGGTTGACTTAGTTGAATTTGGTGGACTTAAGTTGACTTTGGTTGACTTAGTTGAATTTGGTAGACTTAAGTTGACTTCGATGGACTTAGTTGACTTTGCAGGACTTAAGTAACATAACAAACGGTTGACTATGCCTGTTCACGCTGTTTGGCTTAATTAAGCTGACTATGCAAGGCTTAAATGAATCAAAGCTGAATTGATATAACTGTTTAGCTTTGTTTGATGTGAACACAGTTTTGCATACATCAATAACAAATTAGACCAACCAGTCTTTCTTAACATGTTAATATACAAGTCCAAAACTCAATACCTAGTTGTTATTTTTTTGTGTTTTTTTTGTGTGGGTTTTTTTTGTGTGGGGTCAGTTTATGACGTTAACACACTAGGTAGCATTATACAAGCTATAGGCTCCTCGAATGGCAAATGTTAGTCTGGAATAGAAGTGTTTAGAACAAATTAATTAAAATAAAGATAATTACTTTTAACGAGTATTTAAAGATTATGGCCATCAATAAGATACACTCCCTGTATGATAATCTACTGATATAACAACCTACCAATACAACAACCTACCAATACAACAACCTACCAATAGAACAACCTACCAATAGAACAACCTACCAATATAACAACCTACCGATACAACAACCTACCAATATAACAACCTACTAATACAAAAACCTACCAATATGACAACCTTTTGAAACAACAACCTACCAATAGAACAACCTACCAATAGACAACCTACCAATAGAACAACCTACCAATATGACAACCTACTAATATAACAACCTACCAATAGAACAACCTACCAATAGAACAACCTACCGATACAACAACCTACCAATATAACAACCTACTAATACAAAAACCTACCAATATGACAACCTTTTGAAACAACAACCTACCAATAGAACAACCTACCAATAGACAACCTACCAATAGACAACCTACCAATAGAACAACCTACCAATAGACAACCTACCAATAGAACAACCTACCAATAGACAACCTACCAATAGAACAACCTACCAATATGACAACCTACCAATAGAACAACCTACCAATAGACAACCTACCAATAGAACAACCTACCAATAGACAACCTACCAATAGAACAACCTACCAATATGACAACCTACCAATAGAACAACCTACCAATAGACAACCTACCAATAGAACAACCTACCAATAGACAACCTACCAATAGAACAACCTACCAATAGAACAACCTACCAATAGAACAACCTACCAATATGACAACCTACCAATAGAACAACCTACCAATAGAACAACCTACCAATAGAACAACCTACCAATATGACAACCTACCAATAGAACAACCTACCAATAGAACAACCTACCAATAGAACAACCTACCAATAGAACAACCTACCAATAGAACAACCTACCAATAGAACAACCTACCAATAGAACAACCTACCAATAGAACAACCTACTGATAGAACAACCTACCAATAGAACAACCTACCAATATGACAACCTACCAATAGAACAACCTACCAATATGACAACCTACCAATATAACAACCTACCAATAGAACAATTTACTAATATGACAACCTACCAATAGACCAACCTACCAATAGAACAACCTACCAATATGAAAACCTACTGATACAACAACCTACCTTTATAACAACTCCTGCTTGAATGTGGTCCCACGTACGTAACGTCTCAACAGCAAGTAATTAAATGCATAATTAATTTAAAAAAACCCATCTAATTATCTGATAACTTAATGAGAATGTGGGATGACATGAGAAAAGATGAACAATTGTTGGGGGGGGGGGGGGGGAGGGTGGAGCTAAGCATATTTCGTCGTCTAAAAAGCTTTATTCACACATGTAAGCCAACATGATTATAGTGTGTTGAGCTTTTGTTTTTATTTATTTATGGGTAACATATGCTATACTTACACGAGCTTTGAAATGATTTACATATTTAAACATATTATATTTCGCAAAACTGGCAAGTAAAAAATAAGACTTGACTGTTCGGATCTTAGTTTAAATTATTTTACTTTGTAAACAATAATTGGAAGAAGTTTGAATGATGACATTGAAAAAAAAAATTACTTGTAGACAGTTATATTTGCGTTTAACGAAAATTTGACTTATTTAATCACAATTAATTTTAAAATGTAAGCAGCTGTTGCTGTATTGGGTTTCAACGAGGAAGGGTTATAAGTGTAGGATTGTAACGTGTAGGATTGTAACGTGTAGGATTGTAACGTGTATGATTACAACTTTTAGGATTATAACGTGTAGGATTGTAACGTGTGTGATTACAAAGTTTAGGATTACAACGTGTTGGATTGTAACGTGTAGGATTGTAACGTGTAGGATTGTAACGTGTATGATTACAACGTGTAGGATTACAACGTTAAGGATTGTAACGTGTAGGATTGTAACGTGTATGATTACAACGTGTATGATTGTAACGTTTAGGATTGTAACGTGTAGGATTGTAACGTGTAGGATTGTAACGTTTAGGATTGTAACGTGTAGGATTGTAACGTGTAGGATTGTAACGTTTAGGATTGTAACGTTTAGGATTGTAACGTGTAGGATTGTAACGTGTAGGATTGTAACGTGTAGGATTGTAACGTTTAGGATTGTAACGTGTAGGATTGTAACGTGTAGGATTGTAACGTGTAGGATTACATTGTGTTGGATTGTAACGTGTAGGATTGTAACGTTTAGGAATGTAACTTGTTGGATTACAGCGTGTTGTAGTGTAGAGAGGATGGAAGCAGGCGTTGTTACTGAAATAGCAATATTAACAGAAAAAGATATTGTTGAAATATCACTTTCTGTTAATATTGATAACTTGTTGGATTGTGACGTGTTGGATTGTGACGTATTGGATTGTGACGGTAAAGTTGTTGCGTTGTAACATAATGGGTTGTAAAATGTAGGGTTGTCTTGTTTTCATTGACTTAACCATTTAACTTCTGTCTAGTCCAGGGGTCGGCAACCTTTTGAAGCGGGAGAGCCAAAAGTTACAATTTTCAAAATTTCCCTGGTTTTAAAGAGCCACAAACATTTTTTTTTATTTCAAATATTTTTTTTTATTAAGATTATTAGTATTTGTTCAAGAAGCTGGAGAGCCGCATCTTGATATCAAAAGAGCCGCATGTTGCCGACCCCTGGTCTAGTCATTAGCTTAGTTTTACCATCCGCCTTTATTTTCCGATTTATTTTCCCTAATGTGAGTCAGGTACCCATTAGAGCTGTGTGACTCAGCGGCCTCACACATACTCAGTATGTCTCAAATCAAGTCAGGGGTTCTCAGCACAAATGAACAAAACACCTATGAGCTAACACATTAGAATGAATTTCTACAAATGCATTGTTTCCACAGACTGTTAATGTTATGTTCCCTTAGTCGAACCTGACGGTCCATGGGACAAGTGAAGTAGAGTTCTCCTGTTTCTGCGACCTCGGCATATGAAGAGATAGTGTGGTGAGCACTATGTCCAGTCGCCTTTACTTTCGCAAACGTGAGTTAGGTACCCATCAGAGCTGGGTGAACTCAGGGACGTTTACAGACTTGAACCTGGATTCAAACTCGAGTCTTTCGGTTTAGCAATTTAACGTTGTACTGCTAGTTCTACTACAGCTCTAGTTAAAAGAATTTTGTTGACAAAAAAAAATTGCTCTCTTCTAGTAAACGTTAAAAAACAGTTACAAATACTTTAACATAATCAAAAAATAGTTTTTAAATAGTAAAAAAAATTGTAAAAAGAAATAAACAAAAAAATTATTTAAAAACGCGTCGTAAAGAGTAACCAGAGTGTAGACTTCTTAGGCGTTTTTATTTTATTTGTAAGATTTTTATTGTGTACAAATTATTGAACCATTAGTTGGAAACATACAAATTAAATTTATATAATATAAAACATTTAATCCTGTTAATGTTTCAAATTTAAACATAATTTACATTATAAAACTGAAATGTATTAAATGTTAAGAATGCACAACAAATATAACATATTGTTGTATAAATTTATAGTTGAATAATTAACATTTATTTTTTAACTAGTTGTAATTTTAAATATTATTTCTAAACGACTTTATAGAACAAAATTATAAATTATTTCCCCTTTTTTAAATAAAATTTGATACATGGGAAGTAACGTACACAAATTAATATTTAATATTACTCGTTTTATTTTTTCACCTTCTATTATGTATAGTTATACTAGGCATACTGCCTAGCTTCGCTTAGGTTTTTAAAAAACATTGAGAATTTGAATACTTAATAATTTAGCGATGGGTTGGGTGTGGAGTGCTTTAATTTAAACGGTAA